ACTTCACTGTAACCTCCCTAAGCGTCCCGAGGTCTTTCTCCTGCGATCCGCTCGGCTAGCTGGCAGGCTCCTCACCTGCAAATCTGCCAAGACCATCTCTCCAATTGTAACCCATACATCTGGGAGATGGTCTTGGTTTTCTTGAGAGCACGGAATCCGTTCTACTGGCTTGCGAGCCGAATCCTCTACTATTGTAACATTTCCTCCTCCTCCTCGTCCCGTCTTTCCTCCACCTGAGGTCACTGGATGTGAGCTCAGATTAGCCTATTATAAAGTGGGCCTACTCACTTTTGAACTTATACCTGTAACCCCGGCAGGGGTAGCTAAGACGCATGCTGCCAGTGCAGTGGAATAACTTGTACACCCTGGTGTATAGCTGGGAAGTTCTGAACCAGCGCCTCTCGAAGTCCGGAGGCTAGCGCAAGGGCGAAATTTATTCTGAGCATTATGTCAAGCGTTAAGGAAGGGGAAAGGAAACCCACAACGATTACATGGGGTAGTGCCACTCAATGTGGGGGTCGCCGGGGAAAGGAAACCCACATAACTGAAGTGGGGTAGTACGCCCGACTCATGCTCCAAATAAATTTCTATGCGTAGCACATATTACTGTGCTTTAACCAGGGCTCGAACCTGGTCCCTTCGCGTTACAAGGGAGGTGCCCTGACCAGTATGCTAACTGAGCCATCGGGCCGAGTTAGTTTACATATACAAAGGTTAATCAGCCTAAAATGAAAATACTGAGGTTATGATTAAAAATGGAAATATAGGGGATACGAAACTAAATAACCGAAAATCATTTATTTCCTCTTACAGAGGTTCACCAGCTCGTTTAGCTTAGTCGGTAGAGCGTCGTGCTAATAACGCGAAGGCCGCAGGTTCGATCCCTGCAATGAGCAATTTCTGTATTTTTTGTCCATTGCTTTCATATACCTTGGCCCTGAAGAACAATGTGCGGATGCTTGGTGTTCATGGTCATCTTTTTAACACGCCATTTGATACGAGGAAGGGCTGTAGCTTTGCGACTTATGAGTGAAAAGAGCGGATGGAGGTGAGGCGAATAAGGTTTGATCAAGAAACATAATTTAAACGCGCGGTAAAAGCGTCACTGCCAGCATCTTTCTTTTTTCTTCTCCATCACACTTTCATACCTACCACCAACTTCTCATCTTGCATTCAATTCCATGACAGAGATTTCCTCCCTCTCCTCGCTATTGAAGCGTCTCGAAGCTGCCACCACAAAGCTAGAGGACCTGGCTATGGCCGGCGCTTCCGCTTCAAACGTCTCCTCCTCGCTCACAGGAAACAGCGGTGCCCACGCACCCCAGGGCCAGCTTTCGCAGTTGGGAGACACCCCTTCTGCGGGTGGTGCTGCTGGTGGACAAGGAACGAGCCATCCGCACGTCGAGGGTTTCGATGAACTGCTGGATGGCCCTCTCAAGAACTACTTAGAACTAAGTAAGACTGTCGGTGGTGTTGTCGAGGAGCAGGTACGCTGTCAATTGTTAAGGTCCTTGAGGGACTGGCGCGTGTTATTGTTGAGTAAAATCCTTCACTGACCGATTTTTCCGTTATAATGGCAGGCCAAATGTGTCTGCAGCCTGTTTGCGGCCCAGCGTGAGATGATCTTGGTTGCGACCTTGAGCCAGAAACCACCCATGACCTCGGCTGTCTTCAGTCAGCTGCTCGAGCCCACGCAGGCGGAGCTGACGAAGGTGATTCTGATCCGCGATAAGAGTCGATCGAACCCTCTTTCCACCCATCTGGCCGCTGTCACAGAGGGTATTCCAGCCCTTGGATGGGTTGCTATCGTACGTGTGATCTGTTCAGCTATTTTCCGATGCTACTCATGACCACATGCATCTTTACCCCTGACAAAACTCAGCCGTGGTTTCCCACAATGTCTTCATCTGATACAACGCTAATGGTATGTTCTTGTTTTTGGATGGATTCATAGGAGCCCAAGCCAGCATCCTTTATCGGCGAAATGAAAGATAGCGCCCAGTTCTTTGCCAACCGCGTTGTTAAGGACTGGAAGGAGAAGTATGCCTTGGCTTTCTGTTTCTTTTCCTCAATAGCCTCGAAAATCGATTGACGACTAACGTTTGTTTTCATTCGACCGTTCTAATTGCGACTTATAGGGATCAGAATCACGTCCTCTGGGTCCGCTCGTACATAAATCTGTTGAACGAGCTGCAGAACTATGTCCGCAAGTTCCATACTACTGGATTGGTTTGGAATCCAAAGGTATACTAGGAGTAAACCAGATGGACGGACGATGAGCAGCGTTGTGGAAATTATCTAATGTGCCTTTTTTTTTTTTTTTTTTTTTTTTTTTGCGGAGGTCATTAGGGTAATACTCTGGACAGCAACAACCTGAACCGCGCATCAGCCGCTGCTGCTGCCTCTACACCTGCTCCAGCTCCTGCCGCAGCCCCTGCACTGGCCCCTACACCATCGGCCGGAGGACCTCCCCCACCACCTCCCCCACCTCCACCACCCATGATGGACTCTGCTCCCGTAGCAAAGAATCCCACGGAGCATGACATGTCGGCCGTCTTTGCTCAATTGAACCAGGGGGAGACGATCACAGCTAATTTGCGCAAGGTCGATAAGAGCAAGATGACCCACAAGAACCCTGAACTGCGTGCCTCAGGCATGGTCACTGCCTCCGGTAAGGATTATCATGGATGCATGGAGTCACAGGAGATAAGCGCACACAAAGAAAAGCATTTGGGGAACCGATATTGAATTATAATTTGTGTTTTTCTATAGTAGGCAACAAACCAGGATCGCCCAAGAGAGCTGGCCCTGGTGCCCCACCGAAGCCTGCATCATTGACGCTCAAGAAGCCACCAAAGCTGGCTCTGGAGGGCAACAAGTGGGTTGTGGAGAATTTTGAAAACAACAACGAGGTGATTCTGGATAAGGTTGAGCTCAACCACTCTGTCTACATTTACGGCTGCAAAAACTCCACGATTCAAATCAAGGGCAAGATCACAACCGTGGCCGTGGACTCGTGCACAAAGACTGGACTCTGTCTCGAGTCGCTGATCTCGTCGCTGGATGTCGTCAACTCAAAGTCGATTCATGCCCAGATTTTGGGTCGGGCACCAACTGTCAGCTTGGACAAGGTGGATTCGTGCATGGTTTATTTGTCAAAGGACTGCATGGATATTGAGATCTTGACGTCGAAATGCTCGTCAGTCAACATCCTCACGCCAGATTCGACCGAAGATGGCGCGGAGGGAGATTTTGTCGAGCGTCCTGTTCCAGAACAGTTCTTGACCAAGATTGTGGATGGAAAGGTTATCACCACGGCTGTGGAGCACAGTGGGTAGAGCTAGAAGATGGTGTGGTTGTTGGCGAAGAGTTCTTTTCCAATAAAGTGTGCCTATTTACTTGCTTATGCTAATGACAGATGGCTCCAAATGGGCTCATTTCGCCAATATTGTGTTTCATGTGCTTCCCAAAGCAAGGCTGTAGTAGATTGTGGATGCTGTATCTATTTTTCATCCTCGGGAATCAATCGACAAATGTACCTCTTGTTCCCTGCCTGATTCATCGCTATTCACCTCATTCACTTCATTCTCCTTATTGCGTTGGTTGTGCCTTTACACCGATTCGTCGCTTGAAGAAAACTGCTACATATTTTTCAGGGACCAGGGGTACAGCAGAACACATACGATACATCTCTATACCTCTATTAAGCATACCATACACCTACCTCTATCACTAAGGCAACAATGGCATCCCTCCCAAGGACCTTCTCTCTCCTCTTCTGCCTCCTTATCCTGCTCGCGCTCTCGACTCAGCACCTGGTGCAGGCTGACAAATCTTACTCTTTCTTTGCACCCACGGCAGCGACCCGATGGGTAGCGGGACAGCAAGGGTTGGTCTCGATTATTTCGACGGACAAGGCCAAGGGCGATGCTTCCCCCACGGACCGTCTCTTGACCATCACCCTTCGAACTAAGAGTGGTGGCATCTTCCCATCAACCACCGTCGTGGCCACCATCAAGGATGGAATTCAATTGCTGATTCCTGCAAACTCGACGGCGACGCAGGTCCAACTGGATATCACGGATTTTATTGTACCGGCTACGTTGACTGCAGGGGAGAATTACTTGGTGCACCTCGAGCGCGCAAGTTCAGGTTTATTTGATTTCGACCGCACCACCGATAGCTCCAACTTCCAGATCTTTGCAGCGCCTCCTGCTGGTAAGTACATGATGAAGACGAGGGGAAGAATACGAATGAAGTATAAGAAAAGAAAGAGTAGCGGTGCTGCCTCTTGCTTCTTGCCTTTCAGCACACATCCGTTTGACACAATCCTTCGCTTATCTCGTTCATTCATCAATCATAGGAAACACAACGACGGGCCTCCCAACCATGACCTCGACGATAATGCAGCCGACGTTGACGACGACGACCGCCAACTTAACAACGACTCCGACGCCTACGCTGCCCGCTGGTCAGACCTGCAATGACATCCGTGAGCAATGTGCCGCACAGAGCCGTGCGTATCAAGAGGCCACCGCAACAACCCCTTGCTCCTGTGGTGCTACCTTGGTCGTCCCAACCATTGTCGGAAACAGTGCCCCGGGCAGTATCAAGGCCAATGTCAAATTGACATTCCAGAGTACAGGTGGACCCACTGCCGCTTTGGCGTTCTTGTTGCTCGTCGTCATGACCTTGTTCTGAGAATGAGGAAAGAAATACATGATGGCTTTCTTCAATATAGTGGTAGGTGCCCACGCACACACTTCTAAAAGTACTTGTAAAATATACATCAACCCGCATAATGATAATAAAAACGGAGAATGGGAGGCGGAGGCGGTAGACTATTCGTACTCCCTCACTCAGCACATGCTGGTGTTTCATCGTCTATTGTTTATATGGCCGAAAATAAATCTGGGATCTAGTCTAGACTAGCGGTAGGGCGGACTTAGAGATCCCACCTTCGATTTAAGTATCCATCGCGTCGGGCACGCCGTCCTAGATGGTTCGCCTCCGGTCCCAGATCCACCCATGGCATCTCCAATGATGCCCGCATGATCATCCTACGCGCAATGGTATCTGGATCAGATTCCATATACTCTGTCGATTCAGAAAATGGCTCCTCTAAATCATACTTGTTTGTTCCTTCAAGCGGGTGATTGTACTCGTACGGATACACGTCCTCTGGACGAACTGCATCTGGTGGTGGCGGTAGGTTCAAGCTCATGCCCATTACCTGCAGTTGGTCCATTTGACAGGCAAGTCGAATCATCGTAGGGACGGTCACTCGGGCATTGTCCAATACTGAGAATTCGAGCAGCTGGTTTCCCCACCTTCCATCGATCTCGTCAGAATCGTCGCCGCAGTTGCTGTGGTCAGTGATGGTGTCAATCATTCTTTGCAAGCTCCTGTCCGTGATCTCAATCCACGGTCCACGGATTAACACCCGCTTGAGCGCATGGAAGGTCACGAAAGGGAGATCTGTCATATCGTATCTTTCATGACCCTGGCCATTATCACTGGTCAAACAATGGGCGGAGGGACGATTTCGGGCGCGTGTATTGAACCATGCGTTCGGCTGGGTCGTAATCCAGAAGCAAACTGTGTGTAGACTGGGCATTTGTCGAAGGGACCCCAGGTCAAATACACCCGCAATGGGTCCCACCAGGTCCAGAATCGTCAGGCGTGAGACGCTCCATTGAATCAGCAAAGGTCCCCTAGCGATCGAGGACAGACTGCCGTAACATCCTTCATCGTCCATATTCCTCGCCGGCGATGGTTCCTGTCCTTGCCTGGCTCCGACAGTGTCATGATATGCTCCTCTGAACGCAGATGTCGCTCCGCCCAACAGCAGAACTTGCGCTTGATCCATCCACTCTGCTTCGCCTTCAACATACTCCATATCCGACCGCGCCTCAAGTGTCTCGAGCGTCTCACGAAATCCGTAAAAGGCATCGCGAAGAATTTCGTAAACGATCTGATCTGTCGGTCCGTGGATCCGAAGATGTCGCAGTGAAACTGGCGGACGGATATGTGGTTTCATCATGAGTGAAGGCTGAGGCGAGGGCTGCATCCGAGGGTAGAGACGATGAAGCGCTTCGTCATTATCCGGCAATGCATTCTTTTTCCTGTGAGCGTTCCAATCTTCCACCGCCCATGTAAACATATCCTTCGAACTCGAAAATAGCTCCAAGCTCTTTAATTGGCGACACCGCGACAGGAACTCAGGCCGACTGAACGCCAAATCCTCGTGGGGCGTAGCCTGGGACCAAATCCTGAGGGAGTATAGCGCACTCACGTCGAGTGTCTCCAAGTCAGCAGATTGCGTCCTTGGCCAGTAGATAGAATCGATGGTCTTCAGTCCTGGACCCAGTGCCTTCATTAGCTGTACTGGATCAAATAACTGCCCGTCAAGTCGAGTATTGTCCCAGTAGCTTCGGAAGCTCGCGTACTTGAAGTGGCGGATGGCGGCTGCTCGACGACGCATACCCCTTTGCACCATCGAGGTCACCGTTGTTCCTTCGATACCTTGCTTGTATGGGCCGCCCTCTCCTGCTGCTGATCGAGGGACTGCCGGAAACAAAGCCGAGTAATCCTTCAAGAACTTGTGCACCATCGCCAGGTCCTTGTCAGTCCAAACCGGATCATTTAGCTCGATCATCGCAAGCTGCTCAAATTTGTCGATGTTCGACTGCAAATGCGGGACTATTACACTAGGCAACTGGATATAGATCGACTCAATTCGTCCAGGATTATGGAGAAGGATTGCACGCTCGATCTCGACCATGTACTTGTCGCATTCCCGCCTGCCTGCTCCAGGATATAGCTCGCGGATGACCGAGCCAATCGCATGGTGATCGTGGCGTGTGTAATACTGGAAGTAGTTCGCGCAAAGATCTGTCCTTGATCGTTTCTGAGGGGTGTTATCATCGTTGCTGATTGTTCTGGTCCGCTGCTGGTGTTGTTGATGTGAACCAGATCCAACATCGTCACCATTATCTTCAAAGTTGATAAGATCGGAGCATTCTTCCTGTTGCCGTGCATGTCCTGAACCCCAATTCTCGTCCTCTGATGGTGCCAAGTTCATATTCCAGTGGTTGTTGCTGGTCCAATCGCTAGGCATGTCCCAATTAACCGATCGTCTCGGCCCAAAATGGTGATCCACTGGTGCCAACAACGGCTGCACGTTCTCCAGTCCGCCCCAGTCATCGAAAATGGGAGCCTTATGCACCGTTGGCCGTGAAATTTGACCGAGATTGTCAATTTTGAGCTCTTGGATCAGTAGCTTCGACAGCAACTTTGTCCGCTCCAGGGATCTGGCCCATCCGCTTGTTGAATCATGTGCGGTGCGATATCTGGGCGCAGAAAAAGATCTGGATTCTCCAGCTGCTGAGAACGATATGATACGTGAAGCTGGGTCTGGGGCACCTGTAGCTAGTCGAAAGGGACTTTGGTACAGCATTGGAACTGTTAAGCGGAAGAATTCACGCGAGACTAGAAGCAGACGGTGCAGCGAGGCGAGGTCGTAGCGCAAGTAGCTGAAGATGATCTCCAGGCATTCAGGGGGCAATGTCGGCATGGCCTTTGGGTGATCGAACAATAATGAATCCATGATTCATCCTTTAGCAAGCAGACAGCTTAAGTAGTGTGATAATGGCCTTGCGTGGTTATGGCGCGCAATATCGATGATGTAGAGCGGTGGACAGGATTTGAAGGTTTTTTTATTGTAAGATGGCAGCATACTTGATCCCGCAAAAAGGGATTTTCATCTCTATCAAAAAGCCGCACCTGACGTTGGGGAATCTGCGGATCAAAAGTCCATTTCCTTCAGTACCCTGTCTACGACCATATTGCGCCGTTTGGCGTCAACGGTCGGTCGTGAAGGCATGCCAGAGGACGTGGGAGCGTCTGGTCCAACCACAGCGTCCCTTAGTGCCTGCACGTACTCGTCCAGTTTCTCGGCGCTGAACTCCTGAACGCTTTGTGTGTGATCTACTCCAGGAAGCACTACGGGGACCTGCAAGAATCCGAACAGCGCTCGCAGGTTCCGTCTCAATGTCAGATTGCGCATCTTTTCCTGGCCGTGAGCATGCTGTAATGAATCGAACTTGCGCTGCAGATCCTGCCCTGGCGCTGACAGTCCTGAAGATGCTGTGGTATGTACTGCACTCGAGGACCCCGAAGGCGGCGTTGCGCTGCTATTGCTGACAGAGGCGAGCTGTTGTTGCAGTTGCTGGTTATGCTGTGTCAATGCTTAAAGAAAAGTGGAACAAAGGAGTCTATTAGTATATCCAATATATTCAATATATCCAGGCTTTGAAACGTTTCGCCGTTTCGACTTGTGCAGTATGCTCCGCACTGTACCTTGAATAGTTGCCTGCATTTCCTTTACTTCCTCAGACGAAATACCAGATCCAGATCTAGGCGACTGCTGCTGTTTGTCCGTAAGTCGTGCATGGACAGGAGATCCCGAAGTTGAAAAGTTGGGGTTGATGGGACTTGGAGCAGTCGATCCCTTGGCTGAGTTTGAAGTTTTGAAGATTGATACGTCGATGGCCTGTTGTATGTCAAAAGATAAAGACCATGGAAAGTGTGTCATGGATCGTGGTTCTTTACATTGTTCAAGTCCAGCAGCACATTCTCAACACTTACTGGATCCAAATCAAATATAAGTCCCTTCGAGTTCCTTCCTGATCCGTCACTAGGTCCTCGACCTTGGCCCTGGTTGCTTCCATTGCCCGAAAATCGTTCTGTCGATCCTGCAGACGGCGACATGCTATTGGGCGACGCATAGGGATTTGACGATGGAAGGTCATTGTTGCTGCTATTGTATCCATAGCGACTGACACCTGGCAGCTTTTGTCTGGCTTCGCCACTAGACCCGCCTCCAAGAATCGAGCTCGGTCCTGTGAGACCGACGCCGCCCAGAGTACGAATGGGCACGCTACTGAGGTTGGTAACGCCGCTGAATGGGGTGACGCCCTGCTTCTTTTTGTTCTTGTCAAGGGTCATGAGGAGACGCCGCCGCTGTGACTCTGCTACCGTCTCGACGGCCCTGATTTTTTTCCGGTGAGCTGATGATGTGCCATTGTTACCCAAGGAGCTGCCCAGGACCGCTTCAGTGTCATCCACATCAATCTCTTCTGAGTCAGAACTCCGCTCCTTTGTCCGGCGATCGGTAGCATCAAGGGATCTCTTTGTTCTGGAGTGACCCTTCGAGCCAGAGGTCGAAGAGGCGCTAGATGACGGAGCAGACTTTGTCCGCCGGCGTCTTTCCTGGGATTCATCATCCGCTACTAGATCCACGACCTCTTCGTCCGATTCTGAGGCATATTCGTCCTCCTCGTCCTCGTCCTCGTCATCTGATGATGATTCCCGGTACGATTTGCTACGTTTTGTTGATCTACGAAATGTGCTTCCTGAAGATGGTGGTGTTGCAGACTGACTGTCCTTTGTACCTTGTCGCTTCATGATTCTACTTAGTGCACCAATATCCTTGTGGAGGTCGCAAAAGAGCTGCGAGCCCTTGCCTTTCGTTACCAGGCCCTCCTTTTGTGCGCAAGTGACATGCATGGCCCTGGTGCAGCTTTCGACGCTGCATTCAGAACAGAGACCGTAGTCAGATTTGCAGATGGAGCAGGTCTGCTTGTTGGCCAGCCAGGGACTGAAGGCGATAGGGTCGAATGTCTCGTCCAGGGAGGGGTGAAAGCGCGCACATGCGACGTGAATGTACTGATTGGGCACCGTTGTACGTTTGAAGGCACCAGTTCTTTGAGGACAGCAGCAGCAGGGCTGAGTATGCCAGAGAAACAGAGGTTAATTAAGAGGATCAGCAGATAAAGAGGAAGTGTTGGCGGACACTGCGTAAAGGGTCCATTCTATCTACTCAGAGATCCATCAAAACGTACCGTGTTGCTGACTGGTATCCGATCCTCACACCGTTGACAGTACCAGTTACCCTCTGGGACCACAGCAACGCCGTAGCAGTTCTGATGTACGGGTATGTCGCATCCTGATATAGAATATTGATTTTACGAGGAGCGTGTATCGCGTTAGGGAGCGGACCGAGATGTTCAATTGGATCTGAAAAGAAAGAACAGCTGCTACTGCCGCACTCCGCAGAAGGAGAACGTACCCGGACCATCACAAAAGAGGATCTGGTTCTTAATAAAGGACTTCCCGGACCCGCAGATGAGGCAGTCGGTCTATAACGACAAGGTCCATAGTTCGGTTGTGAGTAATGAGATGCGAGATATGCAAACAAGTACATATTTTTCGAACAAATAGTTTGCACTCCTTAACACTTTTTTTGTTTTCTTCTTTCTGCCCTTCCACGTTGTTAGTGTGACCTGAATCAGAGTTACGCCATTTACCTCGTCCGGAGTTGATTGAGGACTCGATCCGTTACTTGACATGAGGACTGACGTTGGAAGGCTGTCTTCTGGAAGGGCGCAGGAGATGCGAAGCACATAGTGTTAGTCGAGTTATCTGTATTAAAGACCAATTGATCCAAGGCGAATCCGTATCAACCATTTTTTTACCTGAAGTAGTTGTTCTAATGCGCTAAGGAGACGCACACGGGTTGAAGAGAGGTTGGGGATTGAGAGGTAGCGAAACAAAAAGACGGGAAAGGTGAAGAAACCTGGACAGAAGGGAACAAAAGCTCGACGCACCCTTTCAGAGCATTTGGATTTGAAAAGCAAAAAAAGGGACATGAGACGCCTTTTATATTAGAGGTGAAGCAGCACAGCCCTTAATGACATCTTGCGCCCAAGGTTCTTTCCCCTGAATGGAGTTTCGGAACTGGTGCTGGTGGCATGGATTTCCCGCGATGAATTCGTAGAAAGGTATATTGCCTTAGTATAATCTCACAATGCTTTTATTTTTTGTTCTTATTCCCACCCCACTTCCCCGCTTCGACATGTCCGCCCCGGTCACCGACCCCAAGGTCCCTGCTGCTGCTTTCATCCACAACGACATTCACCTCATTCGCATTTACTCGCCTGGGATCATCCAGCACACCTGGGCCAACAACCGACTCGAGTGGGGGAAGACCACAGATGTCGAGACATACTTCGCGCGTGAGACGCTTCTCTCCAACCAGGATTTCACTAGCAATGGCAAGCTAAAATTCTGGGCCCTAGTTCCAAAAAGCTTTGGTCAGGATCACCCGAACCTCGATCATGTCCTCTGTGCAGTCGAGACCTTTGAGCGTCCTGGTATCGTTGCCACCAAGAACCAGGGCGTGAAGGATGTGCTCTCGGTCAGCGTTGCCTCGGTCTTTACTCCACCGCAGAGCCGCGGCCACGGATATGCCTCTCTTATGATGAAGTAACTGCTCGCGCTCCCACAATTGCCCGTCTTGTTCCATTGATGAATACTGGATGCGGCTGATGCATTTGAATACGAGGACTGACCATGTACTGTTACTGTTGCCACCGCTATCCACAATATCCTAGATCGCTTTGGGAGGAGATTAAAAAAATGGACAATGTCTCCTTCACATTCTTATATTCGGACGTTGGACCCACGTTCTATGGCCGCATCGGTTGGACACCCCGGCGGTCAGATGAGATCGTGATCCCTACATCCCACTTTGTCATAGATCAGTCCCCGTCTCCTCCAGCAAGACTCGCAAATGTAACCGATGATGACCTGACGAGCCTTATAAACAAGGATGCTCAGTTATTGCGCGAAGAGCTCAAAAAGAGGGCGGAGAGTTCAGGTCCGGAAAAGATCTTTGTCGCAGCCACACCCGAGCCTTCCTGCATTCGTTGGTTGACTGCTCGCTCGAGATTCACTGCTCAATATATCAGGAAGCTGGAGCAGCACGACATCACAGTGCTAGGTGCCAGGGATACAAAGACCGATAGCTTCGCGCTTTATTTCCATCATTTGCTCGAGGATCAGCTCTATATCATTCGCTGGCGACTGGATCCCAAGGCGGGCGAGGAAACTGCTCGCGCGTTAATCCAGGCTGCACAAGCAGAGGCAAAAAAGTGGAACTTGTCCAAGGTTGTAATTTGGAATCCAGAGCAATCTTTGGCGGATCTTTTGGGATTGCAGATCAAGCACCGCGACGACGCACTACCTAGTTTGGGACTTGTCAATTCCTTGCACGACACCAACAATGTTGAGTGGATAGCCAACGAGAAATACGCCTGGTAAGTTTTACGCTCCATATGCGATTTACTTCATGTTACCATCTGGGCCTATACTAACGTTATAGCTGATTGTTTAATTATGGTCTCTAGGTGCTAAAGTATATTTGCCGTACCTGGCCAATCCATTATAGATACCGTAGGCGATTATAAAAGAACATACCACGTTCGTCATGTTTATCGAACCCACAATAGACCGTTGTTGACCTGATTACTGCTTGTACCACAAGCATATTGTTTTCATGAACCAATGCGACTTTATTGAAGAGAAAAGGTATCCTACTGGAGCTCCCGTATGGAGCCGTTTAACAGCACCCTCCAGCAGCATTCGCATCGCTGGAATTTGGAGTGACATTGATGGTCTCGCCTCCAGTGGGTCTAATAACGTCTCCAGAGTTCTCCAGTGCCTTGTTTGACACAATGCGGTAGATTTCTATAACAGCCAGGCACATTCGGGGCGAACATGTTAGCTGACAGAGCAGTCTTTCAAGATTACAGCATAAACATCGCCGTCGAATGTGTGTTACCTGTCAAGATGCGCTGGAAGGAGAGCTCAACATTGCTGGAATCTAAGGCCGAGGTCTCAATAAAGGACAGGCCATTCTCAGCGGCAAATTGCTTGGCTTCGTCTGTGGGGACCGCGCGCAGATGTCGCAAATCACTCTTGTTTCCGACAAGCATGATCACAATGTTGGTATCGGCGTGGTCACGGAGCTCTTTGAGCCAGCGACCGACGTTCTCATACGTGGCATGCTTGGCAATATCGTAGACCAACAATGCGCCGACGGCACCACGGTAGTAAGCCGAAGTAATGGCACGATAACGCTCCTGTCCAGCTGCATTTGATGAAACCATTAGCCCGCATTAGTAAGTCCTCAGCTTAAGGAAGAGTGAGAAGCCGAAGTCAATGACAATTGATCAAAAATACAAATAAACATACCAGTGTCCCAGATTTGTGCCTTGATAGTTTTTGCATCGACCTGGATGCTTCTGGTTGTGAACTCGACTCCAATCGTCGACTTGGATTCGAGGTTGAACTCGTTCCTCGTGAAACGCGACACCAGGTTGGATTTTCCAACCCCAGAGTCTCCGATCAGCACAACTATGGTATTGGGCAGAGGAATGTAAAGGACACGGATATTAGGATTGAGAGTCTGTTAAAGGACGCTCAAGTGTCTCCTGCTGGGTTGGCAAGTGATGGTGCGATGAGACATGCTCTGTAGTGTCTCATCACACCAATAGATCTAAACACATTCTGAATGGCAGTGTGTTTGTTAACCGCGTACTGCCATTGAAGCAGGATATCCTGTCTTTTTCCGTCCAATGCTGGTCCTTGGCTGCGTTCTTTGGATGTATATCATTCAATTAACCTCTCTGCTCGTGTCCGATGCGACTCTACAGGGAGGGTACGGAGTGGGCTTGTGAGCATGGTCTCAGATATGCCAGATCTGTTACCTTTGAAGAGATAATCGTATTCGTCGTCTTTGCTCATGGTGGACGGATGATGGCTGGGTGGATGATGTGCGAGTGAAGAAAAAAAAAAAGAGGGTGAAGATGATGATGAACAAGGAGGAAAACAAGGTTGCTGCTGAACCCTAGTCGTCACAGAATGGACGATATCGCAATTGGCACAGCAAAAGGCCACACACCCTCACAAAACGAGCCGACCAGGCCTGCACTAGTTGGCATAGAGCCAGCAATGCCAGTTGGACGATAAATAGATAAATGGCGATCCTTGTCAGTTGACTATCGATGCAGCGGGTTGCTTGGACGCGTCTTACCATCCAATGGTTCTTGACGGCGTTTGATCTATAGAAACACGCTCAGAACAAAGCGGATGGTCGTGAGCATTTCACCATTTAAGCACCACGGAGAATATTTTTGCAGACCCTTTTTTCCTCTGTCCATGTGAGTGTTGCGCGCATTCCCTTTTGGTTTAACGCGCATCAGATGAGATAGAAAGCTCCTACAAGGAGGGTTCTCGCCCTGATGGACGCTTCATTTTGCGCAACCTGCCCTGGACCTCGACTGAGAACAAGCACGGTGAGGGCAAGGAGGTACAATAATGCAGGACAAGATAAGATTTGGATGCAGGTTTGTCAGACCTCAGCTGACAGCTCAAAATAAGAAAAGGCCCTGCTGAGACCCCGCAGCAACCCACAGGGGCATCAGGTTGTTCCCGCAGTTCTTCTTTTGTTCCTTTGGGTGACTGTTCCAGTGCGATTCTCTCAGAGGCAGGATGGCGGGACCAATGGGGCTGCAATACCTGCGACAGGAACATAGTTCTGGAGTTTTCTTTGATGACGATGATCTATAAAGGGCGATGATGACGACGAATAGCGATCACGAGACCTCAAACAGGGGTACCGCTGTAATAAATGCAGATAATGGGATCCCGGAGAAGGGGTCTTTGGAAATGCCAAAAGCATAATGACATCATCCAATTCTGCTCCACGCTTTAGATTCCCTCGGCTCTTGTGCAGAAATGCTGTAATGCATTATTGGCTTGGGGACGCGTTATGCCGTCCCCGCAGTGATGCAATCGTATACTCCCTCGTAGACGAATCCTGTCAGCTGCCTTCTCAGGCTCCACATTCATATAAATACCCCAGGGTTCTGCCCTCTTTATTGCAGCATCTTCCTTTACAACCAAGCCCACTCACACACACTTCAACACTTCAACACTTATCCTACACAACATGAACTCTGAAATCGAGAACAAGACCAACCGCGCCCCTGCTGTCAAGGTTGGAGGCATGCGCGTCCCTGCCGCTGACCACCCTGTCCCCGTCGTTCGCAAGTAAGTCCCTCGTACCCAATTGCCTCTTTTCTTTTCTTTTTTTCTTTTTCCCTCTTACAACGCACATCTAACATCTCTTTCTTTATTCATTTACTCAGGGAATACGAGCGTAAGGTCGAAAACGATGAACAGAACGAGGAGGAGCGTCAGCTTGAGAAGACAGACCAGTTCGAGCAGGACAAGATGGGCAGAATTGCTGCCGGCGAGCGTCTTGCAAGGATGCAGGAGAACCAGCCCAAGCACGAGCCCAACAACAACTTCCGTCAGAAGGAGAACATCTACGTTAACCAGCCCATCCTCCACACCCACAATAAGTCTGGTGCCGCCGCTTCCGGACAGAACTAAACGACGGACTCTATCTTTGCTCTATCCGCTTCTTTCATTTTTTCTTGTAATGCTTATAAAAATACAGTTGCAGTAGTAGCAGGGTGCAGTTAGCAAATAGGGGCGGCCTGTTTGCATGAACATACCTTTTACCCTTCCCCACACGACAAAACAAACAATCACCAACACCATTGGATGGGCCCTTGGCCCATTCCAACTGTAAATAATAAAAAAAAAAATCTCTTACCCTACAAACCTGCTTTCCTGTCAAAGCAATATCTTTTGAATCAATGGAAAAAAACCCCCAAGGGGTGGTGCCTAATTGCATTTTCGATTGGGGGTTCACGAGTCCAGACTCATATCCCTGTTCTTAGGGAACGTAGAAAAGATCCAGTGGATAGATCGTAGCAGTTCACCACGGCGCCGTTGTCATTATGAGCGCCCAGAGGGAAAGGGGATCAGCGGTAGCCTAGACAGGGTAGCTGTCAAGTAGATTAAGAGGCGACTGAGCAAAGTGCCGGCAAACCATCTTTGTCATCATTCATTTCTACCTCATTATAATGTTCCTCTGGAAGCGCTCTGTTCAGATGCATACCATAATTGAAACAGTTTCCAGAAGGCATTGGTACGACAAGAATCGACCTTTATGGCAACGTTAGAGCCTCATGTCTGTCCGTCTGTCTGTCTGTCTCGTGAGTTCGTGAGCGAAGTCGAGTTCATTTTTGCCACCAATCTTAAATATTTCAAAGAGTGCTGCTGGTAAGCCACGATGCATTCATTGGGAGTGCTGATCAAGTCCGCACAACACCCACCATCTTTCGTCCCATTTTCGCTCGTTAAGATGAGTAACATCTACCTTCTGGAGCCGCATACAAAGTAAATCAACTGTCCCCATGTCCTTTGAACACCTATACTGCTGCCCTACAGGTATTGCCAGGCAAAAAAACTAACATCCTCATCGTTCTGTTTCATAGTGGCAAGGTCATTCTTCACACGTCCTATGGCGATATCTCCGTAGAGCTCTGGTCCAAAGAGGCTCCCAAGGCCTGCCGCAATTTTATCCAGCTCTGCATGGAGGGATATTACAACGACACCATATTTCACCGTATCGTCGCCGGATTCATTATTCAGGGAGGAGATCCCGAGGGCACAGGACTGGGCGGCGAATCATGTTTCGACGGCGGCAAACCCTTCCAGGACGAATTTCATTCCCGATTGAGATTTGTTCGTCGTGGTTTGGTTGCCATGGCCAATTCTGGAGTACCCAATGATAACAGGAGTCAGTTCTTTATTACACTCGACGCTACCCCAGAACTACAGAACAAGCATACCATCTTTGGCAAGGTCCGTAATACGCTGAACGTCATGGATGCAGTCTAACGCCAAAAAAAAAAACAGTACGACATGCAGGACTAACAGGAAGAGCCTGAAAATTGTTGTTTGCTTCTGGTAATAGGTCGAAGGAGACACGATCTTCAATGTATTGAAGATCGGGGGATTAGAGGTGGATAAGGACGAGCGGCCGCTGTATCCTCCCAAGGTCACCAGCTGCACCATCATTGTAAATCCATTTGACGACATCGTTCCCAGGATATCGAGGCAGGAGCTTGAGGCCACTCGACTCAGAGAGTTGGAGGCTCAGAAGAAACCTGAAAAGCAAAAGAAACTGAAAAAGTACAGATTACGACGCACTTATCGATTGTCATACATAGTTAGGACGAGCTAGCAATATATTAACGATTCTGCCTTGCCATACAATCCCCAATAGGAACGTAGCATTGCTGTCGTTTGCGGACGAGGCTTCCGATTTGATAGCCGATGAACAAGGAACAAAGAAAAAGATTCTCAGCAGCCACGATCTTCTCGAGGATGATCCAACATTGAGCCGAGAGGTCGGTACGAGTCTGGTATCGGAGGATCGAGCATCCAGTGAATCCAAGGACAGGAAGAAACGAGAATCCAATAGCGACAAGGATGAGTCAGAGCGGAACGACAGTGACCGGAAGAGACGTGAACAGGAGGGCGAGGACGACCAGGAGAGCGCTAATGCCTTTGATCAACGTATGTATGACCAGGTCCGAGAGAAACATAAAAAGTCCAAGCTGGCACAGGAGTCTTTGTCGCAACTGTCATCTCCGGCATCGTCGGCAACTATCACCTCTTCCACAACCATGACCATAGCCGGAACGACAACCAACGCCACTGAAACAACAACGGCATTAAAAGTCGCTCCACTTTCCGAGGCAGAGCGCAGACGACAAGAGATTCAAAAGCTGGAGAGCGACATTCGCAAGATGCACAATCGCGACGGAGATATCGAAGCTGACGCCAAGAAGAAAGACAAACTTTCAAAGGTATCGCTTCTGCAACTGGAGCGCAACCAGTACAAAACTCGAGGAGAGGCCAAAGGTGGAAAGAGATTGAAATCGTCAAAGTCCGGATCTAATTCAGACAAGCAGCGCGAATTGCTCGAGAAACTGTCAGCGTTTGAGGCTAAAGTGTTTTCCGGTGCTCGAGAGCCTGAACCGAACCCAGCTCCTAAGAGAAATGATGCTCCGCCATGCAAGATTCACGGCATCCCCTCTTGCGAATCCTGTTATGACGCCACCCCGAAGAAAAAGACTAAAATCACGGAGGACGCCGATGACAACGAGGAGGGCGCGGCTTCGGAAGATGACTCTGATAACGACTTTGGATGGATGCAGCACAAGCTAGTGTTCGAAAAGGATCTGAAGGGTAAGGAGGTTTCTCTGTCGGCCAAGCGGGACGATGTGAATGATTATATTGTCATCGACCCACTGAATAAGGCTTCCGCCACGACTGCTGCGTTGGGGCTTGAGAAACAGATGTCGGATAACAGGAAAGCAAAGAAGGACAGCCAGTACTCTCAGGACAAACCCAGCAGCTCAAGTCGACGCGTGTATCCTTCTGCTTCTGGCGGTTCATCCTCAAAACAAGATCGACCCTACGACCGATCGTCTTCGTCCTCATCATCGTACAGGCGAGACGATAGTAGGAGGTCAGGGTATGATCGTGATGAGCGAACTGGCCGAGATAGTCGAGGTGGACGTGATAATCATGACAGCCGGGACAGCCGAGATGGTCGCGACAATCGTGATAGTCGAGAGAGATACCGTCGCTGATGAACCATAAGAAAATAAATATCCTGCATAATAATATAAAAGGGACTGAAGGTGCACTGGTCGATTCTTCGAGTTGAATGTCATTTTTATTGCTTGTCGTATCCCAGTTGTCGCGCCGATCTTATATCACAGAGATTCTCCATACCCTCTAAAATCCCTTGACGGTGAGCCATTGACGAACATCATCCATGACCATTCCCTTCAAGATGACCTGGTTGCTACGCTCGTTAACGCGGACCTCTGCTTCTGGATAAGTCGCCAAGATATCCGTCTTCAATGCCTACGAATTGCATACAGATTCGGAGTGACGATGTTAGTGATCAGTCGTTTTTTTTTTTTTTTTTTTTTTTTTTTTTTCAGGACGGAGACAAACTTCGATTAATTGCTCGATTAAAAGAATGCTGCCAACATCCACCCGTGTCATTGCTGCTGCTTACTGTTGCGTTGCCCTGGATTTTGCGAATGATGGTCAAGGGACGGGAACCAGCGTTCTTAAACTCAGAATACACGGGGAGCTGTCCTGATTTCGTGCGTTCTACAAAGTATGTCCTTGGTAAGGACGACTTTGCTGCTGAAGGTATGGCGATTGTGGTTGTGGCTGTGGCTGTGGTTGTGGTTGCCGGGGTGGCGGTCGCGGCAGCAGTATTGGCGGTAGGGGCTATGGAAAAAGGTGGTTCAATAGGTTAACTATCAACACATTCTGCGACGATCTTCGTTTCCTATGACAAGTCATGTCCTTATGCTGGTAAATAATCGTAATATGAGCAGAGCTATACAGGCCACTGTCCAGACAGAAGTGAAGAGGTGTCCTGTGCTTGTTCCTGATGACTTCCAGGCGTCGAGCTGATTCAAAAGTCGGTGTGCTGTGCGAACAGCTTATATCCAAGAACGCCCGCGCTCTCTTCCTTCGCCTAATGTCGTTATCTAATATCAAGTTTTGTACCATTAAGTTTGCATGTTGATGTGGAGAAGGTGCGGATAGTGCGTGTCGCAAGGTTCCTTGAAGCGGCAAACATCTTGGCTGTTGTGAATGAAAAGGAATGGCAAAGTGGAGCTTGAGGCAGAATGGCGGAGATCAAGGAAAGAGATTGTTTACAGAAATTTATTGGCTTTGAAGGGTGACTGCCAGCAGCTTCCCTAGACCCAGGACATCCAGCCCACCCAGGCACGTCCGAGGATGTCTAGATCGGTGGCCATATCGATTAGGCACTCGACTTGTGCCTGAACACTCGTGCAAACTTTGCCCTGTCTTGCTCGGATATTGTGCTGTTTGTCTCCCAGGGCAATCTTGGTCAACGCCGATAGGAACGGCTTGTTTGCGTGGCCCATATTCAGCTCCATCACTGTCAGATGGGTCGGGTTGTAGCCCTCCAATTTCTTAAGAGCAATGTCCATCTTCTGCTGTAGATACCATGCCGGTGGAGCCGTGCTATCCTCGTCAATCTCAAACGAGTCCATATCCGCACCTTGTTTTTCTATTTATCAATGGGACAACAGATGTTAGTTAGCGCATTGTAAGAGTGATACAAGAAAATAATAGGTAAAAAGAAAAAAAAAGACTACTTACTCAGCTCCTTTGCCTGGTTGATCGCAAACTTCCTCCAGTCCAGCAATGGCTCCTTGACAAAGACATCCATGGTGTTGATAATGACTTCCTTCTTCGCTTGCAGGGATTTCATAATACACACCATAGGATGCTCAAGCAGTCCTTTTGTGCCCAATGGATTCAGGAACGCTTCCAGCTGTCTTGTCAGACGGAAGGGGGCCAACTCTGGCACGGGTAGTACCTCCGTTGCCGATCCAAACGCATGACCGAAATCGATGGGGATCAGGCAACCATTTGACATATCTAGCAAGAAGTTCTCCAAGTGACGATCGCCGATTCCAAGAATGTACGAGCAGACGTTGATGGCTGCCAAACTCTTCGCGAACTCAGATCTGAGCATAAGGAACGCCTCGGGAGAGGCAGCAAGTCTGGTGATCGATTGTCGAAGATAATCCTCCCGAAAATGGCTATAGAGACTCTCCATGTGCTTGACCACCTTTTCCCGACTCGCTTGCGTGAATAAGTTGTGGTATCCTACGAGTTAAAAGCCGTGTTAGTCAGGCACCTTTCTACAGATTCGCCACCGAGGCGTCATAAAAAATAAAGAATAAGACATTTTACCCATCATTTCTCCTTTGAAGGACGCAACAAATTTGCTGTACTGCTCCTGAGTCCTCCTCCACGTCTCTTTGTGCGCAATCTCGCCTTCGATGCAGTGTCGCAATGGCTTGGTGTTATCCACCCACTCTAGAATACCAAGAGAGCCAGACATCGGGATGACCTTGTATGTTCCAATGCTGATGTTCTGCTGCGAGCACTGCGGATCCTTACGCATGATATCGTTCATGAGACTGAATAGTTGCTGAATACGTTGATCAAGACGAAGATCTTCTCCTCCCTATACCATGTAGAACCATGGTAAAAGTTGATTGAATAAGTGTTTTGGTCATACACGAACAAAAATATGCATTCAATTGAACTTAATTGCTTGCGTACCTTGACGAGGAAAAGATGTTCCTTTTCATCGCTGCCGAGAATACAAATCCTCTTTGGCTTACGAATAGAACTCATTACAAGGACCCTTTGATCAAATCGTACAATCGTTGCTGTTTGCTGGCCATGAGGAGAAGTCAAACCCGTGAACTGTCCAGGAATATCGATGGCTCCTTTGTGATCTGAAGCTTGGAAGGAATGCATCCTTTGATAAATAGAGCAATCAGCCAGATTAGTATCGTGCGACAACAGCAAACAGAAAAAAAAATTGCCACGCGAGACGTTACCAAGGTGAGTAAGATTTCAAGAGCTCAGCATCGCCCTGCTTCTTGGGGATTTCCTTCCCGAGAATCTCGCTGCGGCAAAACTTCAGAACGTTGTTGTTGAAATCTCGATTGCTCATAGTAGTCAATTTTTGACCCGTCTTGCCTGTAAGAACGAATAAAGCATAAATATGAGTATCTTAATTTGAATGTAATTGAGATTGAAGTTTGAATGAACGTTTTATAGCCTGAAAACAATCGCTTACCGCAAATACTCTCCAATTTCGAGCCAAACTTGGCAGCAAAGGCTTTGGCGATTGATCCCAGGCGAGGGTTATTGACGTCCAAAACCAAGCGATACAAGTCCTGGAATACAGCCATAATCTGCTCAGCATTCCTTGTCTTGCTTTGAAATAGTGCCTAGCGATGTAGCAAATAGTACGTTGAAGAAAATGACATTTTTCCTTGTCAGACTTTGAGCACTCTGAAGCATAGCAAGGAGACATACCACTGTTTGTTCCAGCCAGTCTTTAAGGAGATGATCGGGATTGGTGAGACGTCTCAGCTCAAAAATAAAATCCTCCTTCAGCGGCGAGTAAATGGTTCTTTTGAGCACGGCAACATCAGACTTGCGCTTCTCGCCAGACGGACTCTTCTCAAAGGCGTAGTTTTCGGCACTTATTGTCAGCGGATAGTACAAGGCATTGGGGTATTGTTGAGCGATCTAATGCGACACAAAAACAATTCCTAAGGTTAGAATACGATTTATGACACAATAAACACAATATGCGTTCATATACATACCGAAGTGAGGATGGGCATCACGCAAGCACCGATTGGTTTATCAAGCACAGCTACCATCTGCTGGATCCATCGAACAAAGCCCCAGGAGCCTGGGAAATCTGACACCTGTCGTAGCAGTGGAGCAAAACACTGTTGTTAGTGCCACGGTGCCATGTAATGTCAAAGCAAAAGAAATAACTTCTCATTAGGTACTAACCAGCTCCATGAATATTTTTTGGCTGGACGGATATATCTCAATGATTTGAAGCAGCCGAGGGAAGAGCTCTGTTGCGCCAGTCTCCTCGTCCCGCATGGACAACAGGGTATTCTTGATGACAAGATTAGCATAGACTGCCAGATCCTTGGTGCTCTAAAAAAAATGAGGCAATGGTACAGTTAGGACTTCAGACTTGAAATTTAGCACGCTGACATATATCTTGAGTTATTACCAAGGTAGGCTCTTTATCCTTATCGCTCTCTTTGTTCTCACGGTGTCTTAAGATTTTGTCGCAGTATCTGGCTGTTGTTAAGCGAAGTTTCTTGACCATCTAAAACAATGAAGGTTGGTTAGTTCAGTTTAGGCTACTAGAGTAATGCGGGTAAAGCAGTTCGAATAAGCCATACATTTTCACCGGTCTCGAGATTTGAAGCTGAGCGTAGACATTCAAAACCACGCTGCTGGAGCTCCTGTACGAGGCTAGCCTCATTACCCTTGGACTGAAGGACGCCACGAACCCAACTGTTCGATTTGAGGTGGTCGTAAACCACGCGATCGTCCACAAGAAGATCGCGCAAGTGACCATAAGCTTTGCTGCCAAGTAAATTTAGTCCGACAATTTGCACTTGGTCGAACTCACGGTCGTTTTCCTATTGATCAGTACACATAATGTAGCCTGAGGTAAGTCATGATACCATGAGCAGGTACACAAGACAGAAGTGAAAAAAAACCTCCCAAGTTTGAGCACAGGTCACTTACAATGTGCCTCTCAAACTTTGACAAAGCGTCCATCAGGATGTCAGCTTTGCCGTTACGGTCCATTTTCGCCATTGCTTTGGCCAGCGCCAACCTCAGTTCACTGCTGTAGATGTCGTATGAAGGGGCCTTCAACACTCGCATGGATGCAATACAGGTATTGGCAACGAAAAAGTTTCCTTGATTACGAGCAGCTGATGACATCTGTATAAAGCCGTGGATGCGGTGGTTCGAGACCACTTTTTCATGTCTTTTTGAGTACTATGTAAATAAAAAATAAAAAAACATTGAGTTGAAGTTGAACAAGGAAATAAGTATGGCGCAAAGAAGAGATGTCTGCTTACAGAAAGATGGTCCTCCAGGCGCTGGATCATGAGTTTTCGATCATCGAGGACATTCCTCCATGTGATCATTGTATCTGTGGATACGCCAGGGAACCGGCGGTCCCACTTTGAAAGCAATGGCTCCAATGGATCCGTATTAGAACTACAAAGTGCTGCATCTACGCAGTCCAAGAACTCTTCCAACTCTACGATCTATTTGAGCAAAGTGAAAGCGGTCAGCTGCTGCAAATTTCCAGGAACGTAATCAAGTGGTTCATATCTTATTGATCGCAATGCGCGTACCCGCTGCAGGTTTGCCAACTCGTGTAATCGAGGTTTTTCCGAGAGCGGATGAAGATTTGACCAGACAGAAAGAAACCGGTCAAAGGATCTTCGGAGATAATAGGACGCCTGCTTGAAGTCCTTTCTGATAACTGCAGTGAGAGCCAGTTCTATTTAAGAACAAAAGTCAAAAGATGGTCAGAAATTGACAGGTATCTCCACGTACATCCCAAGTACCCAAAGGGAGTTGAAGATGAACAATACCTGGCTGATACTGAGTCGTAAGGATTTGACGGTGTGCTGGGTTGTTCATGGCATCGTCAATAAACTGGAAGAGTGGATTGGGATTCTCTGTGGTCCAGATTTCCAGCATCTCATCCTCTCGCTTGCCCTCGTAAAGTTTGATGTAGCTAGTGAGGAAGTAATGAAGATACGGATTCTGATAATCCTCTGTCCACACTTCTCGTGAGTCGTTATCCAGATCCGACATCATGTTGGCCTCAAGATAGTCCCAGTCACCCAGGTGCTCCAGACACTCGAGGCGCCCATGTGCCCAAACGTCCTGCTCTGCTCCATCAACGTGCATCCCATTGGTAATATGATTGGTGATACCATCAAAGTAGACTCTCACCGCACGATCGTAATCCCCAACGACTTCAGCTGCGATCGCGTCTCTAGTGAAGTCTGTCATGGCAACTTTGCTCTCGTAAATGCTCTTGAAAATATCCTTCTCGTCAACAGACTTGTAGATCCTCGCGAGTTCGATCCAGCTACGTCTCTTGGGGTCGTGGATACTGGATTCACTTGTCTTCTGACGTTTCGCCGATCGTTCCCTGGAATCAAAGTGCTGGATCTGTTTTTCGATCAAAATAATACCGAGATGCTGGTTTGAGCTGCGAACAGAGACCTTTGCCACCAGACCCGCTGGGATATCTGCTTCGCCGTAGTCGTGACAAATTCGAAGGACGCTGCCGATGAAAGGCGTATAAAGAATTGTCGATTTCTGAAGTATGCCTTTAAAGTTGTTGATAAGCCCTTCCTTGTATGCGAGGGCCCCCTCTTCCTATATTCATCAAAGGAGTGCACAGCAACGTTATTCAGAGTGCTCATCATAACCTGTCAGAATATGTAACAAAGGCGTCAGACGCTTATGTACCGTTTCGATATGCGATTCTACTTGAGCCATCAGACTTATCACCAATTTGCTAAAGATCATTCTGCAGATCTCAACGTCCATCTCTGCTAGGCTTTGCAGCGGCCGAATGATATCCGAATATGGGATCTGAATGTCGGGCAGGTCGCCGTCTCTGTACTTGCGGATCATGGAAACGCTCTTTGCTTTCGCGATCTCCTTGTCTGCTGCGGCCAGCATCCGATTCTGCACCTTGGACTCGTACGCGCGCTTATAGCGCTGCGACTGATCTACTTCGCTAAGTTGGACGCGGCGGTACTGCAAACGGTGATACCTTTGGTTGCCATCGAGTGAAGACGACCTAATAATTCATAGTAGTTCAAGAGGTTTCTGCTCAGTAGTCAGGCGGATGCTGGGACATATTTACAAAATAGTTAAAGGACAACCTACGATTGAGAGGACATAGTGACTGCAGGCTCTTGGCTCTTGAACATCAAAGTAGAGCTCGAATTTGTTATGCCGCCTAACTGCGACCTGATCCCTGGGGCACCTCCGTCTAGCGTCATACTGAATTCGAACGTTGATTGAGTCGCGCGAAGTTCATCGTCACCCAAAGTGCCGTCGTTCCGTGCCGTCTATATGGAAAGAAAAATAAACGAAAGTTAATCATGCGGCTTACGATATCTATGTAAGCGTGGTTATCAAGTAAAGTATCAGGGTAGCGTATACGACGTACCTGCGACTGGCTTTGTTGAGTGTTGACGAATAGCGGGGTCATGGCCACCGTGTGTCTCCAGGAAGTGTCGATGTTGGCATAATCATCGCTGAATTTGGCGTTCGGAAGGGGCTCTGAGAAGATAGGTTCCGTGTAGTCAGAGCTTTTTTTCGTTCGATCCAGGAGCATGTATGTCGCGTAATTGAGGAACTTATCCTCAGCCTCTGTATCATACATGTTTCTAAAAGTAATCGTCAGTCTGATGCTACAAAACGATACCAATATGAAAGTACATTGACAGGCTATTGTTCTTACTTCACAATCTCGCCCAAACGCTGGAAAACGTTCGCTGGTAATCGGTTCTTGCCATACCAGAATTCTACGACAGTATGTCGAATGGATTCACTTGGATCACCGAGTCCGCGCAAAAGCTGAGTTCGCAGCACATTCGCTACTGTTGGAGTGCCAACATGTTTGTCAAACAGCACCATAAGAATCGAATAGTACAATTTCTATACAGACAAGTAAAACAAGGTATATTAGGACCAGTGCCAACAAGCCATGTATACAGCGTAATAGACCCATTTTATACACATGATCCAGCCAGCTTACTCTGCATTCGATGCTGGTGTGAGATGAAAACTCCAAAATGATCGTGTCCATGAAATAAAGGATTTGCTCCGGCTTCATGGAATCCCACAGCGCGTAAATGATTGATAGAGCCGCAAATTGAGTCGCCTCGTCTCTATAAAAACCGCATTTACACCAATTATTAGCCATAGTCTAGAATCATCACATGTGTTTGATGGATAGGCATACCTATGTCGGAGACAACCAAGGAAGTTAAGAGCCTGCAGCGATTGGAAGAGATCAGGGAGGTGGGCAGCTCTTCCAGCTAGAATTTCTAGAGCCAAAGTGCGCTCTTCACCCAGCAGCTGCGGGAAAAGGAACATGAGTCTTGGGCCAAAGGCATCGGTAATCACTGGGAAATTCAGTTGGACCTTGTGCAGACTGTTTAGAAAGGGCACAGTGCCGCTCTTTGACCGTGAACCAGGCCCTGATGTTGTTATCAAAAGCTCAGAAAGCTGTAGTGGCGGAAAATAAGAAACTTAGTCCTAGATCATATTACACCGCTAATACGGTACAAGACCTGACGGGTCCCAGTAACACACCTGCTTTGTAACCAAGTCTTGAAAGTCGCTGTCCATACAATTATGCCTCTTCATGTATGCCAATATAAGCCCACACACTTCAGCAGCAGATGTGTACACCTGCTTGAGCGGGCTGCCCATGTTGCGGACCAGGGTGTCATAATACTCGCCCTCCGTCAATTTGCCCAAATCGATCTCAGGACCTTTGTAGAACGGCGAATTATCATGAGTCAAAACTATACCCAAAAGTTGAATCCCGGTGATGTTCTTTTTCTGGTCTTTGAAATTCTTGAAGTTGTTGTATATGATCATCTATGGAGCCATAGCGCGGATGGAAACATATCAACTTTTTGTCAAGCAATAAATGACAAATACTCAACATATAAAACTATACACCTACTGTTGGCACGATGGCGATGCTAGACCAATTCTCGAACACACCCTTGACCAGATCGATGTTGTTCATTAAGTACTGCCGCTGTTCATGATAACAGTTCTTCATCAAATAGCTCATGAAGTTGAGGAGCAGAACGCGATCGTCATAATTGTCCGCCAATTTGATCGATTCACCCCAAACGACTACGAGTACACACAAGTCCTAACAAGACGATAAATTAAGAACAGGTCATTATCTTGTCCCGAAATAAAAGGACAGTGCAGTTTGTCGATATTTGTACTTACTTGGACAAAATAATTCATGGCCTCGCCATAGGACTCGCCTTCCATGGCAAGCCGCATCAAAGGGCGAATCCAAGAGTGTGCGTACATCTCGAATGCTTCCGGCATGTTGACAACAACCTTAGCCAGGAATAGCCGAATGTTCAGAGCGGTATCTATAAACGTAGGGACTTGAGGCATTAACATCGACATGTGGCTATTCATATCAGTGGAACGTATGCCATGGACATTGGACTTACTGGGGTTCGTCAGCTTCCTATGTATATCTCTCATCCAAGACGGCATCGAGCTCTCCTCCCTGGCCATCTCCCTTGGCGGAGGGGTGATACCGGTGTGGAGCTCGTTGATGATCAGCAAGATCATTTTCATGCATGGGTTGCGGTTGATAGCGTCCAGCTCAAGTGTATGCTCATTTTCACGCCTGAGATGTCGGATCGAAAGACGTGTGGATGATTAGTATCGTTAAATAGGCATCTTGTATTGAGAATACGCTGTCAATGGTTCTCTCCATACCTGTCGTCACTCTTGCCGTCGGCGATCTTGCTCGACTCACCCGCATCCTGGAGAGATTCTTGTTCAAGCGACAAGCTGTCCTTCCAATCACCTAACTCACTCTCGGCATCGATATACATATCATCATCATCAAGCACCCCAACGCTCTAATGCAGTGCACCATCCGTAGTTAGCGCTTTGTCAATTGTTCAGGAAGCCCTGTATGCTCTCTCTGCTCAGACTACATTACCTGGGATAGACTGCTATCGCGCAGATATTGAGACGACATATATTTGTATTTGGAGTTGTATCTAAGGCGAATGAAATCAGATCCATTTAGAATTTATCTACACACATTCCCGCTCAACGTTGTTATAGTACTTACGTCTTATCCGGATTCAATGACTTTGAGCGAAGATCGGACAAGCGAGATCTTACAAGAGGACTGGAGATAATCTGCTCAAAATGATAGCATGCCTATTTTTTTTTTTTTTTTTTTTTTTTGAAAAGTTCCTCTATGAATGTTACTTGGAGGTTCCGACATAAAGAGAACATAAAGATACAAACAAATGTGCAGCTTACCGTGAGGTCAACGATATTCTCCCAAACCAGCTCCTTTTTGGCTTCGTTGTCGCGGAAGAGGAACTGCCGGAAGAAGTCCTCCTTGCGCTGCGTGCATAAGATCGCTGCCGCAAGCGCGTTGTACGCTGCGCGCTTGAAATCCACCCTGTGGGATGCAGCCTCTGGCGTCATAGAATTCTATTCAAAGTAAGCATCTCACAGTTCAGTATTAGCGCTGAGTGCGGCGCAGTGTACCCTATGGGATGCCTCGCCACGATATCTTACCGTATCCTGCTTAAACTTCGCCGCGTTGGCTGTCCGGAAGACGTCAACTGTCAGCTCCTTTCCAGTAACCATATTTCCCTTCGTAAATGCGTCCACGATCTTACTCTCCTTGGTATTCACGAACTCAGCAGGTAGTCTCATATATAACACATGGATGAGGTCATAACAGCATTCGCGTTCGATAAAGTCTCTTCGAAGGTCGATGTCCATCAGGCGAGGCTGCTCTTGTTTGATGACACCCATAATGCGCGAGATGTACAGCACATAAAACTCAGAGACACTCAGGGGAGGCATTATCTTTAAGATAGGGAGCAAAATCTGATGCACGATATTCCGGCGATGTTCGTCCGAGTGCGTGCGCTTGATGAACTCACTACAGTTAAGCATCGAGCCGTGCCATGCACGTTCGTCAGTATCGGAGATAAAGCCTCACTCTTCCGGATCAACAAAAAAAAAAAAGAAAGAAAGAAAGAAAGAAAAAAACACAGTTGCTTACTCAAAGCAATAGCCGGTGATCTCCAAGAATTTTGAGAGAGGCAGCTTCAGCGCAAATGAAGAGATAAACTGCTGCATCTGCTCCATGTGAGGATGGTTCGACTCGCGGATGGCAATACCCATCAAGGTCTTGAAAAGATTGGTGCTGGATGAGGCCACGAGGGCTTTCAAAAGCAGGTCAAGGGCGGCAATATAGTCCTTGAACCTATTTACGCATAATATGGGTTAATTGTGTGAAATGTAGGACCAAGTGGATGAGCAAGGAGTTAAACTTTGCTTACTTAGAACTGCCACGTTCGTACTCGGACGAAGACATGGGCATCAAGTTCAAGATAGCCCTGTTGAGCACCACCTCGAACTACATGAATACGAAATGTCGGTTAACGAGGTAAGACTTTACGGTGATAGCGATACTACAAAGATCTGAAGTGCGAATTACTAACCTCCGCTGTTCTTGCGCCCGGATATGATAGAAAGATAGGCAGAATTGGGAACGCTTCGGACATGACCGGCAGCGACAAGTACTCCCTTGTTTCTGTATCCCGCTCGAAAAACGACTGGAAGACCTTGAAGAAGTACTCGACAAAGGAGTCCGATTTTGACATGCGAAGGATTCGTGGACTGAGTGCCACAACCCGTTTCCAGATCGCGATCGTCATCGACACTTGGTCCTTTTCAAGAGACTCCACACTAACATAGTAAATGAGGGAGAGAGAGTATGAGAGATATGTTCGTTAGCATCGGCCCGATATCTTGTATTGCCACTTTATGTTACTGAAAAAAGCGACTTACATTTTTTGCAGCACGGAGTAATCTTTCGTCAACTGTCATAAACAGAAAGTAAGACGGAAATTTCAATGAGCACAATGACATCTGCAAAATTGAAAACGATGTTTATGTTGATTCTTCAGTGTGCCGCCCACCATATCCAGGAACGCGTTTCGCTCCTCGCTTAGCCTTGGGTGCGTGAACATGTATTCCAAGAAATCGTTCCAAATGCTTAACATCAAAGGGCTTTTCTTCGCCGACCGCGACAACTCCGGCGTCAGCTCCAAAAAGTTCAGTGCAAGGCTCTGATTAATCTCGTCCGCGTACTTCAAATAAGTCATTTTAGCGTGCTCCACATTCTCGGGGTCCTAAAATAAATTACAGAGTGCACGATTGAATATTGGTCAACAGTTCACAGACTTGTGTCGTGGTCCTACAGCAAACGTGATACATACGAGAAGATATTGCCATAGGCGTTGGCGGCACTGATTTTGGCCCAGAGAGAGTCTCAGGAGCGTGCTGCAATAGTTAATCCAGAGTGGATCCTGGGTTGTCTGCATGGTCATAAACGTCTCATACAGTGACGCCACATACTGCTGGGTCTTGCTGAAGGAGCCTTCAAACATGGCCTCCAGCAGACCGCACTGCTGCACCAATTCAAGTCCATTGACAACCGCTTTGCACTTGATGGGATCTTGTCCTAAACCAAAATCAGTCGGAACCATGTCAGTCCTATTATTTTCATCATTTTGAGCCTCCAGCCCTGCGAACCACAATAGCAACAAGTGATTCTAAACTTACCTTTAATATCAGGAGAGACCGCTAAAGGGATTAGGTCCTCAGAAGAGATGGTCTCCATAAGCGCCTCGCCAAATGGGCGCACAAGATCAGCAGAAAGTCGCTGGAACGCCTTCAGGGCTCTCTCGAGCTCGCTCCTCAGTGCTTTGGTTTCCTCCTCGCTCTTCAGAAGTTCATCATTTCCAATGCTATCGGGGTTGAATAGACACGCAGCAAAGACTGCAAAGAACTTTGGCCCAAAAAGCCCAGAGTTCTTCAGCTGAGCAGCTAAAGCACCACTGCCCCGATCCAAGTCTCGTGAAATGATCAAGGAGACGAATGAAATTACTCCTCGAGCTGTGACAAAGTTCTGGTCCATGATCTGTCGCCGCTCGGATGCTGTCAGAGGCGTGGTTGCTTGATTCCGCGCCAGAGTGCGCGTGAAGAGAAGGCACTTGTCAGCAAATTTGGCTGATATAACTAGAATGCTGGCCTTCGTCAGCTGTGTCATTAAAAGTTCAGAGCTGCCCGGATGGTTGAGTAGCCAAACGTAGTTCGAGAGCGTGGAGGCAAGCTGGCAGCACCATCTTTGGTATGCGTCTGGCTGAGAGAATGTCCCCGATGCGAAATCTGCTCCATTGTAGATAGAAAAAAGGAACACGGGGTCTTGGGATAGTTTGGAGCCAATCCACGCACCAGGTGTTGGCGCGCCTATGAAGGAGGATTATGGCGGGTTAGCAGTTATGCGACGAATGTCAGACGTACCACTAAAACATCCAGTTTCTGCATAGTAAAGAGCATACCCGGCAACAACTTCGCAAAGGCATCAAAAAGTGCTCTACACATCTTTGTGTACTCCACCTCCTGTCGTGAGGTCTCCTTTAGCAGCCAGTTGACCAGACTTTCCAGAGTGGCATCCTCTAGACCAGGGATTCGCCTCCGATCTTTAGAATCCTTGATAAACAGCTGTGCCTTGACCTGTATGATGCGCTGAAGATGTGAGATCGCAAGAGATGCCTGCTGACGCGTGCCGAGACCGGCATGATCGCCTTCAGCAAGCCGCAGACTAAAGAGCATCCAGTACAGGAGCTCCATGGTGAATTGATCCACCAGAGGTGCCTCCTCGCGGAAAACCCTGTAGATACGGTTCACAATCAGTGCTGCGCCCAGGCGCTTTGCAGGATTCGAATGGGACGCGAGGTTGTAAATTCGCTTCAACAACGACTTCACGTTCACCGAGCTGGACTACATGAAAAAAATAAATTAAAAAAGGGTCAATTTCTATTTGAAAATCGTTATGAAGAGACCTACAGGGAGGATACAGATAGTATATCGTAATGCCTTACAGAAGAAGATCCAGAAGTTTGCTTGATGGACCACTTAACAAACTCGCCCAGACACTCTGCTCCGTAGTCCCGTAGAGGCCCAAGTGTATCGCATGCCGCATCCATACAGGCATTCAGGAGTGCGATCGTCTCCGGATTTTCGTACTGGGCATTATTGGTCAACCAATGGATCAGCTGTGACACCAATGGACGATAGAGCGAGCGAGGGACTTGGTCTACATCGACTGCTAAGCGGAGCAAGGCAGGAAACAACTTGAGGAAGATTTTATGGAATGGACTCTACAATAACGACGCGGTACTCAGGTTAGAATAACATATACTACCAGATGGTGTCACAAAAATACGTCGTGCGCTACAAAATCAATGCGATATCGATACCTTCTTTGGGTCTTTCGCATCGCGTGCGCGGATCGCGCTGGATCCAATCATTAGGATCATAAGAGAGTGAAGGAGCTCACAGCTGGCAACTTTGATTTGCCGATTCAAGGAGTTCTCGGCAAGGTCCACGATTCTTGGAAGCATCTCATCTATAAGCAGAATAAAAAAAAAACGCATATACTTTAGTATTTGCGAATCTCTACATAAAAAAAAAGGAAGAATTTGCTCCGCACTTACCGAACTGGATCTCTGTTTTCATCTCTTGGAACGGAATCTTAATCTTCACTCGCGCCTCTGGATCCCATGCAAGTAAGCCCGACGACTCCTTCTTGGCACTATCGTGCACCGTTCTCTGGCTTAGAATTAGTTTGTTATACCGAGCTTGCCGTCCCAGCAGCCTTAAAATCCTTAACTGCAGATTACGCAGAGATTGGACTTGATCGGAGGATGTCTATTTTTTTTTTTTTTTGAAGTCGGAACACCTGTTAGTAAACCTATTCAGGTCTCATTTATCATGCCGAAACGCCTTAATAGCTATTAAACTGACCAGCAAGGCGGCACTTCTGGCTATTGCCTTGTATGATTGATCGTTCCGCGTAAGCACCCTTTGTTTGGACTTTGGACTGGGTCCATCCGTTCCATCAGTATCCCCAGTGGCAGGTATTTGTACCATCAAATATTCATTCAGACATGGTAGGACCTGACTGAACCATGCATCATGTTCGTGTTCCACAATATCGATCCATCGTTCGATAGCATCTAGTCCTACAGAGGCAAGCGGGAAGTAACTCAGGCCAAGTTTGAGAGCGAGTTGGATCGGAGCGATGATGCTTTCAGAATCCATCAGAGCTGCGGGACTTGATAGCACCAGGTGCAAACAGGATGCTAGCAGGTCGTCCTTGTATTGTTCTAGTCGGGCAAGGACTTCGCGGATGTATTTTTGGAACAGTACAGCAGCTCGTTGAGCGTCCACGGGCTCATCTTCCACCTGAGATGTCATACCGAACATTGTAGATTAGTTCATTCCATAGCGCCTTGAATCATATTATCCATTAATAGGCATTTTCTTTGAAAGTCTGTTACCTTGGTATGCTTCTCGGACTTGACTTTTGGCTGGAACAGAGAAATCGACTGACAAACCTGCAAACATGTCGCAAACATTTTGTGAAAACCGCTTACGAGCGGATTCTTGGCTGAGAGCTCAATTAAAGTGTTACCGACAACAAATGTCCAGCGTGCGAAAAGATCGGGCCGAATCTCGGGCAGGAAGAGTTGCCAGAATTCTGTCAGATTCTGGAAAATAATAAAGTCCTTTTGACAGTTTGCCTGCATTTTTGAGATATCGCCAGATACAGGTCCCATGGCGGATCTTGTTGCAGAGTCCATATCAGTCGTAATGAGCTGCGGCGTTGGTTCGTCCTCAATGTCCATTTCTGAATCCGACACAGAAAGGTTCAGAAGTGTGACGAGCCGCCTGAAAGACTCCATAATGGACCCATAGATGACATGCAAAAACCTTTCGAGGTCCTCGTCCGAGATACCAACCGGAGTCTTGTCCAGTTCCTTGCTGAGAGACCTGGGCTTGAACAGGTTTCGCCACAGGAAGAGGTAGACTGCATAGGAATGCCAATTAACGTCCCCAGAAATGAGGGGCCGATCGCCTCTCGGTGGTCCTACTATAGGCTTGGAAATATCCGCGGATGTGAATACAAGCAACTTGTACGCTATCCGAATGAAGACATTTCAGAATGAGTATGCGGAACAAAACGACAATCCATCAACGAGTGCCTGAGACAATACCAAATGATACTTACAAAACTTGTCAAAAAATCCTCTAAGGATACCCTCGCCCTTGTGGAACAGCATGACAAGGAGCTTTTCTATAGCGATTGTGCAGTCGATGCGGGCGTAGGTCGACATTTTTGTAAAGTTGATGATCGCTGCATTTGCCATCTGGTTCAACGCCGCCATCAAGAGCTCTGGGATTTCATCGTAGACCTGAGCAACGAATGAATACGCAGAGATAAACGCGGCAAGATGTGATGTCGAGCTATCCACCCCCTCATTTGTATTCCTATGAGAAAGGTAAAGGAGTTACTAGACGTCATTTCAACATCCATACTTCAATATCCATTGATGTAGCGGGCAGCTGGACTTACGAGGCAATCAGGAAGGCGCTTTTTTGCAGAAGATGTGCGAGCAGATTCTTAAGCTGGTCAGGAGCGATGTGTTTGCATGGTGCCGCAAAGTATCCATAGCCTCGAATTGCTACAGACATAGCCTTGTATTGTGCTGTTGATGTAACAACTTCAGTGCTGATGATCTGGGTGAAGTTTGCTGTGAAGAACTATGGGAAGGAAAGAGAGACTCAAAGTGTCAGCAACCCGTTCTCTTCTGTATAGATGTATAAACGTTGCATTAGTGTGTTACCAAGAAGCAGTTGTACTCCTTCTCTGTCGTTTCCGAAGTCGTCAACACATTTGCCATCTATCGCACAGGTTGGTTAGTATTGAACTGTTTCGTCTGTTCACAATTAAAGAAGGATGTCGTTGCAACTTGAGGACTTACTTCCTGCAAAAACACATCCAGAGAATTATATCCGCACTTTGACATTCCGGCGTGCGAGTGCTCGCAGTAACTAGCTACCCGTTGATACATCCACTCATAGATATCAATCAGGTTTGACCGGAAAAGATGAATGTGATGTGCGAATAAGTCCAATGCCGCTAAAGAACGATAAAATAGCAAGGGGTTAGGAATGCAGGCCTAAGCATAGCCATGCCGTCTAGCGTGTGATCAAATTGAAAGCAGGGCTATACCAATGGGTGTCGCAAATCGGCTGAGATCCTCTGGCACATTGACAAGTGTTTTGATGATCTGGAGGATGGTTGGTATGTCCTTGGCAGCCTTGTCCGAAAAGCTGTACAGACAGTTATCCAGTCCAACAACTGCCCCTGCCATCAGTGTCAATTCTTGTTTGCTGCCCCGATTCAGTTGATCCTGAATTGTTGTCAGGCACCAACGCATCAATACGGTCTCCCGCACCCTCTTAGCGGCAACTGTTGGGAAATGTCGAGCAATGAGGCCAAGTACTTCTAGAACCTCTGCTTTCACTGTGGAAGCCATCTTTGATTGCTGGGTGCCGTATGCGTCGTACAATTTATCAAACAACCCGCTAATGTCGAGTGCCTCTGGGTCCGTGATGCAGGATTTGAGTAGAATTTTGATGGGAAAAATAGAGGCTTTCTTGACCCTGGCCATGCCGTCGTTCAGAAACAAGCCTAGACATGTTTTCTATGAGTGAAGAACAGACGTATGTTGCAGTTAGTATGCAGTATGTAGCATGTCATTTTATCAAAATGTACGTCCAATTGGGGATCCAAGGCATTCGATCTGCTCTTCTTACCTTGATATCCACAATGTACGGAGTGACGGAGTTTGGTGAGCGGCTAATGAACTCTGCAGTAAACTCAAGGAAGATGACCTTTGCGTTTCCGTGCACGGCCTTGTCAAGGGATTTCCTCAGAAAGTACAAAATCCCTCTTTCTGAGTTGAACAGGAGCGATGTGGCCATATCTGTTGCAATGCGTAATGAATCGAAGTGTGCAATAGCGTTAAAAAACATCCTGGGCCAGTTGATACACATTAAAACTGCTTATTCTTCTTACCAATTTCCTCTTCCTTCAATTCCGACAGGGCCATGCTGCAGATATTGGTAGCCGCTGCCTGACTGTCGACCGTGTCAGGATTGTCCCCATTCATGTCATCGACAAGTTCGACCAGCGTAAGCCGAATCAGGTCCAGCGGGGAGCTCATGGTGTGAACAGACTAGAATTGGGTTGAGCGAGGTTCTGAGCTCAGGGTCTGAGAGGACGAGTGAGAGGAAGTGGGATGACAGAAGTGAATGGGGATCAAGGGCGTGGTGGCAAAAGGCCCTTTTTTGACTCTGCCCTCCTTGACCGCTGGTAGTGGCTGCCCGACGCGCCACCAATCCCCCCACACTAAACCTTAATTTACGTGAAACTGATAAAGTGCACTCGTCTAAAAGTAGGAGAATACGCGTTTTAGTAAGGAACTCTGCTTGAGGAAACGCGTTCGCTCCCCTTCCGATGCAGATGCGAAGAGCAGGGAGTGAATGCATCAAAGTGGATACTGCTCGTAAAGAAAAGACAACATGTTGTTGACGTCAATTGTGCAAGCCAGCAACTTTTTATTATACTTTTATCTTACAACTGTTCAATGAGAAGAAGTTCATTTACAGGCTCGAGAGAAGGCCCTTCGGCACCTTGACCTTGAAGCTAAGCAGCATCTGACCATAAGATTTGCCCTGACGATCCAAATTCAACGAGCTCAGTCCACCACCACCCAAGCTGCGTGTCAGGACAAAGTTCAAGGCCTGAATACCAGGGAGCTCATAGCGCGCAACCTTGCCTTGAGCAAGGTGACCCATGTACTCCTTGACAGAGTCAGCAGTCAACTGCTGGTTAATGTAAGGATAAAACTTGGAATCGCGAGCAATCACGCCAACATTGGCAGTGTCACCCTTGTCACCGCTACGAGCATAGGCGATGCGGATTAAGGGAATAAGGACGGTCTCCTCGTTCGAGTTGGCTGAAGGCAAGGGAGCAGCGGGAAGAGCGGGTGGGTACTCGTTCTTGGCGTCACTTGGTCCAGTGAAGGGAATGGTTTTCTGGATCTGCTTGTCGCCGCTGCCAATGGTCAATTGAGCAGGAACGGCCCACTTGGGTGCCAAAATCGAGTAGTGGGTCATGTTGGGGCTGGGATGAGGGCGGCCAGCTCCACCTCCGGTGATACCGGGAGCATTTCCAGTTGCACTGGGTGCCAACTCGACACCAAGGAGAAGTAGACCATGTTTCTCGGGGTGTACAGCAGTGATTCTGCAGCAGACCTCGCGGGCATCAAGAGCGGTCGAGTGGGGCCTGATAATGATAATGAATAAAAATATGCGTTAGTAGACATGAAAGTACTGAATACAAGGAATGTAGATGACATCGTTATCGCTTCGCTTACCCATAACTCGATTCAGAGCCGAGTGCCTCAACACGGACAGCGGTATAGTCCTCAATGCCGAATCGCTCGAGGTTCTTCCTGGCACGCTTAATGACCGCATCTCCAACTGCGAGTGCCTGTTAGCACAGTATAAAGACATGCAGACGAATGGTTAGAAATTGTACATGCACACGAGCTTTAGCCAATCAACTGCTGTTGCTATGAGGCCAATGCCTTACCTTGCGTCTGGCATCCACACCGCCAATCCAGAGATCAGCAGTGATCTTGTAGCCATCAACATAAATTCCAGAGCACTTGAGGTAAGGGGTTGGAGGCCTGCCTTTAGCACCCGTTACCAGAACGCGATCCTTGCCAACCTGTGCCACCTTGACATTGCGGAGATCGAGAATGACATCTGGGAGAATATACGATCCGGGGTCCAAGACCTCATAGACCAGCTGCTCCGCGACAGTAGCCACCGTTACTAATCCACCCGTCTCGGCTGGCTTTGTGACAATAAACTCACCATTGGCATGACATTCCACGACAGGGAAGCCCATATTGGCCCATCCTCCGTGGGGCGAGTTGGCGCTCAATTCCCAGTCGGTGAAGTTGCCTCCTGTGGTGTGACAACCGCACTCGATAATGTGTCCAGCCAGCGAGGCACCTGCCATCTGATCCCAATCCTTGAGTGGATTCCACTTGAACTCGTGCAGGAGAGGTCCCAAGACGAGCGCACTGTCCACAACGCGTCCTGTAACAACGATTGAAGCTCCGGCATCAAGGGCCTCTGCAATCGGCACTGCTCCCAAGTACGCGTTCAGTGACAGGTTGTTCTTCTCCTTGCCGGGGTATCGGTCCACTTCATCCTTGTTGCCGGTGATGTAGTTGAAGGGGAGGAGCTCGCCCTTGGCGTTCATGACCTCGGCACGCTCGTGCAGATCGTCTCCAGTGACAGCAGCGACGACCAAGTTGTCGATGCCGTTCTCTTTGGCGATAGTTTCAATCGCCTCCTTGAGGGCCAGAGGATCGAGTCCTCCGGCGTTAGTGATGACCTTAGTGCCGTTGGCGACGATATCTTCGACCAGTCTTTTCCAGACGAAGTTGATGAAGTCCCCGACATAGCCGCCCGGACCGGCACGGCTGGGCTTCTTGGACGCGCCGCCGGACTTGCGGTGACGGGCGAGTAGACCCATGGTCACCTCTACATTAAGTATATACAATATTCTGTCAGATCACACGCACCAATTGTGTGCTGAAGTGTAAGCATTGCCAATAACGGCACAGTGTCCCTACCAGCAAGGTAATCGGCCACGAGGTAGTCGAGGTTCTTGCCCTCGAGAGCGACCAGCTGTTCGGCAGACGAGACGGAGTCGCCCCAGAAGGCACTGTAACATCCGATGCGGATCACTTTCTCAGGAGCCATTATATTGTGATACAGTTAAGAAAAATGAAGCGGGAGAGGAGCGAAGATAAGGGCCAAGAGAGGATGTGAGAATGGAGGATGTTGAATGAATGGAGGGGTTGAATGTGGAGCGGGTTATATATAAGGGAGATCAGCGAATTGGAGTGGGGAAGCACGAAGTGACCCTTGCCGTGTGTTCACTTTGAGCGGCACATTCACTCAGTAGGTTGGGCGAGTGCTTGCTTTCCCTTGTCCGTGTGCCATTTTTGCTTCTGATTCTCTCGGCTGGTGAAATGCTTCCATACCCAAACGCATTTTCGAGGAACCACCGCGTCCTTTCTTACGACAGGCGCCATGACTGTATCCTATTGCCATGTTACTCTAGGTACGGCAAGTAAGAAGATGTCGGCCTCAGTTCTAGGCGAGGCTCTCGAAAGACTATGTCACTGTTTTTTATTGACGCCAGATCCCCAGGCAGCGCACCTCGAAAGGCTACATCCCATGAATCCAGCACAAAGGGCTCTTTCTTGCACGTGCCGAGCGCCAACAAACATAGAAGTCCGGCAGGACAGCTGCGACGTCTCTTGGTACGCCTGCACGTCTGGGAGGACCTGGCCTCAATAACAAAAATGGATAGCTGCGGCGTCCCTTGATGATGTTCACAGGTGGTTTGGGGCTACATGGTGGACATACCGATAAGAAATGCATGGCACTATTGGAAACGCAGTCGATCTGCACAACCTTTTTTCTAAGAGCCGGGAGGGCAGTATGTCATATTCGTCTCCGCTCAGTGGCTCGCTTCAAGACTCAAAGATGGCTTTTCACCAGCCCTTTCATAAATCAGATTCGACTCCTTCTTTTTCATCAAACTCGCCATGTCTGACAACCCATGCCTTGCCCTTATCGAGGGCCTCAATTCCGAGGATGCGACTGCCGACGATGCCTCAGCCTCCCCTATCGACTATGCTGCAGAGCTCTCCCTCTGGACCAACGCAGAGTTCACATTCGATATTCCCCCAGGGCTGGGCATCTTTGAGTCCGACTCTGGATTCGACCAGCTCGCTGCATCCAACACTCTTCTCCTCAGCGACAGCAGTAGCATTGCTACTCCTACTGCAACTACCACCACCGTCAATAGCAGCCACGGACAGCTTAGTCCAGTTCTGGGGCAGCACATCTATGGCGAGGAGCAACAGCAGCAGCAGCAGCAGCAGCATGCCATCAACACTCCCAATGGTAACTGGATGATAAGCACTCTCAAGATCATATGCGTATACCCTTGATCATACGAGTTGCCTATGCTGACCATACCACTTCCTTCCTTGCAATATCATCTAGACTCTCGACCCTTGTCCTTGTTGGAACGCACTCGCCAACGCAACCCTCTGAACGAAGAATCCAGACCAGAACTCCAGGAGCAAGTGGCCGCTGTCAACTCGTTCCACTCGCTCCTGGCTGCATACTCGGCCGCAACATCACAGACGCGGCAGGTTCACCAACAAGTTAGGCTGCAGCAACATCAGCATTCGTCATACCCCGCCATCCAGCCGGTAACTGCGCCCGCTTTGACTGCAGCACCGACAACACCAGCAGCTGCCAAGCTGTTGCGACAATCCATACCTCAATATACCGAACCTGCACCCATTGCTAAGAAGCCACGGACACTTCCAACTGCTATCGTCCCCTCCCTCACAGCACCTTCATTAACATCCTCACAATCAAGTTCACCCAAAAATTCTTCAGTCGACCAGACCGCCGTCAGCAGCAGCTCTAGCAGTGCAGTGAACGAAACCGACTCTAGTCAGGGAAATGATGCAGAGGAGCAGGAACAACCCCAACTGTCTGCAGCGGATTCATTTTCCAAGGATGATCCCGAATACCAGACAAAGGTTTTAGCAGAGGAGGATAAGAGGCGGCGTAACACGGCTGCTTCCGCTCGGTTCCGGCAAAAGAAAAAGTTGCGCGAGCAGACACTGGAACAGACGGCCCGTGAGCAGACGGCACGTGCGGAGGCCCTTGAACTCAAGGTGCGGGAACTGGAGATGGAGGTGCGCTGGCTACGGGGACTGATTGTCGAGAAGGATTCGAGGCTTTATGAGGCTACTGTCAATTTACAGGATGCCAACAAGCGCATTCGCTTGGAGTCGCTTTGAACATTCTACATTTGCTCCGTACATGCATGTCATTAAATTAAAAACAATACCAAAGGTGCTAGAAAACATAGACTTGAAGGCGGTTATCCATGATCCTCGATCCTCGCATCCACTCCATTCCTCCCTCTCTCTCCCCTCTCTCTCTCTCGCACACACACACTCACACACATATGAGCGATTGGGGTTGGAGTACGCGAAGGGAGGGGTGAACGAGCTTGACACGCGCTTGTTCCGATTTTCTAGAGAACGGGATTGTAAACATATTGTGTTACCCCCATTACCCCTCCATTACTCCATTACCCAAACAACAAACGAGTTCTCTAGCACATTTTTACAGACGTACTGCACACAGATGCTCAGGCCAACTCAGCAGGGCGCGCGTCTCTTTGAAGAGCAACGAAAGGGAAAGAATGTTTAGCCGACTGCGCTGAGACCTGGGTTTAGAAATCATTTAGAGTCAGAGGCAACCGTTTCTCAGTCGCCAGCAAATGTCGTCGCCGCCATAATAATAATGGGATATTGTACCAAGGAAAGGACAAGGATGGGATGAGGGTGCAGAGGAGGGAAGAGGTGCCGATCGATCGATGCATCCAGGGAGGATGGAGGAAGCCAAGTGTGATCATTGATTCAGGCATTCGTTTGCGAAAGATGGGTATACAGAATATCCGGGTGCTGCTTCCTGGACTGAGTAAGTAATTTTTTTTGTTTCTCTTCCTATATCTTTTTTTCTCCTCCCTCTGCCTCTTTTTCTTCTTTGTTCTCTTTCCTCTCCTTTGCTTCGATCGCTTCGTTATCCAGCTGGTCTTATGAGCAGGCCAAGTCCACCAGTCACTACTATCCCTTGAGCAGCAATATCGCTCTCCATACCCTACCCTAGCTCACTCATCCTCACAAGTGTACGTCGTGCATAGATTGCATCTCAACAGATATCCATCCATTCCTTCCCTGCATAATACCCTGCTGCAAATGGCACCTCCTCTCACCCCCACCCTCGGCTCTGCCCCTTCCTTGTCAGAGCACACTGAGCAACATGAATCCGCAAAGGACCACCAAGCACAGCCCCACCTTCAGCAGCAACAACCGCAACAAACGCAGCTGCTTCCACTACAAGAGGAGAATGAGGAAGACCCGCCTTCAATTGAGTCAACGGATGTTACTATCAAGACCGATGTCGACCCTCACGACGAGACCACGACCACAACCACCATCGTCCACCTGCCCTTCCAACTCGCCCGACAGTGTCCTCCTCCAAAAGTCATCTCGTGGATGAAATCCAACAAACCCACGTCGCCAAAGTCTTCTTCCCATTATCATCACCACCATCACCGCCATCATCCCCATCAACGCCCCAGCAAGAGTCCGGCACTCCTGCACCACCTGCTCCCTTTCTTCTACAAGCGGAGGGGAGCTTCCAGTAAGACTAAGAAGAGCGACCGTTCTGTCACAGTGTTCTCAATCCAGGTGACCGTTCTCGGCAGGGTCCTTGTGCCGCCAAGTTTGCCCACCAATGATTCGCAGCAGGACAAGAATAATCTGGAACAGGACATCGTACCGACAAAGACGGTCCCTGCGCAACTGGATCGATCTGAGACGACCTCCTATGTCATCCACAGGACTTTCGAAGACTTTGAACACCTGTCCGAGATGGTCCTTCGTCTGGAGCATGCGCTCCATGCGCACCTCCAAGAACATCATTATTTTCATCATCATAATCATCATCATCATCATCATGACAACCAAATATCAGATATTGCATTACAAGCACACCAGGACGTGCCGGTAATACCAGCGGATGCACCTCCACTGACGGCCCTTCATGTACACCATCCATATCCAGGACTTTATCAGGTGCTCCTGAAAAAGATTTCCAATGTCAAAGCCAACCAACGCGCTTTCGATGCCTCTTCGACGACACACGGCTTCGATGAAGAGGGAGCCTTCGAACGGGTCTTGGAGCTGAACCAATACCTCGAGAACGTCTGGTACTGGCTCTTGCCCGAGAATATCCCACCACAATTGGATCTTTCGGCGCAGCAGTACGAGATCATGCAGTGGCTCAAGCCCTCAGCCCAGAGTCACGCGGATGGGCAGCAGATGAGAGATCGGCGGGAGCAAGACGAGAAAGAGCATCCGATCATTCAGCAGTATGGATCCATATCGTCCTTGCGCAAGAAGGGAAGTCAGGAACCAGTCAAGAGTAGCGCTACAGAGTCGGCTACAAGGGCGTCAGAAGAAACAGCGGCAACATTACCAGTGGCAGCATCATCGACGACCACAGCACCAGAGTCTACATCCGCTCGTGGCCTCAGGCTGGGTTCCGAAGGGTCTTCGTCTGCGCCATCGCTGCCCTCACTCTCCTCAATGTCTACTTCGTCCTGCTCTTCGGCGTCATCCCCATCCATATCCACCGACACCAATCACACAACTGATCTAGACCATGATGATAACGACGACACTCTTCATGGTCACGCTGCTCCTCAGGGTTTGCCGCACACACCATCGACTGTCGCCAGCTCTACGTTTCCGTCATCGGGCTCTGACAAGGGATTAGCTAGCAAGAACGACCACAAAATTATTACCAGTCCAGATTCCGAATCCGTTTTCAAAAATCCTTCCAGGCTTTCAAGGGCAGGGACCGTACCGCGTGGGGGTCTCCGTCAAAGGGATTCCTCTGATCCCTTGTCGACTGATAAGGTCAAAAGACGTATCTCGCTCAGTCACGTCCTCAAGTCCATGACGTTTCCGCTGAATAACCCTCGTCACACTATGCACGACACTGGGCACAGAAAGGGAACGTCTGCTTCGATCTCGGCTAGTCCTACGCTTAAAGAGGCTTTTCACGAAGAAATCGTCATCTGGAAGACCGTGACAACCAAGAACCATCCTGGCCATCATTAGGCTAGACACTCATGTATCAAATACATTAAAAAAAAAAAAAAAAAAAGCAGGAACGATGGGTGCCCGGCCAGTAAACTGCACAGATCAAAGAGCATGACTATCATCCATTCACGACGCGACTATAATAATGCAAAATAAGCAAGTCATTTCAGTTCATGTGGATGGAAAATTTGAAGATGCCGATGAGATTGATATGTTTATTAAAATGCAAAAAAGAAAAAAACGACTTGACACAAATGCATCCACCGTACTGCACCGCACCTGTTCTCCCCTTTCCCCTTCTTTTTTTCTTGGACAAAAAAAAAAAAAGAGATATACAATATTGTAACAATGCGTGGAGTGAAGAATGCAAGAAAAGGAAAATCATGCGTTGCATAGAGTCGGTGACAGGGATTGGAAAAAAAAAACGTAAACTTTTACTCCTCGTCCTCGTCCTCATCTTCTTCCTCGTCCTCATCCTCATCCTCCTCATCCACATCCACTACTGACGCGTTTTTCTTTCCTGGGACAACGATGCGGGTGGTGCCCTCGTCTGGCAATGAATTGTAGATAGGGAGAGCGATTGAGTCGTTTGTCTTCAAGTTGATAGCCTGAACGTTCTTCCATTTACGAGGAATCTTTTCGATGATATGAGGGATGGCGGTCTCAATATTAGCAGTGATCTCGGCCGCGCTCTGACTCGTCAATCCAATTTTGATAGCACTAATACGATTTGAAAATTGAACAACAATGTTAGCGCAACCCAGTCAAAATAAAAGTTAACCGCCAGGGATTTGCATGTCGGGTCGTTCAAGAAAGGGAATACATACGTGCATGTTCCAGAGGTGAGGTGCATGTACGTTGATCCGATAGCTCTTGCAATCTCCTTCTTGAGGTCGCCCTTGGTCATGTCCACAGGAATGGGCTGCTTCTTCTTGAGGAAGAAGGTCTTGCCGAGCAATTTGGGCAGGACTGTGACGACGCGAGCATCTGCCAAGAACATTCCGTACGAGGCGCACAATTGGCGCTTGGCCTCATAAGGCTTATACTTGGCACGAAGCTTTGAGACGCCAATGACTCTGCTGACGCCCTTGACATTCTTTTCCTCAAGCAAGCGCTTGTAGTCCTTCTGAGGATCCTTGACGAACAGACAGACCTCCGCATCTGGTGCAGCGATCGAGTGCTTAAGTGGGCTGATGGTACGGATGAAAACAAGCAGCATAATGCCAAGAGGGAAGAACAAAAGAAAGAAGACAAAGAGAGCCTAATAAGTCATTGTGTTCTTTCTCTTTTTTTTTCTTTTGAAGTCGTTCCAGAGATGCTCCTGTAAATAATGTTGTCGTTACATTCGATGGGGCTTTGCTTTACTCTCGTCGGAAAACTTCTTGGTGGCGATAATCAACCAGACATGCTGGTCCTCCTCCATGAGTTGGCTCTTGGCCTGTCCCTTCTTCTCAACATATCCGAGGAGGGCCTTAACAGCCTTGTCAGCCTATTAGTGATCGAAGCAATTAGAAGGCAATTAGCGTTTCGTACAATCAGTTGCACAGGGCTGAGCTTGGTAGAGAGGTAGAAAGAGCATTCATTGAGGTAATCGAAATCCATCTTAGTATCCACAGATACCAAGTAGGTTGTTGAACATAGCTAATACATCTGCATAGCAGGTATTTTAGAGATAGAGAGTGGAAACCTGTATGGGTTGCAAATAAAGGGCAGGAACAGGGGACAATAGTTGTATGTCATACCTGCTTGATGTCGAGCATTGTGTACTGATTGGTGGTATGCGTGCGGGGGAGGATGAAGGGATGCAGCAATGCAGGGCAAGACGATCAATAGGCTGAGAGGTGTGTAGTAGAAAAGAGTTCCTGCTACTTTTCCCTTTTTTTTTTTTTTTTTTTTTTTGCCATGCTTTGTTATTGTTTTCTCATTATATATTTGGCAGTCCTTCATCGCCACTAAATTCCAATCCTTTCTTTAATTGCACACGATCGAAATCTCAGCTCATAAACGTCACAGGACCGGTGAGCAGCCCCACAAATGCTGTTCGCTTGCGCCTTCTGCCGCCTTCTAGTCCTGCAGAGGCAGGAACTATGCTTGTGCTGCTGGTGCTGCCGATATTCTCTGTCTGCGACTTTGCAGCTTGCTCCCAAGGATACACCCCATTCTTATCTACAGGCTAAAGACATAAAGGCCGCTTTTGGTGAAGCAAATGCCCACGAACGACGTTGCTGACATTGCATTCTTAACAACGACCAGACTGTGAGATAGATACTGCTGAATTATCGATGCAGCATCTTAAAAAAAAGAGATCAGAACAAGGCTGCATAAGTGACGCAAGCGGCTACCAGTCTGTCAGGGAACGTTACCATTACCATCTAAATGATTGATAATGCTAAAGTTGGTGGCACATCTCAGTGAGGAAACGCTGGTGTTGTAGTCATTCTTGGATACCATGCCCAGGACTGTGATCTGAGTCCTATTGATCCTTAGTGCCGCTAGAATGACTAGAGCATCGTAAATGAAAAATTGATCTTTCGGGATCGGTCGCCGCACAGTTGTAGACCTGTTACAACAGTCGAGATCTTTGCGTGAATGAGAATGTCACTGTCCCGTAACAGGACAGTATTGTCGGGCATGAAGTCCCGGCCGATCTTGAGATCCGCCTCGGTCTGATACTCTTCCACAAACCACTCCTTCTGCCGAAGGTGCCTGTCGCGTCTCTAGCGTCCAAGAGAAAGCCTTTGACAGGTTTCTCTACATGGTAAAGAACTACTGTTTCCACACGTGTAGCTTCTTTTCCACGCGGTTCTCCAGCTGAATAACACTGCCTTGAGCCCGCTTCAAGGCCGTCGCGCGAATCGCCTGTCGACGGGTATGGCTGATTTTTTTTTCTTCTGAAGGAAGGCCCTTCAGGTAAAGAACCAAGTTCGTCTGGGTCTCAAACTTCAGTGTTTCTCGCTTGACAATGCGGTGCGCATCGTCCACAAAATGCGAGGAATAAGCGTAGCGAACGCTGACACAAAAAATACCCAAGGATATCGACTCGAATCGCGGGATTGTGATCAGTGGAACTGGGGAGGTTGGGTTTATATCCTTTTTTTCTTAGAAAAGGCCACAGGCCATCAATGCTTATTTCGAGGAATGACAGTGAGGGAAGAATGAGGGTACGAAAGGGGATTGACTCTGGAAAGTGTGAGATAAAAAAACTATCTATGAAGGGTTGTGTGTTAAGGAAGAAAAAAGAGTACGAAAGATGCATGATGGACGTTAATGGACTTGTGCCTGGATACGCTTCGCTATTTCCATACAAATGTTTGGCCAATCAGAGAATTTGAGTCGCCTATCCGAAAAGTGACGTCCACTTGATTCCTTTTCGGATCCGAGCTCGATCGATCGCCCGCCCGCCCGACACAATTGTCATCTTCGTCATCCCACAACTACACCACCTCCTCCCCTCTCCACTCATCCGCCATCACCATGCTCCGCAACGTTATCAGGGCAGCTGCTGTGCCAAGGGGTAAGGGATCAACTCCCTGCATGCTACTCATACACATCCGGAACCTGGGACACATATGTTTATGCATTCGGATCCGAATCACGACACCCATCAACACATGGACATGGGCGCCGACAATACGATGTATATTACTGGAACGTGGAACTAGCGACTACTCTTAAAGATATACTTTCAATAATCTTACTTGGACTAGCCACCAGTATTTGGAGCGGCAGCATATATGATCCGCGTCCTTTTCACTCGCATGTCACAAATACGCTAACCGACTCTGCCACTCCGTCTCCCGCAACTGTATCGACTTCTTTTTATTTTTTTAGTCCAGACACGCGTCTTTACTCCCGCCATGGCTCGTTCCTTCCATGTCTCCTCTAGGTTTCAGGCCCAGAATACAAACGATTACCGCGCTAATCGCGAAAAGTTCCCTGAGGACGATTCGTCGACCCGCTTCATCCCCGGACAGGGACCTTCGACCCTGGACAAGGCCTCACAATCATTGCTCTTGACCGAGCTGGTCCGTGGCATGTGGGTTGTCTTGGAGTCTTTCTTCAGACCGCCTTACACACTTATGTATCCGTTCGAGAAGGGCGCCCTGTCCCCACGTTTCCGAGGCGAGCACGCATTGAGACGTTATCCTTCAGGTACGTTAATGATGAACATGTTATGTGAACTTTGATTTATACGCCAGGATTAGCGCGATTCTAGCGCGAATAACAGGACCAGGATTGAATAGGCGCAAGGATGTAGGAACATCTATCGAAGTGGGAGAATATGATTGGAAAGTGCGACCATTCATAATCGGGAAGCAGGACTTGTAGAAAGTTAGTACAATGATGCCGTCAATGCATGGAGCTGGATACAACAACACTAGATTCGACATCCAGGATCACCTATTGCGCCATCTGACAGACATTAGGAGATGACAGTCTACAGCTGTAATGCCAGTGCAATTTCAGCGCTGCATACCGGCAGACAAAAAAGATTTGAGTAATGATCTAACGGTAAATGGCTTTTTTAATCTGTCGTGTTGTCCGTTTGTAGGAGAGGAGCGCTGCATTGCCTGCAAGCTTTGTGAGGCCATCTGCCCTGCTCAGGCCATTACTATCGAGGCTGAGCCTCGTGAGGACGGATCTCGCCGCACGACGCGTTACGATATCGACATGACCAAGTGCATCTACTGCGGTTTCTGTCAAGAGGCCTGCCCTGTCGATGCAATCGTGGAGGGACCCAATTACGAGTATGCGACGGAAACACACGAGGAGCTTTTGTACAACAAGGAAAAGCTGTTGGCGAACGGTGACAAGTGGGAGGTCGAGTTGGCGCGTAACCTCGAGGCTGACCACCTTTACCGTTAAGAAACAAGTAAACCAATCAAGAAAAAAAAAACGAATGTACGCACTATTAGAATTGTTTTGTTATTGTTCCCTCATTTCTTCGTTTCTTTTCTTTCTCTCTCTCTCCTCTTTGACACGAAATCCCCCATGACACCCCAGAATAAAGATATTGGTTGCAGCTGTTCAAGCAGAGCAACATAGCAAGACGAACAGCACTAGTCTACTGGACAGCATTGAAACCGGCAAGGTTGTTACATATCAATGGGATGTCGATTAGACTAGACAGGTCAGGGTTGACAAGGTGTGACAGATGCCATAGATCATCATATTTGGATTATTAAATTGAAGCTGCATGGTAACCAGCCAATCAATGGCCTCAATTGCCGATGAAGTCTTCCTGGGAGATGGACACCTTGATATGGGATTGAGTATAGAAATGAGATTGAGTCCGGGGTATTCTAAAATTCTAACATCGTGCTATCGAAAGTGAGGCATTTTTTTCCTCTCACCGGTGAGGTCCTCACTCCCTTCTGTTTCGGGGAAGGGGGGAGTGGTCTGTCAAATAAAAAAATCGCTTTTTTTCTTCCGCTCTGTATTCATACTACTAGTCTGCCTCTGGATCACCCACTCACAGCCAGTCCACAGGCCCACTGCTCCTTCCTTTCCTTCCCCTCCTCCGCTCTCTCTCCATCTTATCTGTACATCACTGCATCCTATCAACACCGGCATTGACACCGACGCCCTCTTGTAATTGACGCCTGTCACCTTCCTTGTCATATCTCCGATGGCCCAGAAGATCTTCACCCCCATCGTCCTCTTCAACGACCTCGCCCCTTCTTCTTCTTCTTCTACCTCTTCTTCCATCAGACACAATGCCTCATCAGATATACCCGCCGCCCATGTCCTCCCCTCTACTCCACACCTGAGGATCAATTCCAATTCCTCTTCCTCTTCAAGCACAGAGACAAGGACAGAGCTCCAAAGGCATACCAAAACTGGAGAACAGGACCCACAAGAACAGGACAGGGTCGCTGACGGACACTACAAAGACTATGGACACCTGGGCCCATCCTTACAGGACACGCATATGGATGTGGATGAGGTCTACATGGACGAGAGCGATCCTGGTTATGTCCGTTTGCAGGCCAGCACCACGACTATTATCGAGGACAAGGACGACGACGACGAGAGCCGAACTAAAAATCCCACTAACAGCAGTAGTTATGAAAGCCATCAAGAACGTGGTCTACAAGAGCTAGAGGACATGTCCAGGAGCAGGTCTCGGATAGGGGTTCATGCCGAGAGTGTTTTAAAGCATACCGAGGACCACAACAACCATGACAATAGCAACAACAATAACAGCAATAGCAACAACAACAACAACAACAACAACAGCACCACCACCGATAATGAGACATCCTCGACATCGTTCATCTCTTCCTCGCCATCAACAGTGTCGCTCCCTTCGTCATACTCCTCCAACACCTCGCCATCCATGGACGCACTCGCCAGGACCCTGGCTCCAGCAAGGGGAGTAGACATGCACCGTAAACGGATCCAAAGGATGCTGCAGCAGAACAGTCTGCTCTGGTGGGAACTGGTCCGGTACACTCGCAATCTCGAGAGGAGAGAACGTGAACAGGAACAAGAGCAGGAGCAGCGGTTGTCCTCTTCATCTTCCGCCAGTCAGTTGGCGGCTATCACAAAGTCCGGGGCTGTGAGCCACTACCACCACCATTACCATCACTACAACCCCTCGCTACCACCATTGCATCCTCAACAGCAGCAGACGTTGGCCTTGTCCAAGAGTCTACCTCTGATACAGAGCACGAGGAGTTATACCCGTCTACATCCATACGAGCATTCTATTGAGATTGCTAGCAGTACTGGCAGAAGTGATTCCTCCAGATTCCGGACCGGGGTTGAAGTCCCCTCGACGTATGAAGACATGTCCTCATCCAGCCACTTTGATCGAGGAGAGTATCTAGAGGACCCGAGAATTCATGATAGACGAGCAGGAGGAGCAGGCTACTCACCAACCTCTCACACCCCGTCTCCATCGTTATCGCCATCGCCTATGCGACCATCGCAGGACATGTTTCCTTCGCCTCAATATCCGTATGAGCAGACACAGCATCAGCATCATCAGCATCAGTCGGCTCCTCACCTATCCCAGCACGGCCGCCACTATAGCCAGGATACGTGCCCGTCTCGCTCCATGGAAGAGTACTCAAGACAGAGCAGCTCGAGAACAGGATCTAGATACGAACAGGGATCAGCCAATTCTACAAAGTTACCCTCCATGGATAGTTTGTTGCCATCTTCGACTTTGAAGCCTGGGGGCATACATTCCTCAGGATCCTCTTCTGCAGGGTCTTCGCCAAGATCCCGGGAGCCGCCTTCTATTTCTGGATTGGGTTATTCGAAACAGCATCAGCACCAGCAGCAGAATTCGCAATCTCGGGACGCCCACTACCAAGGATCGCCCTTTCCACCATCACCACATGACCCTGAAGTATCTGGACTGCATCGCTCGAATAGCCAAAGGACCATCCACTCATCCCCTAGCAGGACAGAATTTGTTCCGCACCAGCACCCGAAGCATCAAAGCCACCCACAACTCCAGCACCAGCATCAGCATCAGTACCAGCAGCAACTGTTTTCGAGACCACCACATGCGCTAGATACACTCCCACGGCCTGTCCCAGTGAAGCCAGCGTCGTTTGTGAGCCCCGGATCATCAGCGCATACAGCTGGCACCGATACCGCAGACGCACCTTCATCCACTTATCATTCCAGCAACAACAATAGCAACAGCGATAACCACAAAACCTCTGCCACTGCCGCCATCAGTGCGACATCCACCAGCACCACCAGAGACCTTTCACCAAGCGCGAACAACAACAACAACAACAACAACAACAACACATCCCAATCCAGCGGAGGACTGGATCCGAACCGCAAACGCCGCGGGAACCTCCCGAAATCCGTGACCTCCGTTCTGAAATCCTGGCTGGTCCAGAACGCGATCCACCCATATCCGACCGAGGAAGAAAAGATGCGCCTGTCGAATGCAACTCAGCTCTCGATGAACCAGATCAGTAACTGGTTTATCAATGCCCGACGACGGATTCTGCAACCGATCCTGGTCGAAGCCGCCGCCGCCGCTGTCGCGGGCACGGATGCGCCCGTTGAGAATGTGTTGATCGTGAGGAAGGGTAAAGGATCGAGGATGCAGGTCGAGATGGAGGCGGTCTCGACAGCCTCGAGCTTGACCGCTGCTGGTTCAGGCGCGGGCGCTAACGTGAACGTGAACGCGAACACGGCCGCGAATGCGAATGCGAATTCAAACGCCGGCAGTTCCAATATGGGTGGAGTTCATATCAGCAACGCGACGACAATGACAACAACCTCATAGACATCACAATGTCGTATCCTGCAGCATCGCTCTTTCTTGCACACTCATATACACTTGCTTTCAGAGAGGTCCATGTATCGGGAATAACTTGTTATCCCAGATCGCGTCTCGTATCGCTCCCCTAGCAAATAATCATCATCATCATCATCATCATCATCATCATCATCATCATCATCATCATCATCATCAACATCATCATCATCAACATCATCATCAACATCATCATCATCATTCCAATAAAAGAAACAACGAGCCAGGTCGATATCTTGTCTGTCGCTGTAAGTATCATCCATCATCCATTGCTTTTTGTACTTTCTATCGGTAACACAAAATGTAATGCTCAATCTATTCATATGCTGCAGGATCATAGGGCTCCCAGCCATCGTCTCCGTCCGATCCAAAGGGTTGATCCTCCTCGTCCGTGTAGTCCTCCTCTTCTCCTTCACCCTCCTCCGCACCATCAGGATATGGAAAATTGTTCACAACCGCAGCCATGAGTTCATCCTGCTCTTCCTGAGTCAGCGCTCGACCATCCCCACCATCTGCTGCATCAGCGCCTTCGGCTCCAGCTCCACCTCTGGCTCCAAATCCAAGCAGACGCATCATATCACTCAACGACTGGAACATCGATGCATTTCCTGCCGTCTCCACCGCCAGACTCTCCTCCACCTCAGCTCCCAGTGCTGCCCCATGCTGCCCTTCTGCGCCGTCTGGCCCACCAGCAGCAGCCATCGCTGCTATACCTTCAGGACGATCGCCTGCCGGTGCCGGTGCCCGCTGGCCAGGAAAGGCGCCCGGCAAGGCACCTGGCAAGGCACCAGGCGGTGCATGCCCCTGCCTTAGCATCTGAACTGCCTCCGCGATCTGTCTCAATTGAGCCTCCTGTAACTCTCCCGCCTCAGCGCCACCAGCGCCACCAGCGCCGCCACCACCACCAAGACCACCCAAACCGCCTGCTCGAAGTCTGCGGACCACTTCTTCCAGGACACTCTGTGCCGCATCCCGGGCCTCGCCAAACAATCCACCTGCACCCCTCTGGGCTTCAAACCGCTCCTCATACACATTCCGGGATCCTGGAGGAGGCAAAGGATCGTGCATATGCATTGTCGCCGTGACAATCTCCTGAGGCAAGAACCGAGCCAAAGAGTTATATTCCGAGACAAGGACATGGCGACATACTCTAAGCGAGACTTTGTTGGATTCCATTGATGAGGATGAATAATCATCGGACTCTAGCGTTCCGTCGGGTCCATAGCTCAAAACGGGACTCTTTGAAGCAGCGGCACTCGTGAATTCTGTAAGGAGGGCCTTGGCATCCTTGACGTCCGAATCGCTCTGGTTCTTGAATCGCGACTGAACACACACCTGCACATTCGACTTGAGCCACGCAATGACCTATCGTTTGAAAGGATTTGACGGTTGTTAGTCTCGTACGAGTAAGAACCCCCCACATTGGACTTCAATATGTCCAGTATAGTACAAGACAAAATCTATGGCCTCTTACCTCTGGTTCCTTCCACAATGCAAAGTTCCTCAACACAAAGAGATGCACATAGAGATCGAGGACTTTAGGGAGACTATGCAGATAGTCAAAAGAACAACGGACACATACGTTAGCAGGCTGACGACAATAATAACCCCCCCCCTCTCTCTCTCTCTCTCTCCCGCCATATCTGAGAATACAAAGAGAGTTTTGTCCGCTTACTCTGCTGCCGGGTAAAATGCTGCCTCGCCTGCTATCTCGTTATCTACGCTAAAGTTGCCCTGCTCCGCCAATAGTGGGACCGCGGTTGGGAACATGAGGATGGCCCTCTGCAGCATCCTTGAGCTCTGCTCGTGTTTGTTGTCGCCCTGGGCTGTCTCCAGGTGAAAGTAGGCCATCGCAATTGAGTACAGAAAGTTGGGCATGCGGTTCAGTCCATGATCCACCTCCATGCGTTCGTACAGTTTTGTGAGATAGACGTATTCCTGCGCCTTCAGAGCGTAAAAGTCAATCGAGAGTAAGGCACCCAATGGGTCATTCTTGGGATCCAGGCTGAGCAACAACCTGTTGAACTCAAACGCTGTTCTCCAGCAGCCTCGTCGGCCCAGGAACTGGATGTGTCGATGAATGGCGAGGAAGAAAGATCGATTCTCAACCTCCATAAAGTTCAAGCGCACAGCGCCAGAGGCAATGTTGAACAAACTGTGGAAGCTCTTTTCAAAGGCATAAAGAGCTTGCTCTATAACATGCACAACAACATAAGTGTATATCGGGATATCAGTTTCAAAGACGGTTGTAATGTCGTAGATGAGCCAAGCAGTGATATCCTTACCAATAAATTCGCCCGCAAGACTGTTATCGCCATTGTGCTTGCTGACTTCAGAAAGCTGCAATAAACTATCGATATGAAACGGACTCTCCCGAAGAAGCGCCACCAAATTCCCGGGATCTAAAAGAGAGCATTAGCAACACGCATCAGCCCAAGTCATCCAGCAGATCAAAGACAAAAAGAGCGAATGCGAATCCATCTCATTATTGGTTACCATAGGACGCGACGGCAGCCAAGAACTTGAGCTGTGTCCGTTGATAGTACTCCGAGTGTACAATTTTGAAGGTTGTCACGTTCTCCTTCTCGTCCATCTCAACGATCTCCATGCTCAGGCCTGAAGCCTTGCGAACAGGCCAAGTATTTCTGGGCTGAGCCAGCAGCGCCTTCTTCGTGACCTTGGCGTATCGGCGATCCTTGATCTCAGAGTTGACAACTCGGGCGCCAAACATCTTTTTCATCTCCGCATCCGCATCCAGGAACCGGGTATCGACTGCTAGAAGCTGTTTCAAGGGAGTGACAGTTGATTTCTGAGACGATCCGCCAGCAGACGACATATCTCCAAGCCTTTGTTTAAAGGAAAAAAAAAAAAAAAAAAAAAAAAAAAAAAGATCAGTTGCTATTAACAGAGGGGGGACAAGCAACGCATGGAAAATGTATACTTCCTTACTTTTGATTCATTTGTTGAAGGCTCCTCTCGAACTCCTCGACGCTCATCTCCTCCAGGGATTTGGCAACAGCTTTGCCTTTCTGTTTCCTTTTGTTCTTTTTTGTCTTGGCAGTTGCTGTTGAGTCGTCGGCCTGTTCTGAGATCGGTGTCGAATCTACAGTATCTGCTGTTGTTGTATCATTCTTGTCATCCTTGAGGGCATCAAAAGGGTTGGCTACAGCGGCGCTTGCTCCAGATTTCTTTTTCTTATTCTTCTTCTTTTTGTTGGAGGTCGCGACTGGAATGATATTCTACTCAGGCGTAGTCGAAGGCGGATAGCATATTCTGTGAGCGACACGTCCTGGGTGCCATTGCATCAAAACGCACACACGTATACACACTTGGAGACATACTGTTGGCTCCTTGTCCTCTTCGTCGGGCTCGGAATCGTCTTCCTGATCATCCTCGTCCAGCTATTGAGAGAAACGAGTGCTTTTGGTTGGTCGCTGAGGCGAACTGATACAACTTGATTCACGGCTGCGGTTTTGATATGAAAGCATACCAGAGCAAAGAGATTCCTTGCAGAGGGCCTCTCGGCAATGTAGTCGTCCTCTTCCTCACTGCCGTTTTCGTTGGCATCCTGTTCCTCGTTCTCTTTGTTTTCTGGGCGGAGCTCCGTCGTGGCGTTATGCTGGTCGCGGTCCTTCAGTGGCGTAGGCCCGTTTGAGTCGCGGAGTAGTTTTTTCATGGCTCGACTGGACATGGTGGATCGGTTCAGGGACAAGGGATTAGGTGGTTTATATAGATGGTGAGGCGTAAGGCGAAGCTGCGGATCGTGTGAAGCAAATGAGAAGCGGAAAGAACAGAGGGCGCTGATCCGAATGGACCTCAAGGAGTACAGGACGTTTCCGCATCACTAATTTGCAACAGTGGCGCTTAATACAGCTCATTGAGACGAAGTGCGTAAACTCTATTTCAAGGTCCATGAATTAATGCAACCAGGGGTGGTATCGATTGGAGCGGGCGGTGGTGGGTTGAAGCTGACCCGCCACATGTTGATGCACCATTGAGAATGGGGAGCAAGGTGGATTGGGGAAAGGGAGCAAGCGCCATGAGTGCACCGCTTGCAGCTGCACTTTCTTTACAATGCCCTCGGCAGCGATGGATTCGCCTGGGCATGCAAGGTGCCCATGGATGGCTGCTTGAGAATTCGTGTTCAAGGACAATCAAGATTCGAGCACACCTGTAGAAAAACATTTTTGTTGTTGTTGTTGTTTGTGGATCCTTCCTTGCCCCTGTTCGACAATAACCTGGGCATTGGCTATTTCCTGTCCCTCTCCTCCACTCCGTATTTCCAGGAACCCCCCCACTCTGGAACCGGAGCCTTCAACTGCTCATCCCCTGGCCACTTCCATCGGCCCCTGACCCCCCAAAGCTCGACACTTTCTTGTTATCTCTCCTATGGTTAGCCATGGACCCCACTCAGCTATTCGATCAACGTTCTCTCTGCATCCAGGATTGCGGTGCAAAAGGCCGGGGTGTTGTCACCCGAAAATTCATCCCTGCTCGCACAGTCGTTGATATCTCACCGGTCCTTCTCTTCCCCTCGGAGGAGTATCATACCCACGGCCAGCACACCCAGCTCGACCATTACACATACCGATGGCAGGGCGGCATGGCTCTAGCGCTAGGCCTCGGCAGCATGTTCAACCACTCCAACAATCCCAACGTCGGTTTCCAGCGGGACTTTGAGAACAAACTGATCCGGTACACTACCCTACGCGAGATCCATCCAGAGGAGGAGCTTTGTATCTCATATGGGCCCAACCTGTGGTTTCCAGATATGGAGGAAGGACAGGACGGAAGCGCAAAGGGTGTGGGCCAAAGCCCTGGATCGGGTCGGAGCGAATTAAGTGACAGCGACGATGAGGCTGGAGAGTCCTTCTTAGCACGGATGCAGTTTTCGGACGACGAGCAGGAGGCATAAGTTGATAGACATTCATGCTTGTCGCAGCACTTTTGAATAAAGCATTTGGAATGAGCGGTGATAAGGCATAAAACGCAGGGTTGCCATTAAAATTGCTATGCGCCACATGCGCACAGTCCATACTGCTGTGCTTGGTTGCATCGCGTGTCGGCTCTGTGCAAGAGCCAGAAATGGAGACCCGCAGCATGTATTCATCTTGCTGTGACTCCATCCTTCGATCCGCATCCTGGAGCACGGATACTCTGAGGCGCCAGTACAGTATACTTCCGAAAAAGTAGGAGGCGCCAAGGAACGCTTCCCGTAGTTTGATGACATTCGATAATTCCGTGCATCGAATCGGATGGTTCTCTGGACTCGCCGAGAAAAGCGTCCTATGTGTGCTCCACTGGTGCCCATTCGGTTCTGGTCCAGAGAACATCCGCCGCTGGAGCAGCTCCTCCCCCCCCCCTTAAACACCAGAAGTCCCCTTGTTCTTTTTTTACGGCCTGGCCATGCGTCTCTCTGCTCCCCTTTATTTTTCCTCTTCATACATAGCCGTCTTTTCATAGTTCTCGCCGCGCTCTCCTGGAGGGGATCTGGTCCATGCTTACCATTCGGATAAGGACTTGCATGGCGACATCCAGGCAGCCATCCTAACCTTCTAGCACTTCGCAAATAACCTGCCCCATTCTCTACACCGACAGTTCCATTCTTCTGCATCCTTTATCCTCCTTCTCGTTTCATAATTTCTTCTAGTGCTCTCACCTCCAGCTAACCCATTTCCACCCTCCATTTCCATTCAACAGATCGGGGTCGCACGTCTGCCTAGTAACTGTGCTTGTATCCGCTCCACCGCCTTTTTCTGGCTGTCCCACTTCATCCAGCGTACTTTTGGTGCCTGGATCACCACCTGCGCATTAGCGACCATGGCACCGCAAGAACCACCACCTACAATAGCCATTGCCATGCCTTCTCCTCCCCCTGTTCCGACGGCAGAGACTACATCGCCACTTGCTACAGCCATCACTACTGAGTCAACGTATCCGCCTGTAACACCAACAACAACGACGACCGACCCACCATTCCCCAGCACTACTGCACCCACGCAATTCTCTTCAGAACCACCGCCGACGAATGCAAACCCAGAACCAACTACTAGCATTGCAACGCAGCCTACACAACCACCTCCACCAACAATTCCGACGATCAAAACGATGCAAGGCCCACAGCCGCCCGAGGAAACCACACCAATGACGACCACGACGCCGTATACCACCCAATACATCACCACGGTGTCGATTGTCACCATCACGACAGTGGTGCCACAGACGGCCGTAATCTCCGGATCAACGACGACGATCTACAGCACCAAATACACAACCACCAGGAGACCAACTATCATTCCTGACCCGTTTCAACCCCTCCCTCCATCAGCATCTTCATCCCAGAATCCATTGTCTCACAGCACAGGCCTTCAAACTTGGCAGATCATCCTGATAATCGTGGCAGCCCTGGTCCTGGTATCTGCTTGTGCGACAGTCATCCTAATCGGCTGGATCCGAAAGAGAAGGCGATGGCGAGCAGGGAAAGAGAAAGCTGTAGAGTTGATGCCCGTCGGATTAGAGCCTTGGGACCATCCAGGCATGGGATCGCCACGCAGCGGCCGCCACGGCAGTGGAGGCGACGGAGGCACGCGAGTGACAGGAGGGTGGCACGAATATGACAAAGAGGGGGCATACGATGTCGCTGGAGCTGCAATGGCGAGAAGTTACCATGATCGGTATGCTGCCAACTATACAGGACGCGTCGGGTATCTAGGGCACGGACATGGATTTAGTGAAGACCATTACAGCACTGGGGGCCCTGGGTCACCACATGGACATTACCGTCATTCACCTTACGAGGAATTCGAATCATCCCATATCCGTAGCGGCAGTGGTATCAACGATCTACGCGACGGAGCAGCTGCTGAGAGCTATCAGGATGATATCACACAGGCCGCGCAGCAGCAGTTCGTTTACTTTCCTCAGCCACCACCATCACCACGGTCAAGCGCACTTCCGCCGCATCGGACAAGGTCGTCGTCCATGTCACAGACCAGCGGCAATTGCAGGCCGAGCGCATCTTCTCGCAGGGATTCGTCGAGGAATAGGAGCATACCGAAAACGAGTGAGGATCATATCCCGACTGGGGTTGCGTCTGCGGTCTCGGTTGCAGATACAGCGGACATGGGTCAGGACCCTCAGTCTGGGGACAAGGATGGATCTGGACAAGTGGAAAAGAACTCTATGTTTGAGCTACATAGAAAATCACCTCAGGCCTTGCTATCGATACGTCGCCAGACCCGTGCCCTGGCAGAGCTCAACGAGGAGCTGCGTGACCAGGACAATGCCCTTGCACTGGCTCCGTCCCACACCACGGGATCAGAAATGCAGAGAAACGAGGGTGAGTGGCCGCTGCAGTAGAATAAACCCCACAGGCTCCCCCCCCCTTTTTTTTTTGATGCGTCCAGTTTCCTGACAGCCCACTAACATGGGGGCGTAGCAGCGTTAGCACCTTCGGAGGATCCCCAGCACCCTTCCCGCCCTTGAAACACTGCCACCGTCTATCCCTCGGAAGAGCCCTCCTGAAAGGGGCAGGGCCTCCGCAGCAAGGAAGGGCTCTCTCATTTAGACTGCCAGCACCCGTTTAGACCGCCCAGTGTATGGAACGACACGCTTGTGATAGGTCCACTTCGAGTCCGAAAACAGAAGCAAAAGAGAATCGGCGCGTGCGCCCGAGGGTGAGACCAAGTGTCGATCACAAACCGGTTCGCCACCGATAATCGCGTCCTGTGATAGGTCACAGGTGCACCCTGGGGAGATGGGGTCTTTGTAAGCGAGGTTCTTCTAGAAACAATAAAGCGAGCCCATAGTGTGCGGACCTACAATAGGCGCCTTCACCTCCAAAGCAATATCTATAGAGAACCGGGTCAGGGTCTGTATGCACAAGTGTATAGTCTAGTCATGGGGGGGGGGAAAGGCCATTTCTGCATAATATTCTATTGCCGCAGCTCTTTGTGCCACCGTGAGGGCTCGATCCGGTGCTTTAGAATGGTACGAAAGGGCTGCACTGTGGATTTCCCAAAAAAAAAAAACCCCCCCTCGCGATTGGGTTTTGCGATTGCATTTGCTTATGAAGGGCGAAGAAGGGCCCATTCATGCACGGATATGGTGAGGAGAGGTTAGCAATCCGACAGAAGGAAACGAAAAATAGGGGAGAGAGGAGGACGAAGACGTGAGAAGAATCGGCTCAGGGTACCGGCTGACAAAGCGTGGCTATATCGAACGACAATAGTGTCAAGATCCGGCGGGGGACTATTTACTCCGAGGGGTACCACACATCAGCCGGATACATGGTCAGCCATTAAAAAGCTACTACCTCTCGAACATTCTTGATCACAAGGTTCGATTGTGTTCTTGGGCACCAGTTTCCTTGCGCCCGTACAGCGAGGTACACGATCGTGTAATCCCTCCCGCTCAATGATGGGCCCTGTCGAATGGTCATGGATTGTGGCTTCTGCGGTAGGCGGCAAGGTGCTAAGACTATATTCGTAGGTATTGTCTGACCGTTCAGATGCCTTACGCGAGCATACATCAAGCTCTGCCACCCTGGAGTTTTTTTTTCTTCTTCCATCCCAAAGAGTTTCCCGCCTTGCGTGCATACATGCACCATGCACAGAGTTCTGTTTGTTGTTCAAAAGAAAAAAAAAAATCTTCCCAGGTGGACAAAGACGGACGGATGTGAGAAAGAAAAAGAAAAAGAAAAAGAAAAAGAGAAAGAAAAAGAGAAAGGGAGGGAAAGGAGGGAGGAGGGCGAATTGGTCCATGCACCATGGAAGCCGAGGGCACTCAGCCCGGGCAGGCGTACGAGGACATGAGTACGCGTTTTCCGCGTACAGTACACTTGTGGGCGTGGGCGCAAGCATGGGCATAAGCATGGGCATGAGCATGGGCATAGGCATAGGCATGGGGGTAAAGGGCGGGAGCATCTGGGGAGGAAGTTTTTTCTTCTTCTTTCTCTTCGTCTTGTTTATTTGGCGTTGGGACAGACTCATTCATGCAGACCAAACAAAACCGTGGCAAGTTGCTTTGCGAAGAAGGACGCAGTGAGGTAACGAGATGGTTTTCCATATGTTGCTGAACAGCATTACAAAGGATGATTCCCATGAAAACTGGAGAACGTTAATGGGACGCGTTATCGTCCAGCCACTCTTATCCTTCTCTCCGTTTTTTAATCGTACAAATGAATCGTGTCATCACCACTTATGCGCCCCCTTTGAGCTGAAGACGCAATAGAGAATTGCCCAATCTTTTGGTTCACTGCTAAAATAAATGTCCAGGAAATGAGAATGGAAGCAGCATGAATAAAGCAGAAAAATGGGAGAACAAAATAATAAAAAAGCGCCGAGTGCAGTAAGCCGCCCGCAGGAGTCTGCGTGGGTCAGAGTTGCACAAAGTAAGGGAACGGTACGACCGCGCAGAGCCATTTGCTCCGATTCATCCCTTTGTGTTCGCTGTGCAGAGACAGACAGCATATACACGCATCGTTATCGATGAGGATTTTTTTTACTTATGTATGTCTGTGTGTATGTTGCTTATGCGGTATACATGTCTACCTTTCCCTTCATGTTTCCCTTCATGTTTCCTTTCATACTTGGTCTTTTTTCCTGCTTTTCGAAATGACAGGACGCGATAGAAGGACTACATTGCACTGTCAATGCCAATGTCAATGCCAACGCCAATGTCGGGCACAAGCACAAGCACAAGCACAAGCACAAGCACAAGCACAAGAAACTAGAGATGGACCTTGGACCCTTTGATGGAACACACACAAACAAGCGATATGCTTGCCGGACTAACATGCACAGCTTTTTCTTGAGATGCTGACATTCAAAATGTTGTGGTAGACCAAAGAGGACTTGCAAGGGAGCATGTGCATGCATACGCCACAGCAAATGGACGGCACAACATATACACACACACATTGCCTTCACACATACACACATACACACATACACACATACACACATACACACAGGACATCTGATCAGATCGAGAGGGAGACAGAAGGAAAAGGAAAAGCAAAAGAGGGGGGGGGGAAGGAGGGGCCGGGTGGAGTGATGCTTGGGCGGGAAGGGTTTCTGCCGGGAGAGGCGCATCGACAAGGTCGTAGTGGGAGTGGTTGAAAGAGGGAGCAGTCCATACAGAGGTAAAGTGTCCAAGTATGTACTTGAGCGTGTTGTATATAGTCCAGCAGTGGTATTGGGATAGCGCGGTGCGATGGGAGGGTTCATGCAGAAGAGTGAATAGGATATGCTATTGAGTAGCCCTTCGCACATATCCAGAGGTTGCAATGAGATTGGCCGAGAGAGTGAGGACCTTATTCGTCGCTTCCCTTTTTCTTTTTCTTTTTCTTTCTTTCTTTCTTTCTTTCTTTCTTTCCTTTCCCCCTTTCCTTCCTTTTCCTCATCTCCTCCTCCTCCTCCTCCTCCTCCTCCTCCTCCTCCTCCTCCTCCTTCTTCTTCTTCTTCCTATCTTTCCATCCCTCCCTCCCTCCCTCCTCGCTCTTTACCCTTCGCTCTTCGCTCCTCGCACTCCCTACGCCTGCCACACCCTTCACTCTTTTCTGCAGCCAACGAGAAGAGACCGAGCAGCCCATAACCCCAACCAGGCCTCCTCCTCCCTTCCCAAGCAAGACCCTCCTTACCCCTCTTGCCCCTCTTACCGCCCCGCACTGCACACCTCCACTACCTCACACCTCTCATCCCCTCACTCTCCAGTCTCGGACTAATCCTCCATTCCACCACATGATGATGCTCTACAAGCTGGTCGTCCTCGGGGTAAGTCCGTCTGAACCTCCTGCCATCCGTGGAGATGAACGACTGACTCTAACCAAACTCGTGCAATCCTGCTTCTTATTCGCTCGCAATAGGACGGAGGCGTTGGCAAGGTAAACATGAACACCCAGGCATATAGAAACTCCCAACCCATGGCTACATTGCTACCTGCCCAATGCTGCCCTCGAACCAATCGCGGTGCTTACTGGCTATCATCTCGAACATCCCACCTCTGCATCGTTGTATTATGCATCTTTTCCTTGTCGTCCCTCTTCCTCCTGCCTTGTCTTGCCCTGCCCTGCCTTGTCTTGCCCTGCCTTGTCTTGCCCTTGTGCTTGTTCTTTTTTGTCAATGCTCCTATATCCGTTAACGGAACGAGTCATCACGTCAACAAACCCTGCACTTGTTCCATGCTTCTTTCTTGTCAAAGTAGGAGTTGCGCGCCTATTTTCCCTTTACCAGCTGCATGATTGCCCCAGCTCTGGTCTGGCATCTTGCCCATCTTCCCATGCAGCTATCGCCTCGCTCTCGCTCTGAGTTTGAATACAAAAGAGATGGGGGGACATGGGGCCGAGAGAACCTGTTGTTCTGTCGCTGAAGAACAGTGAAACCACATGTGTTATCGTCCCATTTGTTTGAGAGATTGGTGGCAATGTTACTTTTGAGCAGGAGACATCTGCAATAGGCGGATTTTCTTTGGAAAAAGGACATTGGCATACTAATCGACTCTGCTAATTTTCTTGTGATGTATCTCCTTAGACTGCATTGACCATCCAGGCAAGTGAACCTAACCCTTCATATACACACACTACGTCCAATGTGTACATTGGATATATGAAGAAAGCGACCCGATACTCTGCATTGTATCTGTTATCGTCAGGATATATTACATGCGGCTGTGGCATAGTTTGATGTGCATCCATCTAAACGCAAGGCTGACAAAGGACCCTCCCCCTCCTTTTTCCTCTCTCCTGTCATCTCAAATAGTTGTGTTTAAATCACTTTGTGGGTAAGCAAAAACAAAAACAAAATGCTACTGGCGCTCGATATTATCGCGCGATGGCGATCGTCCGGAGCAATTGAGACTGTCGCAATGTTTGTAATATGTACACTAACGTCCATCCGATTCTTCTCTCCCAAATTATCTATGGACCTTATCTCAACACACGCTCCGACCATCAATTGAACAAACTATCCGGCGTCATTTGATAACCTTGCCATGGCATCTGCGGCGACTTAATCATTCCATATGACAGAGGTGAGTTTTCGGTAGCCGAAATCGTGTGTGCGTGTGTTTTGATGTGGTTTGGATATGGACCTGCGGGCATGAGCGATTGCTTCTTGCAGATGTTATCGTGCCTCTTGTTTTGAATCCGATTTCTTTTGGTTAATTGCATTTGCATTTGCATTTGTGCGCGTGCGACCGTGTGTTTGACGTTTTCATGGATGGCGCACGCACGAGAGCACTTGTTTTATCATCTCATTTTTTTTTCCCTTGCCATGCTTTCTGTATTTCAATTGCATGGGAACATGTGTAGTCATCACCATGTGCTCGCATGCGTGTTTGTTTATGCGTGGCATTGGGGAAGACGTGGTTAAAATAACAACAAAAAACGAAGACATGCATTGGGTGTGCTCAGTTAGACTGACATGAATATTCTCTTTGCCTCTTCTGTTTATTAGACATATGATCCTACTATCGAAGACTCTTATAGGAAGCAGGTGGTTATCGACGATCAAACATGCGTCCTCGAAGTTCTCGATACTGCCGGCCAAGAAGAATATACCGCACTGAGAGACCAATGGATCCGGTGAGTACCCCGTGGGATTTGCAACCGTGCTTGAAAGCGAATGCTCTGCTCTGCTCTTTCCTTGGTTTTTTACCTTCGTTTCTTTAGCGAAGGTACTGGTGCTCTCGTGCATATTCCTGGTTGAGCATCCAGAGGCAGTTGCGAATGCAGTTTTATTAACGCCTTGTCGGCTTTTTATTTTTTATCTTTTTTGTCAATATGATAGAGACGGCGAAGGATTCCTTTTGGTGTACTCAATTGCAGCTCGCTCGACCTTTGAGAGGATAAAGCGATTCCGGGACCAGATCACACGCGTGAAGGATACAGATAACGTGCCATTGATGTTGGTCGGCAACAAGTGCGACAGGTTGACGGAGCGCGAGGTTTCGCGAGACGAGGGCTATCAGATGTCGAAACTTTTACGATGCGACTTTACGGAGACATCGGCCAAGACCTGTGTCAATGTCGAGCGTTCGTTCTACAACGTTGTCAGGATGATCCGTCAGGCACGCGATGGCGGCGCACCACAGAAGAAGCCTGTCAAGAAAAAGTCAAAGTGCACGATTCTGTAATATGACTGACTACAGGTGCGGGAAGTAGGCGTGTTCGCATATATTTATTCTATTTTTTATTCACATCAACATCAGCAGCAACATCAACATCAACATCAACATCATCAACAGCAACAGCAACAGCAACAGCAGCAGCACCAGCAGCGGCAGCAGCGGCAACGGCAACAGCACCAGCACCAGCACCAGCACCAGCACCAGCACCAGCACCAGCACCAGCGCCAGCACCAGCATCAGCACCAGCACCAGTAGCATCGGCACCAGCACCAGCAACAGCAACAGCAGCAGCAGCGACAGCGACAGCAGCGGCAACCAGCAACAGCGACAGCAAAAAAAAAACAAAAACAAAAACAACAGCAAGCAAAAGCATCGTCATCAACACACAATAAAACTGATTCAAAGTAACAATGAGCCTAGCATTAAAAGGAGGGAGGATGTTCGGGGATGGTTTGGACGTTGCTGTCTGTTTACAAGCATCTTGGTGAGTATAGACTATTTGATGTCAAGGGTGCAAACGACAGGATACCATTTCGAAAAGCAGTTTTCTGTACAAGTGCATGGCTTTATTGGATTTGGGTTTGGGTTTGGGGTTTGTGGTCTCCATACTCTTTCCTTTCACGAATGTTGTTGGATGATGTGTATGCGTGTGCGTGCTTATTGTCTTATTTACAGGAGATGGCCCTTGCCAAAGTGTTGACCGGCATAGATAGAGTCGCCGTTGAGCTCCTCCTCGATGCGGAGCAACTGGTTGTATTTGGCCAGGCGCTCCGAGCGGCAAGGAGCACCCGTCTTGATCTGACCCGTGCGGAGACCGACGACGATATCGGCAATGGTGCAGTCCTCGGTCTCACCAGAGCGGTGAGAGACCATGATGCCCCATCCGGATTGCTGGGCAAGGAGAGCGGCCTAAAAAATGAATAAGGTGAAGGTGATAGATAAATAGCGCGGATTTAGGTTATTGAATAAAGTAAAAAAAAAAAGAGCACTTTGAGGGAAGGGGGTTTTTTTCGTGCATTGAAGTGAAATGAAGTGAAGCTGCCTGATAGAGGTATGAGCACTTCCTCTCGACTTTCATAAGAGAGCCCAGGACACCGGAAACGAGCCATCCAGCCAAAGGGTGCCCCGTTTTCCCTTCCCTTCCCCTCCCTTCCAGCGAACGAACCGTAAACATGGGCTGGTCAATTGAGGAGCACCAACACTACAAGTCGGCCACAATTTGCTGTTTTCCGGTCGTTGTTGCTCCCCCTCCCCTTCTCACCCCTCCTCCCTCGAGTAGAGCTCTGAAGGATGTTTCTCTGGACTCTCTCTATGCACTCATTCATATCCTTGTCCCTTGCAGCGAAGCGAGCCTTTTTTTTTCTTTTTTTTTTTTCTTGCATCTCATGCATTGTTCCTAAAATGGTGTCGTTCCGCTGTCAAAAAAACAGCCCAGCAAGAGGTACATTGTCTGGTACATACCTTGATGGACTCGGTGATGGTGCCGATCTGGTTAACCTTGAGCAACAAGGTATTGCAGGCCTTCCTCTCAATGGCGGTCATGATGCGGATGGGGTTGGTGACGGTCAAGTCATCACCGACGATCTGGACATGGGTCGAGCTAGTGAGGAGGGGCCAAGCATTCCAGTCATCCTGATCGAAAGGATCCTCGAGCAAGACGATCGGGTACCTGGCGGTGAAGTCCATGTACATGGTCGAGAGCTGCGCTCCGGTCAACCACTGGGAGGGATCGGACTGGGGGTTCTTAAAGTCCAAGTCATACATGCCATCCTTAAAGAACTCAGAAGCGGCGGCATCAATGCCGATCTTGACCTCGTTCGTGTAACCAGCCCTAGCGATGGCCTCCTTCAAGAGCTCGAGACCTTCGATGCTGCTCTGGATGTTGGGGGCGAATCCACCCTCGTCACCGACATTGGTGGCATCCTGACCGTATTTCTTCTTGATGACGGACTTGAGGGTGTGATAGACCTCCGAACCCATCTTCATGGCCTCAGCAAAGGAGGAGGCACCGGTGGGGAGGATCATGAATTCCTGCATGGCCAATTTGTTGCCGGCGTGGGAGCCTCCGTTGATGACGTTGAAGGCCGGGACGGGCAGGACGATCTTCTTGCCGCCGTAACCGGCCAAGTCAGCAATGTGACGGTAAAGAGGGACGCCCTTGGCGGCGGCACCGGCCTTGAGGACGGCCATGGAGATACCGAGGATGGCGTTGGCGCCGTACTTGGACTTGTTGGTGGTTCCGTCCAACCTGATCAGGAATTCATCCACCGCGCTCTGGTTCTGAACATCGATGTTGGCGCTGACCAGCGCGGGGCCGAGGTGTCGGTTGACGTTCTCAATAGCCTTGGTGACACCTAGGAAGAGGGCACGTACGTGAAAGTGGTGAGGGACATTGTTGGTGTGAAACGTGTGGGAAGATTTTTCCGGTGCTAATCGTTACAACCGCATTACACCATATCACGCCAGAAAAGCATTCATTCATCCGTGGGTTTCCCCTTATCCATCGCTGTCTTCTTTTTCTAGATCGTTGCTTCATCGACAAAGGACCTTGGGGTCTTTCTGGAAGCCTCTTGTGGGTCTTTTGTCTCTTGCACTTCTTTGGAATCAAAGCGCGTCCATCTTTTGTACCGAATAAAATGACCTACCCTTTCCAAAGTAGGCGTTCGCGTCGTTGTCACGGAGCTCGACGGCTTCGTGGACACCGGTGGAGGCACCGGAGGGAACGCCGGCACGGAAGACGCCTAAGATGTTGGAATGACATGGAGATAAAGGTAAAGCGTTAGATCTCGACTCGATAGGTTCAATTTGGATGTGGATTGTGTTCGATCGGACTTTTAGATATCCGTACCAAGCCCGGTGGTGACCTCGACCTCGATGGTGGGGTTGCCACGGGAGTCGAAGATCTGTCTGGCGTGGATCTTGGAGATAGTCATTGTTGGATGAGGGTTTGGTATTTTGATAGAGAAGGAGGGAGGGAAATTTGAATGAAGGAAGAGAGACGGAGAAGAGGAAATCGAAAGGAAGAGGAAGCCGTGTGCTAAACAATCCCGTCCAGCTGCATGACAGAACCAAGACAACCAGATACTAGGACCGGCTGGATACGAACATGGACTAAAATGTCGGCGCTGTTGTTGTTGTTGTTGTTGCTGCTGCTGCTGCTGCTGTGGGCGACGATAATGATGATGATGCTGTTATTGTTGACGCGGCAGTGGGGCGGCTGTAGACTTTTTTAGACATTTCGGACTTGTCCTACACATCCAAGGCGCGTTCGTAGAGCCATATCTCCAAACTGTATTTTATCACCTTCGCCCATCTCTCTCTCTCGCTCGTTTTTTTTTTTTTTTTTTTTTTTTTTTTTTTGGCCCAATTGCTATCCATTTCTTCTACAACTTCAAGAAGTTCCCTCTGGCCTGGCTATCGACCAGGCCATTGAGAGAAGATGCCAGGCTGGTAGTTTGATAAGATACTCCACACACAGCCCACTTCTGGGCAGTTGCTGGAACATGTGGAGTGTAATCGAGAGAGAGAGTCTGTGAGAATGAGAGAAAGAGATACCCAGTGTTCAATTGGCCTTATTTGCTTGGCACCTCATTTCCGTAAAAGTGGTAGAAAGTCACTGGTAGATATCCGCAGGAGTTATTTCGCTTGTACCTGCCAAGCGCCAAGTCTATGGTCGCAACCACAGCCCTCTCTCACAAGCCCACCACTCCCGAGTCAAGCGGTTAAATTTAAGGGCAATTGGCATTGGCATCGGCAATGGGCTGTTGGCTGCTGCAGGTGTCTCTCCCTCTCCCTCGCGTGTTGTTTGCTATGCGGTTGTTCGCTGTGTGGTTGTATGAACCGCTGAAAAAGAGTATAAAAGGAAAAGGAAGGGATTCGTTTCATTTGCTTCCACCAGCAACGCGGTTTATTCAAAGCAGTACCGCCCCTCCTCCCCCTCTTGGCCGGTTTGCCTCTTCGACGGACCAATACCAGCACAGCACAGCCTCATTCTTATCTCTCTCTCTCTCTCTCTCTTTCTCTCTGCCTCGCTCTCCGCCCTCTTCTCACACCCATCTCGACAGCTCCTTCTCTCATCACGCCTTTTCAGCTACATCCCATCCCTTGTCGCCTCTCATGACCGGCTCCAGCCAGCAGCTGCGGCAGCAACAGCAGCAAAAACAGCAGCAACAAGAACGGGCCATCCCCTACAACTTGGACCCGACCCAATCTTACACCCCCCTTTCGCCGCCAAACACGTTCATCAGTCCAGCGGGCCATGCCTCCGCGGGATCCGGTTATACCATCTCCGGACAAGGAATCATCTCCACAGGACCTGTAGGCCCTGGGACTGGTTCTACCATTGCTACTCCGCTGCTTCTGCCTCTCATCACCATCGCCGATGCTGCCACCAACTCCATCAGCAACACCCTCTCTTTGAACACTTCTGAGCACCTCCCTCTCCGCACCTCTTCACTCTATCCCTCCTCCTCTTCATCGATGGCACCCTCTATCGCTGCTACTGCTACCGCTGCTGCCTCCATTCCCACCCCCGCTACAGCCGCCGCCGTAGCCCCTGCCTCGTCCATTTCCACAGCAACCGTTGCCACTTCGTCTGTTCCTTCACCTTCATCCACACCCCGTCTCTCGCGGGACCAGACTGAGAGAACAGCAGTGACGAACGCTGGTCAGCCCACTCCAATGACCATTGAAGGCTACCAGGGGTACCATAGTACTGGCTCTTATCCCAATTCACCTGCCACCCCCTCCAATGGCTACGGATACGACTCTGCCTCGACCTCACAGCGCAGCAGCCAGGAGACTGGGACCGCACCGTCCGAAGACGACTATGCGCACATCTCGTTTGTGTACGCGAACGAAAAGCGATTTGGCGATTTCCATTCGCTCTTTAGGAGCGTTCCTGAGGACGAGAAACTGATCGAAGGTAACGACAGCTACCACTCGCCAATTGCTAAATGGTTTTATTTTTTGGGGAGGAGGAACCAATTGGGACGGGGGGGGAGAATGCAAATCGGGAATAGACATTTTTCGATACTTGTTTCTCGGTAGAGGGGGGCGGTGAGGCCCACTCGTTTTGGACACTCTCCACTGTGCAATCGATCCCCCTTGAGGCATATTCCATCTCCATCCTCACCAGGAAGAACCGGTTTGAACCAGCATCTTGTCCATCTGCCACGGACACACGTAATGCTTCAATGCCCTTTTAACCCAAAAAAAAAAAAAAGAAAAAAAAAAAGAGGGGCAGTCTGTTCAGATCGGTCCGTAGTGGCGTGTTGCGGTCGGAGAGGCCATCATAGCCCATATCCATCTCCAAGCCTACCCACACCACAAACATCTTGCGCTTCCAGGCCCAAGCACACGGGCACAATAAACCAACAAAACCAACAATGAAAAACCAGTTTGGGGGATGAAGCGCGAACGGCGCTCCCCCGAGTCTTGGCCACATCCACAACACGCAAAAGTGAGCGATTACCTAACCAGCCGATAACTGTCTCTTCTTTAGACTACGGTTGTGCCTTACAGAAGGAAATTTTGGTTCAAGGAAGGCTATACATCAGTGAGAACCATGTCTGCTTCAATGCCAACATCTTTGGCTGGGTCACAAATGTAAGTCTTTGCTCAGATATGTTATCCAAGAAGCATGGCCGACTCCCTCCCTCCTCCTCCCCCCCCTCCCCCCCCTCTTTTACCGAGGTTTTCTTTTAACCATCTACTTCTATGATAATAATAACTATGCAATCATAGCTTGTAATCGCCTTCTCGGAGATCACAGCTATCGAGAAGAGACTGACGGCGTTCGTCATCCCCAACGCGATCAGCATTGTAACCACCACGAACACAAAGGGGCACTTTTTCGCCTCGTTCCTATCGCGTGATGCCGCACACGATCTGTTGATGGCCGCCTGGAGAAAGTCATTCCCTTGTGCAGCAAATGCCTCGGTGGCGAGCTACGGCCCTGGAAACGGACCCAACCGCTTGGATCGATCGAGTATAAACGATGACGACGACAGCAATGACGGTCAGTCCTTTATCTCGGCCCGAGTCAACTCCGAATCCCGAAAGAATCGACACCGCCGCTCCTTCTCGAACGCGTCACAGAATTGGACAGGAGATGAGAGTACAGGTGGAAGAGATGACTACTGGGCCGAGGAAGAGGGTCTGGAAAAGACTAGCACTGACAATGATGTCCGTAGACGAGGATCCAAGAGGGCTGCCGTCAGGAAACTACTGAAAGGTACGAAGGCGATACCAATCTCCCAACCCGTACATCTGTAGGCCCGAGCGTGCGCTCTGTGCGGTGGCTATGCGTCATGTCAGATCGTTGGTACTAAAACGCCTTTTCCTGCTCTCATGCAATGATGCATATCTAGATGTTGTGGCCCCCATCATCCCGAGCGACGACCAGCGCAATGGTAATGTGTCTGTGTCTTCATTTTTTTTTGTCCCCCGCTTTTTTTTTTTATACCTCATCTCACTAATCTCTAACGTCCCATATCATTACAGCCTCTCTCTCGCCCAACAACACGGGCAGTAGAACCGGACGTGCTCGTTCAAAATCAGAAGCGCCGCCCCGTCCCACATCTTTTGATATTCCCCGGAATCGGGATTCTATCGTAACTGTGAGGTCATCGTTTGACACAGATGCCCTTTCGCCAGCAGTGTCGCGTCCTCATGCGGTTACGGGGTCATCGTCCAGCCCCCGGCCAGAAACTGCTTCACCCTCGAGCTCATCAGCGCCAAAACCTTCAGGATCGTCTTCCTCTGCGCGTCAGACACCTACGACGTGCAAATGTTCCAAGGACAATCGACATTACTCCAACCAATTCATGTCCGAAACGTATCCAGGAACCATCCAAGCGATATGGAAATTGCTCTTTGATTCAGATTTCAGCAAGGGCTTCCTGACATCCGAGGCGATGAAGGGTGCGGATGTGCAAGAAGAGTCCTGGCAAAAGGCAGCGGATGGGACCTCGACCAAGACGACGAGATATACCAAATGGCTTGGGATGCCGATCGGGCCCAAGACCACGAAGGCGATCTTAACGGATGTGTGCGAGCATAAGGACTTTGATGAATACGTGACAGCGGTGACGACGACCTCGACACCAGACGTGCCTTCAGGAAACAGCTTCACGACCAAGGTCCGGACCTGTATTACATGGGCTGGTCCCAATCAAGTTCAGGTTGTGGTCACAGGCGGCGTTGAGTTCACAAAGAGTAGCTGGATCAAGGGACAGATCGAGAAGGGTGCGGCTGAGGGGTTGACGACGCATTACAAGGAACTGAACAGCAGCATCAGGAAACACATTGCTGCCAATCCAAAGAGCTTTGTGGGATCCGGCGCCTCCTCGAGCGGCGGCAAGGTATCAGGTTCTGGAGCAGCATCATCGTCCTCTGAAGAGCGAGAGCGTAGCAGCGGAAGGGAGGGCACGCCAACCGGTTCAGTAGCTGGATCACAGGCGAATGGAGCTCAAGGACAGAGTAGTGTGGGGTCAGCCAACGTTGCTCAACAGGCACCCGCTGCAGGAAGGCCATCATCGTCCGCGGATTTTAGGCCCGCACTCTTCAAGGCGATGGATTGGAATCATGGGGCGACTTCTCAGCTGGTGCTGATTACTGTTCTGGTGGCAGTGATGCTGGCGAACATGTACATCTTTTTCCAGATTTCCAGCGTCAGTTCGCAGATCGAGAGGATCCAGAGCGATATTCTGTTTGTGGACCATCAACGCCAAAAGCATCAACAACAACAATATCGTCATCCTTCCCTTGATTTCTCGAGACCGTCTCCAGCTGGATCTGGACGGGTTCCTGCGGGACCAGAGAGATATCAGGGCGAGATGGATGAACTTGAGAGAGACGAGCTGTTTGCGCGAGAACAGGAGGATGCGATGTGGGTGTGGTTGACGGAACGGGAGGCACGGCATCAGCAGTATAGGTCGTGGAGTGGTGTTCGATCTGAGAAGGAGCGCAAGAGAGAGCAACCGTTGCCCACGGCCGTGCCACAGCAGCAGAAAGAGCAGAAAGAGCAGAAAGAGCAGAAGGAGCAGAGGGAGCGGAGGGAGCAGAAGCAGCGCAGGCTTACGGAGACTGAGGCGAGACTGCAGGCCAGGATTGAAGAGCTACAGAAGCAGATGGCAGCTCTAGAGAGGTATTCTTCGATGGTGAAGGTTACAACGCTCGCGGTTGAGCACGACATTCCTTCTGCTTGAAGCGGCTTTCAATCGCTGTTGTTTTCTTGATTCCCATTTTCGCATTCGCATATTACTTGAAAGACGAGTAGAAATAAAAAAATATAGCATTTCTCATAGAAGATGTTCAATGCCCGGCAGGAAGACTAAAAAAAAAAAAAGAAAGAAGCAAGATGCACACAGCCACCAGTGCGTGTAGCACCGCGTTTTGGGTCTGATATATCCCGTTCAGACATAGCTCTCCTGAATAACCCAAAAAGCAGCTTTTTTCTTCTTTGCTTCACTACTCTCTCGTTCAGAGGCGATGTCTTGTCAAATTCTTCATTTATTATCAATTAATCCCGAACAAAAGAAAGAAAGAAGGGAAAAAAAAAAAAAAAAAAAAAAAGCCTCGTCCACCCTAGAACTCATACCACTTCTTATTCGCGTTCCTAGCATTCAATTCCCGAGCGGCTGCCAAGAAGTCGTTGCTGGCGACATTCATCTCCGCAGTCTTGTCACCAAGCTCGCCCAGTCGTTTGCCGCGCTCGTCGAGGGTCTGGAGTGTATCGCCCATCATGCCCGCAAGACCTGAGGGGGGAGCAGCACCACCGTCCTTTGGCGGAGGTGAAGGTCTCGTGCCCGGCGGGCCTTGGACACCGGCGCGTTTCAGGATCGGGTTCTCGGCTCTGTAGTGTTCTCCGCCCACTTTTTTTTTTTTTTTTTTTTTTTTTTTTTTCGAAGATAATATAAAGGAGCCAAAGGGTTTGCGGTTAGTTTCAGTTGTCGAACGACCTAGCGAGCGAGCGCGAGCAACACTAATAATAATAAAAAAAAAAGAACGAAGGGCAAGGAAAAGCAAACTTACAAAGCTCATCCAGATCTTCCTGACTCGGTGACTCCTCGGCCGCTGACTGACCCAGCCCAAACCAACCTAAAGCGCCGCCATGCGAAGCCGCCGCGGAAGCAGCCGCATTCGAGGGCCTAGGCGGGATCTGGATCCCATGATCATACAACTGCAAAAACATCGCCGCCTCCGCAGACCGTTCCTGCTTCCACCCTTGTCTTGTCTGGATCCACCGATCATGTCCCCAAAGACTATACATCCTCCATTCGTACTTCAGGATCGGGACCAAGATCCGTCCGTCTGGTAAGATGATACTCTCACGCAACCTCTCTGGTTCGAGTACGATGGGGAGGAAGAGTTCTCCACCGGGGACGGGTAAGGGGATAGGTTCGAGTTTGGGGACGCTGAAGAGGATGATTCGGCCGGATTCGGTGATACAGAGGATGCAGCAGGCGCCAGCGTGGTAGATGACATTCGCAGCCATGATCTTTCCGACTTTGGCGGCAAAGATACCTGTTGTGTTATTGTTGTTGTTATTGGTGAGCTCAGTTCCGGTGCTGGAGAGGAGATCGAGCTTGTGGATACGGCGGGAGGTGCAGTTCATGTGCAGACGGATACCGTATTCGGAGACGCAGACGAGGTAATTGAGACGTTGCTGGGCCTTGTTCATGACTTTTCCTTGAACTTCCTTCAAGGTCGTATACAAAGATGGCTTTGCGGTTCCACTACCAATGGAGGACTCGGGTGGGGAGGATCGATGACCCTGAGCGTATCCAGGATCGTCCTCTGATCGTCTTGGAGACAAAGACGGGCTGTGTGACTTGGGTGGTGGTACTGGAGGATGTGGCTGGTTGGCGAGGTCGTAGGATCCAGAGGCTTGCGTGAGCGATGTGAATATGGTGCTGCTGGTCGCTGCTGTGGATACGGTCGAGACGCTCGGAGTGGACTGCGTTGCAGCAGCAGCAGTGGCGGCTGTGGTCTCGGATGGGGAGAGGACATTGATGATGGAGGTATGAATTGACGCGTACTGCTCCTTGGTCTGGAATGTCTCCACCTTTCTCACACGGCGGAATTGTTGAAGTTGCGATGGGTTGTAGTCTGGAGGAGAGATAGCAAAGATCATGTAGATGCCGTTGTTCGATCCAGCGAGGAGTAACAACGACGGCATCTTGTCCTGGTCACTCGTGGTGGAGACCACGAATTGGAGGGTGGTGATGACTACACCCACGCGCTGGAGAGTCTGAGGATCGACGGTTGAGTGGCCTCCATGGGTGGGCTGAGATGAGGTATCGGATTCGTATTGGTGGGTGCTGTTGTCATCGTTCACATTGGCACTCCTGTCGCGATCCAACATCACCACCTTCAGGTCTTCAACATGCAGCACTTTTCCTGACCGACTGTCTGTAATGCTAAGAGTGTAAAACTCGTCCGATACCGCGATGAGCCCGCATCCAGATACTGCAATCTGGTTGATCGATCCCATGTGCAGAGTCGACAGGAACACCGACAAGAACTCGGATCCGTTAGGGAGCGAGGCCTCCGTGAATGCTGGACGTGGTGGAAGCGATGGCGATGGCGCTCGGTCAGGAGGCGAGGACATGGGATTTAATCCGCCTGGGGGCTCATCGCGCAGCTTGACAGGATCGACTGGAGAATGTGGGACCAGATAATCTAGATCCTCCTCGTTCGGCATTAGGGATCCGGTGTCGGAGAGACCGGTATCTGATCGCTTCGGGGCTGCAGGTGGAGCGATTTGTGATGTACCAATATGTCCCGAAACTTGGTGCGGGGGTGGTGAAGGCATAGTCATCACATTACCGGGCTGCGGTTCTGGCTCCTGAACGGTAGGAGTTTGATGCCGGGGTGATTGGGTTGGCATTTGATCTGGAATGGGTTGGAGAGACTGGACATGTTCATGTCCAATTGCGTTGTCGTGACCATTGATATTCATAGCCTCCTTCAGGCTTGTTGCCAAAGCATCATCCACAGGCGATCCGGGCATAGTCCTGGCAACACTCGGCTGCCGCGACACATCCACGTACGTAGAAAGATGTCCATAGATCCAGTTTCCATTCGAGAACCCCACAGCCAGGACCTGGCTATGAACTGAAAACTCAAACTCCACGATCGTTCCTTGGTTCTTGAAGAATAGCGGTTCGAGTTCAACAGTGAGATGGCGTAGAGGTTGAAGGGATGCTGCCTCCCAGAAGCGAATGCTCTTGTCTGCATGAGCAGTGACCAAAATGTCTCGACAGAGTCGGGACTCGTCCATCGCCGCGACCTGTATTCCACGAAGGGGTATCCTTGCTACTTTGGCTGATCTTTGGTGGTGGCTGATGTCGTGACCGTAGACTAATCGGTCGTAGATATCCTGAGGCAGATGTCCGTACACTTTGGCACTCACCAATCTCGGTTCCACGAAGGAAAGAGCCGAAGGGACAGTTTGTGGGGCATATGATGCATCAAAGCTGAACGACTTCACGCCGCCGCGGTTCGTAAGCACGAGAATGGACACGGGATCGAACGCGCCGTTGAACCAGGGTGAATCTCGAGGAAGGACGATAAAATCCAGGATATCTGATTCCATTGACAGCATGTGTTGACGTTTAGGGCTGCGGTAGTCTGGTTTGGCAGGGAATTCAAAGAGGTGTAATCCGTACATGTCGATCGAGCTCGTTCCGCCTCCGACTATGAGCGTGGTGTCCTGTTTATTCTCGTGCAAGCACCAAGAGAGTTGGTAGATCGGTACAAACTGCGCAGAATCTCGTTCAAAGACAGGCCTGATCCCTGGAACGTTGACCTGCAATTCATGAATGGTCCTCGCCAGAACAGGTCTCTCCTGCCGAATATCCCAGAACACAAAGCATCCGTCGTCGTAGCCACTGACAAAGCCCAATCCGTCTGGCCGCCAAGAGATCACGGTGACATGAGGATATCGGCTTTCGTTGATGCCAAACATTCCATCCGGAGCTACAATCCCTCCCATGGCCCCAGGAGGGATCTCGTAGATGAAGGTACGGATGACTGACTTCAGTTTGAGGTTCCAGAGCGCCACTCCGGTGTTATACGCGATCAACAGTTGGTTATTGTCTTTAGGATGTGTCTGGATCGAGATCACCATAGAGTGTCTCCCTCCTTCGGGTAAAGTGTTGGGGATCCTATAGGGTACTGCCTGGCCTCTGTACACATCAAAGACGTCGATCGTGCCGTCTTTTAATCCGTGGAAGAGCCAGTTGGATCCGGAGAGGAGCTCCATGCAGGTGACGATATTGCGCGCATTCCTGACAAAGAGGCGCTGCCTCTTGATGAGATCAAAGACTGTGATGGCATTCTTCGCGTCGATGACTATGAGAACGGGAGAGCCTGGTTGGAAGGCCATCATCTTGACGGAGACTGCCTCCTCGAGCTCGAGATAGCCTGCCAATTCTGGTGCTCCTGTTACTGCAATTGCACCCTTGAACGTGCCTAAGATGCGATATGAAGATACAATTGGCCCATGATCAGTTCTTTGGAGTCTTCTGATCTCATCTCAACAGTTAAAAAAAAAAAAAAAAAAAAAAAAAAAAAAGAAGATAGAACACCACAATGTTCCTCGATTTGTAGCCATGCGTATAGGAGGAGGAGTACCATACGGCCAATTGCTTACCGCAGGCGAGGAGACTCTGAACAGGGTCGACAGCCATGGCAGAGATGAGAGCTGGCAGTCCATACCGTCTTGTCTAAAGAACATTGGGCTCCCCAAATTGGCGCAGCTATCAGCATGTGGAAGATAATGGATGGCGTGTCGATATTCATTTCTACTGGAGTTACAGCTGCACATGCATACCTCGCAAAAGGAAAGGGTTTCAACCGCCAGATTGGCCGAGAGATCCTGCGCAAACCGCTTGGTGCCCTCCTTCTGTAGGGCCTGCCGAATACCACGTGCACCCTCAGTCTGCACCACAGCCTTGATCTTGTTGAAGAACGCCATAGGTTGTGTGGATATGGAGTAGGCAAGGGTTTGAATTTGGGGAGGGGGAGAGGGGGGTTAAGAATAATGGCCGGATAAGTTGTGGCAGAAAAGGGTATATGGTACAAGAGAGGAGGAGCAGGGCGATGAAGGCACCAAAAGCGATTCTGTTCCCGGAGGATGGACCGACAAGAAGGCGTGAAAGGCATGGACCTGGCTGTGTTCAGGTGTGCTGCCTTGCAATTGAAGAAAGCTCCATGAAGCGCTACAGAAGAAATATATCATCTCGCAGTTAAAGAGAGCCACCTTGCAATTGAGGAGAGCTCATTCTCTAGACATGCCTTCTGCTTGGTCCTTCATCCATTTCGTCTTAGACCTTCCTTCCTCTCGCCAACCTCCTCGGCGTACTCGCACCGTCGCGCAGTTCAGCATACAGTCCGCTCACTCACCCACTCGCTCACTCATCCTTTGTCTTCCCATTGACGCGCCATGGCCTCATTTCAGCCACGGACAAAGGACAGCTCCGCGCGAGAGCTGGTCTCAAGGGTGATGAGCCCCAGGATCGCGGTCATTGCCTCCCAGGGCGCCAACGAGCTCTGCCAGGCTAATCACTTGTCTTCGGTTGTAGATCTCCTCAAACCCTTTGGCGAACGAATGGAAGGCCGAGGTACAACAAGTGTCTGTGTTATATCATCCTAAACGCGACGCGCTTCGCTCTCGCAATGGCTGACATTTTGTACCATTTGTACATGACCTGCCAACGATAGTGACCGTCCATGGTTCAATGGGCTTGCCCTCAGCAATCGACAACTTCACACTACGTCTCACAGAAATGGATCAACTCGAAGAACCTGATCCGAAGACGACACAGCGCTGGCTCGCAGAGGTGGTGCGTGCCGCGGCACATGGATACGACGACCCATTCAAAATCCGGGGCAAGAAGCAGGTCACAAACGATTACCTCAATGGTGCGTTACGAGCATGCAACCGATTTTCACCATGCAGAACTGAAGCGCTTAGCGACATGGAAATCAGCATTTGTCGTGAACTTGGGTAGTACAAAAATTACATGGGTTGCTGACAGGACAGTCGTCTGACATTTTGTTCGATAGCACCAGCAGCGCATATCTTCCCGTGGTATTCGAGCTATCGGGACCTTTTCTTCTCGACCAACGGTGTATCGGACCACGAGACGTTCGAGCATCCTGTCGCATGCATCATCGCCATTTCTTCGCTTTCAGTGGATCCCATCAATGAAATTCATCAATTGAACAACATGAGCACACCTCCGATTGTTTTCGAGAAAGCATTCATGGATCCAGCATTATTGAAATACTACGTATTGATCCACGATTGCTCAAAAGGAAATATCGATACGTAAGATACCCGCATATTTCAATACCAGAGTCTGGGCTATCTCTTGCACCCAGGAATTTTGAGTAGTGGTTGGTTACCTAATATCGATTTGAATGCTCTTACTCTTCAATAGCGCGATGGAGACTCTGGATAAGATGCGCCGGACGTTTGGGCTTCATTGCAGTATTTTGAAGATCAACTCTGTGGATCCCAATAATTCCACATTACCCAAGGACAGGAATGCTAAATACTGGACCAAGAGCGTCGCTTTCTCAAAATTGCTGGCAATGGGTCATGCAGCCAAGGATGGGACTACCCAACGAAGCTCACTCTCCTCTATTTCCTCGACAAATGCCTCAGGGAGTCTGGTCGACTTAGCCTCACAAAGAAGCTCCATGTCCTCTCCCGTCTATTCAGGCACCGGCAACAGCTCGCCAACATTTGCGCAGAATCCTGTTTTTGCGCAGCTCGGAAACGATGAGGAGGATGGAACATTTGATCATGATCCACTATTGCTTCCCCCAACAGAGAGTCAGGATCTCACCATGGATCTACTACTTCACCCCGAAAAGGTGGCAGAGGCATATGGATGCTGTCTCAGCGACGAAGATATCAGCGGGATCGCCCAGATGTTAAAAGAGATGCTGGCGCAGAGCATTATACCATATATGGAGAGAAACATTGCCCACTGGAACGAGCAGGTCGCTGCATCGCGCAAAGGAATCGCGGGTCGGTTCAGGAGATTTTTGGGTGCTGGTTCCAAAAACCCTTCGCTGCAACAATCGCCAGCAGCGGGACCGAACGGAGGCGTGATTTATCCGCATGCTGCACCCGAGGCACAGATGCGCAAGTTGGCGGATTGGGCGTTCATGTTGAGAGACTACAAGTTTGCGTTGTCCGTATACGAGACAGTAAAGAAGGATTTTTCCGCGGACAAGGCATGGAAGTACTATGGAGGCACCCAGGTACGCATCCATCTGCACAAAGACAAAATAACCGGATGGACAAGGAATTCCAGCGTTTTTTTTATTTTATTTTTTACTTATGTTCGTTGTGAACATTAATTTGCCATATAGGAAATGATTGGGCTTTGTCTTTTGATGTCGCCTCAGCCGCTTGGGTCTAAGAATGATGTGGATCACTATTTTGAATCGGCAGTGAGCTCCTATATCTACAAAGCACGGTCATCATTCTTTGGATCGAGGGCCACAATATTGTGCTACGAACTTTTCAAGCAGAGAAACATGTATAGGGAGTCGCCCACTACTTTGACGAGGATGACTGCAGATGTAAGTATAGATGCATCATCGAAAGAACATCAAAAGATACGTTTGTTTTTCAGGATCTTAGGCTTGATGTAACATATTTTGAACTTTAGGCGTCCGATCTTCGCAATGGCCTATTTCTGGAGCAAGCGGCGCACTGTTACCTGAAGTTCCCAAGTCCCCAGGTTCGCAAGTATGCCTTCCACATGATCATGGCCGGCCACCGTTTCAACAAGGCGGATCAGGTATGTAAATCGACGATTGGCGTGTTTTGGACTGCAGCGTTCTCCCTACATAGGCGCTAACAGGAAAACCTGGTGCGTAATTTTAGAAAGAACATGCATACAGATGTTACACGGCGGCTTCTCTTGTGTACGAATCCAAGGGTTGGGCACTTGTGGACGACCATATCAGCTGCTCCCTTGGAAGGCAATCGTACCAACTTGGAAAATCGGAGGAAGTTCTTGACCACTACAAAAAGTTGCTGCGCGAGAGCAGACAATCACCCCAGCAACAGGGGGTATATATGAAGGAGTTTTTGAGCGTTTATAGGGATTATACCAACAAAATTGAAGCAGATCCCTTGCGTGAAACATTCCCCGATTTTCCACTTCCTGTCGTGCTTGGGTCAACTGCCAGGATCCTCTCCACCTCACAGTCTACGCACGAAAATAATGAAGCCTGGGCAGAGTTGGAGGGAGACATGCGGAACTCTTCAACATCCAATGGAGGGCGTACGGTCTCTGCTGTCGGAGGTATGTCAACTGATTTGTCCTGAGAAAGGGTACGATATACAACTCAAGAACGGATTGACATAACCAATGTAATCTAAACGTTATATAGAGCATGTGCTGGCGACAGTCAACATCAAGAACCCATTGCAGATTCCAGTGATCTTGACGGATGTCATTCTCGGATGCGAACACAGTACCTCGACCACTACATTCACAGTGCCTGTGGACGCAGCTGAAGAGGCGCACTTGGCATTGTATGATCAGCAGAGTCCATCATTTGAGGGCAAAGTTTCCTTCACTGCATTTGACTGCGATCGTATTGACCGGGTCATCATGGAGCCAGGCCAGGTCCGCACGTTGACATTCCAAATTCTGCCAAAGCAAGAGGGCCAGATCAGGGTCATGGGTCTGCATTGCAACGTGGAGGGCCAGGTTCATGCATACAAGGACATTGTGAAGAAGGGAAAGCGACTGAACAAGACCAAGGAGCAGATGATGTCCCAGGTGTATGAAGAAGATAAGAGTCTTATTATTCTCGTTGCACCAGAGATGCCACTACTGGATGTCGAGTTCCATTCGTCCCCGGAGATGCTGCTCTCGGGCGAGGTTTGCGAGCTGTCCCTAGAGATTAAGAACCGGGGCAAGAAGGGACTTAAGAATCTCACGGTCAGAATGAGCCATCCAACGTTCTTTTGCATCGGAGAAAAAAGAGATGAAGGAGACCTTGGCGTGTACAGTAAGTGTCGAGCTGCCTGCAGATTACTGAACCTCCCGGGTCAGGAACTCTGTATCTAACACCGCCTTGTGCTTATTATTTTCTAGATAAAGGAAAAGGTGAGACGGCATTTGAAACGATTCAGGTCGATAACTCGCTGCAGCTCAATTCGACACAAATAATTCTGGACAGGGTGCTGGCGCCAGGAGAGAGCATCGGGATCCCCAGTTGGCTGCGGGGAGAAAAAATTGGCAAGCACAGCTTCCTGTTTGTATTCTCGTACGAGTCTGAACAGGAAGGCACGGCGATGGGTGTCAGGACACTTCGACATACCCTAACATCGCAGGTATTGCCATCGCTCAAGATCAACGCCTTTACAAGACCTAGTACGAAAGGACTGAATGAGTTCATTCTGGGTATTGAGGTATGCTGAGTTATTGATCATGCCTTCATGGAGCGAATAAGTGTGTCGCTGGAATATTGACCGAACACCGCCTTTTATTTCCCCTTCTGCCATTGTAGACGGAGAATCTGCAAACTGTCCCCAACTTTGAGTTCCTCCAAATCTCGTCCATGAGTGCCTCTTGGATCATCGAGGCAGTAAACAAGTCAGAGTATGTTATTTTATACCCACGCGTAGCAGCTCTCTTTCTCAGTGGGCACGCTAACATTTTACTTTACTTCTTATATTCACTGTGTGGTAACCAGTGAGGCCGAGGAATATCGGTCGATTGCACCGAGGCACACGGTGTTCACGTATTACAGGGTCCGCAAAAGCGATAGGGTTTCCTTGCCTGCTGTCACGCCTGAGAGGTTCATGGCTAAGGCCCTCGAGAAATTGGTCATTGGTCAGGAAAGGCCCAAGGATGTACCTCCGCCGCTGGATCTTCAGTTATGTCATCTTTCAACAGTATGTGCATGTATCAATATTAAGGCATATATCTTGCATATTGGTATACAAAACGGTTCACATACTCATTGTCTCGATTCTGATATGTTTATCTAGGGCGAGTCGCACATCAGCTCTTCTTCACCAGTCCTCAAACACTTCTCACGCGCCTCAAGACTCGGTTGGCGCCAAACCTCTTTGGCAACCCAGTTCTCTTCTATTCCTTCCAGCGTCGACAGACGGCACCTATTCTCAGTCTATGGCAGCAACGATATTGACCTGGCATTGTTCTGGAATATCCCGAAGATGAACCGGCGTGGACACCATTATATCATCGGCATCAACTTGGGTGTCCAGCAGAACCCCTTCCAGCCGATTGACCCCAACGATGAGTTGGACGGTGAAGGCGGCGAGGAGACAGAGACTGCACGGAGAGCACTCTATGAACAGACGATGAGGGATCAAGCTGCGTTAGTCCAGGCTCTGACGATGAATCCACACTTCCGGGACGAGAGTCCTGTCAAAATTTCGATGCGATCAGAAGATGCTGTGCAGCACGATTTTGCTCAGAAGAGGTACAGGCGATGGATTGCATTTTTCTTGTGGCAATGACTCGCACGTACAGCTCGAATGCTACTCGCGCTAATCTGTTTATTTGTTATTCATATCACAGGCTGTGCAGTACTCCGGTCAAGGTCGTGATCAAGAACTGTTCTTGGAACAAGCACATTGCCTATACGCTCGAGATGCTTTCAAGCAACGACCCTATGGTTCCTCAAAAACCGCCCGGCACAGCGCTCGATCACGCTCCTCCACAAGCAGCCATCATGGACTCCACCAATCCACACCCAAACGCGCACCCGTTCTTCTGGTCCGGGTCTACGTTTAGTACTGGCTATTTAGCGCCTATGGCCGAGGTCGAGGTCGTGGTCATGGCATGCTTTACAGGGTACGGCGTGTATGACATTAATCGATGGCGGTTGGCAGTGCAGGTCGCCAAAGCGCAACGAAAGAAGAAGGAAATTAGAAGAACAACAAGCAGCTCTGCTGCAAAGACATTAGAAGAGGAGCAGGAAGAAGAGCGACAGTCTACGATGCCGCCGGCTCCTCCTCAAGGAGTTGGGAAGGGCTTTATGCAAATGCCCAACTTGGCACATTACATCCAGGTTTCATAAAGGCAACCTGAGAGATTGAAATAAAACGCAATGGGAACAAAGCGACCGTATCGTGCTTTAGCGCGGAGTCTTTATTCAGCGCTCCCCTTCTAGGGTTGCTTCTTGGTTAAGATTTTCAGTTCCCGAATAACTGGAGTACCACTTCGAAGTCCTCTGAACACGCATTCTACCGACTCTACTTCTGATAGTCCCGTGCGCAATTTTGCTACAGCCTGCAAATATGTCGAAAAGAACGAAAACTGAGTCAGCAAGGACTCTGTATAGCAGTATTTTTCCAGCAAACCATAGCAAGGACATTTGCGCTTACCCTCTTGGCTTCAGGCTCATTAATGCGGACCAAATCGCGGAACTCGGCAACAGAAAATCCCATCAGGATTTCAACGACTTTCTGGTCAAGAATGCCCTCAAGTGTAGTATTGTCCATCGTTAAGTTTGATTCAGTCGATAGGGCGGCTGGGAGGAGAAAGATCGGGATTGAAACCGCCAGCGTTGTCAGCGAGAATTTGCCCAGTTTACGAACACGGGCCTACAAAAGAGATGCGAAATCAGAAGTGTTATAAAAATCAGCATCATGTCTTTTAGATTCCACTAGCATCCTGAACTGAACGATTTGCTATACATACCTTGGCCTTCACTTCGCGCCCCTCATGCACAGCCCCCTGAACCTGGTCCAGCTCCACTTCGGGCACAACAGGGATGATCTCAGAAAGGCCGCCAAAATCGTCCTCGTCATCCATATCAAATTCCAACAAGGTCTCCTCCAGCTTGATGGGCACCGATATCTCAGAAGGAGGTTCCTGTCCTCGTCTAGATTCTTGCGTGAATAGTTCGTTCAACTTCGACCGTAAGACTCCAGAGCCGTCGGGTTCGGGCTTGATACTTCTGTTTATATCGAGTCCTGCTACATTATGATCCGGATTAGAAAGCGGCTGTCCATCACTGATTTTGTCGTCATCGTCGTCGGATGATAGGTCGATCGCCGCATTATAGCTCGCCCCTTCAAGTCTTGACGCCTCAATCTTCTCCATTTTAACCTTCAGAGGCACAGCATTAGGGCTTACAGACCGCGTAAAATCTTTCATGATCGACCCTGATCTGGACCAGGATAAGTGTCTTGCCTCCTCAGTTTGATCCGTCTTGGAATACGAAGCAAAATCGTCTGCCTTTTCCATCTTAATGTCAACCAAAATACCGTTAACCTTTTCCACCTTGACCTTGACGGGGATGTCTTCCTCGACCCATGGCAAAGTCGAGAATGATCTGGACCGCCGTCTGTCGGGATAAAAGTCCTGATCTACTGGCTCATACTCCGGCGATACTTTCCGCTTCTTCCCATCGGCTTGTTCCTCCGGTATCCCCTTTCTTGAGTCACCATTGGGTTTGCGTTCCGTTGCCAGACCCTGTTTTGTCTCCACCTCCCAGACACCACTCGCTTTCTGCTTCTCCTGATCCTGCAGCTGCAGTAATTGCGAGTGGGGCGATTTCAGACTGATGTTTCGCCGACCGAAGGATGTCCTTCTCGTTGGAGACCTTGTGGCCACAAGCGGTGGGCTATTCGCTTTACCTATTCCGGCATCCAATGGTTGATTCTGCTTCTCGTCCACAGATAACTGGGATATGACTTCCCATTCCGCATCATCGCACGGCAGCTCGATGTCGTCCATCTCCATATCTTGCTGAAAATCCCACTGCGGTTCTTGCTCCCGTAATATTCGCATATATTCATCCACTTCCTCGTCTTTTTTCTTGCGCTCTGGTAGCACCTGTAGTGGTGGCGGTGATTCAGAGCTACGAATAGGTTTGAATGATTTCCATGGGTTGGGTATGTCGCCAGCGGAAATCGGGGCGCGCCAGTTGGATTGGTTGGATGATGATGAGGCAGTGGATGGTATAGCATCCTGAGCACTCACTGCAGGCTGAGGATTCTTCCAGAGATTGCTAAACGCATTGTTTGTGGTGCTGGAGCTGCTACCACTGTTGACGTTGTTCATGTTGTTGACGTTCGTTAGAACCGTCGGTGTGTTAGGCCTTGGGTCTAATTGTTGCCTAGGTGCTGCTGTAATCTCTGCAGTAGGGAGAGTATCCATGGGCAGGCTGTAAAGAAAAGGACAGGATAGTTTGTAGAGCGATATTAGCATGATGCTTACCTATTTTCCCATCCTTATTTTTCTGTCGGTCCTTCTGATGACAATCTATATACCCTAGTCGCTTCTTCATCTGGTTCATAATTACGAGTCTCCTTGGGTGCTGATTCATGCTAGCAACTTCGCCGCCGACGAGAAATGCGTTGGTAGGGTCCAACTGCAGTACCCCATGTCGTACATCCACGCCCCTAACCCTGATCTATGCAGTTTAAAAAATAATTCATGCAACACATGTACACATGTTAGAGATAACACCATTAACTGCAGTAAATACTGAATAATGTGCTCGTCCAGTCGCTGATCTCCATTCATACCTTGGCTCCCAGTTTCATCTCCATCGCGACTCCCGGGATCGGTTCCATCACAATAGCCCTCAACTTCCTGACGCCGTCCGTCAGATCCAAGGAAATCATGCCTTTTGGTAACGCCTTCCCAACCTGGAACCCGCCAGGCTGATCCCCCGCGATACCAATAGTCTCACACGCCTCGAGCATCTTGAGCGAGCTGCTTCCAATGTCCTGGACCTCGAGGATCTGTAAAATAACGCCTCCTCCAGTCGTTCGACCTAAGCGCCCACCATCACCGTCTGTAAACAAACACTGCTTGTGCGGAGTGGCGACAGAGTGGGGAAGGAGAGGTCTGGCATCGAGTATGCGAAAGTCCGCGAGGAGGTACATGTCAAAGATGAACTGGGCTAGATCCTGGTTCGATGCAGAGGAGGAGGAGCCCTGTTTGTGCCTGTAGGCGATGCACTGGCGGGTCCATTCGACCGAGGCGTTCACGCCCATGTGCTGGATGGTGTTCCGGACGAGAAGATCATCGTGAGGCATGCGAATATGCGAACGGGGTGAGCGTAGGTGCCTGGAGACAGAGGGCGAAAAAGACAGAGGAAGGTGTAGTGTGATAAGAACAAACGATGTGTTTCTGTTGCTGTTGCTCAACGGCGCGTTTGATTAAAAAATTGGTGGCGTTTTTTTTGGACTCCAGCAGCCCCCTGTTTGTCCGCATTCGGTTCGCACGCATACTTTCTGGCACACAAGCACAGCACAGCGGCAGCACACACAGACCATGGACAACCGTGTCTTTGCCACAGTGGGATCGACGCGTTTCGACAAACTCATCGCTGTGGTCTCATCCCCTCCCCTGCTGAAGCTACTCTCATCGCTTCACTATACTCATCTTACGATCCAACATGGCCAGAGCCCGATCACCATCTCATCACCACAAGTGTCATCAGTTTCACCGGATGTGCAAGTTGACGCGTACCAGTACAAGTCCTCCTTGCGTGAGGATATGGCACAGGCCAGTTTGGTTATCAGCCATGCAGGTACATAAAAGTCGCGACCTTTTCTTTATCCATTATTCAATTCGTGTACTTCGATCCTTGAATTTCACTCTATATACTTAACATACATATCGTAGGTTCTGGATCTATCCTGGAGGCCCTACGATTGAAGAAGAAGCTGATTGTCGTCGTGAACGAGGACCTCATGGATAACCACCAACTCGAGCTCGGCTCTTCGCTTCATGAACAAGGCTATCTTGTTTGCTGTAGTGTCGCGTAAATTTTTCTATCTCCCTTTCTCCTTCAATTTTTTGAGTGCTCGTTTTTTAACGCGCGTGTAACTTATATTCTCTCATCCTTTTACTCGCGTCACGTTGAACTTGTGCAGGGACCTTGAAAGTGCTCTCAAGGCAAAAGAATACCAGTCGCTCACGCCGTTTCCAGACCAGGACCCGATACGCTTTGCTAGCTTTTTGGACTCACAGATGGGATTCTGAGATAAGAATGTTTGCAAGCATATAAATATACACAGTATTTGGAGTGATTTTAGGATGCATTGAGCGAGTTCTATCAAAATGTTCAGTTAAAAGAAGATCTGGAGCTGGAGTCTGAGGGAACAAATGCAAGTGCATTAAAACAGACTGGCGAATTGTTGGTGGATAGAGCCCCAGCCCTGCATTAGCTCGATGGTTCGCAGTACTATGAGTCTTGTACATACCTCTGGAAGCCATTTTGGGAGTTAGACCCTGGACTACTACCTTGCGAGACGACCGGTTTACGCTTTCCCCTCCCCCCGCCTCACTTTCAGCAGACAACATCCAGGACTCCTTATCCAAACCCTCAGCCTTGGTCACGCGCATTCTAGTCCGCTCAAATCTATGGCGTTCTGTCAATAGTACCATCGGAGGCCACATTTCTTCCGAAGGCTCGTTGCTCTCGGGAAATTCGTTGCGAGAAGATAGACGGGTTTGGCAACTGTATAAGACATAAACAGACCAAAAGACAGGCAGAAACCCAATATCCAGGACATGGTAAAGCGTCTGAAGAAAGGTCTTGGGATGAGGAGCTACCTTGCAGCTACAATCATGCCAATAATCATCTTCAAAAAAGAATTCCGCGCTCCCTCATACAACCCGTTGTACATCTCTGTCGCTCCGGATTCCTCGTCCACGTTAGCGGTCGAGAACTGACTAGGCTATGCCGTTGTTGTTGGCGCATAAGACCAATTCGAGTGCGCGAATTCTGCCGTTGGTTATATCGCTCTTGCGACCTCAGAGCTGTCCAAAGTACTTGAAATGCTCAGTAAGAGTCTCGCGATAGACGTAAAAAACCTTTCTGCCGACAGTCAGGCTAAATGCGAGCAGAGCTGGTTATTAAATTGACATCGAAGAATTGTCCCAGGAACGGACATTTAGGAGGTTGGCGGTTCGGCGGGTTTCTTCGATCCGTCAGCAAATCGAGAGGGAAGGGTCGAGTCGCCGCTCGATGAGTGTTGACGGCGGAAATCCGGCATATGATGTACTGGTACTGGTGTCAACTCTACGAACGGCTCGAATCACATGGATGTCAAACGCGTGCCTTCGCTGTCATACTTGGAGATTTGTGTTGCTTGAGATGCGAATACCACGATATCTGAGTGCTCTTTCTCTGTATCGGTCTCGTTCTCGTTCTCGTTCTCTGCCAAAGGCACGGCCGGAAATGGTTTGCTTGGTTCAAAGTTGCAATCTGATAGTACTCGGGGCCTCGGTCTCTTGAGGGACTGATAGAGGCCCTCAATCTGGACAACATAGCTGTTGTAGTGGCGACTAGGAGCCTTTTGGCATCTTTGTGGCGCAAACTGCTGAAAATGACCGCAATGGGATATCGCTTGGTACGTGGGATGTGTTTGATATCTCTACTCGACCATGACTTATCCCACGGATCCTAATGACCTCTGGCTCATAAGGTATTGTACTTTGGCCCATCACCCTTCAGAACAATAGTTATTAATACGGGTGCATAGTACTACATATTTGGCGCAATTGCAGGTGGAAGGGCATTCGTTATTGGGTGAGGTTTGGGAGGACGCTTTTTTTCTCTTGCCCTAGTGTTTCTTCTGCATAGCTCGTCAAAAAACAATGGGATAAGGATGCTCTGCAGATGGAAATCGCTTTGTGTCATTCCATAATAAGAGGAAGAAAGCAAACCTCAGGATCAGTCAGACTCAACCGTCGTAGCTGTGCCTGGTTCACAAATGGCATCAGCTATATGATTGCAACCATTGATATAGAGTATATGTACTGTTGATTCTGGCGCAGCGACAAAAAAACAGTTATTCAACAGCACCTCTGAAATGTAAGATCAACGCAGCCATGGGTAACAACCGAAAAAGAGTGCGATGAGAAAGAGGTGTGAAGTCTCATTCTCAAATCTGGAATTCTCTCCGATAAGGAATTACTTCATTCGCTTTACAAGGTTGGGTACTTTTTGCAATGCTTGTGCGTGTTTATTGGTGAATCGTCGACCATTGTTAAGTGACAAGTTAGGCATGTAGGTTGTCCGGGATTACAGAACTTGTGTCGTCGAAGCTTGCCAACGTGAACCAAGCGTCTCTACTCGGTATCCGTCTCATCTTCATCTCGTACTCTCACCGCTGAAAGATCGGACGCGACCGAAGTCACTACGGCTATCTCTGCCGCTACTTTTGCTGACTCTTCCGAATCTTTTCGTGCCTTTACGATATCTGTTTGATTCTTATAGGTATATACTCTAACTTTCCCATCTAAGAAAGCATTCAACGATGCAAACACTTTAGTATCGCGTTCAGGTACCGTTTGATGCATTTAAAATTAAGAACGACTCGAGATATGCTTACCATCTGCACTTGTGAGGAGCAAAGGCCGTGTCGGGTGGAAAGCGACATCGCGAACCTCGACGTCTAGAAATTATGTTAGGTTCGATAATGATAGCCAGTGAAAATGTTAGAGCTTAGAGCACTTCACGGTTTCAATTACATGAGCCGGCAACATACCGTCGTGGTCTTTGAGAATGCCTGTTACTTGGCCAGTCTTCAGGTTAAAGATAAAGACCTCTCCTGTACAGGAAGGTGCAAGTAGATACCTTCCATTGGAGGCAATCTTTATAAGCCAGGCATTTGAAAAATATCTAACAAAATTGCGAGATTGTAACAATTGGGATGTTAGAGGACACCGCATGCTGGTGTGAATGTATAGGTGCAAGGCACACACGCTTTACACCTACTCTTCATCTTGAAACCGTTTGACCTCTGTCAAGTACCACTTTCCGCCTTTCGTGTCTGGGTAAACCAGTTTGTGCAACGTGCATGAGTTATAGTCCTTGGCTAAAGAACGTCAAGGAGAAGAAGACAGTAAAGGCGTGTGAGTGTTAGTTGGTTGCAGGGCCGAGGTATTAGAAGGTTATTACACGTTGCATTGCAATATAGCATACCAATCATTCGTTCTTCCGAGTCGAGCAGTTCTACACCCCGTGAGATGAAATACGCAAACTGCTGTGCTTTTGCTACCGGCGCAGGTGTAAGTGCAGCTTCTGAAGCCCTCATTTTGCCTCTTTTGATGCTCGACTCTGTTGATTCAAGGTCTTCTTCTGGGACCGGAATCTCCTCAGGGAGTGGTGGGGGCATGGCGAAATCGATAGCTTGGATGAATTTTCCGCAATCGCAATAAGATGAATACATATTCTCGAAGGTTTGCAACAACTACAAGAGAAATGGGCAATGACCGCTGTATTAGTCATTGTTAAGACCTTCAAGAAGTAGAAAGCGTGGTTGCAAACAGGAGAAAGTCTAGGAGCACTTACAGCCGCATTTTCAAAATCAAAAAGACGCAGATTCTCGTCCGCCGCTGCAAGGAAATATTTGTTGCCAGTGTTAGGAACAAAGGACACCGTAAAGGCCATGCAAGTGATACCATCTCGCATCTGCACCGTCGATTTCAAGGATCTAGTGTGTGTGAATAAAGTCGAATTGGTTAGTGGCGGACCTCTTTACATATTATTGTTCACATAGCATCATAGTATAAATTACATACCTCCAGTCAGAGTCCATGTGCCATTTGTTCAGATATCCATCCTGACTGCCACTCAGGAAATAGTTCTCGCCCTTGAATTGCACTCTCTTGACACAGAGCAGCTCTTCTGAGTGTCCTTCGAGTATTGCTATGACCTCACCCGTCAAGACATCAAACACCTTGAGCGGGCACGGGAGAATATTGTTATCTTCATCTGCCATTGACCAGTTAAATCTATCCTTGCGTTTGCCGCCAACGACAATCAATGTCTGGTCTGGAACAAAGGTTCCGACGTAAAATTCGTCGATGTGCTCTTCCTAAACAGCATAATAAAAAGACCGAAATGAATATTAGCGGCTATTACTCGAACGCAACACCATTCGTCGCGATTCAATGCCTATGCACTGTTTCTCAAAGCATAGCGTGACTAACCTTAGCGTCTCGCAATTCCTTCAGAAGTGAATAGTCCTCCAAGCTCCAGATCTTCGCACAGCCAGTGTTGCAGAAGGTCGCCAACATAGTTCCATCGGGTGACAGTGCCATGCCTGTGATAGGCGCTTGGTCCTTGATTTCACAATCGACCAGCTGAAGGGGGTGGTCTTCGCTTATCTTGCCAATCATGCCGGACCTGCTCTCAGCATGGTTCCTCCAATAGGTATCAGGATACTGGCGTGCAAGATTATAAACGTAGCTAGGGTCGAAATCAAGGGGATTCTCGATCTAGAAATTATCGTAACAAAAACAGTTTGCTGTTAAAATTCGGCGCCTTTCAGATGAAGAATTAGCTATCAATTTCGGAGGAGAAGTGGCACTAACCTTGACGTGCGGCGCTTTGGGTTTGGTAGCGCGTTTCCACTTGGACAAGACGGTTTCTTTTGGACCTAGACGAAACGACATAGTGTTCACAAATATTTAGGTCAGCAAGGTATTCAGAGCAAACGCATACGATGTATCCGGTATAGACAAGGCTGTCCCTACCACTGGATTCCTCGTCGTCACTGAAGGCGGACCTTGTGGGCTTCTTGGCTATCTTTCTGGGTGCCTTGACACCCTCGTCCTTTACCGTCTTGCTGACCTTTGGCTTTGGGGCTGGTTTCTTTTTGGTTTTGACCTCCTTCTCCAAAAGTTCATCCGTATCCATGTCTGTATCCTCGTCGAAGGGTACCTTCGCCTTGCGTTTGCGAACGGGACGGCCATCATGCGTGTACTCGGTCTCAGGGACATCAATGCCTTCAATATCAATGGTCTCCTCGACAGAACCATTTGACGACGGAATTGAGTTCTTGTTCTTGAGTTCTCCTCCGTTCACGAGGCTCTCGTCGTTTTCTTTGCCCCGAGGCATAGGTGCAATAGGACGAGGAGCAATAGCAACAATAACACGCTTTGGCTTTGGAGAGGTCGCGGCCGTAGGGGTGCTTTGCGCTGTGTTCGTGTCGGCGGGCACCAACGGTTCATTTGGCTATGATAGAACGGTAGTTGTATATGCAATTGCTTAGCATAGGACGAGCACTAATATTATTTGCCATGAAGACGCGTCTCCTTTGTGGTCCCTAGTGCGTCTATGGTGTGATCTCGTGTCTGCCTGAAATGAGTTTTTGTATGAGGGGATTACAGAGGCGATGAGGGCGGAGCTAATATGGGGATTTCACTGCTCAGGAACATCAAGGGGATAGTGAGGAGTGCAAAGGGAGTATCATGGCCACTGGCATATAGGAGCGAGATCCATATGGGATCCGTCGAGGTTGGTGTATGAAGTTTTTGAGTGCAATGCAGCGAGGTGATGAAGAGTGCTGATATGAAAGAAAAGCAGATCCTACCTGAGGCGTCATGATGGATGATTCTGAGCGCTTGTATCAATGTCCCGAGACAGGAGAGTCGAGTGGAGATGTCAAAGACGCGGTATGAAAGGCCGGTTGCAATGGTGGATTCGTTGAATGGCGAATGAGTCGATGGACACTGCCTTGATGGGCAGGTGGAGTTGTTTTGAGTACGCGCTTTTCAAGAAAGGACGCTGTGACCGCACATCCGAGCAACGTGACACAACCTTTTGCTGTGCCTGAAAAAAAGAAAAAAAAAGTGCCTCGCGCGAGTGCTGAGAAAGCTGGTAGCATACATCAACACTACACTTTCTCGTCATGTTGTATGCGAGATAATACCGGGAATACATTCCGATGCCAGCGTACTGCTGTGTGCGGTGCTGAATAAGAATACCACTACTTTACGTACCTTACAGCACTGCTTAATTGTTTAATTATTGTCTGATCGCTACTTATAAAAGAAATCGCCAGTGTAGTGTGGACCGTTTGATGAAAGGCCTCTCACTTCACCTTCACCATTCTCACGTCCTCTTCATGTGGCAGCAAATGTCTCTCTCGTTTTCTCGTTGGCAGTTTTTTGGTAACCTTAAATGTTTCGCCCCACAACTGCTGGTTCCTGAGGTTTCAGTTGTTGTTTGAGAACAATTTAGAGGCCTCCACTCCATGACCTCCTATCGCCGACCGCGAGACCCCTTCCTGGCGCACCTGCGAGTTGTCCTCGGCTGAAGCAGCCCCAAATCGAAGCACCAACAGCGCCAGTTTCGTATCACTGAGATAAACTTCGAAGGACCTCTTTCGCATGTACAAAGGAATATGCTAAGTAATTTTTTGTGCGCTTTTTACTAACAAATATTCAAGCCCATATAAATAGATATGTTTTCGATATGCTTATGGCCAGCAAATCCTTTCAACTACCATGAGGACATTCGGAGGAAGGAGTTGTAGATTGAACAACTCTTCCCAAGGAGCTTCTTCGCACACTCTCTTTCTTCCATAATCAGATAGCCTAGTATATTCTGGTGAATCAAAGTAATCCAAGTAATAAGACAGACAGACCAATTGGAATGCCACGGACATAAATGAAAAGAACTATATATAAAAGAAAAAGACGAAATGGAGAGAGAGTGTTATGCCGGGTCATGGGATAGAGCAAGGACTCAATGTAGTACACGCATCCTTTTGCAGGCGACTGGACAGAGGCTGGGACCATGGGCAGGCAGCAACCAAACAAAGAAACAGCGCGCGAGGGATGGGTGGATGGGGATGGGTTGCAAAATGCAAATTGAGTTTTATATTTGTCGTACACGAGTACCCAATGGGCCCACTTTTTCTTGCTGGCTCTCCAGTCTGACCAACTCTTTTTTCCTATTTCCTATTTCCTATTTCCTATTTCCTACTTCCTTGCCTTCTTCATCCCCACCCTTCTCCGCCCTCATCTCCTTCTTCGCCTCATCCGCTTCTTGTTCTCTGACCGGACAGCAAGCACCGCTTTCGCTTTTCTCTCTCTTCCTCTCAACATCTTGACTCGCACACCTGACACCTGACTGCTGCTGTGTGTCCGTGTTTTTGTACGAATATACCCCACTGCCTTCTCACTGCACTTCATCGACCTCCACTGCAGCTCACTCAACCCTCGACCTCATCATCTCCACCATGTACGCCGTCGAAGACAGCTCCAACCCTCTGTCCAAGTACAGAGAGCTGACGCCCATCCAACCAGCGCGCGACCAGGCGCCGACCAATGTCTCGGGTGTGCTGAAGCATGGCTATATATCTGTCAAGGAGGAAGGCCTCAAGGCCTTCATCTGGTCAAAGAGATATATGACCCTGCGCGAACTCACCCTGAGCTTCCACAGAAACGAGGTGCGTAAAACATTTCTCATCAGTTCCCCCTTCCTAGTGGTGCCAGTCGTGATCGACCTTCATCATCTTTTTTGGCGGATGGAGCCAGTCGTCTGTAGTGCCATCTCCTCGTTGCAGCCCGGTGTCTCATCTGGCTTGCCACTCGATGGACCAAAAGGCAGCATCGAACTAATCGCCTGCATATCGACTGAGCATGGTCGTTCAATGGTTCAAAGACCGTGCTAGTCTGCTAGCTAGGTCTTTTTTTAATTAATGTCTGTATTGCCTCCCTCTCCTGGCGGGCTATTTTCTTCTCCCTCTTCCTCTGCCTCCCTGATCCTGACCGTCGTCATGATCCTTTCTTGGTTTCCAATATCTAGTCGACTCCTCAAGCAGTCGTCCTGATTTTCCTCAAGGATATTACCGCAGTGACTCGTACCGATCTGAAGGCCTACTGCTTCGAGCTTGTCACCAAGGACAGAAGCTACTTTCTTTCGTGCAAGAACGACGAGGAGCTGTACTCTTGGATGCATGAGATCTACTCTCGCTCACCCTTGATGGGTGTCTCGAACCCCACCAACTTTGTGCACAAGGTCCATGTGGGCTTTGATCCCAACACTGGCAACTTTACGGTATGTGCTATGTCACACAAGGCCGCCTTGAGTCCTTGCTGCAGGCATTAGGATCGTCGTTAGTCAGTTGAGGCATGGTGATTGATTGTCTGTTCTTTCTTGTTCTTTTTATTCCCTCGTTGCTGTTTTGTAGGGCCTGCCAGAGACATGGACAAAGCTACTGACAGGATCTGCGATCACAAAGGAGGACTATGCCAACAATCCTCAGGCTGTGCTCGAGGTCCTCGAGTTCTACACAGATCAGACGAAGCGCAATGAGCAGGAGTACGGTACTGCGTCGCTGGTTCCTAGCTCTCTGCCTCTCGTACCTAGCGACTCAGAAGGCGATCGCTGGGCCAATTTGATGCCCAAGCAGCAGGCGTCTCCTCCTTCCAGCCGTCCTGAACGTCCTCAGCGTCCAGATAGACCTGAAGATCGCCCTTCAATTCCCGAGCGCCTTCAGAGTGCTGACAACATTTCTGTCACTCAGAGGATGTCAAGCCTAGCCTTATACGATGATAGGGTAAGTCGGTCTCGCTCGGGGAAAGGAAAAGGACCGCTTCAGGCCCTTTGTCCAAATGCTCTCGTACGGGTTTATTTTGAGATCTGAGCATGCAGAAAATGTCCGCTTATAACTCACCATTATGCTTCATCTTTGGACGCGCAACAGGGTAATCAACAGCAGGGTGGTCCACGGCCACCAAACGCCCTCCGTCCAGACTATGCCCCACCATCGCCTACTGTAAGTGACAATGCGTCTTTGCTCAATAATGACTAGGTTGAAGTTGTTCATGAGTTATTATCTTGGCTTTGCTGAGCCCATATTTCTAACAACTTGTCTATTCATTTTACTTCGCAACCATGTTTTCAGTTTACGCCCCCACTGTCAAGCTCGCCTTCAAGCAAGTACAGCAATCCACCTCCCAAACCTCCAGCACATCAACAACCTTCGCCCTCAGCGTCTCCTTCCAGTCTTCGTCAGCAGACCCCATATGGACAGTCCCCTAAACCGCCTGTCGCTCCCCGCCCTGCCGTGGCCGATGCAGCCGCTGCACTAAATGGCTCTAATCCTCCCAAGGTCGTTGTCGAGCGTCGCATCTCGACCATGACTGAGGCCGAGATTATGGAGAAGTTGAGAAGCGTTGTTTCATCTGGCGACCCAAGCACATTGTACAGCAAAATCAAGAAAGTCGGTCAGGGGTAAGTGGCTATCGCTTTGATGCAAGATTTTTTTTTTTTTTTGTGTGTTGAAGGCCCATTATTTACATACCCGTTTTGAACATACTTTAGTGCTTCTGGATCCGTGTATGTTGCCAAGCACCTCACGACAAACACCAAGGTGGCCATTAAGCAGATGGATCTTAGTATGCAGCCAAGGAAGGAGTTGGTGGTTAACGAGATCTTGGTCATGAAGGAGTCGACCAACCCCAATATTGTTAACTATCTCGACTCTTTCCTGGTCAAGGGCCAGGAGCTGTGGGTCGTCATGGAGTATATGGAGGGCGGGGCCTTGACAGATGTTATTGACAATAACAAGCTGTCAGAGAGTCAGATCGCATGCATCTGTTTTGAGGTATGGACGTTTATTCGATGCAGTCTGATTGCTTGAACATGGTATGACCAGTCGTACAGATATTGACACTTATTTTTCGCTATTGAATGCAAAACAGACATGCAAGGGTCTCCAGCACCTGCACAGTCAGAACATTATTCACAGAGATATCAAGTCCGATAACGTTCTTATGGATCCCTATGGACATGTGAAGATTAGTAGGTGGCCTTGGACCAACACCATAAGCGACGCATTTCCATGGTACCGTGAAATAGTGGAAAATATTGACCCTTCTTCCGCTCTCACTTGATAGCTGACTTCGGTTTCTGTGCCAAGCTTACGGATCAGAAGAACAAGCGTGCTACTATGGTTGGAACGCCCTACTGGATGGCGCCTGAGGTGGTGAAGCAAAAGGAGTATGGTGCAAAGGTCGACATCTGGTCCCTGGGTATCATGGCTATTGAGATGATTGAACAGGAACCCCCATACTTGGACGAGGAGCCATTGAAGGCACTGTACCTGATCGCCACCAACGGAACGCCTACTCTCAAAAAGCCTGAGACATTGAGCTCAGAACTCAAGAATTTTTTGGCCGTCTGCCTGTGTGTCGACGTCAAAAGTCGCGCTAGCTCAAGGGAACTGTTGGATGTATGTTGCTATGCAATGATGCGTTTGAGAGATGTCAGCGCAACTTATTACATGTTGGAAAGCGATTACTGATGCCACTGTTTTTTTCTTCCTCTTTGTCATTAGCATGATTTCCTTGGCAGGGCAGGTTCGATTCACTCTCTTCGACCCTTGTTTGACTTTAAGAGGGGAGGATAAGCAGGATACCTTAGCCGCAATCTATTATTATAAAACATCTGAGAGATGGAATATCGTCCGCATCAGTAATATAGACAGATTAGACGAGACGGAGAACAATGGTCGATCCCACTCTCTCGATGAAGAACAGCCAGTACAGCAAAATAAAACACAGTTTACAGATATACATAACAATGCAAACTGGAACTAGTATAGCTTGTGGACATGACTTTTATTCGTGTTGGGCATGATTCTAGTTCTTTGCCTTCTTTTCGACTTCGAACCCACTCTTGATCCACCCATCCATGCCTTCGTCCAGACTCCAAACCCTGGGCTTATCCTTGCTTTCCTGAGGATTTAATCCCTTTGCGCCCTCACTATCGTTCATCTCGCCCTCGACGACTCCATAGCCCAACCGCACGAGAGACTCTGCGGCCAGGACGGATCTGAACCCCCCAGCGCAATATACAACGACGTCTCTAGGATCGTTCTGCTTCAGGAACTTGCCGATATCTCTTTCGAGGATGCCACGAGGCAGAAAAACTGCGCCAGGGATCGTGCCCGTGGCCTCGACCTCGTGTGGCTCACGAACATCGATGATATGCGGTGGTAGGCGCGGGTTTTGGGGTGAGGCAGTAGAGGAAATCGCGTGAAGATCCTTGGGAGAGATGTGGTGGATATTTTTGTTGTTTGCCCTGATCTCCTGCACAAGAGCTGAAAAAGACTTTTGTTGCAGAGAAGCCTAGGACAGAAAATGAATAGGATTAATTAATATTGGGCAGATAAGAATAACGGTCGTCTAGGGTTAAGAAACAGCTGGACTTACGAGCGAGAAAGCACGCTGCTGGGCTGCGTTATTAAGACTGCGAGTGGGGATACGAGCGAGACGGAGCGCACTGATCATGATGTTGCGATGCTGTGGTTGTGAATGAAGATGGGGATGATCTTTGAGCAGCTCTTGTATTCAGCGATGGAGCAAGGTTCATCTTCCCCGTGACCAATGGGTGGTTTGCGCCATTTCGGACACGGATTGCTTGCAGGGGAAGGGAGAGGGCTGTGATATACGAGTAGTGGACGCGTTTTTGAGGTATGGTGCAGCATATTGGCGCGTCGTAATGAATCCGAAACGCGGCTGGAATGATATGATGGCATCAGAACGCGTTTGATCAGTCGTGTTCGCGTTTTACCACCCACTTGGAGGCAAGTAAACAGGTCGTCTGCAGACGGCGCTTCGAGTGCTTCGAGGAACTCACGTCACAGAAGAGCCGGTACAAAAGGAATTCGCCCGTGTCATGCAACACTCACACCTTCTCACTCATTCAACAGCACTTGGTTCACAATGGCCTCCAACCCTGCCTGCATCTTCTGTCGCATCATCAAGCGCGAGATCCCCGCGAAGATCCTCTTCGAGACCGAGCACAGGTATGGACGTGGAACGCACTCTCCCGATCCCTTTCATTCCTTTTCCGCGACATCCTTTGAGCCCCGCTTCGGACAGAAAGCACTGAGCGAAGGACATAACTTTGCAACACTTTTCCTGTTGGCCAAACGAGAACCCTCATATTCTCGGTATTCCGCACTAGATGGATCATGACACATGGGTGTTGTTAAATATCCTATATACCAGACATACAAACAGAGGGTGGGAAAGAAATCGCGAATAATATCATTTCTCACGCTTTATGAATCCTTTCTTCATCCTAGCTTGGCGCTCCTCGACCTTGGTCCCCTCTCCGAAGGCCACACTGTACGTATATCACGCCGTCTGCCACTTCATAATCGATTGCTCTGCATTTTATGGTGTTCACAATGCACTAACTGATAATGATTCAATTCGGGTTTGGCTCAATTAGCTCGTTATCCCTAAGCGTAAGGACACACAAGGATCGTCGGATACCAAACGCCGAACGCCGTTGCATTTTTTTTTCTTGGAGTGACTTGCCCGCGCAGTTTTTGCTTATTGCTCAATTGCATCTTGCTGTGTGTATCTCAACTTGTATGAACTAAATACTAGACCACGCCCAGTTCTTGCACGAGCTCCCTGACGCCGACATGGTCGATCTCTTGCCCACGGCCAAGAAGGTTGCCCAGGCCATCGGATGCAAGAACTACAACGTCTTGCAGAACAACGGTCGCCTCGCTCATCAGGCACGTATTTGCAATCAATCCGAGGCTGATAATCGAATATTATAAATGTCATGCAGCGCCAGCGAGGGTAGCACGCTTTCTGATCCTTTATTCTCTTCTCCTTTTTTGGAACAATTAGGCTGTTGACCACGTCCACTTCCATGTTATCCCCAAGAACTCGGAGGACGACGGCTTGGTGATGGAGTGGAAAGCAAAGGAGACTGACGCCGACAAGTTGGAGGCTCTTCGCAAGACCTACCTCAAACTGTAAAAGCCATGAACAGGTACAAAGGAGACGAAAATAGTAGCACACCCGAGATCTCCAGCTACAGGCAAACAAACAGCAGAAAGAAAACAAATATATTAAAGCGCAGAATGCGATAGCAATCATATCTTTATCCCTTCGTTGGCAATGCTGAGAGAAAGAGTAAAATACTACAGCTGGGATTCTCCCACGCCGTGGCGCCCTATGTTATCACGACCAGAATGTTGCACTGACTCATAGCTGTCGATTTAATTGAGGTGGTGTGCATCTGACGAGATCAGTATTGAGGTATATAGCGAAACATTAGCATGTTCCCTGCTGTAAATAGGCAGTGAGGACCCCTTTGAGCCGCGACCCCATCATTAAATTCAATAGCAGCGATGCGCATTAAAACCAAGCAAATTACGCGCCGTGATACTATAATTATACATACTGCCATTACACGCCGCTGTCATAACCTCGCTCGATTGAAAAGCTAAGATACTTGAAACCACCAGAATGCTCCGAGATAAAGCCTGCGAAATCGTACGCAACGCCTTCAAATATCAGAGGAGCCCCATTACACTTGAACCTAGCTATTCCTTTCAAACTCTCATTCTCCGGAAATGTTGAGACGCAGCTCAAAGTCGAGGAGGACGTAGGTGGTAATGAACCGTTTTGTCTGGTGGGACTGATACAATTTATTCGCATTCACGTACTCCTGCGGGAGCTGATAATACTCTCCTCCCAGTGTGAGTAGCGCCGTCGTGAGTCCACAAGAAATGTTTAGCGATGGACAAGAAATGTTTAGCTGTGGACAAAATCGATCCGCAACATGGCTTTGTAAAAGAACCTGCCACGCCAATCACTCAAAGCGACTTCGATGCTGCCATCGAACGAGCCTATTCATGTTGAGGTTGCCTACATCTGCATATCCGACTTGCCAGTTTGGGCGTTTGATAAACACTTAGCCACTATGAGAGAAGAAGAGATTACGATTGGCACTGTAGGAACCCCTTTTTCAGCATCCATCCAACTATGAGGAGCCGGTGTCCATGAGCCTACCGCAAGACGGGTCCCTAGACTGCGCCGGCTCCCGAGGAGGGCAGGTATGAAGCTCAGTATCCTGTTCAGATGGTAACAAATAAGTGGAATGGATAAGACACCGTGCGTTTGAATTCTTCTGTCCTCTGAACCTGCTGTTAGACTATACCGAGTAGCATGACCTCTGCGTAAACAAAGGCCCAAACTATGGTACCACCGTTGGTGAAGACACCATGAAATGCGACTAGTGGCACGATAACGATACCAAGCGCATTTCTCTGTATCTGACATGCTTCCAGACGTAAAAGGTCGTAATTCTCACTGGGGAGATTAGAGGGAGTTTCTTGCATTAAAGTAGAGTCCTGCGCAGGCATTGATTGCTTGCTATGTTGGTAAAGAGTCGCAGTATGAAATGCTGGGTTTTACAGGAGAGAGTGATAGTGAAAGTAGGCATGGCCTCGAGCCCAATGAAGTTTTATGCCGACACGATAATTGGGCTGAGTTATGCCTCTCCTGGAACCCAGCGGGCTAGTATGGCACTGCCTGACAGCAAGGTCCCCTGAAAGTGGTAAAAGTTGGATCCTCTATCTCAATGTATCCACGAATATATGCGTACCGCTCCAGGGCTACTATGCATGGATGGTGCACACGCTAAAGCATCTTGCGAGACCACTGAGTTCTTCATGGTTCTCAGATATGTCATCGCTACTGCCTTCCGCCCCTCAAGATAAAAGAAGGGAATCGGGCGATGCAGCGGTTATTTATGGTTGCCACAGAGTAAAACTGATTACGGTAAAAAGCGGGTTTACGCACTACAAACTACTAGTTGCGGCTGCGCGGAGCAGGGTCAAGGGACGGTAAAGGCTTGTGTACTTGATCTATTCCCGCTGCTGCATCGCGGCTCTATCGTTTGAAGGGCATGTTCTCGTGTTCGAAAACCTTCATACTTTCGATAACCTTGAAAAAAGACATATAACACGTTTTTCTAATAAGCTACAATTTATTATTACTTGATAACAGAGGATGAACGCGAAGATGCAAGCTGTTGAGGAGGATGGCGGATAAAGATGTAAAATGATACAAGGAATGTGCTATATCTTCATGTATAGCAACAAGGAGGACGATGAACTGGGAATTGGTACGAGAACATTAAAAGATAAAGGAAATGAAAAGGTATAGTCGTAAATGTCGCACCCCGCCGAAATTACTCGGCCTTGACGTGGTCCTGACCATAGATGGGCATCGAAGGGTTCTTCTTCTGGGCCTCGACCTCTCCACCGTATTCGACAACAGCGATACGCATCAAGCTGAGAAGGTTGCGGGCGGCGTTGCTGTGGTCGTACATGCCACCATTGAAGGCTGCCGTCATGTCCTTGCCAATCGACATGTTGAGGTACTTGGGGCCACCGGGGTGCTCGGAGATGAAGTCAGCAACATCATACACAACACCCTCGAGCAAGATCCACTTCTTATTGTCGTTCTTACAGGCGTGCTGGTAGTCCTCAAAGCTCATAACAGGAAGCTCCGAAATGGGAGTACCCCACTGCAACTTGGTCTTCTTCTCAAGGACCTTCTTCTCCACCATACCGAGCTGTCCCTTGCGAATCTCATTCTCGGGGAAGGTCTTGAGGTGCGAAGCAAGACCGAAGAAGGAGCAGATGGCAATGACCCACTTGGTAGGATCGTACTGGTAGAAGCGGATGGCATTGCGATAATCCTGAGGGAACTGGTGGTGGAAATTGTGGTAGCCCTCTCCCAAGGTGACAAAGGCGGTGATGAAGTGATCGCGAGGCGAGTGGCGGTCATCGAAAGGTCCATCACCGAGCCAGTGGGCCAAGGAGTTGACGCAGAAGGTGGCGTGGTGGACAAAGACGAGACGAAGGATGGCAGCGTAGAAGTAGCCTCCGCGCCAGTCGCCCCAGCCGAGACCAGCGACGAGAGTGGGGAAAATGATGCCCATGAAGAGAACGAGGAACAAGTAATTCTTGTGCTGCCACTGAACTAACTTGTTCTTGGCAAGGTCGTCGACATCGGCGTGTCCAATCTTCCAGCCAGGGCGCTTGACCAACATCCAGCCAATGTGGGAGAAAAAGAGACCGCGGTGGGCGCTATAGGGGTCCTTCTCAGTGTCGGTCCAACGATGATGAGCGCGGTGTCCACGAGACCACCACTTGATAGATCCTTCAACAGCGCCGGCACCGAGGAGGGCGAGCACAAAGCTCATAGCGGGTCCAGCCGTGTAGGCGCGATGGGCCCAAAGACGATGGTATCCTATTTTGGTATTATGGGGGAGAGATTGTTAGTATAGAAAAAAATAATTCATAATCCGAAATCTGATAGGGCTAAAAAGCTCAGGCCCCAACAGAATTCGGGGTAGCCACTCGCTGCTCATAACAATTTCCTTTAAAGTAAAAAAAAAAAAAAAAAAAAAAAGTCGGTGGTTACTTGCCTGCTGTGATGCCGAGTCCGGTAGCGTAGTAGTACACAATGGACCAGATCAGAGTCTTGCGCTGGATCTCAGTGGTGAGGAGACCGTAGAGGGCGATCAGGGGCGTGAGTCCGAGACCGATGACATGTTTGTAGTCGAGATACTTCCAGATGTTGAAGACGGTGATCTTTTCGGGGAAAAGTGGGGGCAGCTCATCATGCTGAAGAGGATCTCTGCGGGTCTCAGTCTGGGTCGCGGGGACGACGAAGGAGGGAGGAAGAGGGGTGGCCATGATCGTAAACGGGGAAGAAAGAGTCTTTGTCGCTGTTCTTTGTGGTTGTACTATGAGGTGTCCACCGCTGGTTTGGGGGTAGGGCGATTGAAGGAAGGAGCGATCACCCTGACGAAGGAAAAACAGACAGAGGACAAGCAGAAGATGGCAAAGATGAAGTTGCCAAGGAACCGATCAAGTCGAAGTAAGGGAAGAGTCTTGAGGGAGGTGTGAGGAATGAAGGAATAAAAAAGGCGGGGTGAGCGATCCCCCTTGGGCTTATATACCTTTTAGACTTGTTTATCTTGATGGATTCGGTGGAGTGGACAAAGCACCCCACCAAAAACATTAAAGTCCATCTTAGCGGTTTGTACGTGTAAAACAGCTATATCTGATCGTATGCCTATCTTTTTGTCCGAAATGCACCCCTTTGTCTCTGTGGGACACATATGCTGTATGAAATGCAGAACTTGTTCCTGCTTGTTCAGCACAATTGCCGCCTCTGTCCATATGTCCACCAATACACAGATGCTCTCGCTCTGAAGCATACTCCACCGAAGCCTTTTTCTAGCTCATGTCGTGAACCTCATGCGTGTTGTAAACACGCGCACACAGCCCCGAAAATGAGCTTTGGACATGTCAGTAGTCGTTTTTGTATGCCTACGAGGTGGTCAGCCATCATAATTAGCACGTTTTCTTAGTCGCTGCATTGGTGTTGATGCTGATGTTGATGTTGATATCGCTATTCCCTTCGACCGCAACCAACCCCCGCTGCCTTGGCACTGTTGATTATTATCTAATTCATCATCCACACGCTACGATCTAGCTTTATTCGGATGGATCTTGGCACCCATGCGCTTTTTGTGTATTCTTGCTTGGTGATACCGACGATCATCCTGGATGCCCAGAGAATATTCATAATCGCCATTACCAACATATTTCCCTTGAGTGAGCAGAACCATATTTACAGCGATATCAATTGCTCGGCAAGTCTTATCGGCACTACAGCTACATGTCCCCTCCGCCATGCAGCCAACTGTGGAGTACGTTCTTTCTTGCATGTACGTCGGAGCTCCCTGGTATCGGTGGGGCGCATATGGGTCTTGGCACAGTCCGTCTCCACTGTACTCCATATTTGTATACGTATCTCCGCTGGTGTATTCAAGTATATGAAAGACATAGACGGGCGGCCGGACAACCCTAGTGCGATCAAGGTGTGTATGTGTGGCCCCTGCAAAACCGTTGGTCTCAGGGTGCAAATGTGCTTTGTCATGGAATAAGCACAGCACCCAAATTTTTGGGGATCGTACAATTGCGATGAATAATTTTTTTTTCGAACACCGATTTGGTCTGTCAGCCGAAATATACGGGCACGGACCAAGACGTACAAACGTACGTGCCAATCATGGCGTAGAATTGGTAAAAATACCGAGAGGCACGCGATCGGAAAAAGCCGATATGACAGCTGTGCAATAAAGGCGTGAAGCAATATGTGTATGAATCTGCCTTTTGTGCTCTTAGTTCTTTATTATGCGTTTTCGAACAGTGGTCGTTGCTCTAAGAGACTCAGTTCTCGCCCTCATCCATGTTCGTTCCACTCTGTTCGTCCTCATCTTCATCAGCATCCATTGGTCCCGGTTCGCCTGAGCCGTCCCGCTCAGAGGGCTGACGATCCAGATGCTCATGGCCTTCACCCGACGACTGGCGTTCGCTGACCGAGTCCATCGTCTCATCTTTCACGAACAACCATGGGTGCTCCGCCATCTCTTGCGCAGATGTTCGCAGTGCTGGGTCCAGGATTAACATCTTGCACAAAAAGTCCGCCAAAATGTCAGCCTCAGCTCGAGGCATGAGATATTTCTCATGAAGCACATCCTGCAATGGCCACATCCGCAGCTTATGAATATGTCGCAGCTCTCCCTTGCGGTTAAAAAGCTCCTGTGAATACTTTCCGCTCAATGCCATTTTCTTGGGGAAGTTGCCCATCAACTCGATGATCTGTGCCATATGGTCTATTCCAGGCAACACGAGAAAATAGTTAGTCCCAGGAGATCACCATAATCAAGGCAGAACCTAGCCATAGTCAAGTCATACCGTCATCCTTGTTGTATGATGTTCCGCTTTGAGGGTCGAAAAGATAATCGCTCGTGATCAACTCGAACGCCATGCATGCTACACTCCAGACATCTGTGCTTGGACCCCATTTGGCGCCCAGGATGACCTCTGGCGATCGATACTGCCTCGTCTGAATGTCATTCGTAAAATGGTGGTCTTCCCAGCATGCATTCCCAAGATCTGCAATCTTGACTGAAATGGTCCTGGGTGTTTCTGGGTATCCCTCTGAACTCTGGTCCTTCGATGCGCTGCCCGACTCTGCCTTAGTGTCTAGTTTGATGTCGCTCATGGTTCTTTCCAAATTTGCCCTACAAAGAGAGAGAAACAACAGCGCCGCCATATTCGCGTCAATACTAAAGACGATCCATGCATCAATATTAGCTGTCATCACATCGGCTTTGGAACTTCACGTACGTCATCATGGGCGTATCTGTATCTGCACTGGTATCGTCCGTTTCTTCCACAGGCTGAGCATGTTTGCTCAGTTTTTGACGTAGCCTCTTTTTTTGGCTCTTTGTCAGCGTGTTGTGAGGCGTTGATGCTGCTGAGGTTGCGTTTGCACCGCCTCGTAACGAACTGCCTGCTCCATGAGTGAGTGGCTTGCTCTCGACGATTTTGGTCTTGCCGGCGCGACTTGCTTTGGCGAGAGCAGCAGGGTCCGAGTAATCCATGTCGCCAATGAGTCCTCGGACGACCTGCTCCACATCCTCGACACAGACTAGAACGTTCTCCGGCTTCAGATCCGTATGAATGATACCGCACTCTCGATGCATATAGTCTAGGCCCATTAAAACCTGGTGAATGATTTGTCGAACCAGGTGCACGGGAATTCCTCGATGGCGGTAACGCTTGATCACACTGAGCAAATTCTCCCCCAGAACCTCAAAGACCATGCAAACGTGCAGTCCATTCGGTCCTCGATGCATGAAATGATCCAAAAGCTCCACAACGTACTTCCTGCCAGGCGCACTCGGGTTTGCTTGGACCACCCGCTCCAGTAGTTTGATTTCGTCAATCGCCGTCTCCGTATAGTGCGATGCTGACTTGACGACTTTGAGTGCAACATGACGATTCTCACTATCAGTAGGCCATGCAGTGTCAAGATACCAGAATTAGTAAAGAAGGACGCCTGAGCAGACTCATAAACAGTGTAACTGTCACTGCTTCATTATGAATAATTACATACACTGTGTCCCTTGCCAGCCATACAGTGGAAAAATGACCCCATCCCAGCTTGCGGAGGGTCACATAACGGCCCTCGTTGAATACATCTCCGACCGATATGTAGTGGTAGCCTCCTCGCTTGTAATCCTCCATGTCCTCTTCCTCGTCAGAATATATTGAGTACTGGTCGTCCTTGTCGCGATCCGCTGTTGACGAATGCTTTTGCTGAGATCTACATGGTATCGATTTACAATTGTCTCGGATTAGAATATATCAGTTATGCCACTATCGATGTCGCAAAGTTCAAGTCCTGGGCTATCCCAAAAACTTACGGTGCAGAAGCATCGCCAGTATCCGTACTTCCGTTCAAAGGCAGCTCCACATCAACGTCAGCATTGCTGCTCGTATTCGTGGTAGAGGGAGTCACTTTCGCTCCGGACTGTGTCGCATCGCTTGTAGACTGGCCAGCTGTGTTCAATGTCTTTCTTGGCGCATTCTTCTTTTTCTGCGCAGTTGTCTTCTTGGCGTTTATAACGGCTATACAGGAACAGAGGGAGTATTCAACTGTTACTTCACTTGCAGGTCTCCGACCAAAAGATATGCAGGGCCTCCTTGACAAGTCGTCCTGATGCTTGACGTCCATAAACCCTCAGATGCTTTCTTTCTTCTCCTCGGTCCTACCTTGTCTTCTCTTATCCATGATGTGGGATGTATAGCAACGACGACAGATAGTGATGGTGATGGTGTTTAACACAACAGAACAGCTAATCGCCTCTTGGGTCCTAGGTCGTATGTTTACTTATGTGACTTCAATGGCATCATTAAGGGGACAAAACGTAGCGCTGGTTCCCCATACTCTTGAAAGGGACACGAGCAATTATTGCTCGAATCGCGTTGCGCACAGAACCGCGCCCAAAGTGGAGAAAGCATCCGCGACGCGTTATTCTGGGAGGTATCGAGATATCTTCCTGCCGTTCCAAAGTCGACGTGCATCTACCTGTCTTGGCAAAGGCGAATACTGATAGTATAGTGAAAATAAGGGTGGAAAACTGAGGATCCTTCAGCCCAACTCGGTCGTATGACGTGCGAATATTATCTTGAACTCGCGAGACTCTGCTGCATACGTGTCTCCACAAGCAAGGACGGATCGAAGTCAGTCTCCTGCGACTCTGGTGTTGCCCTGATGTTGTGGTTTTGTTCGAGGCGCAGGTGGTTGGGATCTCGAGCCGCTTCGCCTGGATGGGCGGGGTACCCTGATAGAATAACATGCATGCGGACCAAAATACGTCGTTGTTGCACACAACACGCAAACACAAACAAAATAAAAGGAACCGTTTCCTGCTCTCGTCCCTTTTCTTCCTTTCATCATCCTTCATTGCCCCTCATCGCCACAGCAGCGCCATTCTACCCCGCCTTCTCGTCCTAACCCTCCACCTTCTATTCTTACACGATGGGTCTCATTGATGAATTCCGCTCGGGAAACTTCTCCCTCTATGGCCAATGGTAAGGTGTTCCTTGATCGCTTCGCCTCCTCACGTGCAAACGGCCCCAAAAGCGTTTTCATGGCGGAGTCCTCCCATTGAGTGTGCCCTGAGGATTTGACCGGTGGAGCCCACAGTCGCGACTGACCATTTGTTCTTGATTTCTTGAATATCATAAGGTGCGGTCTTCTCTCGATTGTCTGTAAGAGAATCCCCCTTGATTCACACTTCAACACGCCTCGGCAATAGATACATGCGTGGATGCGACCCCTCTGGACAGTGTTAAATCAATGCCTCCTCATGTCAATCGCTTCTTTTTCATATAGGCTTGATCTTGTTCGGCATCTTGAGCCTTAACGTCCTTTGGTCCATTCTGGCATGGTAAGGACTGTGAGCTCTTTTGAAATCGCTTCACTTACCAGACTATCGACCACTGACTATGACGACTTGCCTCCCTTTTTTAATACTCAAAGGATCATTGCCTTTTTGCTCATTTTTATCGAGATTCCTCTCTGCCTGAAAGTAAGCACACGCACATTTCATAGCATTGATCCTTCATGACAGTAAGCATGGAACCTCAACTTACGTTCATTTCTCCTTGCTATAGTGCTGCCCTACCAGTGCCAAGTTGTAAGACCACGCGCTATTTCACAAAGATATCACCAATTACGGGGATATGCGCACTCGATTTTTGACGCTGATATCTCTCCTATATTTTCTGTTGCTTCTCTCTTTGTAGCGACAACTTCTTGGGGCAGTTCCAGAACTCCTACTTCCGTGCCGCGGCTTACATTGTGTAAGTGAATCATTTTATTTTCAGGACGGGGCGAAGGAACTTCCGTGAAGCAACGGATTCTGGACCTTGAACGTTCAAGCAAAGTTACACTGGGAGCTTTTTTTTTTTTTGTGTTCACATCGAGTGCATGCTAATTTTTGTTCTTTTGTATACATAGATTTGCCGTCATCATGTGGCTCGCTGTCGGCGTTGGTGGCAGAACTCTTCAAGTTGTTTCGGCTTTGCTGTTGACTGCTGGAGCTGTGTCCTACGTTATTGCTGCCGCTCGCCACCAAACTCCAGCCTCGAGCACCATCACCGGAGGCACCGGTGTGTCCACCATTGTATAAAGCTATTACAAAGGACCCGTCAACTCTGGAACTGTCACCAACTGATGCGCTCTTCACTGGATTCTCGACTTCCCATTAATATTACTCGCTACTGTTACATATCCTCCTCCAGAATAAAAAAAAAGAAAAGAAAAAGCGAGATGTGTGATTGCAACAACATACTGTGTACGAGTGAAATACTGACTTCAAATTTTAAAGAAGGCAGCAGCAATATACCTGAGCAGATCGAGCGACTCTTTGCCTGCGAACCCTTTGGTAGAATTCAGCCTTTTCTGAAGACAAGAAGAACAACGTGCGTACAGCTTCGTCACACAACGACCCCTTATCCACACATTTAGCTTCAGATCAAGGGATGGAGGATCCATAACTCGATGGATAGTTTGCTTCAAGTCCCCTGAGAACTGTTCACAGGGGGTTCGAGCAGTTTCGAGCACAGACAACAACGAGAGAAAAAAAATGTGTTAAGGGGTGTATCGGCAATATATATCGTCTCGCTGGTGGTGAGATTTGCTTTTCCACCCCTTTCACTTGAAACTTTTTACACAAGTAAGTCTGGTTGACCGAAGAAAAAATTTTGATGATAAACAAGTCGTGCCTGGATGGGTCCATGAGAGGCATGCCTTGGCCGTCGATACCTCAATCTTCATCCATCCTTCCATCCTTCCATCCATCCATCCATCTGCCTTCCTTTCTTATTCATCTCTATCTATCTTTTGTGTTTATTGCGCTCTTTTCGTTTTGTTGTCGGAGGCCATCGATGCGCCCTTTTTATTTGCCTGGGAAAGGGGGAGGAGCTTTTTCCTTGGCGACTGCGTCGCCTGGACACTTTACTCTCTCTACGCCTCCACTTTTAATCGTTTGTGTATCTGGTAGTCCTTGCGAAGGAGTACTGCGGCACGCTTCTGCTTTTATACTTATACCCACACTTTTCCTAAGATACTCCCTTCAAACTTGAACACGACCTCTTTTTACAAGCAAGATAAACCATTTCCTAACCTCCTGTCCATTTTTGTCACCGCCAACCACTAGAATGGGAAAAGAGAAGACTCACGTTAACGTCGTCGTTATCGGACACGTCGATTCCGGCAAGTCCACCACCACTGGTCACTTGATCTACAAGTGCGGTGGTATCGACAAGCGTACCATTGAGAAGTTCGAGAAGGAGGCCGCCGAGCTTGGAAAGGGTTCCTTCAAGTACGCCTGGGTTCTTGACAAGCTCAAGGCCGAGCGTGAGCGTGGTATTACCATCGATATTGCCCTCTGGAAGTTCGAGACCCCCAAGTACTACGTCACTGTCATTGATGCCCCCGGACATCGTGATTTCATCAAGAACATGATCACTGGTACCTCCCAGGCCGATTGCGCTGTTCTCATTATCGCCGGTGGTACTGGTGAGTTCGAGGCTGGTATCTCCAAGGATGGTCAGACTCGTGAGCACGCCCTTCTCGCTTTCACCCTCGGTGTCAAGCAGCTCATCGTTGCCGTCAACAAGATGGACACCACCAAGTGGTCCCAGGACCGTTTCGAGGAAATTGTCAAGGAAGTCTCTACCTTCGTCAAGAAGGTCGGTTACAACCCCAAGACTGTTGCCTTCGTCCCCATCTCTGGCTGGCACGGAGACAACATGTTGGAGGAGTCCACCAACATGCCCTGGTTCAAGGGATGGACCAAGGAGATCAAGTCTGGTACCCAGAAGGGTAAGACCCTTTTGGAGGCCATCGATGCCATTGAGCCCCCAAGCCGCCCCACCGAGAAGCCCCTCCGTCTTCCCCTCCAGGATGTCTACAAGATCGGTGGTATCGGAACAGTTCCCGTCGGTCGTGTCGAGACTGGTATCATCAAGGCCGGTATGGTTGTCACCTTCGCCCCCTCCAACGTCACCACTGAAGTCAAGTCCGTTGAGATGCATCACGAAGTCCTCACTGAGGGTATCCCCGGTGACAACGTCGGATTCAACGTCAAGAACGTCTCTGTCAAGGATATTCGCCGTGGTAACGTCTGCTCTGACTCCAAGAACGACCCCGCCAAGGAGGCTGCTTCCTTCAACGCCCAGGTTATTGTCTTGAACCACCCCGGTCAGATCTCCAACGGATACGCTCCCGTTCTCGATTGCCACACCGCCCATATTGCCTGCAAGTTCGCCGAGATTCTCGAGAAGATTGATCGTCGTACCGGTAAGGCCATGGAGGAGTTCCCCAAGTTCATCAAGTCTGGTGATGCTGCCATCGTCAAGATGGTTCCCTCCAAGCCCCTGTGCGTTGAGTCCTTCCAGGAGTACCCCCCTCTCGGACGTTTCGCCGTCCGTGATATGCGTCAGACCGTCGCCGTCGGTGTCATCAAGTCTGTTGAGAAGACTGATGGCAAGGGTGGCAAGGTCACCAAGGCTGCCCAGAAGGCTGGTGGCAAGAAGTAAATTGCTCTCTCGACTTGCTTCTCTGTTCTATATCGAAAAAGCGCCTGTAACAAGGGTCGTTTTGTAGTAAAGTTTTCAATAAATTGTCAGTGCCAAATTGAAAAAAACAGTTTAAATGTGAGGGGTCATTGATCAACTTGGTTCGTGGTAGCGCTGATTATGTGGGGCCGGTTGTGAGCCGTGTCCAGTAGGTGACCGTTGGACTCCTTCAATAGACATTGTGTAGTGTTTGGGCTTAGGTTGGACGCGCTGTGAATGTGTTTTTGGCTGAGGCTCCAGTTTGAATGGTCATAGTGCCTTGATACGTGCGCATGAAAGTGCGCAATGCAGTTTAGACATGCACATAGAGTACATTACATCTGTGGGATAAATTTTGTCCGGGCTGGCTCCATGATAATCGTGAATTATTGCAGTGCCCTAGGTGCTAGAGAAGGAAAGATCCGCAAGCATTGCATACCGGTGGACTATCCTATCATACAAGAGTACCTTGGCAGCTGTCCTTCATATGAAGAATTAAGGCGCGCATGTTTACAGAGTGCAGGAGCGCCGCGCCGCTTTTGAGGACTTGAGTCGAAACATGAAGTGGGTGTAGACCATAAGTGCTTAACCGCTGTGTGGCAGCCTACCCCTCGCCCCCAGGCTGCTTGCTATGCTGCCTGGTTTATTCATTTTCACAGGCTGTGGCACGTATAGCAGAGCAAAGATGTGTATGTATCCATGCATGGTATTTACCTGCAGGTGCCTTTTGCTATGGGGGCTCTGATTGCAGGCAGGCTGTAGTAGTTCTTGCTGTAAGAACATGAGATTCAAGGACGTTCATCATGTGGAATCACGTTCGATTTCTTCGCGATAGACGCGTTTGGGTAAACGAAAGATACAGGGAGGTCCATAATGATCCAACGCCCTCGTTTCCTGAAGAGTATTAGATCCGGACTGGATGATATCTTAGTAAGGAATATCTTCCCATCATCTATGTCGGTTGCAATGCGAGGTATAGGCGGTCTGCGCGAGCACGGCAACAAGAAGGTTGTAGCGATGATGGCAATGCTGCCGATGACGACCATGTCAGGGTTGCATATTTTAGATCTTTGTCGTGGACAGACCATTAGAGTTCTACTTTCTTGCATCTAGCGGTATGCGCCATGGCGAACGGTATCTACGGGGGAAGAATACAGAAAAGATATGGAATGTGAGTGTGAAACTCCGAAAGGCCCAGGTGACCATGGCAATCTAAAATTGTGCAATGCATGCTGGATATGAATGGGGGAGGTGACACTCTCTACTCTCTCTACTTTGGTGAGCATGTGGAGTGCGAATGGGGCGCATCAACCCAAGACGGCGAGCATGTGGAGAATGTTAGTGTCGGGGTATGGAACTGCAACACAGACGCACCGAATTCAGTAAAATGAGCACCATGGGTAGAAAAACCGAAGCTTGCCGCTTTGTTTTCTGTGTGCAGAACAAATGGGCCTAGGAAGTTGAGAGATCACAGGGGAAAAGCCTACGCAATGACAGGCTCGATGTTGAGAAAGAAATAAAAACGAGAATGGTGTGGAGTTGTATCTTCTGTTGATTGTTTTGAACGACCATAACAAAAGAGTATGATGTCTTTTCTAAACACAAAGAAGCAGCAAATAAGAAGGGCTATTTGTGTGCGTGTGCGATTTATTTCCGTTTCTATGTATCGATTAAGGTTGCATGTGTATATAGCGTGCGTGTTTTCATCCTTTATGCAGGTGGTTGCAGTTCCTCTCTATAAGACCGGAATGGTAGGTAGCGGCAACCAATCGCAACCGGTTCGTGATTTTGATTGCTGTTGCCTTGTAGAAGCGCCACCTCTACTCCACGGTCCTTCTTCAGGAGTCAGCTTAGTATTAGTGTGAGAGAAATAAACTTTTGGTCCGCACACAAGAACAATGGTATCGCACATTGCGCTTGGAGACCAACCCTCAGGTAAAAGGGGATCGTTATTTAGACCCGTGTACAGTGTATGCAACAACCAAACAAAGCAAGAGGGCGTTGCGGCATGGACTGTTCGCCTCTGAAATGGATCTAGACGTCTCTTTAAAATAACATCTCTGACATCTCCACACGGTAATTGTGTTTGTCATCGCGTCTTTTTGTCCCTTCCCAACATTTCTACGCGTGGCTCACAGCAGCCGAAGGATAAGCAAAAAAAATAAAAAACTACAACCATTAAAGATGGTTGCCTTCCGTTCGTCCGAAAGGAATAAATCGCATGGAGGAGCCCTATACAAGAGTCACTGCAAACCCGGATGTGGAGGCGGAGGGTTCCCGTTCGAAGGGACGCGACTCGGACGCGGGCCTTGGATATGATTGGGTATGGGCCCAAGAGCAATGACAGCATTTTTAAACAATCAACACCGGCTCTCTTTGTTGGCCCTTCCTCTAGTCTATCACATCAAGCGTCTCCACAAGCGCCAAAGAAAACAGCGAGAACATACACTATCTCGGAAACACATGGTCTGCGACGGACCCTTGCACACATTTGCGATATTGGTAGACCATAATGTGCCACACGCACAGTATACGGATTTCTTGCCGCTTTGCCAGAGTCGGGCTTATTAACATATATTGCTTTGCACATGTGTGTCCCTGAACCACTAAACCATGGGAACGCTGTTCCTTGCGGACACTAGGCTGCTGGCATCGATGGGTGTTATCAAGAACAGGGTGTGCACTTGGATGATGCATCGATCCACTCTTGAAAGAAATGAATCGAACGAAGATATAGCTGTTGAGGCGTCCTGGTATGGGTATTGGCAGTTCGCAGATAGTTCTAGAAAGGGCGTCAGACCAGACCATTTGGAGATAAGACTTAATTGACTTAGCGTAAAAAGTAAAGGCAAGCTGGAGTAAAAAAAAAAATAGGCAGAGGGTCACCACGTCTTTACTTTATTCAATGTCCTAACTAGTCAAAACGATATCCGCTGCGAAATGTGCGGCTCTTTTGGTTTTATTTTCCCTCCTCTCTGGCTTTGCCTTGTTTGTAACACAATGCATTGGATATTTGGATAATGGCCACAAGGGGTGGCCGACATTGCGCTGTAGTCGTAGTCTTGTGTTTGTGTGCCTTTGTGCGCATTAAAAACAATAAAGAGATATGTATGTACCTCCACCGCCATCGTTAATGCCACTGTATCTAGAATGATGACAGCCCGAACGGAAGGAGGAAACTGACATATGAATGCAATAGGAAAAAAGGTCTGCTCAAGACGGTAAGCCGTTCTGTAGTGTAGGCAAGCAGGATCCAAAGGACCACTCCGTAGATTTCTAACTTCAGGTATTTGCCAATAGCCTGTCTTCATATGCTGCAGGATAGACATTTCTGCCCTATTGGACAATTATAGCCGATTGAATTTCTCTTCGTGGTCTCTGGTTCCTGAACAATTATTTGATCGTACATCTCGCACCGTATAAACTGTCATGAAAATAGTCTACAAATATTCAAACAAACATTTCAACAATTCTGCTTATTCAATCTCATTCACCCTAATTCAAAACGGCAAGCTGTCCACATTACGCGGAGGCCCTTGTTGTTGCACTGCCAGTTGCTCCACGTCTGGATTGGCACTTCTCCACTCGCTCTCATATGGCCCCGACTCTGCTATAAAATGTCCCTTTCCTCACCCACATCTTCGGCCCTTCTCCCTCTTTCCTTCCTCTGTCTTCCTTCTTCTCTTCTGCGACTCCAGGACACGTTCAGTTAAAACGTCTGACCTGCATCGCCACAATTCCTCACACTTTCCTCTTTCCGCACACCTTACCCATATTTCATTCCTCATCTAAATCACGTTAACGAACACAACGAGCTCCTCATCTCCTCTGAGCCATCTTCCCTCCTTCAACACATCGGTTGGCACAGCCCCTCCTACCCTAATTCATCCTCACCCCTTCCTATAGGTCAACTCTTGACACGACGCGTTTTTAACACCAGTTAGCGACCCTCATCAAATACACATCTAATCTTCATGGCAACAACTACCGGTAATCCTTCCCACGGGAATGAGGCTCTACCATATGACGAGCACGACGAGGACTACCACGACTTTGAGGAATACGAGGAAACGACCAAACCAACAACCCGTCCCTTCTACAAGCGCCGCAATTACTGGATCTTCTGCGCTGTCATGACAGTCATTGTCGTCGCAGTAGCAGTACCCCTCGCACTCTTTGTCATCCTACCCAAGATTGCACAGGTTATCCTGAACAACTCCACCATGTCCTTCAACAGCATCCAGATCGCCAATCCTCAGAATACCTCCCTCGATATGGCCATGGATGGTACTCTCGGTAACACCGGCCCCTTCTCAGCAACAATCAAGTTCCCCGAACCCATCAATGTTTACTACAATGATGCCTTACTTGGTTCCATGAACCTGCCTGACACCAAGGCCAGTGGAGGCAAGGGTACTCTCAATACCCAGGCTACGTTCAGCATTAACGATGAGGCAGCCTTTGGCAGCTTCTCGGCCGATATGGTAAGAGCGATCGTGCATTTGATATTCCCCATCTCCCCTGCCTGCAAACTATTTCATCGAAACGAAATTACTTCATTTTCCCGAGCTCGATCGCTGCCCCTGATTAGCCATATCAGGGTCTGCATCTAAGCGAGTCATTTACAACACTGCACCTGCATCACATAAGCCCTTTGCAGCTCGTTCCTGATCATTACCCGTTAAAAAGGATGCCATAATGTGGCATGTGCGTGCTTCAAAATGCTAACCTTGTCATTTCATTTCTCTTCATTTCCCCATATTTACAGCTGAACCAACCAACTTTCACCTGGGTGCTCAAGTCCAAGGTCACCATCGTGGCTCTCGGTCGCACCGTAAGCAACCTTAATCTGAATAAGGCTCTTGAACTCAATGGTACGTGCAACAATCCAATGGATGCACTCATCTCGTTTTACACACAGCTATCGTTTCGTGCTCTCATGTCCCTTGCTGCTTATTATTGTTATAGGTATGGGTGGTTTCCCAGATGTCAAGATTCTCAAGTTCGACCTTCCCTCTGATGCCCCTGCTGGTCAGGGTATCAATCTGGTGATCGATACTGAAATGAACAATCCCTCTCCCATTGGCGTCACCCTTGGAACCATTGTCCTCGACATCGGTTACAATGGCACGCAGCTGGGCCAAGTCAGGGCCACTGGCGCCAATCTTCAGGGCCACAGCCCGTCCGTTCTCAATTTAACTGGAATCATGACTCCACAGACCACCCCTGAGGGTCTTGCTACCGTCAGGTACCGCCTATTTCCATATCGCTTACGCGCCATGAGCAGTATGCACGATGATATCTCGCTAATATATTCATTCTGCCGACAATAGCGCCCTATTCTCATCTTACATTGCCGGTATGACTTCTGAGACGAGCGCCAAGGGTGTCTCTGTGTTGCCTGATGGTGTCAATGAGGTTAGCTGGCTCTCCATTGGTCTCCGGTCGATGACGCTCAAGGTCCCTCTGCAGGCTCCCGCTCCCCTGAACATCATCAAGTCCATCAGCCTCGGTCAGATGGGTATGAACTGGACCAATGCCGATGCCTACGCGCCGCTTGCCAACTCCCCAGGTGTTGTCGCTGGCTTCCAGATGCCCTTCGGCTTCTCCCTCAACGTGACCCAGGTGAACAACAATATGACGGTTATCTACAACAACAAGAACATGGCCAGCCTAAACTCATCCCAGTGGGGTCCTGCAGTGACCTCAAAGGACGCCAACGGCACCGCAATCACCTTTGCGCTCCCTCCGACTCCTTTCAATATCGAGGCCGATTCTCATGGCGATTTTGATGACTTTGTCAATAAGCTGACCGTGGGTTCGAGTGAGTCATTTAGTGTGGCAGGCCTGGCAGGCACTGTAGCCCAGACTCCCATCGGTGAGGTCGTAATCAGCGGCATCCCATTCAAGTCAGATGTTTCCTTGTCTGGTCTGCAGGGTCTCAAGACCGAGCCCACTGTGATCAATAGCCTGACGGTCATCGGTGGTCTCCCCACCGGTCTGCAAATCGCCCTCAACCTGTCCATGGTTAACCCAAGTACGCTCTCAATCGATACTGGTGTTGGTGATAGCGCTATTGTTACCTTTGCTATGCAGTACGAGGGTGACAATGTCGGAACTGTCATCTTCCCTAGCTTGAACTTGGTTCCTGGCCAGAACATTCGCACTGCTGGAGCCATGTTCACCCCCACTGGCACCCAAGGAGGCCAAGCCCTCTTACAGAAGTATATGTCAAACCAGGCCGCGACTGTTGACATCTTCGGCTCTTCCTCGTCGTCTGCCATCGGCCCCCTGGCTGCGGGTTTGAAGGACGTGCAATTGCAATCCAGCATGCCCGGAAACCCTGCTCAGCTTCTTTTGAGCACTGCCTTGACTATCCTCGATGACACTGGCAAGACTGGTATTGCCATGGCGACCGTTACCGTCAACAATCCCTTCGTACCCGGCCTGACCATTAAGTCGATCAAATCCACGGTCCAGTACAACGGCCGACAGCTCGGTGCCATTGACATTCCTTCGGTTACAATCAGTGTCCCTGGCAATACTCAGCAAGCCTCTCAACCCTTGCCTTTGTCCATGGATCTCTCTATCGACTCTCTGCTCAGTCTCATGATAGATCAGACCAAGCTCAACAACCTGAATGCCGAGCCCATCATTTCCTTGGGCAAGATGGCCAAGGACCCTACGGTCAAGATTTCATCCTCGGTCTTTGCTGGATTCAACTTGCCCACGTTTGTTAGAGCTGCGATGGTTGGTCTCAAGGTCGACGTTTCTATGACGGTCGACGTCATGGTTGGTGAATATGCCACCTCACTCACCTTGACACAGAACGGTGTCCCCACCATCACGGACGATACCATCCTGAAACTCCTTCCCATCGTCGGAACTCCTATCGCTCAGGCTATCGTCGACCAGGCCACTCTCAGCTTCAGCAGTGTCATGATCAATAGCCCTGCCGAGACGGACTTTACCACTAACATTAACGGTCTCATTGCCAACACGGGTCCTTTCGATGCCGAGATTTCCTTCCCCAGCGGCTCCTCGGTTGCTTGGTTGAACAACGGCGCCGAAACGCCCATTGGTATGATCTCGATGCCCGTTGTCTCTGCCAAGGCTGACGTTGGAGCCCAGCTTGCACTGACCAACGTTCCCTTCCACGTGGTCAGCGGTTCGAACATGGGCGACTTTGTTGGATATTCCTTGAAGGCCGAATCTTTCGAGTGGTCGGTCGCTGCCGAAAACATTACTGTCATTGCCATGGGTGCTCCCATCCCTAACATCAACATGAAGAAGAGTGTGTCGCTGAAGGGCTTCAACGGTCTTCAGGGTCTGGTCATCCAGAAATACGATCTGCCCTCGAATGATCCCAACGGCATCCATCTCGTCCTTCAGGCCACGCTTCCCAACCCCTCGAACGTTGGTATTGAGATGGGCACCATCGTATTCAGCAACTTCTTCCAGGGCCAAGATATCGGTTTTGTTCAGACCTCTGGCCTCAAGTTGATGCCGGATGGTATCACACCCATTGCCATGGAAGGAACATTGACCAAGCAAACCTCTACCGCCGGCCTCAATGCTCTTGGCGACATGTTCCGCATGGCCCTGAACGGAGGCTCACCAAATTTGATTGTCAAGGGCAAGTCTGTAACCCCTGCCAGCGGACCCGTGTCCTGGCTGAGCTCTGCCTTCTCGACCCTGACCATGAACGTCACGTTACCAAGTCTCGGTAAGCAGGATATTATCACTGGAATCACTATCAAGACCATGACCCTGGACTTTACTGGCAGCAACCCCTACAGCGTCATGACCTCTTCGGACAACATTGAGGCCACGTTCAAGATCCCGTTCTCTTTCCCACTCAGCATCACACAGGTCGCTGAGGATATAAATATTCAGCTGTCCAAGGGTAACGACGTTGCCAACTTGAAGCTCCCTCTTGGCCCTGCTCAGACCATCAGCCCTGGTCTACTCAAGACAGGCTACACGAACCAGCCTTTGAATGTTAACGATGGTGCCCATGAAGCCTTCAATGGTTTCTCCAAAGTGTTGACCACTAGCCCTGGTATCCAGTTCTTCCTATCCGGCACTGCTGATACTGTTGCTGACACTGCTGCAGGCGAGGTCAAGATTCCCGGCGTCAATGTGAGTGTTCCCTCAACCTTAGCGGGCATGAACTTGAACGCAGGCGGAGCTCAGATCACGGACATCAAGATCACTGGAGGAACAAGCCAGTACCTGATCATCAACCAGAATGTCGTGCTTCAGAACCCCTCTGGTCTGACGGTCAAGGTCGGTCAGGTCAGCTTCGATATCAGTTACGCCGGAAACCTCATGGGCACGGCTACGGTCAACAACATGATCCTCGTCCCAGGTCCCAACACTCTGCCAGCTGAATTTCATCTGATGCCTTCTAATGACGCTGTTCGCGATGGTTTCCTAAGCGGTTTTGTTGCCGGCGGTACATTCAACCTCGCCATTTCCGGTAGTGCAGAATCGACCAAGGTTGAGTCCCTGAAAGACGCCATGGCTTCAGTCAAGCTGTCCTCGACCATCAAGGGCATTACAGACAAATTGGTCGCCCCTGGCAGCCACGCAGAACCGGATATCCTCAACATGTTACAGGTATGCCAAAAGGCTGTACACTTCTATACTATTTACTATTTACTATTTTACTGTTGCTGCTGATGGCACTAACCCATTATCATATCTGATATCTGCAATGCCAGGTCATCTCTCCTCGCAAGACCCCTGTCCAAGTCATGATCTACAATCCCTTCGATACTCCTCTCTACATCAAGACCATGAAGGCGAGCACGACCTGGCAGGGCAAATATTTTGGTGAGATCGATCAGGATGTCGGTCTCACGATCCCACCCAAGGCTACAGTTCTTTCACCCACGCTGACAATGGAATCGCCTGCTGGTCTCGATTTTTTTGGCACTTTGATCCCCTTCATGCTGAAGTACCCTCAGTTACTCATCGGCCAGACTGCGGACGTGCCATTCAACATCAACGCGACGATCACCGCCGTTGTCGGTGGTTCAAGTGGATATCTCGGCAACGTTGCTTACAGCCAGGCTGATACGGTCATCACGGTCCAGATCAACGGAAAGGCTCCTGCGGGTGCTCTTCCTCCACAGCTGGGTGGTCAAAGCGTGGCAAACGCGACGGCCACTACTCTTGTTCCTACAGCTTCAACCGAGACGTCGGCCACTGTCTCAGCATCCGCATCCACGACTGATGTTCCCAAGGTTTCCAAGCCCACCGAAACCACCGAGACCACCGAGACGACGACAACGACGACTCAGCCTGAAATAGAGCCGACTAAAGAGCCCACGAAGACCACAACGACCGCGACTGCTGTAAAGACTCGACTTCCAGTGGTTGGCAAGCGTCAGGTGCAGGTTCTTGAGAACGGTCCTAGCGACACTTCACCCGAGGTGGTAGAGGCATGGATTAAGGCCATGGTGAACAAGATCGCGCAGGATGACGGTCTCCCTCCTCCATACGCATAAGCGAGGCAGGATTTCTTCATTTCAGATTTATAACCATCTATCTTTGTGCTCGTTTCTCGTTTTGCATTCTTGTTTTCATTCGCATCCTTTTTTTTTATTTTTCTTCCGGAATCACTATCAAGGCTTCTTGTTTGATTGGTTTTATTTCTTTGCCTCTTTTCTTCACAGAAACCTGCGTTGGCGAAGGTGTTCTCTAACACCTTTTTTTTACGACCTCTACCTTTTAATTCTTAATAAGCATTGCAGTACCTTTAATGATGCAGGTGCTTGTATACCACCACTTATCTTCCTCGTTTCGCAAGTGCAATGATCAATTGAAAAAAAAAAAAGACAATACTTGTAACGATTTTCCGGAATTATTATAGAAGGAGAGAAAAACAGAAGATGAACCAGTTTGATGAACGGTTTTTACGTAGGAACGTAGTTGAAATGAAGAAGGGACAACAACAAAATAAAAACCAATCCTCTGCCAACCTGCTGAATGTTTTTTTTGAATTTTGCGTGAACGCGATGCTTTGCGACGCGCCGTGCTGTGCATGCAAGTAAACCCCTCGGCTTAAGGGTGTTCTTTCTCTTATCCACAGTTTTCAACGCTGCATGTGCCATGTAGTCTTCATTGCACCATCCTTCACCATGAACTGGCAGCCTAGCAAGTGTCTTGAAGATCCACAAGACTACCGGAAAAACTACATCTCGGAAGAGACTGGTCAGGGTAGATTCGCGCTCATTATTCTGAATCAACCCATTCTGGTCCGCCGCACTTTGTTCGAGAATGTCTGGAATAATGGTAAAGGATTTCGATCATATCTTTCTTTATTTTATTTTTGCACAGCGTCCAAATGGATCGCGTTTCTGAAGCATGGAGGATAAGGCTGACAGACAGGGATGCGTGATGTGCATATATAGCAACGTATAGGTTCTGCGCAGATGGTGGGGCCAACCGATTGTACGATATGTTCGAGACGGACGAGGAGCGCGTCAAGTAAGCGAAATCGATGATCTGCTCTCTTTATGCAGGAATCGCTGGCGCAACCATCGGGAAACAGGAGTATTGCTCACTCGCGATACCGTTTTTTCGACCACGAATAGATACTTGCCAGACTACATTCGTGGCGATCTGGACTCGTTACGTGATTCTGTCAAAGAGTATTATGAATCTCAGGTAAAAAGCTCTTCACCATCCGAGACGAGTACCTTCCTTCTATATATTCTTCCTAAAATATGGCTAACTTCCTTCCCCCCTCGTTTTTTCTTACGTTTAGGGCGTGCCTGTGGAACGTGTAGACGATGAGTACTCGACCGATTTCATGAAATGCGTAGACCTCGTCCGTGAGCGGGACCCTAAACCAGCCTCATCAGTACCAGTAGCTTCTCATTCCTCTTCTTTTTCAGTGTCAGGGACACAACAACAGCATCAGTACAGCAATAACTTGGAAATCGTCGCATTGGGAGGCACTGGAGGTCGGTTTGATCAGTGCATGTCTAGTATCCACCATCTCTATATCCTCAGTCGGGAGAGACATGCAACTTTGGTCTCGGATGAGAGTATCATCGTCGTCCTTAACGAAGTAAGTCATTGCTCTTTCTCTTAAATGGGAAGAAGACCATGCTGGCAGTACCTGGAACGTCAGGAGCGACAATGAATCGGTCGTATCTGGAGATTAACTGAACCCACATGCTACGTTCGTCTAATGCAGGGCAAGCATGAAATTACATGCAATCTCGAGATCGAAGGTCCTACTTGCGGTATCATTCCAGTGGGCGCTGGGCATGGCATCCTGACTACGACAGGACTCAAATGGGACGTCGGTACGTTTTCGAGTTACAGATCTAGTCGCCTTATTCCTTTACTCTCACGCTCAATTACGTAACTAAACGCTTGTTTTTATTTGTATAGAAAGCTGGGAGACCGCTTTTGGGACAAGGATCAGTACATCGAATGCCTTGGTCGGACCCAAGGTTACCATCGAGATCAACACGCCGATGGTCTGGACTACCGAGCTTAGATCGAAATAAAAACGAATATAGACTTAACCAGCATCCTTAAATCGCTATGGCTCAATGGCGGACGAAATTTTCCATCGATACATTTTATGTTTTACGCTGAGTCGCATGCTTTTTGGTTTTCTCTGTATTTTTCTTCGTTGCTCCAAAGCAAGATCTATGGTACATGGTACATGGATAACAAAAAACTCGTCTTCAAACTCGAGGAAATGGAATAAAGAAAATAGAGTGCCAAAAAAAAAAGCTGAGTATAGATATGATACAGACAATGTATTATGAAATAGTAATATGAAGCCATGAAAGAAGGTGATCTTCAGCTGTACTCCACGCCAAGGGCTTACTGCCGTTGCTGGGGATAAGGGAAGGGGGGCAAGTTGTTCTTGTAGCCTCCACGTCCTCCACGATTGGTCGAGGGGCGAGCAGAGTGTCCATACCAGCCCTGTCCTGGCGAGCCAGTATGTGGTGCAGCTTGGCCAGGGAGAATGCCCGGTGGCACAGCTCCTCCATATCCCCCAACGGGGGCAGGGTAGGCAGGTACTACAGGAGCCGCAGGCAGTCCATAGTTGTTCACAGGCGCAAATCCAGGAACGGCTGGTGGCTGCTGATGAGGGTACTGTGGAGCAGGGGCATACCCTGGTGCTCCGCCATTGCTGTATCCCCCACGGTTTCCACCATAGCCTCCGCGCGATCCACCGCCGCCGTTATATCCGCCAGACGAGCGGTTGCCATATCCTCCACCACCTTGGTGGCCGCCATATCCGCTACCATAGGACTGAGAAGGTCCCCCACGACTGTAGTTGTCGTATGAACCACCACCGCCGTAGCTACTATTGGACGCGTTGTCATAGCCACCCTGCCTTCCATAGCTTTGCTGATCGCCGCCATGTCCACCGCGGTTAGAGTAGCCGCCTCGTTGGCTAGGAGAGTTTCCTCGGTATCCAGAATCGCCGTATCCACCTCTGCCACTGCGACCTCCTCCGCCGCTATAGTTGATGTTTCCTGGTCGTGAGTCGTAGCCATGGTAAGGATCTGGCTTGGGAAATCGTGAGCCGTCGTTGTTGGGGCCAGCGTTGTAGCCTCCATACCCAGATCCACCGCTCTGAGGATAGGATCGGTCGTAGCTCTGACCAGGATAAGTTCGATCAGCAGCGCCGCGGTTATCTGGCGTGTATCCGCCTCGACCACCCCTAAAGCTTGAGCCACCTCTGCCATTGCGATCAAAACCACCTGAGTATCCATTGTTCTGTCCACGGTTATTGTAGTTGTTATAGCCGCCGCGGCCACCACGGCCACCACGACCACCGCGTCCGCCGCCTCGTTGTGATCCACCACCGTTCTTGATCCACTGAATATCGTCCGAAGAAAGCACACGCCTGGGCGGATTGACACCTTTAAGCATGGTCGCCTGGTGTAGGAAGCCCTCAGGGAGAGGAGGATTCGAAAAGATGGCGCTGATCGACGTATCAATGGGGATGTCCTCGAGCCCATAGTCCACCAAAGGTGATGGAAACGAGCTGCGAGGGATGCACTGAGGATCCCGAGACACGTTTCCCAGTAGACGTCCACTCTTCTTGTAGTCCATATAGTAAACCTCGCCTTCGCTTCGGGAACTGTACAGTTTGTCGCATAAGACGTCGTAGAGTTTGCTCTTCTCGCTAACAAAAAGCACCTCCTTGCCAAATTTGTTGCGCTCAACCTCGTCCTCGGTCAGCCTGGGATAAAGTGGTGCCATGGCATCAAGCAATCGTTTGGGGTCCAGAAATGGCAGAAGCACAACACCTTGCCAGGCGAACTTCTTTCCATTCAAATCTAGCTCAAAGTTCTCAGGGTAGAAGTCGATAATAGGAGAACCCTCCTCATACATCAACGGCTGGAAGACAGGCGGAATGTGCTGCTTACTTCCAGCGGGCAAGACTCCCATGAGTTGCTCGATAGGATGGAATGGCTGACCGAGCTCAAAGTTGATCTCGATATCGCCGATATCCACAAAATCCGAGGCAAAGGGTGAATAGTGGTAAGGGTAGTACCACTGCCAAGACGGACATCCTTGCATGTAGTACTTCATAACCCAGCAGCATCCCTCAATATAGCTCTTCACAATACTAAATCAGACACAGTAATAAACAATAGATCCGTTAGAACAATGGCTCGTTCTACCGCCATGAATCATCTTGGCAAGGTATTTTCGTTAACTCACGCTCGCCGGGCCTCAGTGTCAGAGAGTTCAATGCGGAACTTGTTACGGTAGTAACGTTCCTTGTACTCAGGCTCCCATAGCCTGACGTTGTCCTCGGGCTCCTCGTCGTCGTCGACAACCTTCTTCTTGATAACTGCAGCGGGAATAGGAGTGGGTGTGGCAGCTGCCTCGGTGTCGTCATCCTCGTCGAGCTCAGACTCCTCATCATTCTTTTCGTCGTCGATGACCTCACCAATAGTGCGCTTCAAGGGATTGACCTCATGCATTGTTGCATCCTCGGGTGCAGTTTCAGTCGGTGCATCCTCGGTCGATGCGTTCTCTACAGGAGTTTCCGTTGAGGTCTCTGTTGCGTCCTGGTTCTTCTCATCCTCGACCGTGCTCTCTATGGTATCCTGTTGTGCTAGTTCAGCCTTCAAGAGCGCGGCTGCTGCTTGGTTCGAAGCGGTCCTTATCCGGACCTTTTCCTCCATGATCTTCTTGTTCAAAGCCGCCACCTCCTTCTCTGCCTCTGCTTTATTGCTCAGACCCTTGACAGCGACGGCAGGCATGTTCCAGATAGCGTTCTGCGAAAGTGCTGCGCCTCCTTCCTTTGATGAATACATAGCTCTTGCCTGGTCCTCAATCTTTCTGCGCTTGTTGTTCTTCATCCTTCGCTCCTCTTTCTCGCGACGTTCTTGGAAGATTCCGTCCTCCTTCTTGCCGAGCTCAGTCATTAAGAGCTGAGCGCGCTTCAAGTCGACATCGCCGTTCCGCGTCATGTACCCGCCCATCAATGGAAGAACCTGCTTCCAAATCTCGATCAAGATATCAATGGCACCCTCTCGTGTTTCCAGTGACGGAAGATGAGGTAGGAAATCGTTTCCGACAAAGAAACACAAGAACACCCAGTCATCAATCGCCTTCTCAAGGTCCCATTCAAAAGACAAGTTCTCGACTTTGAGCTCGACCTCAAGATATTCACGAAGAATGCTGACATTGAGGTAGATGTAAGGCTTCACAGCCGCTGGAGGTGCTTTTTCATCAAAGTCGCCAGACTTGATCTTGGTCTTGCCTTGGCACTGCGCAGCCTGGTGACCGGTCTGGTTGCAAAGAAAGCATTTATTCTTTGAGCTGCCCTCCTGGAAGAATACATCCTCTCGAAGAACCTTAAAGTAGGGCTCGTGTGTGCCAAGTGCCAACATGATCAGATCAGCATCCTGTATAGAGTGTAATTTCAGACAAAATCATAATGGTTAGCAACTGTAAGACAGGGATATAAAGAAGCTGAAAATGACATTACGCCTCGTCGGATTCCGAACATACCAATCCATAGATGACATGGCTGGTGTTGGGGTTGTGATGTTCCGCCGCTCGTTGAGATCGGATAAAGTTCATCATCTTGTGCTCTCCCTCACCGGGTACACTGCCGTCCGAAAGGATGACTTTGAGATTCATCCAGCCTGGATCCTCATTCAGCTTTTTGGCGACCCAGAATCGTAGAATCTTGCCCAAGTTGACCATAAAGGGCGTTCCGGGCGTAATACAATTGGAGTCGAACTTTTGTTGAGCGTCATGGTCCGGGCGCTGGGCTTTCAATTCGGCTATAAAGTCGAAAGAAATTGGCGTTAATAAAGACCCTTCCAAATTGAGCGCATTGCACAACCATGATTGATCAAAGGCACCGTTCGACATACGTGTTAACTCTTCCCAGGCAGCCTCTTCGCTTGCAGCCTTTTCCTTTGCTTCCTGTGCGGTCCTGAAACGTCTCGAGCGCTGCTGGTTCATCTTGGCACGAGGAGCGACTCCATCTATCAAATAGGAGGTAGGAGCAATGTGCAGTTGGGTGATTAGGGCCTTGAATCTACGAGTTATGGAATAGAATCAGAATAATAGCAGGGAACTTACCAACAGCCATGTAGAGCATCTTGCGGGGTCTGACCATGTTCACAATGCGCTCAATGTAGGCGAAAATGGCTATGAACATCTCTTCCTCGTTGGTTGGTGGCGGCTAATCGATGCAAACACGATTTGTCAGTATCCGACTTTGAATGTCCACATCGTTTTTCAAAAAAGGAAACAAATAAACATATCAATTCAGCCGTAATGGCTATTGATCTGCATGGTAACGGCACATACCTTTCCCTCTGGTTTACAGCATGGATGAATAATGTTGTTCATGTCCAGATATAAATAGTCGTTTTCTTCGTTATTTGGATTAGGTTGTGTGATATCGATGGGTACGATGACACCATCAATCTCCCTTGGCTGCTCTTCGACAACATTGGTTGTAATCTTTGGGTACTTGTTAGCAAGCCTATGCACAGGATAAGGGGACAGGAAGCAAGTCGTTAGAATGCATGTTAGAATAGTTGGGCCAAGTGGCAAAGCAGATACGGCGCTCTGAGGTTGATCCTCCTTGGCTGGCTGTGGATGCTTTACCATCTGAAAAGAGCTGGAACTCCCATTGCGTGTGTATCAAAGACGAGGGGTCCGTTGAAATGAAGGAAGTGAGTGTGGAAAGTGGATAAAGAGAATACAGTGGCCGGATCGTTGTCGGCAGCTGCGAGTTGGGTTAAAGAGTTTGATGCAACAAAGACATATTTATCAGTCGCTATAGACTGGTGACTGCTCTTTTACCCTACAAAATGACGTAGGCGCACTCCGCTCATGCGCGCTGTACGTGCTTGTGGTTTCTGCTTTCGTCTTCCCCTTTTGCTGGTCCTCCTCCATTGCCCCCCTCCTTCACCTTCTCATACTTCTCTTGTCCCTACAGCTTCCTTTAACAGACACCCAGACATTATGGAGGCTATCAACTCTGAAGACATTGTCCAGTTTTGTGCCATCACTTCTGCGGACCCTGACGTTGCTGCCAACTACCTGACGGTAAGTATGGCATGCCATACGTGAGGATTCCATAGCAAAAAACAACCGCTGCTGATATATCCATGACGGTAGCGTGAGTTTACAATCAATTGACATCTAATATTTGTGTTTGTGTGTGCCAGGTATGCGAAGGGTCCCTTGAGCGTGCAGTCACATTGTACATGGAGAGCGGCGGTGTCGATTTGTCAGGAACTTCCTCAGAACCCAACAGCAATAGCAACAATAACAAGAGCACGCGTCGATCACGGTCATCTTCAAACGATGGATCTACAGGTGAATTTGGAGGCAGTTTTGATCAGGATGAAGAGCTTGCACGCTCGCTCCAAGAAGAAGACAACAAGGTAGCCAACGCTATTCGTGCCCCAATCGCGCCAAGACACGAGATGCTGCTAGGCGATGACTATGGCGGACACTCCAGTTCCATGTTCGGCGGTCCCTCTCGTATGTGTATTTTGTTACCGCAGGACCTGTCTCGTGATGGCTTTCAGGGCCTTTCGTAATATGACAAAGCTGAAAGGCACTGATGATACCACGGCTTTGAACCCTGTGTGATTATACTCTTTAGGAACGCGTGCTGCGCCTTCTGTGTTTTTGCCTCCGGATTCTTCAGCGCTTGCCAGAGATGCGTTTCGTGATTTCGCTGCGGAGGCTGCCACCATGGGAGGTGAAACCAGCCCTAAGACCTCGAGGTTGGCGGATCTTTTCAAGGCTCCTCTGGACATGATGGCTAGAGGGGACTTTGATCAGGTATGGCAGTGTTTAGACTCATCTTTCTCGCAGATCATCATATGCGGATTTCAGTTCAATTTTTTAACGTCTACCCGATACATTACCATCGTAGAGCCGAAATGTTGCCAAGAACGAAATGAAGTGGCTCATGGTCAACATCCAGGAAGCAGGCGTTTTTGCCTGCCAAGTCTTGAATCGCGATCTCTGGAGCGACCCCAGCGTGAAGGAGATTGTGAAAGAGAATTTTATCTTTTTGCAGGTACACCTTGGCGCTCCTTGTCCTTGACATTTGACCTGTGTCGACTTCTAAGGAGGGTCAATGTGCCAACGTTTATTTCTTTGAAATGATGTAGTTTTACTCTGACAGCGTCGAGGGCAAGAAATATGCAGCATACTACCCACTGAAGACCTTTCCCCATATCGCCATCATCGACCCAAGGACAGGTAAGGTTCAGGAATCATGCTAGCATGGACATGCATGCATGGCGATAGCATCCTGAAAAAAACTTTCCCTACTTCGCGCCGTTTCTTATCAATGCATCTTTTCCGCAGCCGAGAGGATGCACGTCTGGAGCAAAGCAATTGACCCAGTGGACTTTCTTTCCGATGGTATGTTGCATTATGCACTGTGCATTGTGCCATAGTTTTTTCCGCACCGATTTTTTTGTACTAACGTGATTCAAATTGGTCAATTCTAGTCTCTGAGTTCCTGGAGATGCACTCGCTCACAGATTCGACCTCGAAACCATCGCAACCGAAAAAGAAGAAGATTGTGAAGGATGTTTCTGATATGACAGAGGAAGAGCAACTTCATGCAGCCGTGCTGGCATCGATGGGTGGCGATTCGTCGAGTGCAATTGATATTCTAGAAGATGATCAGAACACACCTTCCACATCAGTCCCCGAAGGTAGCAAGCTGTTCAAGCATCTGGAACACATTTTTGTTCATCAATGTGATGGGATCACGCACTGACAAATTGTTATCGCTGCGCTCATAGAAGCGACCCCAGCAGCAGAAGAGGTTTCGGTTTTTGATAGCATACAGCCTTTGCGTCACGAAGAGCCCACGGACCCTGCCACGTCGACTAGAATTCAGTTCCGACTTAGCGATGGCTCCCGCTTAATGCATAGGTTTTCCAAAGAGGCGCCTGTTCGAGCCTTGTTTGAGTTTATCAAGGCAGAGGTCGAAGATGCCCAATCTCAACCGTTCGAGGTAAGCATCTGCTTTCTAGAGTCAGCCAAGGATGAGCTTATCATGGCGCGCGCATCACTAATCCTGGTTATCTTTGACGGCCTTGTTGCAGCTCGTGTTCATTAGCAGGCCGCTTTTGGACGATGTTGACAAGACCCTAGCAGAACTTGGCATTGCGAATGCGCAAATTATGGTTCAGATGTGAAGGAGCGGTTGAACTCGAAGCAAGTATCAAGTCGCCAAGAATACGACCCTCACCCTGGAACATTGTTCGTATCATCAAACATAGACAATCAATGATCCTCGTCCTGGAACCATCCTCCTGGGAAGAAATGATGAGTACAATACAACATAGCACAACAAAAACAATACAAAATGAGATCTGCGGATGCTGGTTTATTTGAACGAAAGGAGTTATGATACAAGATTGAGGAGCAATAGCACAGAGGTTATAAGTTCACTTGGCGGTCCTGAAGAGTCTTTGGAAGAAACTTGGACCCTTCTTTCCGATAGCCTCAAAGTTCTTCTTGGCAGTTTCCTTCTCCAACATGTCGACGAGCTTTGAGTAGTAATTGGGATTGCTTGCAGGGGTTAACAGCTTTGGTGAAAGAGGGTACTAGATTGCCACCAAAATGGGCATGTGAGTTGAAAAGATCCATGTTTCCGTTGGTAAAAAAAGTCCTGTATGGCACTGACCTTTTGTTTGAACTCGTTCCGGGTGATCTTTTGCAGAGCTTCAAGCTGGACACGAGCGTCTGCGATTCTAGAAGCGAGGGTATCGTTGTTGGCTCCGGTGATGGGAGATCGAAAGGACTCGGTGACCTGGCTTCGCAGAGCTGTCTTCATGTTGCGGGTGGGGCGGATGGGATCAGCAGGCCATTGGTTGATCACTCTGAGATAAGACCTGTAGAGATTGACCACGGTTCTAGCGGAGGGTGCTGCTGCTGCTGTGGAGGACATTTTGCTGTGTGGACCGGAACTTTGATGAGCTGTTGGGAAGGGCGAAGTTGGGGGGTAGGTTATACGGGGGACGCACTCAAGGAATAAGGAATATGAACTTGTTTACCCTGGAGCTTCCGCGTGACGGCCCTCTGAGTGCAATGCAAACTTTCGCTCGGACGCGTCCCCGAGCTCCGTCGGGAATATAGGGTACCGGCACGCATTCAAGGATCTCAGGGACTGATGCGCATAGCCCTTGATAAAATCTCCCTGCCGTTGATAATCTGCAAGGCAGACACAGTGCTCTATGTTCGAGAATTTCACGAAACGCGTGTATTTTACGCGTCTTATCGCCGTACCACTGTGGGCGACTCGGAATGCTGAATGTTGGAGTGCATACACGGAGAAGAGGCAGATGGTCAGCGCAGAGACTAAATAAAATGGGCACAACGGACTTTAATGCGCCCATTTGCAATTGCAGTTTGACCACAGCTTTAATTCAGTCAAAGTTTGCACCCAAGTAAGCGACAATCTCCCTGGCCAAGTCAGGCGCATCGAATGTTAGTCCGCCTGTGCTGCGTGCTACGAGTACGCAGAGGAGCATGCAGACGCAGAAGGACACGACAATTGTGAGTGAGGAAACGAGTGTGCATGTGTGTGTGAATGTGTGTCTGTATATCCCATGGCCCAGGAGTTGGGGATCAGAAGGTACCTCCATGCACATATCTTTCCCTCTTTTCTCCTCCACTTTCTCCTCCTCCTCTTCCTCCTCCCCATCTCCACCTTGCCCTTCTCCTCCTCCCCCTTCTCCTCCTCCTCCTTCTCCTTCTCATTCCTCGGCCCCTCGCCGCCACCAACTTTTTTTTTGTTTGAACTTGTCCTTATACCCCTCTGGCATCTCTCGGTCTTCAACTTCCCCTCCTCATCCACATAGACTCGTTAACTCCGCGACTCCACACTCCTCTCCACACCATGGTATACACATCTCCATTCTCTCTTGTGACATCGCAACATCTTCATCGCGCAATCAACTTGTGTATTCTCTTCTCTTCACTACTGACCAACCACTAATCTCCGACTTTTTTTCTTCTTTGTTGGACACTGAAACCCCTTTGATGACATCGTTCCCGCTGCCGTCCTCTCTGATAACGCTCGCTCTCATCTCCCTCGGTTATATATCCACACGGTCTCGTGGACGTATCACCCTTTCTGCAGAGCGTCTCCAGTCAATTGGATCCCGAGGAATACTATGTCAAGCTCGAGCGAATTGGTAACATACAGACGCCCAACGTGGCGCCCGAACAAAGGCAAACGTGGCCGTCGTCATGGCGTCTTTGAGAATCGTATACAAAAATGCTGACTTTGTTCGTATAAACTCCCCATTTGCAGGCAAGGGATCGTTTGGCGAAGTCTTCAAAGGGTAAATAAAGTGAAAATGTTAAGTTAGAAAATGACAGTTATTACAATCTCATTTGGAACGAGCAGATGAGCACTGCAGCAATTTCTCATAATTGCTTGCTGCTGTCGCTCCCCCCTCCAGTCTTCTCCCTGTTCCTGCTGCAGCATTACCGTTTTTTTATATTGGCGTCGGAGAAAGATCACGGCATTTCATTATTCGTTTTTCCCTAGGCTCAATAGGCTGTCGGGAGACACGAGAGTAGATTTCTTCCGCCCTGTCGTGCAACAATTTAACATTGGAATCATCGCTATCGAGCTTTATTTCTCCATATCATCTTTTGTCTCCCCCCGAATTCAGTTTTTCTCATCGAAACAAAAGAGACGAGTGGCTCCACTAGCTTGCAACCCAAGGAGCGCGCTTGGTTTTTTTTTTGTAGCTCTGTTTTAAGACGTGTCCGCTTATATGCTGTCAATTGTCTCTTAATAGGTATGATCGAAGGACAAAGAAGCCAGTTGCGATCAAAATTATCGATCTCGAGAATGCAGAGGATGAAATCGACGATATTCAGCAGGAGATCAACATCCTGTCGCAATTGGATTCTCCCTATGTAACGAGGTACACGACAAGGCACAGCAATAGCGCATCATGTATTTGCGCCATTGAGCAAGATCACTCACACTTGCTGTTCAATTTTTTTTTTTTTTTTTTTTTTTGTGTGTGGTCATGGGTTAGATACTTTGCATCGTTCTTGAAGGGGGCGCACCTCTGGATCATCATGGAGTATTGTTCCGGCGGCTCCTGCTCAGACTTAGTATGATAACAAGAGAGAAGGCACTAGCGCCTTTTTTTTTTTTTTTTTTTTTTTTTTGGCCATGGATATGCACGACATCGTGGCACAGCTTCTCAGAGCAATGTATCCCGAGCCTTGCCTAACGACCCTATTTTTTTTTTCTTTCTCTGGACATTTTTAGATGAAAGCTGCAACATTCAAGGAAGACTATATTGCCATTATTGCGCGGGAGCTACTGAAAGGCTTGGAGTATCTTCATGACGAGGGCAAGCTCCATCGAGGTAATGATGCTGGATTAATTTGGAAGCGCTTTCCTGCATGCTCCTGGCGTTATTTAGCACCAGAACGAAGGGAGGTCACGATGGTTTCTTTTACATGATCTAACGACTGCATGGGTTAAATCTCTTTTTTGCCCCTTCCGCTACCTTGCGCTATGTTCTCCTGCGTGCTTGTGACCTATTCATCCTTGTGCGATACTGTGGAAAAAAAAAGACATTAAAGGTATGCCATGCATGCATGTACACAGAAAGTACAACATGGATTGGGCTGTGACCATGGATACTCGCAGCGCAGACGTGATAACCGATGCTCTTTTGTCCCGTGTGTCTGCTTTGTAGCCGCGAATGTTTTGTTGACAACAGATGGAGACGTCAAGCTGGCGGATTTTGGTGTATCAGGACAGGTACGAATGGTTTCTTCACGTTGGTTGTCAAGGGGTTTGTACGCGGACTGTATGTGCGGAGCAAGACGCTAATGTATACTTCTATATCCCGGTGCATTGATAGCTTACAGCAACCATGACAAAGAAGAACACATTTGTTGGCACGCCAGTAAGTGGCATTCGAAGATGTATGTACAGCATAAGTATACCGAGATTCTCGATATTTAAAGCCGCTTTTTATCCCCAATAGTTCTGGATGGCACCAGAGGTGATCAAGCAATCAGGATACGATAACAAGGCGGATATATGGTCATTAGGCATCACAGCCATCGAGCTTGCCAAAGGTGAACCGCCATACTCGGACATGCATCCGATGAAGGTTCTCTTTTTAATTCCCAAGAATACACCACCAGTGCTAGAGGGCAACTACTCCAGAGCGTTTAAGGAATTTGTTGCTGCATGTCTCCAAAGAGATCCTGCAATGGTATGTGTAACCCTCTCTTGCTGTCAAGTTCATGCAGACATTGGATTTGATTCCTGAAGCATCTTGTTGATTCCCTTTGTTTGTACTTTTTTATTTTCTAGCGTCCTTCAGCAAAGGATCTACAGAAGCACAGATTTATTCGGATGGCGAAGAAATCATCCTACTTGACAGAATTAATTGAGATTCATGAGAGATGGCTAACAGAAGGGGGCGGGCGTGAGAGCGAATCCTCAGACGATGAGGCGATAAAGTAAGCAGCGAATGTTGGAATGTCAAATAGTTTTTTTTTCTGTTGTTGGGTTCTATTTTCAAGTGGCGGGCGAGAAATATCAACTCATAAGGCAATTGATTTATTTAGCAATCATTATGAAGATGCCGAGGATGGTGGATGGGATTTTGGAACAGTGCGTGAACCCGGTAACCCTGGACGCCCCCCTAACATGTTCTCGCGTGAGGAAGTAAGTTATGACAGCAGTTGTTTCGCATTCCATATTTTTTTTTTAAAAAAAAAAAAAAAAAAAAAAAAAAAAAAAGAGGCTAATAGAACTATTGTCCTTTTTTTCTGTGCTCAGAACGTGAGACAGGGTGACTCAGGATACGACACTGTCAGGTCTCAGTATTACAGGAACATGGAGCATATTGAGAATCTATCTATTCAAGACCATCGTCGAAATGAACGGTCCGAACGTCCTGTATCCACAGACATGACGCGCGACAGGGTCTACCAAACCTTTGTCCGCCCCGTTTTGATGAATGTGAGTTCTTGCCCTCCTCCGCAAGCCAGGGGGATATGCATTTTCAGGTTATTTTCCTGTGATGTAAAGAAATATGAAACACGCCGGCTCACTAAAATTGATTTCTTGCGCTTTTGCATGCATATTTAGTTGCATGGATTATGTCTTCGAGAGAGCGAACGTGATGCGGTGGACGGTTTGAGGTTGGCGTTTGAGAATGCAGAGCGCGAGATACCCGGAATTACAAGGTTGTTCGTCAAAGGAGTAAGCGGGCAGCTGGAAGGATAAAAGACAGAAAATCCACAGAGGATCGAAAAACAAATAAAAGAAGGAAAAAATAGTAATCTGCTGACGACGGCTGTGATCTCTTGAGCAACGGTCATCTTTTGTAGTCGAGCATAATGAGATCCCTTGCTTGACGCCACGAATTCTATTGAATTTGCAGAAGTCATATCAGCAGGCACTATCTCTTTGAACAATGCTCATGTTGGAACTGGTATCCTTCTGGCTCCTCTTTTTTATTTTTTTTTATTTCTATTGGAGATGACTATATTTCCATATTGTGATTATCGTCTTCCGAGTCGTGGTGTAAAGATTGGGACTCGTGCCGTCGCATCGTCAGATCCCTAGAAGAACTTCCAACAGCACCTCTGCCCTTCTGCAACGATAATCCGTTTCCAAACGATAGCTCTCGCCTGCCGAACGCCGAGCCATCCCTAGACGCAGGAAATGGCAGTATGCCAGATGAATGGTCGTTCCTTCTTGATCCATTCGGGTTAAAAGGAGGATTCAATCCAGAATTAGAGGTCGAAGACGAGGAATTGGAGGGAGGGACAACGGTGTGCTGCTGGTGCATGACGTGGTTGGACCGATAGGACGAAATCGCGTGGTTAGAGATATATAGCCCGCCGAACACGATAACCAATACAAAAACCTATCATATTGAAAAAATAAATAAATAAGAGATTGCGATTAGCTCTCGTGTATAAGTAGCCTTGTTATCACACTGAAACACCACAGCATTCGCGGTGGATCTTACCATGGTCTTGTATGAAATGGTGTGTACGAAAGAGTTCACGATCAACGCAAAAGTTTCGGCCGCAACAGATGCTCTGCAGAAGAAAGAAAGAAAAAAAGAAAAAAAAAAAAGAAGCATAAAGCGAATAAGCATGCGTCCTGAAGGTCTTCAATTAGACTCTCTGCTCTTTCCACATTCACCGCGATATGACTTACCTTCCGATCCTCGGCTCTGGCTGCTCCATACAGGCTTTACGATCCTCGCATACTGTGAATAAAGCCGCACCAATAGGTTTATCACACCTATAAACCTGATAATATTCCTTCTCACAATTCGCCCTCCTTTGTCGTTCTCGCTGTAGAAGTGTCTCAGTCCTGAGACTGACATCGCTTTGAATCGTGGTAATGAAATTTGCGACGATATAGATCAATACGCCCACAAACACCGTATTCATCGCTACTTGGACGTATCTAAAAAAAAGTAACAACAATAGTAATCATCAATGAATGATAACCACGAGCTGAGCCAGAATGGTGCTTAAAAGCGAAGGGTATTGAATAATAATAAACGTACCCTGCCAAAATGAACGGCAGATCCACGTTCTCGGACCAGACTCTGCCCCGAGACTGCGGCTGGGCTTGGGCTTGCGATCGAGAACGGCCGCCCTCATGACGCTGTCCGGACTTGTGACCCACAAACGCGCCCCTCTGCAGTCTTCTCTGCCGATCATAGCTTGAGTTCCACGACTAGTTCCGAAAACCAAAAGCAGCAAAAATAACCAAAAAAAAAAAAAAAAAAAAAAAAAAAAAAGCGTCAGACAAGAGTCCAAAAAAAACATCAGATAATTTGATCCGCCTCGTGCTGTTGGCTTTGTACCTTGCGATGATGGAAAGCGGATTCCCCCTCATCACTGCCGTACGCTCCCTGATCCTCCTGTTCATCACTGTCCTCCCAGAACCCCGATCCTGAGGGCGCAATTCTGCCCTGCGTTGGTACACCCAATGCTCGACTCTTGCTTCCCTGCAAGCGACTTCCTGGTGACATTGCTCGTCCAAGCGGTGAATGGCCACTCAGGCGATAGTCATCATCATCATCATCGTCCAGCATATCATTCCTAAGTGTGTCCATATTAAAGCTCGACGTCGGTCTCTGCCCGCTAGAGCCCACACGACCACCGGCGCCATTGTACGTATTAATATCAGCCGAGGATGACAGAACAGATCCTGAAACAACGCTGCTATTGCTGCCTGGAGAGGAATGTGGTGGAGAAAACGATCCCTGTCTCGTCACTGTGGATCCTGACGATGAAAACACCTGCGAATCCTGACGAAACGGCTTTGGCATCGTTGAACCCCATCCGTTCGAGTTCAGCAACCCCTCTAGACATATAACATGGTTCAATATATAAGAAAATGTCCCGTTAACAACAGCACTACTGACATTGATCGGAGAGAAAAAGCATAACAGTTGACAGAGGCGCTTCCTTCCAAGTACGTACGACTGCTAGCAGTATTCTGAAATGCAGAACCCGATTCCTGTTTGGGGCCACCACCACCGCTGAGATCAGACGAGAAGGAACCGAATGCTGCTGGAGAAGAGTGAGGTTTCGGTGCCGACGAGAAAGTGGATTCAGATTCAAGCGGTTGGGGTGTCGAGAAGATGTTGGGCAGATTCCTGTCCTGCTCACGCTCCCAATCCATCGGCGCCTCGCGTGTCCGCATCGTCGTCATGCGGGTCATGTCTTTGTCCGTGGTTCCTTGGTGCGTTCTGTGGGGGGGCGACAAAGGCCGATTGAGTCTGGTGAGCAAGAATAAAGTCGGCGCCCCGGTTTGTGCTGCGCGATCAAGTTGTTTTCCAGGAACAAGAATGAAAGGGTTTACAAACAATTGTGGAGCATACGTTTTTTATCTGCCTCGGCGGAGCACAGTCGTGGTATAAATGGAATGTTTATTTGGTGCATTACAGCATACATGCAAAATGGCATGTCTTTGTCTGAAGTTATCATATTCGGTTGCTCGCTGCAGGCGGTGGATCCTGTTACATGGTGAAGATGAGGCTCAAATCTACTGGATGACTGGAGCTCAACTGGGGTTTCTGCTCATACTTAGAGCGCAGGATATCACGGATGCTGTTCAGCAGCTCCAGGTAGCTCTGATGTGGGTTGGCCGTTAGTCTAAGATTCGTACAAGAAATATGAGCATCTGTTTAGTTGGATCCATGGGCCACGCAATATCCAAACAGCTTTGACATAAGCAGCAAACAGCAACCCTTGTCCTTACGCCGAGATGAAAGAAAATGTCATGGCTCCTGTCATGCCAAAGCCCTGCTCATGTGTGTCTGCCGAGGTCTGTGTATCCTTACATCTACCGAAGGAACAAAGAAAGGAGCACGCTCGCATTAGTTCCCACTCCATTATTAACTCGGACCATGTTTAATTTTCCCTGGGTAACACAGCGCAAAAATATGCCTCATCTCTTACCCGCTGAGCATGATACAATCTGCTTGACTGGATTTCTTTTCCAAGTCCTTGTCCCTGTTCTTGTGTGCCATCAACTTCTTGCCCAATCCTCCGAGACCACGGAACAATCCTCCCATATCACCATTCATGTAGGCCATTCCTGCAGCCAGGACGCCTGTGCCGACATCTGCCAATATATTTGGCTCCTTAATATCTCCTGTGGTGCTGTAGATATATGGAAGATCGAGTGCTGATCCCGAGTGGCAGCAGTCCATGATGGCGGTCAATCGGCATCCTGCAGGCAAGGGATTGACCATAATCTCGTGCATGGTATCGTCGATAATGACACCGGCTTTCTCGTGATCGACTGGATAAATAGTCTCATCATATCCGTCATCTTCGTCGCCATCCTCATCAGCGACCTGGCCACCATGTCCACTGTAGTGGAAGAAGAACCTGGTTTGTCAAAATTGATGAGAAGTCATAGTATGTCAGTAACAAGGTGATATATCGAACAGCTGCACCCTCATGTTTCGCAACTTACGAATCGTCGGGACGAGCATCATGAACGAGCCACTTCATGGCCGCCAAGATATTGGCATGTGTCGGGATGCGGGTCGGATCTTCCTGGTCATCTGTCAGGGTGATCGTGTCATCTTCCTTGAACCCAAAGCGCTCGATGACAAAGCTCTTGATGTTCTTCACGTCGTTAATGCATCCCCTGAGCTCGCTGCTTTGACCAAAGTAATTGATACCGATAAAGAGTGCCCTTTTGCGACCCTGGCAATTCGACAGCTTAAAGTCTGCTGGCCGGTCCCTCTTCGGACTCTCCCGAACAGCCCATCCTTCTGGCGGAGGCGGAACATCTGCTGGTGTAAACTACCATAATTGATCCCAAGGAACAAAGAAAAAAAAAGAGGAATACAAAGAAAAGATAGGGTGTTACCGATCAGCTGAAAAGGACAGATCCATCTACACGTGGCAAAGCAGTTCTGAGTACACTGCGTGAGATCATACCGTTTGCTGAGGGATCGAGTGCGCTGGTGGAGCATACTGCTGCTGCTGCTGAGGAGCATAGCCATACTGTGGGCCGTCGGCTGGTGGGGCGTATCCGTAAGGCGATGAGGCAGGGGGCGGGTAATACGGCTGTCCCGGAGGAGGTGCGTAGTACTGTTGGTCTGGAGGAGGATAGGGGTTGCCGCCGTAAGGGTATCCTTGAGGAGGGGCATATCCTCCGTAACCCTGCTGCTGCGAGTACTGGCCTGGGTACATTGATGGTGGTTGTCCTGGTAACTGCTGCTCCTGAGGCGGTTTCGTTTGCGGGGACGAGTGAAGGGTGATGGGTGATGAATGGGAAGTACGGAAAAGGAATGAGGAGAGGAAGGTGCAGGAAAAACCGCCGGTGATCCTTAATACAGAATCGCACAAACTCAAAACTAGATACAGCCCAATCCAAAGAGTAGCCCAAAGAAGACGCGTCCAGTACTCTCTCCACTGCATGTCCAGAAGTTGATACGATATCCTCCAGCGAATGACTACGGGCAGCCTTAGACCCTAGGGAAGCCCTGAAGAAGACCCTATCAACCACTGAGAACGCCTTACAGAGCCCACAGCGCCCTTCAATATATATATATATATCCTGCTTCAGCATCGTTTCGTTCTCTCTTGACGGAAACGCGTCTCTTTTAAGCACCAGTGTATGAAGGCCCCACAAGACAAATGGAGCCCCTAGAGGCTCCTTAGGCGGCTTTAGATCTCTTGAGAAGTCGCGCAGCTCCTTGTACATCCCGCCAATAACACACCAACACTGCCTGCTCCAACGTGCGTACAAGTATGGCACATTGGAGGATGCATCCATTCCTGGGCCGTTACGGGCATTACTCGAACAAAGTGACGTGGAAATACTGGGAGACGAATTGTTGTCGCGGTCTCACTTCTCTTCCTCTTCCTCATTCCTCATTTCTCATTCCTTTCCTCCAACATTCATTCGCCAAACCACTGAATCAGCCATGTCCTCACCCACCACTGAACGCCCCGTGTTATACTCCTACTTCCGTTCCTCGTGCTCGTGGCGCGTCAGGATCGCATTGAACCTCAAGAAGATCGACTATGAATGTCGCCCTATCAACCTTCTGAAGAGCGAACAGGTAAGTCCGGGAGATCCATCCTACACCAGTTCTCTAATGCATGTACAAGCCATTGGCGCCGAGCCATGGTCAATCCAGATATCTTTCTAAGACTCAGTTGCTCTTTAATATCTTTAATTGAAATCGTTAGAGATCCGAAGAGTATCTCAAGATCCAGCCTTCTGGATTCGTCCCAGCCTACATTGACAACACGACCGGCAAGACCCTGAGCCAGTCCATTAGCATCCTCGAGTATCTTGACGACATTTATCCCGGTAGGATAAAGCCCCTTTCTTTATGAAGTACCATTACAGCTTCGATGATCGGATAGGTGATATATCGCATTGCAAGGATTTCCCACGCTAACCATAATGCGAAATGTCGTCCAATGTCGATGCTATAGAGCATTCACTGCTTCCCAAGGACCCTCTGGACCGCGCAACAGTAACGGAGTGAAATGCACCGAGTTGGTGTGAACAGGATTGAGCTGATATACTAAACCCTGCTCTAACCATAACGTGTACCATTGACAATGCAATCGTCAATTAGGTTCGTGCGTTGGTTCAGACGATTGCTATGGATATCCAGCCTATCGCCAACCTGCGCATTCTCAATTATGTTGGCGAGGATAAGAAGGCCGAGTGGGCTGCGCATTTTTTGGCCGAGGGATTTAAAGGTATGATTTTCGAGAAGGACATGAAATGGAAATGCATCGATAATGACTCACATCTTTTATACGTTCATTTTGTGGATGAAACGTAGTGCTTGAGGCAATGCTGGCAAAGACTGCAGGAACGTACGCTTTTGGCGATTCGATCACTATGGCCGACCTTTGTATCGTGCCCCAGGTGTACAACGGTGTCCGGTAAGGGTTGCGGTACCTTACGCGTTAATAGGGATAACTAGACGCGCCACTTTTTTTTTTCCTAATTGATTTCGTTTATTTACAGGTTCGGCGTGGACATGAGCGCGTTCCCTATTATCTCGCGCATCAACCGATCGTTGGGCGAGTTGCCTGAGTTCGAAGCTGCTCATCCCTCAAGGCAGATTGACTGCCCTGCAGATTTAAAGTAGAAAAGTCTTTACTGCAGCAACAGCTGGCCCTGAAATGAAATAAAGTCGTGTGGACCTGGATGTAAGCATTATTGCCCCAAGTTACTTTAATCAGAAATGAAAGGGATAGCATCCAGGTACCGTGTAAACAGGCCCCCCTGGATCGCTTGCTATGAGGGGAGGAGAGAACTAAGGTTGCGGCATGCTGACATCCATCCACAACAAAAGACGGCCTCCAATTCAAAGGCGTGTAACCCCCCTTCCCCTCCAACCCAACCCCCCTCTTTCATTGCCCTCCTGACTTTTTTTAAGCGCCCCTTTCCTTACCTCGTTACCAACATGACATATCTCCGCCCTGTATCCCTTTCCTTCTCCTTCTCCCTCCTTCACCCCTACTTCTACTTCAACCTCTATTTCTTTTTTCTCCATTCCCTCGCCTCTAATCCGCCCTTACGATCCTCATCTCTAACCAGGCTTACATCCTCCAGCCTTCCAAGGGGAAACCAGCAATAGCAAACACCATTGAGAACCATCATCTGGATCTGGAGCACACCCGACCATGTCCCACCGTCGCACAGCCTCCAATAGCACCGTGGATGATGCCGACTACCAGCAGCACACACCCACGCTCGACCACGACCTTCTCTCCTCACTACCCATCGCCCAACCCGTTACCTCGAACGAGACTGCAGTGTCCCTAATCGAATCTCCATCACCCATTCAACCTTCAGAAGGAACACCCTCCACAACAGCAGCACCAGGAGCAGGAGTAGGAACTAGAACTGGAACCGCAGAAGCAACGTCGCGTCACAAATCCACCTCCCACTCTCGGCCCCAAACCCTCCTCACAAAAGCCCTTCTCTTCTACATCAAGGTCTTCCGTGTGCTCCAACCCCTGGTCTCCCTCTGCGCCGTTGGCACCATCGCCCCCGTGCTCTCCTACTTTCATACCCAAACCATCTTCCCAGCCATCCAAGCGACCCTCTATGTCTTCACCGCGACCCTCGCCTGCTGTTCTCTCTTCTTCGGCATCATCTATCTGGTGGGCGTCTTCTTCCACAAACCCCTCTTCTGGCCGTTCACGAACCGTCACTTCCGAAAGACGAGTAAAGCGAGGATCGGAGGTGATTTAATCGTCTGTATGGTCTTTTGTGGACTCTGGTTCCTGTCCATGGTCGGGTTAGTCATCGATACGATGTTGGTCGACTGTGGGAAGCTCACGGGGTTGGAGACCGTGCTGCTGGAGAACCATTTAAGTCTGAAGAAGATCAAGACGGTCTGTCGGCTCGAGAAGGCGACATTTGGACTCGCCGTCATCAGCTGGGCTTGCTGGATGGGTGTCCTCGTCGTCTTGTTTTACGGGTAAGAAACAGCAACCCTACAATTTTGTCCTGTTTCTTCTTTTTTTTTTTTTTTCCTACTTCAGGTGAAATTCCTCTAATGTAGATTTGTCCATGGTCCATGGTTCATGGTGGCACCAACATCTTGTTTTCTTTCAATGGAAAAAAAAAAAAAAATAGGCACTTCTGGAAGAGACGTCAGGTACTCGCAGAACGCTTGCGGGACAAAATGACACGAAAACGAGCCTCGAAGGCCGGTGCAGGGATGAGCTCAGCCGTCTCGGCAGATGCGGGGGCAATTCAGACAGGAGGATCTGCACGCTCTAACAGGAGCGGTCTCGGCCTCGGCATCGACCATGGTCAAGGAGTCAGCGGAGCTCATGTGGGATCAAGTCAGCAGCAACACCAGCAGCAGCAGTCCGACGGCTGTGGTTGTCAGGATACGGAGGGTGAGGTTGGACTTTCAGGGGTCATCTGTCGATACGACGATGACCAGAACTCGACCATCAGACGAGGAGGGTACTCAAACTCTGAAGCAGCTGCTTGATTCCATACATTTACATAATATAATACATGTACTTATTTTTCCGACTAAATGAATATGCAATTGTTTTTTGTTTTGTTTTTTATTACTATTGTAAGTGGCGTGGTCTACACAGCATTCTCCTTGTTGTCTTTGATCAGCTCCTTTGGATGCAATTGGACACTGCTGTTGTGGACCTTCTTTACCATCCTATAACAAAACAGGCAATATGAATATCGTTAGTCTTATTTGTCCTTGCACCTTGCATATCCTTACCATGGATAAAGTTCAAACACCTACCCTGATCCGAAACCTGTGCCCAGGAGTGCTGCTGCGCCCAAAGTCGTTTGCCACAGGTTCAGTCCAATCTCTTGACCGTACCAACGCTTGTTCTCCTTGTCATCAGAGCCCGCACCGTTGCCCTGTTGGCACTTGTCGTCATCGGTGCTACAATTGTTCTCGTTCCTGTTCGTCAGTATGCCTGAACCACCGCTAGACATGTTCTTGAAAGAATACTGTCGCGTCGATGAAGTCGGAGCCGCACCCGGCGGCCGCAATGGCGATGATCCTCGAATGAGCATTCCTGTCTGCAGTCCAACATGAAGAGGCGGGCAGAGTGTGCCGGCCATACCGATTCTGGACACCGAGACATGCGATGCCAGTGATCGCTGATCCAATGCTCTTGAGAAGAATCCTTGGTGTGGTTCAGGGATAGGACAGCGTTTCCGTCTGATCCGTGATGGGGTTGAGGTTCCAGAGGTCGAGGGCGATGAATGGAGCGAGGACGACCGAGAAGATGACGCCGATGCGTGTCCCTCGCCTGGTTTGTATGAAGATTTCTTTGCAGCATGATCCAAGATTGATTGAGCCTTGACACTCCAGGATACATATCTAGGGGCAAGCAAGGACGACGGGCCCTGTAGCACCTTGTCTGCCATTGGATCAGACGGACTGGATGATGTCTTTTGAAACTTGGGTGGCGACAGCAGTGGCGTGGTGCTGCCCGAAAATGGCGGGTCATTACTATTGAGCGTCGTGGATTCAATTTCGTAGTAGTGATCACGCGTGGGCTGACCGGTGGACAGGATCCCTCGGTGGTAGGCCTTCTTCTGACGCGTGGCCTCCGAGTCTGAGGAGGCACTATCGTATTCTCTTGAGCTAGGCGTGTAGGATCCATGAAAGTAATGAGGGGATAGGTCACCGAGGATCGACTCTGGATTCGAAGGTAGCAGATGAGGCGAGCCAGTCGTGGAGTAGTACAGATGTGTTGGGGACGCTGGGATGAGGGGTGACGATCGCTGGGATCTACTGTCGACAGTATAGATCTTTCTAGGTCGATTGCGTCGTTGCTTGAACCGGGGTCTTGGTCCTGCGGCCAACAAGGTTGATAGACTGTTTGGTGCACCCATCGATATCATGATTATGCAATGCAAGGTTGGACAAGAAGGAAAAGGTTAGGGTTCCAAGTTTAACAGGAGCTGAGGAATGCAACAACAAAGACGCACAAATGGTACCACTCGACATCCAAGAAAAGATATCACTCTGGTATGAATCCCGCGTGCATGTGCATATATTTGCAGCTGCACCCATCCACCTTCCCGTCGTACACCCTGCAACTGCAAATACAACTAATGCGACTGAGTCTGCGTCTGCGCCCAACCACATCACGCCCCTCCGCCTGTCAGCGCGAACAGCAAACAGTCGACTGATTCAGCCTATCAACCAACCCGCCCCTGACAGATAGGCCCTCTTCTCCCCCTCTCTTTTATTCATAATGCGTATTTGCCTTTTTCAGTTTTGAGCCCCCTATTATCGTCGTTGTTACACGGATCTCAGGCCTCATGTGTCTTTTCATAGTATTGCACCTCTATCTTGCCTTCTTTCATCATTTCATTTTATTTTCTCCCATGTCAAATGACCCTTCACTGCAACCATAATGAAAAATAGCAGTAAGTAAAACAAATGTTGATTTTACCTTGCACGAAGGGCCTCTTCGACCTGCTCCTGCTCCTGTAATGAGTGGTGCGATGACGAGGCGGAGGAGGAGGACGCCAGACCAGTATAGTCGCCTTTGCCTGCAAAGGCAAGCGGGCGGCCCTGTTGCATCTGAAGTGATGACGATGATGATGAGGACAGCTGCTGATAAGGGTGATGAAGATGATGTTGCTGAAGTGTCTGCTGATGGAGGGGTGGGTACTCGTCTTCGTAGTGGTAGTATGGGGGTGTGTCGTAGATCATGTCATCCTCTCCATCCATGTCAGAGTACTCGACCTCAGAGTAGTCGTCTTCGAGGAGCTCTTTGGCGGACAGGGAAATCCACGAGCCTAAGAATGGAGACGGGTAAAAGGGGAAGGATATGACACGAAGACAACAGCGAATGCGCAGAGTTGGTTAGTTCAGATGGACCATCTGCTTCCTGTTGTCAGCAGACTGAGGAGGGAGGAGAGGAGGAGAGAAGGAGGGAAGGAGGGAAGGAGAAAGGGAGAAAACTTGCCTTCGCCACAGGGAGAACCGGTGCCGCTGAGCATCTGCAGCCTGGGTGAGGCCGTGCTGGAGTAGGCGGGCTCATGGTAGTCGGCAGTGTCTGGGAAGAGAAAGGTGGCGGATGCCCTGGAGCGATGGGAATTCTTGGTGGCACTCGTTACTGCGGCCATTGCTGAGTATTGTGGATTTGTGTATCGGTATGTCGGTGTAGTTGTGTAGGTGTGTAGGTGTGTAGGTGTGTAGTTGTGTGGTTGAGTCGTTGTGTGCTTGTGCAGCGGTGTGTTGGGAGGAAAGAAGCAAAGGGTGTGTCTGCGGATGTGCTGAAGAAGGAAAGAAAGAAGAACAAGAGGCCACGGGTTGGATGGGGATTGCGAGGCGCGAATATGGTTCCACAGGTGACTGCTTGGATGGCATAGGACGGGCGGGCAGGTGCGTGGGCGAAGTGGGGAGCGGGGCAAAGCAGGAGCGCCAACCATCCCTGGTCAAATCCGGTGGTAAACAGCAGGAGTGAAGAAACCCGATGGTCCCTTTCTTCAGACAACAACAACAACAACTCCTTCCCCCTCCCCCCCTCGTCCTCTTCCTCGTCTTCGTCTTCGCCTTGGTTGTTTTGTTTCTTTTCTATTGGCGAATGACGACCTCTCCTTCCCTTCCCTTCCCTTTTTTTCATATGGGTTCGCCCGACCAATAGGAGGCAAAACTGCCCCACACTTTTTTTTCATTCCCTCCCCTTCCCTGGGTAATAGTGCCGCGGTAAAATATCGGCTTACACCCTGGGGGCCACTTTCCATTTGCTGTGCTTTTTTTGCTTGGCGCTGTTGCAATACGACATGACTTCTACTTCGCCCTTGCACGCACTAAGCCCATTACATGGCTGCGGGTCATATACCAAAGCGAGTAAGGTCCTCCCTTCGGTCGACTGCTCGCCAAGACATGGACACAATCCCCATTCGCCGCACTATGTGCCACAAAGAGAGCTTTTTTATTTTCTTTCTTTCTTTTTTTTTTTTTTTTGTTGTTTATCACTTCCACACTTTTGATCCTACTTTTCCTTACCATTCATCAATCGACTCGACCAACTCTTTTCGCATTTCGAATTCGATTCGCAACCTCGACTTTTAGGAGCTCTCATTCGCTAACAACCTACGGGACAACAACGCTCGAAACAAAAGGCGGCGACCAAAGCAAAAAATAATAAAAGAGTTGCAACTCAAAGAGACACATGTCTTCGCGACTCAAAGTCAGGAGCCAGGCCAGGGCTATTCCCCTCGTCACTGTCTCACTCGCTAATGGACACCCCCGTCAGACCAGTACCACTAGCAACACCGACCATCCCTCCAGCTTCAGCTTCAATACCGATTCTACGGCCGAGGAGGACTTGCCGCCGCCATACGACCATGCTTCCCATAGCACAACCAGCAATCGCAATGACAATGACAATGACACCGAAAACGATAACCAGCTCACAGCGGCCACTCCTCGCAATGAAGATCTGACAGAGGCTGTTCTACACCTCTCCAGGACTCTGGTATCGACATCCAAGGCCATCCCTCGCCCAAAGTCCTCCTGGCTTTTCATGATGATATACAACTGGACTCATATCCAACGGCCTTCATCACGGCTCTACCATATCCTTACAAGACCAGTTGCCTTTCTCAAAGGCATCAGGGAACCAAACGATCAAGCCTTGGTGCATCAACCAAAAAGATCTCACAAAAGCATGCAGCAGCTCACAGAGGAACAGGACAGGCTGGAAGACGACCCAGATATGCTCAATGGTGCAACAGAGATGGTCCCTGTCACCATGCTGAACATCCGAAGTGCAGCATCAATGGAGGAGTCCCGACCAGAGGACCCAGATGCACATAAGGAATCGAGCGACGACGAATTGAATACGCCGAGGAAGCCCAGGCGGCAGATTGATCAATACCCAAACCCCTTCGGTCCCGGTGTCTCGAGTGATGATGAGCTGGAGGACGACGAGGGATGGTTGGGCCGGGGCGAGGACCGCTCAGAAGAAGGCCACACCAAATCCAACTCTGTTCGACTTACCACCCCAACAATCTCGCACAAGTTTTCCAGACAAATGCCTGATTTCCCGACACCGTCGCTCGGACCAGCCATGGACCCACGACAATTCGAAAGCGGAGAGGATGCAAGGGCTGGCTCCTCGCGTTCGTCCGTTTACGCAGCGTCCTTGTTCAACAAACCCACTGGCGCTACATTTGATCGGCTACTATCGACATTTCCTCGGTCAGATCGTTCAAGTACAACAGAGTCCCTTTCCTCTGCGAGCATGAATACCACCACCCATCAGCCCGCAGACCTTGCCGTATCCACAGCTGCGACCTTTAGAGACCTCTCTTCAACTGTAATTAGTGCCACGACTTCAGTCCACTCAATAAGTTCAACTGCAAGCATCGCATCCTATGAAGAACCAATTTTTTGACCAACAAAAACGGGGATTTAGACAATAAAATGCTGCACGCAACTTTGTACATATCATGTTCTCATACCGGTCGACTGCAAGGTCGTTGTACTGCAGGATATGGTGACTGTCCGCTGTCATTGAGAACCTTTGCCACCAACATGCCTTTCTTCTCTTTCACCCATCCTATCTTTCCTTTGCTTCACCTTTCTACTAACTCCTTTTTCTTCAAAATCAAATAAGCGACAATGCGCGTTTCCGCAAGTTCGTTCACCTCCTCTGTGGATCAACAAGACTTGATTTCAAATACTGACTCAGGATACAACAGCGTCCATGATGCAGTTACCCCAGCTCTCTCCTTTCCTTCTCCATCGACCTCATCCATTCAAAGCTCGGTGTCCTCGCTCCGAGAACGATTCATGTGCACGCATCCGCTGGCTGCAAAGGCTCGCAAACAACATGAACAGGTTCGGTTTTGAGTCCATCGATGAGTTCAATGAGAAAGGGCCTTCTTTGGTGACCTCGTCCGGCCTTGTAACACATAGTCGCGTGACCATCCTGATCGGGTCCATCCAGCAGACAGACATGTCCTCCCGCCAGATCCAGAGCAGCTGCCTCTTCAGGAGAAAATCAAATTATGTGGGTTTATCTTTTGATGGGCGAAGTCGTTGATGAAATACAACCTCCCTTTCTTCATTACTAACATGGTTAGCTGTGAATGTGACACTCTCGATAGATATCACCCAGTACCATATGCCCGATATCCACAAGGCCATGGTGGAATCAATTGCAAGCAAGGCTGAGGTTGGGCAACAATCTTTTTGCTACGTCCGAACAAGCTCTGCTTTGATTTGATGATTAGTGGCATCAGGCATTGACTCTTTTTTTTTTTATCCTTCGGCTAACTTTGCACGACAGTCAGGGGCGACTATTTCCCACTATGTAGTTCGTTTTCAGATCGATCCTATCCAGCTTCTGCAATGCTGCTCGAATCTGGGAAACCAGTTCTTGGGCGATTTGGATTCTGTCATGCCGGGCTTTCATCTAGTCTGCTGTCAAATCCTGCAACAGATACTGGGTGAAGACAATGTTCTGCTAGGGGAACAAGTGCGCACGACTGTGCGTGTCAAATATCTACCGTCCGTCTTTCAAGAGTAAAGTCGCGCAGTTGTGTACCATGTGCAGGATCTTGCTTCTTGCTGCATATTGCGGAAGCCGAACAGTATTAACCCTTTGATGCTACACAGATGCCATCTACCCTCTATTGCCTCGACATTGAGGTGGAGCCGAGAGGACATTGCAGCCGACAGCAGCGGCTACAGTAGCTTTTTTATTGTCTCCGGCAAGGTTACAGGAATCTCCTTGGTAGAGCATTTCATGTAAGGAGCCGTCATCTTAGCGCGCTGCGACTTCAATCCTCAAGTACATGACCAGTAATACTAGTTCAATATTCCTGATGCAAAAGATATTCGCAAACATGGCGGTGCGACAATCCACGCTGCAACAACCAGAATTATCTTCATTACACGCCCTCAGCGCGGGAATATCGAGTTATCAAGCGTACGGAAGATGACTTATTCATGGAAACAGGAACCAAGTAAGGATGCGACGACATATATGCAGTTGCTGCATTGACGAATATATGTATTTTAATCCAGAAATTGCCTTGTTAAAAACAGCGCATCTCTGCTTCAGATCGATCTTATCTGTAGTCATTGCAACTTGGAGATGGTTGAATCTGTCCTAGACCGGGTATATATGAGTATGTGCCACTGGTTGCTGTAATATGCGTTACTGACCATCAAGACGACGTGCTAATATAATGTCTCGTATTTTTTGTTTGCTTCGCGCAAAGAGCAACAAGTGATAGTGCTGGACTGCACGAGTGCCACCAAGCCCGAAGGATGCTTTATCAACCAGATCACAGCGGTATTAAAAGGTAGAGACGGCACTCTCTTTCTAGTTGCGGAAGTTCAGAATAAACGTGGAACTAACAAAATATCGTACCATACAATTTTTACAGATGATCTGGCTAATACTGTGGCGCTTGGGGAGCGTATTGGACTTCTGGGGCGACTCTCTCGTGTATTTGCTGGGCAGACGCAGGAATCGTATATCCACGGGGTACAGATCGAGGTGAACAACATCTTGCGCGAGTCCGGCCGAAGATCTCTCGGTCTTCCGCACTCTATTGCTGAAGTCATTGGCAGTAAGTTAATCTCTTGATAAACCAAAGAATAACCTGGGATATAGGCTCTCTATTGATAAAGGCTTCCTTGATAGAGAACATGTCTGCATGGAATACCAGCCAGGCTATTATCGATATGCTAGGTGAATAGCAAGCGCTTGACAATCGGAAAAAAAAAGTTGCATAGTGCATAAAGAACTGACCTTGTTGGGGTATACTCCTTACAACATAGATGGGGTTACGCCAAGAGATATCTATCGAAAGCTGAAGTTGGCACTCCTGCTAAGGTACCAATGAGACTATATGTTTTGCGACTGGCGAATATTGAACTCTGTTTTGACAAGCAACGTGCACTCCTTGCATGATTATTAGTGCCGTATCTATTGCAGAGCGTGATGATGATGAGAGCAACAACGCGCAACAAAGAAGACAGCTCCGACCGTTTGTTCATCTTTTAGTAATCAAGAATACCCACGATACGATTGTGCCAGCGCTCATAACCAGCATCGCATCCTGCAAAAAGTAAGCGGGGGCCTGGATTTTGCCATCGAGAAGAACTGTTGATACCAGCGACTTACTTGATTGGTATTCCGTAGCAACGTGTTCTGGAGTCACGGAGACCCTCTTTACTCTGCTCAACCGCCAAGAAAGTCCCAGCCAGGGAAAATTGAAGGTATGGGCACGTTCAAGAACTAGCGTTGTTGCCGTGCTTCCTAAAATCCGTATTGACAAAGAGGAGAATCATGAATCGTAGCCGGTCTGCTCAGTGCCGCGAAAGACGGGATTCTTTTATTTGATCTCGATCGACTAGACAGGAAGAATATAGCGAATGTTACTCCTAGTAAGAATCGCTTTGAGGTCCCATTTTTTCATATCTTTTTGCTATGCTAATGCAGGTGAAGGCTGACCTATGCACGCATATTTTTACAGTTCTCTCGACTATAGACGGAAGCGATATTTTTATTCAATGCAAAGATTCAATGCAAGCCCTTGGTCTGACCTGCTGCTGTTGGTCGACATACACCTCCACAAGCAACAGTATGTCTCGCAAGACAGGGGAGAAAGAAGCCGGAGCAGACGAGCTCATAAGTGGTCCGGCAAGAGGGGTGCCTATGATTCAGTAGGTGCCCTGAAAGATGCTCATGAGGTTTGTGTCGATCACGGTTGTTACATTCATTGACGGCGTCTATATCTAGTGCATTTGATGTCGTGATTTTGCAGAATGAAATGGATGGGACATCAAAAATATCCGAATCCATTGCCGCTCACACCATTCGATGCCACAGTGGCGATCCCACAGATATGGCAGGCGAGCGATTATCTCTATGCGATCTGTCACAGGTAAAAAAAAAGTCGATCCATACTATCTCCTTGCTAGTAGATGTCTCTTGAAAACGGAGAGTTATCGTACAATGCTCGATTGGGTGCTTTAGTATATTCAGCTCGCGTCCAAGGTCAAGGTCAGGTAATGCAAAGTATTTTCGCGCTCATTGGCCTGACACGCGTTATGGTCTGTGCGGCAAGATGGCTCTCAACAAGTCCTTTGGTATTTTTTATCCGAAATAGGTTGTCAATGGAGTGCGAAGAGCTTTTGAATGCATACTTTCGAGTAATGCGCGGGAAAGGGTCTGGTCTCGACACGAACGAGTTATCGAGCATTTCTGTTATGTCTACCCTCTTGAGACTGGCAACCTGCCATGCAAAGGTCAGTGCCTTCATCCTTGAGCAGTTCCGTTTCTTTTTTCTCTTTTTTGGATAAAAGAAAACTGATTTATGGTCAACATCGTACTGTAAGCTGTGTTTTCGATCGGTTGCTGTCACGGACGATGCACTTATTAGGTACGAATATAACGTCGTGGAGGAATCCGTTTTAGAGACAGCAGATGTTCTTTTTTCTTGATAACTTGCTCTTCTCATTCTCTACAATTAGCATCATGATGATGGAGGAAACAATAGCGGCCCGATTCGGTAAAATTCGATCAAACAAAGCTTTATGGCCATGTCATGCGGCCGGCAACAAATTGTCCACGATTCATTCATGCCATTTCTTTGTTCTGTGTCAGGCACCTCTCGACTGGGATTTGTGCCGTTGTTGGATGGCAAAGAAAATGTTACGCGGCTGTATGGTCCATCCCAGCTTCCCAACTTTGTTTCAGGAAACGATGCTGACATGGTTCCTGCGATCGATTCGAGCGTACGCATTGCAGCTGCTGCGTTGTTTGGTGTAGTATTAATCACATATAGGCCTCAACGCTAGAGAACTTTGTTGACCATTGTTCATTTACGATCTGTGGTATCCAGGAGTACGATCTTGAGGAGGATGTGCCCATGTCGGACGCGAGTGTCCCAGTCGGTATTGAAGAGGAGCGCGACCTCATGATGGACCGCATGTACGTATCAGTCGAAGATGTTTATTGCAAAAAAAAAAAAAGACGCGCAAGGTGAATAACATGGGCACCGCATCGCATTTAGGCATACACATTTGATGAGGGTCATAGCCGAAAACGCGTCCGATTGAACCATGCAAAAATCTAGGCCCTAGAGGGCTTGCTAGTCCTTTTCGTGCCGATCAAAGGGCTTCGCAAGACGATTGCTTAGTGCAGATGATTTTGAGCGAATAAATATACGAAAACCAAAAAGCAAAGTGGGCAAAAAAAAAATATGATTCACAGTTTTCTTTATTTCATTTTCTTTGCATTTATGGACATGTCTATACCTCAGTTTCTCCACCGCATCATCTGGCATATTCATTTTTTTTTTTTTCATTTTCATGTTCATACAATACCTATCATTTCTGCTGAATATGATGTCAGGAAACAGCGTGCAATTGCTTCCATTGCTTCAACGGCCCTCCAAGCACAACTGGTGTAGCTGGTCAATGGATAGCGAGAACACAACTGTCCTTCAATATAAACAGCGCAGGTTCGATCTTGTTGCAGGACACCTATTTCCCACATACGCAGAGCAAAAAGTGAACAGAATTGACAATGATTAGCAATCCGTATCATTTTTGCAAAAAGAGATCGCGATGTCTTAAAGCAAGGAAGTGCATCAGAGCAAAAAAAGAATAATCCACATCATATATTGAGAGTAGCGATTCATAATGTTCATCTTCTGCGGGAGGACAAGGGGTGACTAAAAAGAACAGACGCGGAATCCAGAACAATACCTTTATGAAAGATCAGGACGAATGTGAAGGAAGAGAGAGGAAAAGGGATGTGCTCAAAAAAAGATCGAGCTTGAACGGTCGAAATAAGAAAAAACAACAACAACATTGATACACCCTTAAGAAAGAAGAGATTCATAGATCGGAAGACATCTTCCTTTTTTATTGATGAACAAAAAACCCACGTAGTATACGCATTCTGGGTTATTCGTGTCCAAGACCCCTATGCTTCGCGCGCACAATCGCCTCAATGGGCTGGGTGATACCCTCACCCGTCGCGCCCAATCCAACACCAGGACACCATCTATCAAGACAATCATTAAACACACGTGGTTAAAAGATGTGGAATACAACGCCAACAAACATCCTTTCGAGTTGCACGATCTGTTCAGTGTAACTTACCCCATCTTTGACAACATGCGATGGCCCACATTCTCAACCGAAATAGCAGAAGCAGAAGCTCCGACAACGGTCCCATGCATCGCAACCGTAAACCCACCTCCATTTCCACTTCGACCCTTGCCCTTGCCCTTCCCATTCCAGCCGCCGCCGTTGTTTCCACTACCACTACCATTGTTCCCACCTCGGCGACTCCCCTGAAACTGGGCCGACAACTTTGTCAGCTCCTTCAGCTCCTTCTCCGATTGATTCAACAGCTTGCTCACGTTCACAGGGTTGATGGGCATCTTTGTGCGATCCGTCTTGATCAGGATCGGGAATCGACGCTTGCCAGAGCCAACGCTCTGGGATTTCAGATTGTAATGGTTACACAACAGATGGATCTTGCGGCGAAGAGGTTTCGGCATCGGGGGCAACTGCAAGTTATCACTGCTGCGGTCCTGGACAAAGTTCTCGATTTGCCTAAAGAGTTTAGTTTGAAGAAAAGGGTTGCATTGCAGATATTAGACAACCTAGGCATTTTCCAAGACCAAGATCTGCAACGTCGATAGTGACGACAGCTTTCATTACCTGTTGATGTCCATCAATGTTTCAAAGCTGCCACCATGGGGCTCCTTCTTATTCTTGTTCTTCTTGCCTCCCTTGCCTCCAGCCGAGCTCGCAACCATGAACCCATCGTCCGAATCGTATAAATCGTACCCCCTCGCCCTCGACTTGAATCGCCGATTCGCTCCATCTCCATCCTGCAGAGCTCCCGAACGCCAAAGCGGCATCAGATCCCTCAGCTCCTCCCTAAGCAGATCGTCCGACGGACGATTCTTGCGCTTATCGTTTGCGGAAGCGCTCACCTTACTGAAATCCAGTTTGCGGAACCCGTCCTCGTAGTCTTCTTCGAAATCAAAATCGTCCTCGTCCTCGTCATCCTGATCCTCACTATCGATCTCAGACGCCTGTTGTTCATAGTCGGAATCGTCCGGTCTGAGACCTCCGGCGTTCTTGGAATGACCCTGTCCACCCGCATGGAGGCCTTTCAGTGCACCCAGCAGCGACTCCAGCTGATCCAGACTGCTATGATCACCTGTGTTCTAGATGTTCATCATATAAACGGAGCGGCATGAGAATCGAAAAAGACGTAGCACAGATGAACGCAAAGAGGGTTGCTGTGCAATACCTGCAAGTAATCCTGCATCGCCAACATATCCTCATCCTCGTCGTCATCGCTTGGTTCCTCCAGGAACATGAGTCCGTCATCATCATGGCCCACGGCCATCTGTCTGTTCGTCTGTCTCTCTCGCTGTTTGATTCCGCCGCGCTTGGATCGATGCGCCTTCTTCTTCGGTTTCATCGGTGCCGCCGCCTCTGCTGTGGTTGACTGTAGATCGGCACCCATTGCAGATGCTGCCGTGCTCTGACTACTATCGTTGCTTGCAGACACGAGCGTAGTAGTCATCTCAGCCTGAGACTCCATCAGAGTACCATCCTGCGATACATGTATAGTCGTCGATGATGATGTGACCTCGACCACCTTAGCCTTCTTGATCTTGTGAATCGATCCCCGGGATGTCGAGCTAAGCGCCGAGAGTGGTCTGGACAGCTCCTCAATTTCATCCGCATGGACTTTGATATCACCTTCGGCCTCCATCGCCTGCATAAAATCTTCAGATTGAGTCATTGCTGTGTCCAGACATGAAATCGAAAGTGGCGCGATGATCTTGGTGATCAACTCCACAGCTGCGATCTGTTCATTCTGTGATGTCTGTTGCTGTGGCTCTGGCTGTTGCTTTGGCGTCTGTATATGCTTCTGCTTCTGTTTTCCTGAAGAGCGTGGGGTCGAATTCATCTGTGAGCTGCTACCGAGCTGGTCTTGATCTTCTTCGAACCAGTTGAACTGTTGCATCAAAAACTCTTCGTCCGACTCGTCATCTAATATAACATGCCATGCCATGCAATGTGATGCATAGAAGAGGGGGTTAACAATAGTCAAAAAAGAACGACCCGCCGTACAGAAACCAGTCTGTGACGCTTTTGAATGATCTTACTTACCATCATCTATCCCACGATCTATCAGATCATCACTAGTATCCACATCCGAACCATCACAAGAACATTCATTCATATCTTCATCATCCTCTTCGTCCTCCTCTCCCTGATCGTTCAACGCTGTCGGATCGGTAAGCACAGTTGCTCTGTTAAACGCAACACTTCTGGCATTGCCACCACGGCGTGCGTTACTGGATGATGAAAACTGTCCGCTATTGGTGTAACCGCTGTTCCTATTGTTGATATCGTTGTTGTTGTGATGATCCGAACGGGGCCAAAAGGCATGCTTCGAGTTCTTGCCCTTTGCACCCTGCTTGGGAGGAGGCGGAGGGGGACGAAATTGTCCTGGGCCGTTAGAGCCTCCACGACCAGCCTTGGCCTGTTGGATACGTCGGTATACGTCCTCTTCAGTAGATCGCTGCTTTTGCTGGTGATTTCCTACATTGCATGAAGGTGGAAAATGTGACCCCGTCCCTGATTAACTGCGGAACAAATACCCTGGTCAGATGTGTCCCGGTCTTCTTAGGAAGGTGGGGGGGAAGACTATCCTTAGTTGAAATGTGCAAAAAGAAGTAATATACATACTGCCAACAAAGGAAATGTAGTCATCTTCATGGTCGTTATAATAGTCGATACCGTAGGCCGACCCGCCGCCACCGTTACCGCCGCCTGAATAACCTCCACCTCCGCCGGACTGTCCCCTGAACTGCCCACCTCGTCCTCGTCCTCGACCCCGACCTCGACCTCCTCGTCCACCTCTGTTTCCGGAGCCTCCTTGTTTACCGCCTCGATTTGGCATGTTTGTTGGTGTGTTCTTGAGTGGGAGAAGTGGGTTGTGTGTATGTGTGTATGTGGGAATGAGTAGAAAAGTAGGATGCCTAGTGGAGGGCAGATCTCTTGGTGCCAAGGGTCTAATAGTAGGTCGACCAGCTAAGACTGCGGCGGTCATGTGAGACAGCATGTACTTCGCCGCAGTCCAATTTCCACGTACAAAAAAATAAAATGGATTTGTATCCGTTGTTTGAAAGTTCAACTTTGCCCAACTCCCCTTATTTTTCGCATCAATCGCAGGCCATATACCACAAGGCATCCTCGCGTTCATCAACCATACCTTGATCCTCCTTGCATCCTTCTTTCATTCGAGATCCCACGGCCTAAAAACTCCACTCTTCCTATGGATCTGATCGAAGCAACGCTCAACAAGAAACGCTCAGCCCTCGAGGCCGCAACTGGAGGCACCAAAAAGAAATACATCCGTCGAGGCGATCTCGAAAAGCAGCGGGAACAGCAATACCTTGAAGAACAGGAGCGGGAACGGAAGGAGAAGGAGGTACGTCCATCAACGTTTTTCCCCTTTCTCCTTTCTTTCATCTGGTTGTCCCCAAAGACACCAGCCCTCATCACCAATGGAGGATTCACACAGCGTCTTTTTTATTGGCCATACACACATTAGGAAAGGGAAAGAAAGCTTGTCGAGGAGAGGGAAACAAAGCGCAAGGCCGATCTCACTGCCAAATCTTCCTCTTCCACATCCGCATCCCCGCCTCCATCCGCGGACTCCACCTCATCAACCTCAACAACAACCACTCTCGATGCAGCAGCAGCTGCTGCTGCTGCGACTGCCGAGGCAGCAGCATCGGCCGCGACCTTCAACATCCCGCCCGAAGAAGTCGTTCGTCGTCTACGAGCCCGTGGACAACCCATCCGTCTGTTTGCCGAAACGGACCAACAGCGGAAAATCCGTCTCCGTGCACTGGAATTGGTTGAGGATCGGTCCGAGGGTCAGAGAAACGATTTCATGAGGGCGCTCGAGAACGCAGAGACTGGATTGCATATGGAGGCGCTTGGAAAGGATGCGAAGGATAAGAAACCAAAAGTCGATCCTACTAAGGACCTGGTAAGAGGCCCGAAAAAAAAAAAGATGCACAACGGCATTGAGCTGAGCTGAACGGTGTGGCCTCCGGCATTTGCAGTAGGAACGATTACTTGAACGCCGTGTCCTAATCAAAATTATCCTCCCTGCCCATTATCTTTTAGGACATGAGTGAGATTTCAACGGAATTGCTACAAAAGGACCAGGACAAGTTATATGTCCTGATCTACACTTACTTCAAGCGCTTACTTCGAGAATGGGAGCGCGACCTCGACCAGCGCCCGGATGAGGTCAAGCGAAGCACAGCAGGAAAGCTCGCCACTGCGACACAGGCCCAGAGTGCAGATTATCTTAAACCGTTCTTCCGATTGCTACGACAAAAATCGCTCGAACCCGATGTCTTAGCGCGTATTACAGAGATTGCAGAGCTCATGATCAAGCGTGAATATATGGCCGCCAGCGATGCCTATTTGAAGCTGTCCATCGGAAACGCACCCTGGCCCATCGGCGTCACCATGGTTGGGTAAGTTTTACTCTGTCTTGTGTGGTTCGATGCTGTAACTGGTCCTGCCAGGATTTGTTTGTCATTAACATTCTATCTTTCATGCTTCATGCTCTTTTTTTTTTCTTTTTTTGAAATGCTTTTACATAGTATTCACGAACGTTCAGGACGTGAAAAAATTTTCTCGGCCCAGGTCGCACATGTGCTGAACGACGAGACTTCTCGAAAGTGGATCCAGAGCATCAAGCGTATCATGACCTTTACCGAGAAAAAGTATCCGCGTTAGTAGCCTTCTCCTTGTCAACGCTGTTTCTTCAACTGTTTTTCTCAGCAGGATCACATTAATTATAAACTATTTGGCAAAAAAATAAAAATAAAAAAACGTGTCGTTCATTTTATGTATACAGATTTCTTTGAATGAGACCACCGCGCGTTCTTCTGTTTCTAAAATGCTTAATGACGAACGCCCAATTGAGAGCTAAATACATGGCGCTGGACACCCAGCCAGGACGTGGGAGCGTTCCTCTGGTGCTGCGACAAGATGTTATCGCGAAGACCCTTCTTCAAGTGGTCGTGCCATGCCGAGGTCATCAGCTGCTGCTCTCTGCGGACCTGGATCTGCATCTCGCGCATTTGACGCTATACACAAAAAGGACACAAAGAAAGAATATGGTTAACAAAAGCATCTTTGGGCATAATTCGCACGAACAACACCATCAGGGCAAAGAAAGAACTCCAGGGCTGTTTTTTTTTTTTTTTTTTTTTTTTTTTCATACCTTGAGAGACTCGACTTCCTCCTCCTTTGTAAGCAGTTCACTCTTCAGAGACGTCACCGCCTCGCTGTAGCCATCCGCGCTCTGGTTCGCCATGCTGTTCTCCTTGATGCGCGTATCCTGCTGCATAATGAACTAGAGCGAGTAAAGTACAAAATGAGGATAAATGTCAGAAACTCGGTGCCAGAACGTAATAGGCCACTCCTTAGCAACTCTCGTTAACTTTAGAAAATGTAACTCACCTCTCTTGCGCGCTGCAACTTGTAGCTGTATTGGCTGACCTGGGCCTTCATTTGCTCGATTTGTTCCTCCAGATGCTGGTTCTTCAGCTCGAGCTGCTCCTTCGTATGGCTCTCCTTGGCCTGTCCGAGCTGGGTGCGCTCCTGCTGGATCATCTTATCCCGCTGCTCGAGTTCGATCTTTGACATTCCGTCCTTCTCGGTCAGGACCTGATTCAGCTGAGACAAGTATCTCTTGTTCTCCTCCTCAAGCGACGCTGCCTTCTCGGTCAATTGCGCATGCGCCTCCTGGAGCTCACTTAATTCCTTGCTGTTCTTCAGCTTCCACTCGCCGAGTGCGGCCAACTTGTCCCCTCCGACCATATGAACTAGATGTACGGATCAAATTAAGGAACGAGCAAGCAACATTAGTCAAAATGATATGTAGAACGCTCGCCAGCGAAATTCTCTATGCCATCGACACTTACGATCCGACTGCACAACAACCAGCTCCTTCTTAGTCTGGTCGAGATTGGCCTCCATTTCTGCCAGGGTCTTCTTCGTCTCCGACAGTTCCTTCTCGCACGTGTTAAGCGATGACCGGAGCGCAAACGCAACCTCGCTCTCGTCGCCCTTGCCAGCACGGATGCGATCGAGTTCTCCCTGAAGGACAATCTTGGCCTGATGCTCCTCCAGATAATCTTCCTCGTATTTGGCCTTGAGACGGTTGGCATCGTCCAAAAGATGCTGTAATACCGTCGCTTTGGAACCACCCTCACTCTGGTTTTCCTCCTTCAGTGTCTGCAACTCACGCTCCAGTCTCGAGATCTGAAGCTTGAGCTCCGTTGTCTGCGAAGTCCGCTGACCCATCATGGAGCTCTCCATATCATCCGTCTCCATATCTTGCAGGTCGTTCGACAAGGGCACGCCCTGGCCACCAGAGAACTCGAGTTCCCGTACCTTTTCTTCCAAGAACTGCATTTGCTCATTATCACGCAACCGATCGGCCTCCACCTGTTGAAGCTGCTGATGTTGCTGCCGAGCCTCGTACTCGATCTTGTTCTTTTCCTTGGCCAATGCGCTGTTCTTGGTCTCCAAGGCCAGAATTTGCTCCTTGTAGGACTCCATGAGGGACTTGAACGCAAGGACCTTCCTGTACTCCTCCTCGATCTCACGATTGCGTTCGAGAAGCTCCTGGTTCTGGTCCTCAACAACCTTCATCTGACGACGCAAATCTGCACCTTCCTCCAGTTTTTTCTTGTATTTTTCAATCACGTTCTCCGTCTTCTGCAGCTTGTCGATCGCGTGCTTGTACTCGTCCAACTTGTCCTTCAGACGCACCGCCTCATCAGCCTTCGCACTAAGCTCTGCTTCCTAAAGACCACAATATTCAGCAAGCACGGACAAGAGTCGATGATGAGTGTGCGATCGTTTTTTTTTGTTTTTTTTTTTTATGATCAAGATCAGGATCAACTGGTTTGCGTATTCACAACTTACAGCTCTGGAAAGGTCGGCGATAGCTTTCATCTGATTGTTGATCACAATCTCCTGCTCCTGCCTTCGTTCCTCGCTCTTTTGCCTATAATCACAAGCAAGAAGAAAGTAAGAAGAAAGAAAAGTGGTCAGATTGAGAATGGAGGATGATGACCAGATGTACAAGCAGATAGATGATACGCCTCACTTACAAATCCAGTCGCAGGTGGTCGATCTCCGTGCGCATCAGGAAATCCGACTTGCCGCTCTGCGATGCCTGTGCCGAGGCCTTTTCCAAGTCGCGTATCCTCTGCTTCAAATCTTCTCTCTCAGTCAACAATTCGTCCTGCAAATTAAAAAAAAAAAAAAGAAAAAGAGAAAGAAAAAGCATACAAAAAAGAAAGAGAGAGAAAAACGATCAGTGGGTTAAAGTACAACTCAATGGAGTGATCCAAAAGAATAAACATATGAAGCAAAAAATCCTATGTTCCTACATATTTGCTGTTCATGTTCTGTAGCTCCGCCATCAGATTCTGGTTTCCACGCTCGAGCTCATCGCGTGCTTGATGGAGCTCTGCCAATTCTTGCTCGACGCTGATCTCCTCACTAAAAAAAAAAAAATATTAAAAAAAAAGTCCACAAACGAAGCCAAAGAACCCAAAAGGGTTTGTGGTCAGAAACCTTTTGATCCCATTTTTTTTTTCATTGATCCTAACTTGGCCAGTCGTTGTCGGGTTCATTTCATTTTTCGCCTTACGTGTCCGAATCCTTCATAGAGCCACTGTTAAGAGCTTCAATGAGCTGTGATAGTTGAAAAGAGAAAAACGAGAGAACGAGAATGAAGAGCAGGTGTTAATGCCGCGCGTGCTCCAAAAAAATCATTTCTCCTTTTGCGCAAAACACATTCGAGAACATACAAAAAAAAAAAAAAAAAAAACGACATATTACCTGCTCAAGTGAAAGCATGAGTGTATGCTGCACCTTCTGTGGCAGATGCTGGATCTTCTGGATATAGTACTGATTGTTCTCGCACTGTACCGCGACTGCGATCACAAGTTCGCACAGCTTGACCAACTCGAGCGCGTCTCCGTCCTTGGCGATCGCATTCAGGTTCGGAGGATCGAGATTAGCGAGCGACTGACCGAGTTTCTCCTCCAGATAGCGCGTCACCAGCTTGTGAAGCTTCTTCAGGTTGTTGTACTTGTGCACCCAGTTGTCGCCCATATCCGCCGAACGGATGAGTTTGAACCATTTGGAGTCACTGTTAAGCAGACAAGGGAACGGTAACGGTGATTAGCTTTCTTTTTTTTTTGGTCATTCTCTACTTCTCAAATTAGAGGCAGTGCGAGAGCAAAATGGATGTTGGCTGCTTACATATCCGCGGCAACCTCGAACAGGATAATGCCGTCCGAAAGGTCAGAGATGTGTCTGACGGGGCGGGAGATGTTGTCGAAGGTGTTCACCTAGGATGAGGGGTAGCATAGCAGAGTAATGAGACATATGTTCATATAATAAAAAATAAAAAAAAAAACGACAGACAGACAGAATTGCATGGTCCTTACCCACTGCTCAAAGGAATTGGCGAGACTGCCGACGTCGACCTCCATTGTGGCCGTAATGGGGTGATGGAAGTGTGCCTAGGTTGGCGTTGTCTGGCTGTGTGCTTTTTTTTTTATTGTTGTTGTTGCTTAGAAGGGATCTTCTGCGATGAGATGAGCAAGGATGCAGATGTGGGAGATATTGGCAGAGGAGAAAAAAGAAGGGAGGAGGAGAGGGCGGAGGGGACGGCTGGGGTGGAGCAAGACCAAGACAGCTGGGAGGTCGAGATGGGAGTGAATGCAATCAAGAGACAGCAAAGAGCGAGAGAATGAAAGAAAAGAGAAAGTTGGTGGGAAAAGCGAGTGTGAAAATAAGGGGGAGCGCTGAGGAGCACACGCCCCGCCCGCAATTGTATTTTTAAAATGAATGGCTGGCTGCTGGCTGGCTGACACGACAGGCACGCCCAGATGCTCAGGCACAGGCAGGTCCTATCGACCCTGGTCTAGACATTAAGGGGTCCCTATCCATATCCAACTCGCCATTAGGACCCCCTCTTCCCCCTCAACATCCTGGCACCCATCCATAGTCTACCACACTGTATCCAAGACCCATTCTGGTACGCGTCTGATTTATTCTTCAGGTATATGTATATTAGATGGGAAGCAGACTCACGTCCTAGATCCTGGCACGGGTCGGGTTCACCAATCGACGAGAGGACACCGTCGGGGCTGGGCCCACAGCCGAGGCTGGGGCTATATCGACCGTAGGATCTCCAATCTTCATCATCCCCTCAATCAATGACATGCCCAGCAACCGATACTGCTCCCATTCGCCCGGATAGGCCTCCTTGTGCCCCATCTTCTCCCATAGCTTCGCAGGCACGATCGTCTTGCCCTTCGGATGCTTGGCCACCATTCTAGAGTAAGCGATACAACATAATTTGTCCGGGACCTCTATTGCGGCCGCATCATTCGGATGGTTACCTCCATGGACCTGACTCGTCAACATGTTGGGCCTGTCACCCTTCAGAGGAGCCTTGGCCTCGATTGGATCGATATCATCCTCATCCTCCTCCTCCACAACCACATCCTCATCCCTGATCGGCTCCTGATTCTTGCTCTCCTCTGCCGATTGAAGAGCCGCATCAATGACCTCGAGTGTCTTGCGCACAGGTCTAGCCTTGCGCTTGATCGAGAACCGATGCTGCATCCAGATCCATTTATCGTCCCAGGTAAAGACTCGGCTCGTGATCGTGTACTTGCTGAACCTCGGCACCTCTGCCTTGAAGAAGAGAACCGTCTGGGCTAGACACATGTCGAACTTGTGGGTCACTTGCCATCCGGGGAACAGACGGGTGCAGAGGTCGATCCGCGCAAAATCCATCATCTTGTTGTAGGACGAGTTGTTCAGGTGGATGTTGAGATCCATGTCGTCGAACCATACGCGGCTGTGGTACTTGCTGGCCTCGAGAAGGCCGATGCTGGGTTCTGTCTGAGATCGGGCCTTGATAAAGTAGGAGAGGGATCGAAGGGTGTACACGCCAGGAAGACTCTTGAGGTGCATAAGTGCGATGAGCGCCAGCACGATTTTTGTTGTGTCCGAGGGCATGTTGCAAAGGTGATTCCCGTAAAGTCGGAGAGTGAGAGACGAGTAAAGTGAATGAGGAGGGGGGGGAAATGCAATGGAATGGAACAAGTGGAATGAAGAGAAGGGGGAAAAGAAAGAAAGAAAGAAAGAGAGAGAGAGAGAGAGAGAGAATGTGTGTGTGTGTGTGTGCTACTGAAAGAGAACGCGGCTCGGAGCCCGAGGATGGATGTTCGGTCGTGGGCCAAGCAAGGTGTACATGCACCATACCCCATTTGCACGTGGAGAAACCTGCCCCGGTCTTCAATTGCGCATTTAGCTCTCTGCCGCCCGATTGGACAAACTAGACAATCGGACGCGTAGGAAAGGAGCGAAAGACGCGCCTGTCTGTCGGTGGATGGGCGGGCCTTTTCATTCCAAGGATGGTATCCATCCTGCATAGACAGACCACAGCTTACGCGAATTGTCTCCGTCTCCAGTGATGTCACGGGCGCCCCGTTTTGACCGGGTGCCCCTGCCCCTCCCAAAAGCGCGGAGCTGGTTAGGGTGACTGCCCGATGATGTCAACCATCTTTTTAGCGCATTTTTTTTTCCCCAAATGGATGCCTCTCCTCGGCGCTCGAAGCTATAACACATCTTTGTTTTTCTTTTTCCTTCCGCACGCCCCTTCATTCCCTCCTCCCCATCCTACTGGACCCATCGCTCATCCGGATCCTTTCATCAGCAACCGACCCCCACACAAGCGCAACCCTACACCTTAATCTGCATTACCTCTTCTTCTTCTTCCTCATCCTTCTTCTCCTCCTCCTCAGCAAATCTCTTCACAACCATGAGCACAACTCTTGACGCCGCCCTTCCCATCCACAAGATCGACCCTGCCGCCGTCGAATCCGAAAAGGCCAAGCTCACAGAATTCACGAAACCCAACACTACCTATCTCGTCGAGCCCCTCGGAACCAACAAGGGCATCTGCCGCATCGAACCCAATGGCCAAAAGACCTGTGTCAAGTTTCTCACGCTCGAGGCCAAGCAGATGTTCTCCTTTATGCAGGACCAAGGATTCTTTTGTACAATGAGCCTCGATCCAAAGGAGACTGCCCTCGAATGCAGACGCGTATAATCGCACCTTATCAGAGATACAGAGAGAGATGGAGCAGGATTCAGAGCAATGCCATGGAAGAAGTGGGGGGGAGTCAAGGAAAGCTGCGAGAGCGCAGAACAAGGGTTCAATTGGATATACGGGAAGAAAAACGCGACACACTCCACCGCGGACTATTGGAAATCAGACCGAGATCATAAGTTGCCAATCATGGCTGTGGCGGATCACTGGCGGTGAACAACCAGGACAAGCAGGACAAGCAAAGAGTCAAGTGGGATGCTATTGTAAATATGGCGCGATGGAGGTTCGAACAGGATTTTTTGTTTCTTTTTTGTTTCTATTTTCTTTACACATCCCTAGAGTTCTCAATCATCACTTAAAAAAAGAAAAAAAAATGTAATTGGCATCGCATTGAACTTGCTTGGCATGCAGCAGCATCGAGAACGAAGCAAAAAGTTCAAGGCAATCGATAATGAATGGCATGTTCGCATTGAAATGTACTTTAATGAAGAACCCTAAAGGATATATATCTTACAAAAACCAATCCGATTCTTCTTTTGCTTGGTTTGGCTGCTTGTCAAAGACTGAACAAAAACATATCCCTCCCGCCCTCCTGCCCTCATACCCCCCTTCGTTCCCCTCTATTCGACACTCGACTTCCCTTTATTCCTCCTCATCCGAGTCTTCCTCGTCGCTGGCGTTCTTGAGCCAGTGAACAAAGGGCTCCATCTGCTTCATAAACACAGTGCGTCCCTGAGTCTTCGATCCCTTCTCGGCCCAGTACAAGATCGCGCTCTCCGACAGCACATCGTTCTTGTACAACAGCTGAGTCACAGCACGGTACTGCTTGATGAAGCGCGCATCCTCGTAAAAGTTGACTTGAATCGTCTGCATCAGTGCAATCTCCGTCTTGGGTGACGTGCAGAACGCACCCAGCAGCTTGCTGTACTGCTGGACCTGCTTCAAGATCTGGTTATCGATCTGATCCACACGCGTGCCCCAGTCAACAGAGGCCATCAACCCAGTCCAGATCAATGGAATGAGCTCGGGCTCGGTCAAGCCGCTCTCCTTGCTCTGTGCCTTGAGGTAGGTCAAGCACTAACAATGACATGAAAAATGGACGTTAATGCATGCAATGGCTCACTTCCGACTGCAGAAACGCAGCCTCATTGCCACCACCATTGAAAGAATAATGCATACCTCAGGAACCTTGCCCTCCTCCAAAAAGGTCTTGACGTTCTCAACGATGCTCTCCTTGCGCAGGATCAGCTGCTTCTTGGTCTGGAAGGTAACGAGCTGCTTCATGTCTTCAGCCTCAAAGTGGCGGGCAAAGCTGTCCTCGTCACGCTTGTTGGGAGGGAAAAAGTCCAAAAGACGATCGCTCATGCCAGCCTTATAGAGGTTGAGCCCGAACTGATCAACAGTCTGGTCAATCAAGTAGGTCTTGAAGGCAGTAGTAACGAACTGCAAAGAGAGACCTGTAGTAACAAATGTGCGGCAATTGCCAACGTATGTGAGTACCAGATCAGCTTTTATCATTTGCATATTGACAGCATTAGATAGCAAATAAAAAATAAAAATAATAAAAACTTACCCTCCTTGACCAAGTGCTCCTTGTACAAGACTGTGAGAACGCTCAAGGTAGCGAGGCCAGACGAGCAAAACAAACCGGTGGCAATGGCCAGCTTGTTGGTGTCTTCAGGATTAAACTTATTGATGTACTGGAGCAAGTTCATCAAGGTATCCTCGAAGCCGCGCTGCAAGTACTTGTAACGGCGCATAAGCTTGTGGAAGACATCCACGTGCTTCTTGATGCTTGCGAGGTCATCCTGGGCTTGGAAGATGCTGAAGGGACTGGCAGGAGTTCCATCCTCGAGAAAGGTTCCACCGGGGGCTAATGTTGGTTCAGCCGTAAACAAATCATGAAATGGTCAGTTGGAACTCCTTTCCATCTCCAATTGCTGCATTGTAAAAGAAATGCGTCGTTCAATCACTTACCGAGGAGACGGCCTGCGATTAAGAGTTCGAAGAGAGTCTCGGCGTAACGTCTGTACTCAAGAGTATTGCCAGCGGCATCCAACTTTGCTGAGAGATCGTCGAGGTTGCCTGGAGCAGCAGACGAAATAACGCCAATGAATGCGTCGCGGAAAACTATTGTCCATACAGATCGGAGGATGAGAAGCCGAGTATTTCGTTAGCATCAATTTCATAGTATGAATGTTCTCTGGTGAAACGGCGCTAAGAACAATCAGCCGGGATCCCAGGACCGTCAATTGATCTGGAAAAGACTCAATTGGTCCCCTGAGGTTCTTTGCGGACGACTTACCAGTGGGTTCAAACTTGGCTGTGGCCTTTTGAACACCCTGTTGATAAAAAGAAAAAGAAAGGACGACAGTGTTAGTGAATCCATGGACGCTCGATCTGGAACCATGTAAATCTTGTAGATCAATTGAACAAAACCGAAGCACGGTTGTTTGGCTGTATCACCATACCTTGCGAGGTCTGATCTTGACACCTTGAAGGACGGGCTAGAGTTAAAAAAAAAAGGAGGGTCAATACGGTCAGTATAAATGCTCATGTATACCCTAGACAACAACAGCAAATCCCTCGATCTTCCGCCCTTCCACTCTCTCCCCCCGCAGCAAAAGGGGCCTACAGTAACCAAAAAAAAAAAAAAGCCAAAGACGAGTAAAAAAAGGCCGCTTTTGGATTTATAACACCAAACATTAAGGAGACGAAAAAAAAGAGTGGGAGGTCCATGCACCTCTGTGTTGCGTGTTTCTTTTTTGGCAGCTCCGAGTTCAGTTCAGTCCAGTCCACTCATAGGGGGGAGCATAAACCGGAGCTGTCACGCGCATTACTGGTGAGAGACATTAAATAGAGCCGTAAATCCTGCCCAATCCTCTTGTGTCTGATTGCCCTCTATCTGCAGTGCAGAACAGCCTCCTTGTCCTCTGTATGGTCGTGATCTCTCTCCAGATTGTGCATTTGTATAAAAAAAAACAGGAAAAAAAGTGTAGCAACGAGGATCGTCCGCGCCTTTTCATCTTGTTCCTGTCGCATCTTGATCAGTCTTTCAAAAATAGCCCAATATCCCTTCTTGTTGCATCAGGAGAGATGAACAATACTTCCTCGAGAAAGATGGACAGGTGGAAAGAAAATAGAAGAAAAAATAAGTATAGTCTGAACGTGCTTACCTTGGCGTTCGCTGCGCTACTCATAAAGATGGTGGACTGTAAAAGTGGGTAGATTTGTGGAAGAGAGGGATGTGTTTTGTTGATGGACCAAAGTGCTGCTCTGAAATAGAGTCTTTTTATGGGCTTGCGTCTGGTAGTGAAGGATGGAGCTTGCTCGTGTGTTGTGTGGTTCAATAGAGCCAAGAGAGTGATGTGAAAGGAGATATTTTTATTTCCCCAAACAGGTCGCATGTGGCTTGTGGACCGACTGCGTTCTCGACTGCGGCCAAAACGGTGCCTGACCCCCCTGCTCCCTGGACGGACGCCTCCTTCTCTCACTCCAACTCGAGTCGTGCTTTATCATGGACAAGTCTTTCACTCTCGGACAGGTGCTCTGTACAGGAGCCTTTGGGCTCTTAACTGGCTTCCTTATCTCCCAGTCTGCACTCGTAAGTCTTCAATTGCTCCTGCAGACGAACAATAAAATATAAGGGTGTCTGAATCCAATCTCATAATATTCTCTCCGCGCACCATTGCGTTTCGATATCACTATCCAGAAACCAAAGAGCAACACCACCGCTTCTCTCACAGCTAGCAATGGCAGCTCAAAAAAGAGTATCAAAAGAGAAAAGACAGATAACGCTCAACCAACCAAGCAGAGGAAGCAGATCGAGGAGGACTCTGAAGAATATCTCGAGGGTGAGAGCGAGGATGAGGACGAGGACTTTACAGACGAGGAGACCGAGGATGAAGAGAATGACGATCTCGCAGAATTCGATCTTCGCGAGGAGTACAAGATGGTAAAAGTCGCATTGATGGATCAGACTCGGCGCTTTTGTTAGGAGGCGGCAATATGATCGACAGTTTTTCTCACAACTAGTGCATCTCCTCTTCGTCTTTCTATACCAATCCAGGTCCTGGTCGTGAGGTCTGATTTGGGTATGGGAAAGGGCAAGGCTGCCGCCCAGTGTTGTCATGCCACCCTGGCTAATTACAAGGAACTGCTCAAAAAGAGTCCCAAGGTTCGTTGGTCTGCTCATTTTGAATATGCCATTGGGAGCCATCATTGTGGATCAATCATGTAACTGAGCAACATATAATTATTGCGCCTCCGATAGACCCTCACCCGGTGGGAATACTGCGGACAGGCCAAGGTGACGCTCAAGGTCGATAGCGAGGATGAAATGTGAGTTGAAAAAAAATCATTTATTTGTGCAGCTTTTTGAGATCACCAAAACGAAGATATGGAATTAACGAGCCTCTACTGACTTCTGTTCCTTTTCGTGCTCTCAAGGTTGTTGCTTCAAGCCCAAGCTCAGAGCGTAGGGTTGGCAGCACACAGCATTCGTGATGCAGGAAGGACACAAATCGCTGCCGGATCAAGAACGGTTCTCGCTGTCGGTCCAGGTCCTGTCAGCGTCATTAACAGCGTCACCGGAAAACTCAAGTTGTATTAGACAATAAAGCATGTCCTCGCATACATTCACGACTCGTTTCGATGAGCGGACAAAATTTATGTATGACAAGATCGCGGTATTGAGTAAAATTGTTCAAAAGAAACGATCTACGCCAGCTTTCTGGTTATCGCTGGTTTGGACCGAGCGGTCTCTGCATGTTTAAGTGCTTTTTGGATAGCGCTCTGCATCGGCTTCAACATCTGAACGAATAGAACGGAGCAGCTGGGTGTCAGCATCATAATCAAGACGAATAAGACGATGCGTAGAACAAATTATGAGAAGAAAAAAAAAGCGGCATACCATTTTCATAGCATCCAAACATTCGGCGCCCAGTGAACTGGCTTGGATCATGAGCGCTTTGACATTCTCGTCCCGGATCTTCTTGAGCGACTCAACCATACGCATGTGCTTTGCAGCCTTGTCCGGACTTGTTGAAGCCCAGAAATGGCGAAGGATCTCGTTTCCTGCAGCATGGCATGCTGTTGCTTCTTGATACAGCTGCGGAGGTAACAATTGCGCTGTATGGAATTAATCATATTATTACGTCAACGTTAGTACCTTTTACAGGAAAATGCCATTTGCGTAGAAACAGACGTGGATAGGGTGTAAACTTACAGCCGTCTTTAGGTGGCATCATCTTGGCGCGGTTCGCTTTCACGTTCTTCATCAAGGTATCAAACGTCGACTCGGGGATGGCAAATGGCTAAACATAAGCAGTAAACGTTAGCAATAGCTTCCTATTCAGTCATTTTCACGTTGTGGGAACCTGTAGTTTATCACACCTTGTTAAGTTCGACTTCGTTGGTGGTAAAGTCCTCGTAGCATCGTTTCAGAATATCGGCGGGATCCTGGTGAAATAAGCATGCAAGCAAAAGCAAGTAGTGAGAACGCCGAGGCCAATAGATACCCTCCCTTCAAGGAACAGCTGTAGTCCGACTTGATACCTCGCCTTCCGCAATCTTGGAACTCTTCAGATCGCCTCCTTGACTCTCGAAATACCGCCTTGTGTCTTGAATATCTAGTATGATCCTCGACGCCTCTTTCTGCTCCCGCAGGTCGTCCAGTACAATAGCCCTCTCGACACCATTGATCTATATGGATGCAGAATGGTAAGTTAGTCTCATAACCCTTTACAATTCTTCATAATAAATAACCATTGACGCTGCTTACGTTGAACGGTTCGGACCCTGTCGAGGGCTTTTTGGGCCCAATAGTCGAATTCAGTACTCGTTGTGCGTAACGGTTGAATCTCCTGATAAGCGGCATTGCTTCCTTGGACTCTTTTGTTTTTCCTGCCGCCATCGTACTGTCCGGAGTCGTATACGACTCGAAATGGTCTTCTTCCGTCGTGCTCAGGTCCACCAGCATATTGATATGATCCAGCTTGATCCGCTTGGGCGCACTCTTGGTTTCTTCCTCATCTTCCTCCAATGCTTTATCAAAAATATCGTCATCCGGCTCATTCGCTCCACGTCCTGATCGGCTGCGGTGAAAGAAGCGCGATTGGAAGTATCGTTTCCAAAACTCGGCCTCTGATAACTTGTCCGGTACAAAGTTATCGTATGCACGCTTGATCGAAGGGTATTGTTGGCAGACCGAGTGAATCACCTGCGGTGTCATTACATATTTGACGTCGTTGCTCTCTCCGGTCTCAGGCTTCAGGTCCAACCATGCCGACGACTGACCCTTTTGCTGCTGGTCCATTGCTGTCTTGTTCCGCAACAGATGCTTCCGGCTCTCCCAGAACTCCTCTTCCGTAACATGTTTGCCCATCACCAGTTCCTTGTGCAACATCGCCAACTCCTTGTTCTGCTTCAATAGTTCGAATCGAGCCTTTAGTTCTGCGGACGGTCCGCTTCCATTCAATCCTCTCCGAACTCCACCAGGACCCATCCTGGACTGGGCTGAAGCCTTGGGTGTCCCTGGTGCACTCGCATCCGAGATGACGGGAGAGCCTCCTCCTGATGACAGACCTCCGTTACTGCCGGTCCCTCCTGCCGCTACGTTGGCGCGTATTTGTCTCTCTGCAAGAATTGTCGAGAGCCTATCTTTGAAATCGTTACGCTCCTTCACGGCGTTGCCGGACGTAAACACGAATGCATGGCTAGTGTCAGGCTTGATCTCGACGATTTTGATCATCACCTTAGCAGCCGTTTCCGCACTGACAAAGAGACCTATCCATGGCAATTGGACGGCAGAGAATAATGACATTAGCTATCAACCGAAAGCCTAGTGAGCCGTCTAGCGAGCTAATCCGATGTACGCTCTTCGTTCACAGGTCTTGCCATCAGTCCAGAGTATGAATGTTTGCTACGCACCTTTAATATCGTCATGCTTTATCGAGATAGTCGGCGCCAGTCCGCCATCAGGAACCCATGCCAATCGTCGGTTGGTCATGTAGACTGTCCCTGATCGTTTTCGGTACTGTGCCATCGCCTGCGTCGTCACGCTCTCGCCTGCTTCCCACATCGAGCTCATTCTTTGTTGATGACCTTAGTTCCTGAGGAGACAATGGGCCATGGAACAAGAGGTAGGTATGTTTGTGTTCGAAATTTGGTGGCAGTGGGTTTCAATTTGGCTCTATTTGTATTGGAAGACCTCTCACATGATCTATCTCCTTTGTCCAAATCTGCCGCGCACCATGGACCCCCAAGCTCCATTCATTGTACTGCTTCTACGTTTTTTGTTCTGGTTTTATTTGCGGGGGAAAAAAAAATATATAATGTACGATATTCCTCCACTATTGCTACAAGTATCCACCAATTTCCTGATCTAACCCTTCAGGGCAAGATCATCTCCGAAACTTCCCAATCCTCATATGTGTTGTCGGGCAGGTATCTCCTAACGATCAAAGGGATCATCTTATTGTTGAGTTCCTTCATGGCAATGTTCAACGAGTCAGTCTCGCCCTCTAGGTCCACAAGAACTGGGGCGTTCATGCTAGTTGCAATTAAGAAAGTAAAAAAAGATAGTCAGCATTCAGATGTCAAACATAGATGGTTGTAGATATTCCGCAGTCGATAAGGCAAAGCTTTTCCTTGTTCGACATTTACCTGATCTGAAGAGCACGGGCACCCAAGATTCTTGCCCGCTCGTACTTGGTCATATAAGGAGTGGTGGTGCGATCTTCCTTGGCAACGGCCTTGAGAGGCAAGGCAAAGCTGGTTGGCTTGCCAATGTCGACCTTATCTTTCCTCTGGATCAAATTGCCCTGTTAAAAAGAGATCGACTGGTGTGGTTAGAGATAATTGAGATCCTTTTTTTCCGGTTTTGTTTGTCACGCAACATTATTTGTGCGGCGTAGGGTCCAGGAAGGTATCCTGAGCGAATAGAGTTATGTGCGTGTCGATATGGGTGCATGTTGGGGTTGCAATGATGCGTTAGGTACATACATTCTCGTCGTGCTCATCCTCCATCAGCTCTGGTTCCAACTCTTCGGGCTCCTCCTCTTCAGGCTCCATGCTATGAAACCCAGAACAAACGATAAAAAAAGACAAGAGAGTCAGTATCACCAGATGAGTCTCCGTTCCGCTGTGTCAAACTGCATCCTTGAAGTGCTGCATTTCTCCGTACGGATAACCATCATTGTAATCGTCGCCCTCGTAATCGTCATCCATGGTGAGTTATAGTGAGTTGAGTTGATGGGTTGAGTTGGCAAAAAGAACAAAGATGCCCATCCACATCGCCCACCATGTTATTTTTTTTTCAGTGTGGTGGCTTTGTAAAGAGCGGACAGTCACCCTCCAATTTTTTTTTTTTTTTTTGGACGCGAACTGGCCACGCCCGTGCTTGAAACAAACAGAAGCAACGCGTTCTTTTACTCCACATTTTCCGAGGCACTTGCGCGTAGAGCGGGACATGCTTACAAAAAGAGGGAATGTCTTTGGTACGAACATGCATGTTTATTATATTTACAAAGTTTGCTGTGCTGCTGATGAATGAATTGGCTTTAAATGTATTTATGATAATGAAAAAGAACAAACGCTCTTCAATTCATCTGTAAGGCCGGAACACTGGCACCCATCATCTCCAGCGTACGAATAGCCCTTGTCTTTCGGGCATGCTCCTCCAGTGCCTCGAGGGTCTGTCGGATCTCCGCCTCATCGCCGAGGCTCTCTCGCGTCGCACGACCGGCGGCCGCATCGCGGAAAGAGACACCCTTGGACTTCAAGATCCAGGAGCACGCGTTGGTCTCGTTTGACAGTTTCAAGTGACGGATCACTGCATCCTGTCTTGCAAAACGACCCAGGCAAACAATGCACACATGAGGCTTCTGAGGCATATGGCTGTTCATGTGGCGATCGCGGTCGTGGATACGCGCAAAGGTCTTGGAGCACTTTCCGCAGGCGTGGGGTCGGTGCGCATCGTGGGTCAGGCCGTGGGACTTGAGGTTGTAGGGCCGGCTGAAGGTGCGGTTACAGTCGGGGATGTGGCAGATGTAACGCTGCTTGGCCGCGGACTTCTTGCTGCCATGGCTGTGGCAAGTAGCAGTGGCTGTGTGCAGACTGTCTTGCGAGGCCGCGCTGTCGGTCGAGAAGCGCTTGCGGTCGAGGGCCGGGCTGGGCGATGAGAGCACAGGGGAGGTGCAGGCTGAAGTGTTCGAGGCAGAGGACGAAAACATGGGCTGGAATGTGGCCGAGATCGAGGGTGAGGGAGAATGGGCGCGGTCGGCCTCGGCGGGTGGGGTGGGCATGGGGACAAAGAAAGGGTGAGGCTGACCATCGACAGCCATGTTGGGCGGCAAGAACTCGGGCTGTCTGTTTGGCTGCATGGGAGATGATTCAGCTGGCGATGGACTGCCGGGTGCTGAGACGGTTTCGCCGTAGAGGCCTCCGTATGGGAGCGAGGCATGCATGGCCATTGAGGGCACTGAAGGCTGTACGTCCAGGCTCTGGGTCCTCCTTCTGATGGCTGGGGGGACGCCGCGGGAGGAGGCGGTCATCGCAATGGCAGAGTTGACAGAGGAGTCGATGACCTGGTTGGCGTACTGGTTCATCATGATCAGGTACCGAGAGGGATCAATTGACTGGTTCTGGGTGGTGGAGTGGTACGAATGACGGTAGTGGTAGGGGTTACATTGGGTTTGTGGGATGGCGTTGACATGGTAGTGTGTCTCGCGCTGGATGTAGCCGTATTCTTCGGAAGACTGGAGGAGGACGCCGTTGGCGAAGGAGCCGGGTTGGCTTACGAGATCGCTTTGGCCCATTGAGCGCAATTCTGGTGCGGTGAGAATCTGTTCTTGTGTTGTGTTATCAGAGAAGAGAGAGACGCCGCTGTTAGCAGCGCTAGCGAGCGAGGCCTTTGTGTGTGAGGGAACCATTGGGAATGCAGAGGAAGTAGGGATCCAGGTCATGATCATGTATAGTAGTGTGTGTAAGAATGGAGAGATTGTCGTGAAGAAGACTAGTAGTAGTTGTAGTAGTGGTAATAGTAGTATAGTGGTGGCAGATAAAGCTTGAATGAACACAGGAAGAGGCGTCTAAGCGATGAGGATGAGGAGAAGGAGAGGCGGGGAGGGGCGTGGTTGGGATATTTATACAGAAGGCCGGAAAGAAAAAGAAGAATGCAAAAGAGAATGAAAATGCAAAGAAATGATTGATGAAGTGAGTAGTGAACAAGGAAAATAAAAAATAAAAAAGGTGGGGGTTGTGGGAGGGTTTTATAGACAAACAGGCTAGAGGATGGGAGGGCTAAAGCATATTCGATGGTGCACTGTAGAGAACTGGCTTGAGCCCTGCTCGTGCTCTTCTTCCTCCCTCGGTCGGATAAGGATTGGCCGCATACATCCCCCAGTCGTGTTTGTGTGAATCTCCCCTGTGCCCATACTCAATTGTGACTGAATAAGCTGGCCATGTTCTCTGCTCTCATTCGTATTACCAGGACGAAACAAAAGGGAGACAGAGGATCGAGTGGAATGTAAACATGCAGGGGTAAAGAAAACATATAAGATAAAATACGTTCACTCTGTTGTTGCAACATGGTAAGTCCATGGTGTATCACAGGAGGAAGGACGTTGTGCGTGGGTCATTATACTCCAACGATCCCATCCTCACATACACACACACACACATTCTCTCTCTCACATACACTCTCGCTCTTGGTATCTCTTTACCTCACCGATGAATGTACTGTAGAAACCTACTCGCAACAACTGCTCTGCAACCCAACACTAAATTTTCTTCTTCCTCCCCCCTAACCTAGTAGACAACCTTACTGCCAACGTAACTATCACCACAGCAGGCAACCTAGCCGGAAACCGGTCATTTGATCGTAGCAAAACGAAACCTAGACTCAATTGCAACAAACGAGACAACCCTAGGAAGGATTTATGACAGAAACGTTTTATCGGTAGAGGATGAATAAATAAATAAAGTGGATGAACTCAATTGTGCCATCTTATGTGACCAAGCAGCAACCAAGCACAAGGAAGAAAGACTATTTTCGCCTCAATTGTCTGCACTCGATCCAAACGAAGACATATCTAGCGTACGCGTCATTCAATGTTTGGTAATGGACATTAATAACACCAACAACAACAACGGATGCAGACAACGTAAAAATAACCACAGGGGGAGCGAGAGGGGATCAACAACTGCAGCAATAAAAAAGAAATGAATGCGCATTTGTAATAACAAGGGGAATGATTACAATACAATTCCCCGTGTGTTGTTGTTCCCCTAGTCTTTCCAAAAGGCCTGCATCCACATAAACACCTGCAGCCTGTTTGTCCTGCCCTGCCCTGCCCTGCCTTGCTTTATCTTGTCTTACTCTATTTTACTCTTACTATTACCCCTACCTTGCTCGTGCTCTATTCTGCACAGCATCCCGTACAGACAGCCAACAGAAACAACCAAACAAAATAGAAAAAAACAATATTTCGTGACCTGTAACGTGTAATACGTGAGAGCACAAATTACACATATGGAAGCTGCCTTTCCTTTACACATCTGCGCTGGATTTTTGTTTATTCTTCTTCGCTTCCTACTCGGAGTCAAAGAGTTTCGCAACTCGTACGCAATTAAAAATAGAATTAAAGTAATCGTATGCAATTGGTATTAGCGGCCTGGTTGGTTGGCTGGGGCAAGGCAAGAAAAAGGTTGAGTTCACCAGCTCTGCGTATAGCATACCACTGACTGCTGAGCTCTGTAGAACACCCCCTTCGTTCCTTAGTTTTAGGTTTGTCTAGTGTCGGAGGAAGGAAGGACAACAAGGTAAAAAACGGCGGCATGAATATCGAGAGAACAGTACAGGAACCGGCTACAGTTTCGGATAGATGGGCGCGCTTTAACCTTTGGACGGAGCAAAACTGAAAGGGAAACCCGGGTTCGTTTGTGGAGATGGACAAGTAAAGTCAATTCATTATCAGGCGACTGCAAGTGCGCTGAAGAACATAAAAATCTGCGGAAAGGAAAAAAAAAAAAAAACGAGGCACACCGGCCCATGGTGCAGGACTGAGAATGAACAAAACGGGTTGTTCGCATGTACACTGCCTCTAGCTCTGTGTCGCCTGATACATGTGCGCCTGCGCCTGTGCTCGTTTGCAGTAAAGTACAGGAGCCATGACAAAGAAAGATACATCGACATTCCCTATGACGACAAAGGCCTATGCAAGGGTGAAAAACTTACTTGATCCTTGTGTTTTGGTTTGTGCACACAGAGTTTAGTCGATTAAAAAGATGAAACAAGGACATCTGAAGCATTCAGGGGCTGCAATCAAATGTTAATATTCAATTTCAAGTGCACACGCGCCTGGGTCACAATCCTATATCACATCCTGTCGCATCTTTGTGCGTCAGGGGAGGAGGAAGGGGTGAACAATTTGACACTCGGGAGGGTCGTTTCAGATTTAAGGTTTTCCACGTTGCTGGCCATGCCGTGCTCGCCTATATTTGTTATTGCAGAATGACATTCGATCCGCACAGAACACGCGTGCTTTGTTTATATGAGCAGCGCAACCTGTCCGTTGAGGGGAGAGAAGGTGGGCTGATTTGTCCTATGGCTTCTCTTTCTGATTCTTTCCCGTTACCCTTGTGGTGAGCAATTGAGTTTTTCTTCTTGCCCAAACCCCTGTGTGTCCTCTTAAAGCCGAATGAACATCACTTTTGGTCTCCTGCTTGCTGCTGTTTGTTTACTGCTGTTGTCTGCAATTGACCCTTACCCGCCACAAGCACCAGCAAAACGACGATATTAATATCCCATACACGTCGTACAAAAGGATGAAAATAGCACCTATCCACTCTGTGGACCAACTCCATAACTCACTGTTTGTCTCTGCTACCGCTTACATTTTGCTCTCGCTCAACGTTGTGCAATTGGATCAAGCATCCTTCATCGATCCTCTTGAAACAAACGACAAACACCCTGGACTCCATCCCATCAATAACGCCTTCTCAGAATGTACTTTTCTTGCCCGCCTAAAGGAACCCAGTCCTGGCCTAGACCTGTGAAAACAACGCGCAGAACACGAAAAAAATATGATCCGAATAGCTCAATTGCATCCCGAAAATAAAAAAAGGACGTGTCATCCGTCGGCTAGGGGGTTGAGATTAACAATGTTTTTCTATCGAGTAATTGTTTGATGAGAAGCATGAACATTTATAGCATGAATCGAGTCTAAGCATTTTCTTCCTCTAATTGTTCATATTCATGCATCTCGCAGATCGACTCGACCTATCTACATTACATGTCGAACATGATCAACAAGTTTTCCGTCCGTCCACTTTCGTAGGTGCCCATCGCTATAAAAAATGGGCGGTAGGGGATTGTTTGTTTCCACTGCATTAACCCCACTCGACTGTCCAACTGGGACTATTGTACGTGATCTGGATGATCTGTCCGTTGGATACGACACGTCAACGGAACCTTTTTTTGTGAGGTCCCCTTTGTAACCGGTAGGATCGTTGATCCCAAACGTGGTCCTTTTTTTTTCCTCTAGTTAATTGGATCTATAAACCATAAACCAGGTCTTGTCTGTTTTGGCTATGCCGATCCTCAAACTTTTTTTTTTTTTTTTGTCGATGTTCAAGCGTTTTATCTCCGTTTTGCATGACAAAGCACTGCTCGCCTGCATCTGCTAAAAAAAGGGCAAATTAGGTCGACAAATGCGCGAAACGTCCCCAAATTTGAATCTTGAATATTTTGAGCACTCATTTTTCGCTCCTTCGCACCCCCTCACCAAACACAAAGTAAAAACAATGTTGCTCCTCGGAGCTTTGCCTTCTTCATCCAATGTTTTTAACAACTATCGCCTCCCCGTTCTCTCTCTCTCTCTCTCTCTCTCTCTCTTTTAATTTATCGCTCGCCATCATCCCTGGTTCGTCGAGCAAACTAAGCCCAATGAAAAGCGCTGGATCTGCCAAGATTAATTTATTTTCCTCCCTTTCACCATCCTCTATTACCTAGATTGCCTTCATTTGCAGCAGCTCTACTCGTATCCGAGTTGACAGCCTGCAGTTGGTCCTCTAATTCTGCTTCGTCTTGCCAGGGTGATTCCAAAAGACCAGAGTGGTGTGCCGTAAAATCAAGCGCCTCCTCTTCGTGTTGCCCATTTCCTTCATCATCCCCGTAACGACGAAAATTACGATCGAGCTCTGTACCGTTCAGATACCCCTCGTCATCATCATCGTCGTCGTCATCCATGAAGTCCGAGTCCTCCTCTGAATCCGTAGCCGAATCCACGTTGGCGCCAACATTCCTCCAGTCATCACGCTGCTGACGCTGATTCCGTCCGCTCACAAGCCCACCAAATAGTGACTGATCCTCATGTCCGTCATCCTCCTCATCATGGTACCCAGGGCTACCATCATTCCCACTCACGACCAGTTCATGCGATCCTCGGCCGGTGAGATCCATTTCCGGAATGTGACTCTGTTCAGGTAGCTCGGCTCCGTCTGCATTTCGACCGGATCGAGAAGCGTGTCCGTCTAACATCCGGCGCAAACCCCCCTGTCGCCTCCTCCGTCGTCGTTCCATCCTGGCTGCCTCTGTGATCGCGATCTCGCGCTTGGCTACCATCCAGACATAGGCGCCGACACCGATGCCCAGGATGATGCCAACGATCATGACGAAGACTTTCACTTTCTTGCCGTGACCCTTGTTGGGCTCATCTGGATCATCGTCCCCTGTGAGTGAGGAGAGTGTCGATCCGATGTACACATGCAGCGTCAGCTTGATGAGCGATATCGCGGTGGCGAGCGCAAACGTGTGCAGAGGAATGTGTGTTGCGGATAGAAGGGCGTTCATTATATTATACGGGTAAGGCGCCAAGCGGATCAAAACTAGCAACTAAAGAGAGAAAAGAAGAAGAAGAAGGAAACGAGGTCTGTATCTGTTGCAAAAGGCAAAATTACGAGGATGGGACTCCAATGCAAATGCATGGCCAAAATGTGGATATCAATTATCATGATTATATATATTATATATACCCTGAATCCTCTCCTTTCAACTGTCCTGACAACACTTTTGAGACTCTTGTTTTTGGCCATCAATTTCCGAACGTGTGCCTTGAACCGTTTCCGACAAAGATAAAAGCACGCGATCGATCCTGCCAGTGCGGACGAAAATGCAATGATGAATCCAAATACGAATCCATAGACATATCCTAGGTAAACCGGGGGGGTTTTTTTTTTTTTTTTTTTCATTTAGCTCTCGGTTAGCATGAGCCTTCAGAATTTTTTTTTATCTTCCTCATCAAACCAGAGTGCTGCTAGAATTCATATACCGGACATGGTGACAATGGAGGAATATCCAATGACTGGCGGGAATGAGGTCGCGAACAGGCATATCATGATCACAGGAGGACCCCTAACCCAAAGAATACGGTTTGTAAAAAAAAAAAATCTTGTTAGCGGATAATCGTTCGTCCTCTCTGCCCTTCTAGTCTGTTTCTGCTCGGCATTTTTTTTTTCGTCCATTGTATCTCAAATATTGTGCAATCACCATCATCTTGAAGCTCATAGTTGCAGCCTTGTGGGGTCCAAAGTACAAAGATATCAAAGGAACAACACCTCCAATGCTTCTCTCCCCGGTATGAACTTACAATAGCCCAAGATCCTTGATAAACGATGCCAATACTTCCAGGACCCCAATAATATTCGAATGAAAGACCACCACCAAGGTGATAATCGTCACTGAGAACATAAACCAAAGGCCCAGCCAGAACCATGGCTGGACACTCTCCGGCAATGACTCCTTCAACTTATTGAGGGTTCTGAAACTGTCGCCCGTAAACTCGGTCGAGGCGGCCCCAAAACTGCCGATGGTATTAGCATTCTGATGTAAGGGATGCCGACGTATTGAGTCATCTAAGGAAGGGTGCCCCTCTGTTGCTCTATGGTTACTGTTGGCATTAGGGCTCAAATGGCTGTTCGGAGGGGTATAAGAGCCGGCAGCGGTCGTTGTAGGGAGGGACAGTGGGGGCTCTGTCCCATTATCTCGGTCTGTGTTGTAGTAGGAGCTCATCGATGCAGAAGGTGCGGTGAGGGGATGAGACAGGCGGAATGAGAACGAGTGTAGACGAGTTTCTAAGGGATGCGACCATCAAAGGAATCAGGGTTTGCCGAAGAATGGGGGCAGAGTTGGTGGTGAGGAGAGGTGTGAGTTGAGTCTCTTTCTCCTACTAAGGGGGCCACGTCGAAAAAATCCCATGGATCTTCTGTGGGCTGTTAAGACGTACATGAGAAACAAAAAAAAGTGATGCCCAGGGCTGAATAGTACCGATGAAATCATCACATACTCATGACTTGTGCCTGAGCTCTTGGCAGGTATGGTGAACATAATCTACATCAGCGTTCGCGACAGCGCGTTTCATGTTCATTTTAGGACGCGTTCCCTCCTATACACGCGTTTCTATTATATCATTCTATTATTTAATTCATGTATACGCATGTATAGAGCATGCTGATCATTTTTTTTTCTAAAGTATAATAGTCTAGACATCGGCATATGCGGGTGGAGAACCATTCCTCGCAGACACGGCGACCAAAGGTGGTCCGGCCGAGAAATCCGTCAACGCCAAGGGTGCAGGCTGCTGTGATAAATACCCGCCATTACATCCAAGCGATCCCATGATCGTCGCTGCTCCTATGCTGCGCTGTCGCTGATGCTGACGTTGATGACTGACGCTAGTCTGCCGATGCACCGAAGGCTGGGCCGAGAACTGCGGTTGCAGACTGACAGACTGGATAGGCGACATGGCCATGAGTGTCGACATAGATCTTCCCTGACTCCTGGCAAGCGACGTCGACAAGAGTATCGAAGGCGTGGATCCTGGCCTGGAATAATCTCCTCCTAGGATCGCCTGTGGACTCGATCCTTGGCCGTCTCTGTTGTTCATGAATACGCCGCTGTTGAATGGCGAAATAGGTGACGGTGACGATGGGGAGGCGAATCCTGGTCCTCGTTGGTATGAGCCAGCACTTTGATAGAGTATGGGCGAGTGCGAAGCACCAAATGATCGTGGACTTATCGAGCCTGGACTTGTGGACTGGTAACCGCGGCATGAGACTTGCATTGGCATAGGCATTGGCATCGAGTGCGGCATTGATATCCCCAACCCAGTTTCCAACCTCTCCGAGATATCGATGACGTCCTCATACTTGGGGGGTTCCTCTCGGATTTGATCAATTGGCAATGGCTGTTGTGGGATTTGACGGCCATACGAAGGAGGTCGAGAGAGCGAAAGAGTTTGCTCCGCCGAAGATTCCGATTCAGGTTGAGACCCGTTTGCTGCTGCGGCCGCTGCAGCCCTAAGACCGGCACTGATACCACTCTCTGCGGGCGCTCTGTTTCCGAGCTGCATGTCCCTTGATGACTGAGGTCCAATGTCTCTAGGAACATGTTCCCGAATCGTAAAAGTATCCTGACTGGTGGCCGGTACTGAGGGAGAGACCTGAGAAGAAGACGATGAATCGTCTTGACCTCGTCCCGTCATGATTGATGAGAGCGTAGACAAGGGTGAGGACGAGAACGATCCCGATAACGCAGGCGCTAAGGTCGAGATACCACCAGTCTGGATGGTCGTTCCCGTGGTTGGAATCACTGCGGAGGAAATTTCCTGGTTGTGCACAAACTGCTGAATTGGTGGTGCGGGGCTCGGAACGTACGATGACGAGTAGCTGCCAGTGCCTATAGTCTGATATGCGCACTCCCCATCGTTCGCAACAGCGTCCTCCTCAGCATGCTCATACTGAGAAACAGCGATAGGGTTCGTCGCGAGATGCCGCGTTCGTGGCGGCGATGGGTATCGAGATGTCAGGATAATGGGGAATTCGAGAACGGTAGTCTGAAGCTGAGAGCATGGTGGTGGAGGTGGTGCATCGTTGAGTTCCACGGTTGCCGGTACTAGCGCTGGCTCAATGATCGAGTGAGTTAACTCTCCGAGGAGAACCGCATTATTGACCACCTCGGTTCCTGTAGAGTCCACAAGATTGAGGCAAGGTGATAGCGGCTGTGGTGTAAGGTTCAATCTCCTGAGAATTCCTCCTCCGCTCTGTTCACTTTGGTTGTCGCCGCGACCGACACCATGGGAGCTCCTGTTTCCAGAGGGAATATTACGGCGACGCATGAGTTCTGGCAGGACAATAGCGACATTGCAAGTGATACGATGCTGGATCTCAATGAGAGGCGTGGTAATATCGACATTCGTCAATAAAGGACACGGTCGAAGTTCCAGTAGCTGACGCGTCGAAGCACCGGCACCTGCGCTGGACATGGACCGCTCTCGCTCTTGATCGCGGGGGATGATGACGGTCTGCTGTCCGAGGGGGTATAAAATCTCTGATTTGTTATCGGCCAGGTTACCCGTCGCCGAGGATCGGTAATAGATCATCTCCTTGAGTCCATAGGCGATCGAATAAATGTAAGATCCAGGAGGCAAGGGCTCTAGAGTCAGGTCAACACGAACAATTCCACCCTCAAGATGTGCAATTGGAGGGGATGACGCTGTGTACCGCAGGAGCTCCTTGTGAGTGTTGTGGTGCGTAATTGTTGTTGGCCCTAGTGGCAGCTCTGAGGCATATGTGCCCAGAGCAGATCCGTCTTCGTTGAGAGCTCCTGAGATCCCGACCCGAGACAGCTGGTTCACAAGCAGAGATCCGAGGTCTAGATGAGCGTTGCCCCGGGTGGAATATCCACTGCCTCCTGAAGGTTCACTAACAAGACACCTTTTGATCTCGATTTCCTGTAGGGCGTTGATATCGCTGTAAAAGAGTGGGCGGAGAAGAGTCGACGAGAGAATATAGCGAATGGATCCGTGCTTTCCGCTGAAGGTCGGGGGTAGGGCACCGTCCAATTGGATGGAAAGAGGATAGTAATGGCTGCCAACCGGGATGTGGTTTTTTGATCCTGATCCACTGCTGTGCAAATTGGCCCCTCCTGCCTCCCAGAGGATCCAGTCCTTGTGGGCCAGCACCCGCTCGCGATATTCTGTAGATGTCAGCAGGGAGAATTACGGTTAGTAGGCCCATCATCTGATACTAGGAGCACTAAGGTCTCTTAAACACATGCAAAAGGTATTGTAAACAACGGGGGGAGAGATAACCTACGCTCGGAACCAAAAGTAGCACCGTCGCTGCACTGGACTTTGATCCTCCCGTCAAACGTTGCCGTGAGCTTTGAGGCCCTGATAGGCTTCTTGCGGACATGCAGAATGGCGGTGGCGTTCAGAACCGCCCCCTGTGATTCTTCGGGAAGTCCGACAAGCACACCGTTAAAGGAAGACTCAATTTCGATAACTAATTCAATGTCCTGCAGGGAGTGAGGGTGTACTGAAGTGGTGGGTGATACTACGTTGAGGTAGTCTGCTGCGCTGGCTGCAGCCATGGCGGTGCTACAGGCTAGTGCATGCGATCGACTGGCCTCGGCTGTGGAGGGCGAATTGGCTGCGAACAGGAAGTTCATTGATACCAGGAGAAGCAGAGGAGAATTGAGACGGAGCTATGGGGCCAATAGGGAATCGAGCAGCTGCAACATTGGATACGGATATGAATACGGGGAGCAGAGGCAATTGGAGGAAAAGATGGAGTGTGAGAATTATGGGCAACTGGGAAAGGAAGGATGGATAGAGGATGCCGAAGGGGAGGGGAGAAAAGGAAGTGAGAAAAAAAAAACTTTTTAGCTCTTCGGTAGATAAAGGTTGCCGTCCCCAGCTCATGGCACCCTCATCCCACCACGAACACGGACTGATAGGCTTGTTGAAGCCGACGTGGGGATTAGGGTTCGAGTCCATGACGCAGGACAATACGCTAAATGATGACCTTACATCTGGGACAAATAAAAACTACACGGGATCTCCAAGGTCCACGGTCAGCATCCAGCATCCGAGAGCATCTCCACTCCTGTTATCATCATCGGTACTCTTTACGCGCTTCTTCCCTTCTGGCTATGTAGTTTAGACAAAGCCAACAACGTGCTATTTATTTATTATTTTTATTTTTATTTTATTTTTGGCTCCCGCTCCCTCCATCTCGCTCTGCATCGCGTGCCTGAGGACTACATGTCCCCTATCACCCACATCAACGGATTGTCAATCCTCTGCCCCAATCCCCCATATTTCCATTCTTTGCATTGACGCGAAATATATTTATATACGTACTACAAACATCTCATGTGGGTGCGTCCAACTGAAGAGAGCACTCCCTCGAGCTTCACTTCATCCGACGCGAACATGGCAGGTAAAGCAATCGTCTAGTCTTTTTTTTTTGTTGTTTCTTTTTCAATCGAGATATTTTTTATTTATACGCCATTTCCTGCAAATTCTCACAATGTGGGAAAACTGCGAAGCCGGTCTTCCTCACCCAGAATTTAGTGAATGAGGGAGCAGCCGTTGTGGTCAGGAAGACCTCCAATGACAATAAGGACGATATCGATGATGTACCAGATACCGAAACCACCGCCAGTGATGAGCTTCAACAGCGCAGAGATGATATAGCCGAGGTAGAAGCGGTCAACTCTATGTACGTTAAAAAATAAAAAAAAAGCCGTTGGGTTAGTAAATCAGTACCACCCTGGCCATGTTCCTACTGTTCCTCCTCGACTCCTCGGAATTAGAACACTTACCCGACATATCCAAGGAAGATGGAGAGGAGGATGGCAACGGGGTAGGAGCGGTCAGACTCGCAGATTTCATCGCCGTGCTTTTTGCCGACGGCAGTCAACAGGAACTCGCCCTCACCGGGAGCGGGGCTATCGTGCTTGTTCTTATGGTAGTAGAAGAGACCCAAGACGATACTCACGGCGCTGAGGGCAGCGAGGAGCCACAAAGCAAAGTATCTCTTGCGATGGTGATGGACATGACGGTAGGTACGAACATAGAAGGCCTCGTTGGTTGCCGAGATTGGGACGCCGTTCAGCAGGGGCTGGTCCTCCTCGTCACGACGGCCCTGGTTGTGGTTGGTGGTGCCGTAGTTGGACATGGTTTCGGGAATGAGGAATGGAAGAAGGAAAGTAAATGAGGGAGGGTTGAAGAGAAAAGAAGAGAGGAAAAAGAGAAAGGAAAAAAATGGCGCCTTTTTTTTGTGCTTCAATCGCTTCAGCCTCACGTCGGGAAAGCGACCAAGAACGCGTTGAATTCAAGGACGGGCGGAAGACCAAAAACGAATATGGTCCAGACAAGAGGTGGGAGGGGACATGTGGGGAGGGGTCTCATCTATTATGGCCATGTCATGCCCATGTCTCTGGCTGGATACAACACCCTTTGCTTCGATACAGATGTCCATCTATTACTGCTGCTTGCTACTTCTGCTGCTGCCGCTGTTGCTGCAACATTCATGCCAAGCGCGTTTTTATGCATCGATGCATCATCACGCCTGGCCTGTCCACTCTGCCTGACCTATAAAACTGGACCTGGACCATTGGATTACCCAAGAGCACGCTGGGAAAACAAAAAAATCGAGACTGAAAATAAAATGTACCATTATTCAACATGAGAGCATTTTCGTTTTTTGCGAGAACCCTCCATTCAGGAAGAATGGAGCCGTCGCTACAGTGTGGATTGCAAGAGGAAGCCTTCACCTCGGGCTTGAACCATCGATCGAGAAAAAAAAAAAAAACCTGTCTGCGCGGGCTTGGGCCGTATCAAGGAACTACACATGCCTCCCTGACATGCATCCCTCTACGAACAAGCGGGAAGAACGGCTCTGGATTTTTTTTTTCTTACCATCGAAAGTCGTTCTGAGTTTTTACGCCGCGGAGACGATGGCGGGTTGCACAACGGCTTTCGCTTGACGACCTTGCTTCTCATGATTGCCCTCTTATTTTATTTTATTTTATTATTATTTTCTTCCGTGTCGTCTTTGAAGATGAAAAAGAATCATATACAACAGCCCGAGCAGCATGCCAGAGGGGTTTCACAGCATACCCAACAGCTGATTATCGAAAGGAGGTTACTGTGTTCGCCAAAAAAAAAAAAAAAAAAGAAGAAATGAACAGAAACGTTGTTATGTCAGCAGAATACACCTTACAAAGCTCGAGCAAAACGCATCAGACACAACAAACATAGCAACTTACATCCCGCACAGCCAGTGTTCGTCAGGTCCGTCCCCTTGCCTGCATTGAAACCAATTCCTCCATCCACGGTTCTCACCTGCCTCACCAGCATTCACGCCAGCAAAAGAATGTAAGCTATTATCCCGTCCCCGTTGTCGTCTCCACTGTCCATTCTCCGGCACAGCATAGTGTCCTGCGGGCTGACATGGTTGTTGCACAGTCGAACTCCGAGACCGGGATCGATTCGCATTGTTGATGTCATCCTGTGAGGAGTAGTGATAGTTCGAAACTGCATGATAATACGCTGCATGGCTCTGGTTCAGAGGCGTCGCCATATCTGTTTGCTCATGCTGCAAGTCGTCCATGGCCCCATAATCCTGCCATATCCTGCCCGCTTGTGCGCGTTGCTCTATGGAGGAAATGTAGATCATTCATGCGCAATGCATCTTCATTATTAGTAGATGAGATCTCTTTCACATTTGGTGTGTAACGGTGTGCAAGCATGTTCCGCATGGGCAACGAAGAAAGTGCCCTGATGCGTTATTTCGGCCTCTTCCTTACCCGCTAATGGATTTGATATGCGAGTGAACCTTCCCAGGGTGGTAAGCGGGGATGGAAATAATGGACTGGAAGACGAGGGCTCATGCGGGGCAAGGTAGTCGGCCCGAGACATCACGGTCGCATATGGATGATAATCCCTCTCCTGTGGTTCGTCCTGCACAACCTCGTATCCGAACCCCATCTCTCGCTGGGGATCCGGCCGTAGCAGTAACTGATTTTCTCCATGATTTTGGTCATCGTGATAGTCTTCAATCGCTCCGTCCTCAGTATCGCGTAGTCCAATACTGAATCCAGCTTCGCCTGAGAACGTACGTTGCGAGTCCATGTAGCGCTGTCGCATTTGCTGCTGCTGTTGGTATAGCTGAGCACGCTCGACCTCCTCCTGTGCCAGCATGACTTCGGGGTCCGAGAATAACATTGAGAGTGATGAGGGAATGTAAGGACTATCGCCCCGAGAAGGCCGTGCCTCTCCGCGGTTCAGGGTATCTACAATAGCGGATGCAGCTGCTGTCCGGGTCGATTCTGTCATCGAAGAGGTCGATCCTCGACGAAGCTCGGGTGATTGATCCAAGGATGGATGCTGCAGGAACGAACGCGCACCTACCGCGGTTCCGCCCACGACAGCGTTTGGCGGGAAATAACTCCCGCTATTGGGGGCCGACCCTGATCCCGATGTCCGTGGTGGCGGTGAAATAGACGAAGGCGTGGATGTTGAATTCGACACGGTTGAGAATGAGTAGAGTCGGTTCAATAACTGCGTCGGCATGTTGGCCACCGGTGGTGATACGAGCTGGGTACGTTGGGGCCTGGTATAAGAGTCCGCGAGAGATGTCGAGTCCATTGGCGGTAGGAACGCAATTGGAGGCCGTGCGTAGGTCTCAGGCACGGACGGCTCAGGCCTTGATCCTAAGACTGCAAACTCAGGTCCTCCACTGGAGCCCTGTGGCGCTGCATTCGCTCGTTGGTATTGGTTGTCCAGGGTCCAATGCGCGTACGACTGCGAGGCGGACGAATTGTTGGTGGAGATGGGTGTAGGGAGATGTGTGCTGCTGCTATCATGACTAGAGCCCAGCTGACGCGCCAGAGGTACCAGCGGTGGAGGGATTGCGACAAAGATGTTCTGTTCCTGATAAAAATGCGAAAGAACATGGTGAGGGAAGGTTCGGGTGTTCTCATTCTCATTCGCTTCCCATTCGCTTCTCATTCGCTTCCCATTCCCATTTACTCTGCAGCCATCCCCCCTCGGCGAATAAACCACTCCACGTTTTTTTTTTTTTTTTCCTCAAAAGGCAGGACACCCAACTCTAAAAAGTGCTAACCAACCTCTGGAAACTGTCGTGGCGATCCCGACATTTTTTTTTATTCCTTAGTAGTTGCGAAGTGCCTGATGGACAACAAGACAGGCCAGGACAGGACAGACCAGACGTTTGAGGAAGCAGGTGGAGGAAAGAGTCGCAAGGACAGCAGAAGTAGGAGGAGAGAAAGGAAGAACAAATGGAAGGTGCACAAACAACGTGAGATAGCACAATTGCATATTACACATCGCACTCGCACATTGCACAAAAGGAACAGGAGGATAAAGATGCGGCAAATGAGGGTTGCGCTGACGAAGGAGTACAGGGGGCAGAAAGGGGACATGTAGCCACATCGACAGCTGCACGAAATCGTCAACAGAAGAAATACCTTCCGATGCTGCATGGTCTAATTGCAGCAACGGATTATTCGTCCTCTTGGTCTGAGCAGACATACAAGCGACTGAGCAGCCCAAGGAAAACGCAGGGAGGATAGGGTCCTATTTGATTGCATTTGAGGTCCTTTGCACCATGTGCACCATATCCACCCAATTGCATGTGCGTTCATCTTTCCTGCAGCATGGTCGTGTCACCGGATCGCAAGTCGTAAGGAGGCGTCGGCGTGATCATGCTGTTGGACCATGCGATCCTTTGGCGTCGGACAAAATTGACAGTAGTCCAAGTATCATTGAAATAGCACCTGGGATAGCATAAGGTGGAACCGATGGAGGCGCATCCTCAGCTGGCAGTGTGCGCCTTATTTCATCTTGTTCCTGAATGGGCTGATCACCAAAACGCTTCATTCTGTCTCAGGAACACGTTCATTGTGGCAAAGCGCGTACTATGGAGGCTGTCTTTGCGGGGCTCTTTTGGTATTTCATCTCTGCCTTGCCTGGCTTGTCCGTCCTAGGTACATAAAGACCCTCCTCCGCTACACCGATAGAGTAGCTGGCGGAGTTCTGGTTTGGTCTGGTTGAATGCGCTGGCTAACATAATAAACACCCACGTTCTTTCGCATTAGACAATCTTTAGATCGATGTTGTAAGGGCTATTGAATTGTGAACAAGAGGAGTGGGTATGGATTGACAATAGCAGCTAAAAGAGAAGTGCGGATCGATCAATTAAAAGAAGAAGGTGCGGACCAAAAAGATACCCTACTGCGTAGTTTGCCGCTGCCTCCTTACTTGCGACAAAGACCCTTTCCGATTCCATAGATAAAAATAGGCACGGTAGCGACGATGGAAGTATCGATCAGCATCCCTCCTTTCCCCGCCACTTCTGTGTTTGCGGTTTTCAGCCAAGGCACAAACATCCTCTGAATCACATCGCCATCCGCACACCTTCACTTCTCTTCATTCCTCTTCACTCTTTTGTTTGCATCAGTGATTGGATCTGATTTAAAACAACTTTTCAATCCCTTTTTGTCGCGCCTCCCCCCACATACCTCACACTTCTAATGAATCCGCCCCTGATCCAAGCACCCATCACCACCACCACCTCAGTCTTCTCTGATCCTCAGATGCAGGCCCAGTTTCAAAGGCAATATATGCAGCAGCAGCGGCAACGGCAGCAGCAACTATCGACTTTCAATCCCAACCGCATCTCCCTCCTCAATTCTGTTGTCCCCCGTGTGCAACAGCAGGACCAGGAACACCATGAACCGCAACAGCAACAACAACTCCAATTGCTACAGCTGCAACAGCAACAGAAGCAGCAGTTCCATGAGAAACCAGCGGTTGGACCTGGACGTTCTGGCGGTCCCCGACTCAGCCTCGACACATCGGATGAACGGCTTCAAAATGTCAAGGTTATCAACCACAACAACAAGCGCTATCTCAAGCTGTTTTCGCCCAGCCTGGTAGAATCCCCCGTCAGCTACCTGGACCGCAGACAATTAAGCGAGGACCGGAAGCTGTGGGAGAACGGGCCCAACGAAGCGTTTCAGAAGCAGCTTGAGATGGAGAAGCGTGAGGCCTACAGAGGTAAGCGGAACTGCCCATGACAGCACGAGAACGGCGGACCGCCCATTGTTGCACCAAACACCACCTCCTGTCCTCCCCATTTCCTCCTATTCCCTCAGTCGCCTTATCGATCGCAAAAACCGCCTTGGATCGCCTGTCAGGGGCATTAACATGGGGCATGGGCCACATCCCAGTGCTCTTATTCCTTGGCTCTCAACCCTTGCCCATGCTCATAAATAAGGACTCTAGGGCAACCGAATGTTCGTCAGCGGCACAGCATCCAGTTGTTATTAGTTCACAGACCTTGCCATCTCGTCATCTTTTCTGTTTAGTCAGCCATAGTCCCCTTTTTATTTTCCTTTCTTTATTGGATGGATCATGTGTACCCCCGAGAAGTCGTTCTAGCGGTCAGAAGTGGCCCCAATGCATTTCATAAGCACAACAGACATCACCCGGGCACTAACCAGCCTAAACGCACTTTTTATGTCCCACTACAATCAACAACAGCCCGTTCAAGACAGCAGCTTCGTGGGTTCTTCATGGGCCTCTGGCTTGGATGTCTATTGGGGGTGCTCATGCTCCAGCAGACCTCTGCCAAGGTCAACTTCTGGCGGTAAGTTTCATTATCTGCGGTTTCGTCTCTGTTACAGCGCGCTCTGGCCATCGTTCCTTAGTGCCTGACCCGTTATTTATGCATTAATCGTCATGCATTGCATCCGATACGCTTTTCTTCACACAGACACGATGCCTTCGCTTCCTATACGCCGCTCGTCATTCTCCTGGTCCTTGTAATTAGTGTGGCCATTGTTCGCTCGGGAACGCGCTGCACGATTGCAGCGGTGGCGACATGTGCGGCAGTCTTGACTTGCTTTGCGACACTGATCGTCAATCAGAGCCGGTACTCGGCCGAGTTCCAGCTGTACAAACGCGTACCGCCTGCTTCGACGTTGCAATAAGTCAAGGAAATTGAGCTCCTATTTCAAGGCAGGGCATGATTCGCCCAGAGCCGGGTTGATGTTCTCCAACTCATTTGTTCTTTTTTGTACATACGTTTACTCTCTTTTTAACTGTATTATATGCTTCCCATCTCGCCTTCTTGTACTCTACTCAACTGCTGCCGGTATGCTAAAGGATATATCTGATGAAGATACACGTCTCGCAAGTCTATGATAATAAAGCTAGCCTGGACATTTTGCCTATCTCAGGTCTCCTAGTACTTGCAACGAATTTGAAAACACAGCACTTTGTGGAAATCGTACGAAGGATCCCCCTCTTATTCTTGGCATTGGGCCCCATACCTTGAACCAAATTGGACTGTGCAGTGAGTTAGCAGTTACACGCCGCGGTCGCATTTCGCCCAACCAGCATCGGGCGTGCACCATTGGCCCCTCTCTCCCCACCACATTCCTAATCGACTAACTGGGGTCTACTGCAAAAAAAAAAAGAATTTCTTTTTTGAAAATAGAACAGGCATCAAGAGAGATCACAATAATAACGAAGGTGTTTGTGTTCGTGTGCGACAACATAACATTTCGTCATGGACCTACGTTGAGATGCTTGAGCAAAAGGGGACAAGGGAAAGGAAATGTGCCATATGACCATCACAGCATATTACTCTTGAGGAAAGATAGCATAGACGACTGGCTGCTTGGCCCAAAAAATGCATCGGAAAATGTTTACGCCTACCATGCACCCGCATTCACTCACGGAAAAACAACATGCAAAAAAAAAAAGTGCCGTGGTGTGTGTGTTATTAAGGCGGCGGGTGGGAGACCTGACCAAGCAAGGAAGCACATCATTCCGGGAGAGAGGCGATGTTCATTTTTACTTTGGTGATCGGAAATGAAATCCCAAAGAGCGGGGGCAGCCTGCTATTGGAGTTTCTGAAGGGAAGATATTCTTAGCAAGTAGTCGTAGCTGTTACTGCTGTCGTTATTGTTGTTGTTGTGCATCAATGGGCATGCATCCAATCGTGTCTTATTTCACTTTCGATGGCGACGCAAAACTCCGTTTTATGAACGGTAGTTGTATGTGTGTATGTGTGCAGATGCATGCGGAACAAAAAAAAAAAATCAGCTCAATTGGCCACGTTTTTTTCCTCTTTGCCTGCTCTTCACTTTACGGTATGAGCTGGCTACCGCTGAGCCTTTTCTCCCCGGAGGAAAGAGTCGAATGTGCAGAGTTATAATTTACCTTAACCTAGTCGGCTTAGGGTCCCTCCACTGCACCTTTCCCACTCAGCACGAGAAGCAGACGAACCACGACCAGCTCACCTAATGTAAAACCGAACCAAGCAGTGCAAGGCTCAGTATCCCTCAGTTCTCAGACCTTTCTTTTTTTTTTCTCTGGATCATAGTTCTTCAGACGCGTTTGCCTTACAAAATAGGGGTTTCCAATGGTGCTGGGTCCCAGGTGATCAATGGCATTATTTACAGACCACTTCACAACCGTGCTGCGGATCAGTCATTGGGGGGAGGGGAGGAGAGGGGGATACCAGATCATCGCATTCCTGGTTACATGCTCGCAGAAGAGTGCCTGTATACCTTCCTGTCCTTCTTGTAAATGAATTATGAATTGCGGATGCGCCTCGTGACCCTCGCGTGGCATGGTAATGGCGTTGCTCAAAAGAAAGATCCATTAGATAAGATTCAGCACATCTTCGAATTCTTCCATTTCTCCAGCTCAAGATCACAAAGTGGTCCGAAAGAGATCATGTGGCGCCATTGAGCATTCGACCCCATGTTCTCTTTCGTATCCGGCAGAATACAATTTGAGGCCGGATGCATGCATCGGTAGTTTCTGGAAGAGTTGCGTCGAGTGAGACATTTAGACTAAAAGTCGATCTTCAGTCTGTACCTTTTCTTGTGCCTGGATCTTCATTTCCCCGCGACCGGACACCGAATGAACGCCCAAAATGTCGGGATCCAACTCAATTGCATATCATAAAACGCGAGCACCCGGGCAAACTGAAAATGTGTCTATGTAAAGCAGCCCCAGGTCAATTGAATGAAGGCCATCAACTGAGATAGTCCGCCCCAAAGCGCCAAGTAAGACAGCCTCAGCGTTGCCACCGTGTCCCTATTCTATTATCCGCATCAACTCTAAACCCTCAGATAAGTTATTTCCTATTTACCTATTTCCCATGAAGAACCACCGGCTTATTTCTGCGTCATTTTAAATCTTTTGTGCGTCCACGGGACCCTTCCTTGCATTTATCCATCCTTTGTGACCGGCAGCCGTTTGGCCATCACACTCCTCATCCACATTGATGTGGACCATTTTTTTTCTACTCTTGTTGTTCGCTTACAACCTATCGCCACCCAGCTGTCCTGAACGACGGTGTTAGAGCATCTAGAACCTCTGTGGCTTTACACGCATTCTCAGTTTGATAAGACGCCTTCTCTAGCGTCTATGAACCGACTTACTGGGACAGCATATCTCCACGTCATCTTGCGTGTAGGAGGGAGTTCATAAACTCTTCTAGGCTACGCGTCCTTTTCTTTACAGCCTACAACCCGATGAAGAATTCGTGTTACGCCTAGCGTGTCACTCTCGCGTGTATGTGATGTCGACTCCTTGGCATACAAGTACAAACCACATCTCCATTTGTACATATTGTTCTTTCGTGCCACTTGGGAATTTGAGGATTGTTGCAACTGTCGGAAGCAGGCGGAGGAGAAAAAAGGGTGATAGTTCATCTCTTACTCGTGCTTTTTTTCCTTTATCTGTCCCTGTACCCTTTTTTTTAAAAAAAAAAAAAAAAAAAAAAAAAAAAAAAAAGGGTGTATGAAGTTGGATGAAGTCGCATGAAAAGCCGCCTGGCCCTTTTGCTATCAACGCGAGACCGAATGCCTACCCCTTGTGAATCAACCATCGTAAAGTCGCCATAGATCCTGCACCCTGCGGACGGAGGGAAATAAAGCGAAGGTGCGGTATGCACGAGGGAGAGAGCTTTGGCCGCTTCATTTGGTGCACAAGAACCGCTTTATCTATTGCATCTTTTTTATATATATATTTCCTCGAGCGAAACACATTTGTCAGAATATTTTGACCTCCGGATTATAAAGACGCTGACAAACATAATCCAAAGAAAAAATAACCCACCGGGCGAGGATTTTCTCGATCGTCCAGATTAAAAGAAACAATCGGTTCCTGACTCCGGTGAGTCAGACGCGACAGCTGCATTCCTTTTTTTTTTTTTTTCGACAACCCCTAGCTCGGACGAATGGACCTTCTTTTGGTCTGCAGATTGTTGGCGGTTTGGGATAACGCATGAAGCAACCACGCATGTGCCCCCTTGCTCCCCCCCCCATACGGACTCGGCAATTGTGCAGGGAATCGCCTCCTTGTCGATGCATCACTTTTGAGGGGGGGGAAGGAAGAAGCGAGACTGATACATGTCCACACTTGGCAATTAACCTTGTTTTTTTGGCTGCATGCGCAGGCATGACAAAAGGTCGCGTCGGGCCTTTCGAAGTACATGTATCTTTCAGAGATATGTAGTACTATGAACAAGGAGGCGAGATAAAAAAAAGCAATCCATTGCCGCAGCCAATAGTTAACCTGGTTTTTTCTCCTCGATGTATTGAGTGTCCAACGACGAAAGGACATGCTCATTCTACTCGCAGTCTTGTTGGCATCCCCCTTTTTCCTTTGTGTACTCTCGCATTGGTTGTTTAAATCCGTACCACAGAATCAAAGAAGAAAAAGAGATGGCATTAAGCAGCGGGAGAGAAATTCAAATGATGAAATGACCTTTGGTATTTTGTTATTTTATTTTTGGATGTACCGACTGTTCCTTATCATTTCTCGTTTGATCCAGGTAGGGGGAGGGGCATGATAATGACGAGCCCAAGATGACGACCGATGAATGAAAACATGATACAACGCGCCTTATATATGAGAGGGTCTATACATTTGCGTGTAAAAAGCCCAAGAGCAGGAGAGGACCCCAATGATTGAAACCAATCGAGCAGATTCTTAAGATTCTTCGGTTACGACGACAAGCGTTTGCAAAAGAGACGAAACGACGTGCCATACCGGGAGGAAAAAGAGTTTTTCTTTGTAATGGCACTCATTGCGCCATGCCATCCCCAAATCAATTCGTTCCGAAAAAATAAGGAAAAGAAAGAAACACGGAAGATAAAGAGTCATACTCAAAAAAAAAAAAAAAAAAAAAAAAAAGAGGGAAAGAGGGGAGTAGAAGTAGAAACATGTCCTCGCTAATTGACGCGCATAAAGGATGCACTTAGCTGAACATTGCACAAACAAACGACAGACGGAGGAAATTGTTATTATTTAACAGATCGCGCAAATAAGGTGCGATAACAAAAAAAAAATCAGGCTGACGCGCAATACACTTCAACATCCGAACTGATGTAGCGTGCGAGGATGACCTGCAGTCAAGAAGCTTAGGTGGCAGTGTGAAAAGGGCAGGTGGGAACTCTACACAATGACCCGACGCGAAGCATGGAACGGCTGTTTACTAGGTAGATCTGACGCGACAAACCAGCAATGGGTGTGGGGATTGCGTGTACAGAACAAACAAACAAGGGCGTTGTGCCATAAATAGACACCATGCTGTGGTGGGCAGGGTACCGATTTAATCGGTAGCAGGAGTGAGAATAAAAAGAAAATGTATTGGTTATGGTTGTATGCAGGAAGGATGAGAGTTTGTGTAGAATCGACCCGAGGCAGCGAGGACGAGGACGAAGCACAGTTCTGTGGACCCGCACCAAAACACTCAAGAAAGCGTGCACCCATGACCAAGGAGGAAGCGAACGCGACGGCGGTACTCGGAAAGAAATCGAGATTGTGAACGGTAAAGGCTGCAGCGCGATGGGCTGGTGATGGCCAGCTAAGAAAATGAAGATGATATCGGCGAGCATGAAAGAGGAAACGAGGTGGAAGAAAGCGAATGGCAACTGGGAAATAAATGGACGTTTGTGCCAAGAGCAAGCGAAGGGTACAGAATCTGATTTGCTGCGAGGGTCTGCAGAGGCGGATCGTACACGCGAATGGACCTTAGCGGCAGGGACGCGTGGCAGGACCATTGGCCATGCTCTTGCTCCGTTGTCTGCGTCCCCTGTCCTTGTGGTATACGGAGATACCGGCAAATACGCAGATACAGAAACACAGGCATGACCCAAACTCAAATCGAGGAATCGACCAAAACAGCATGACAAAAAATAATTATTTTGCACCGCCCAATGATGCATGGCATTTTGTGCTGCAATCCTACGGCCCAAGGAAGCGAACGAATCCCCCCCCCCTCCCCCACCATTGCTCCACCAGCTAGCATATGCTAAAACTTCTAGTCTCAACCAGTCCACCACCCTAATGTTCATGGCCGAAACGCCAATTGGCCCTATTCTTATCTCCCTGGTCACTCGCTCGCAAAGTCCTTGAGTCCTGCTTCGTCCCTGTTACCGGTTAAATCAGCAAACCAGCTCGTCACTTGGCCACTTTATTAATGCAGTGCTTGCAGGATGCGTTTTTTATAGACCAGATCTTGTTTGGATCGACTCTTTGTAACTCGGTACGGTCGGCGGTGTACAAGATCGTCGGTGATGAATTGGAAACGCGAATTGCAACTAACGTCTACCTGCCTTTAGAACCCGATTGCCCATCGTTCTCTTCCCACATAGTTTAAGAGCAAAATACGACGCGATGACATGCCAAGGAAATAAAATAAATTAGGACGACTTGCCTCTCATTAACCTACATGCAATTTTAAGCAGCCTTACTGCGGATCGGACCAGACAAGAGGAAAAGTCCAAAGCACGGTTCTAGGACAGCATGGCGAAGTCGATAAGACGAGTCAGGCACGCAAGCAATCTTTACACGTAGATCGAAACTGGAGGGCGGATAGGTGGGATGTCCGCGGACGCGAACGAAAACCACTGCGAATGAGAAGAGCGGTCCAGATGGCCAAAAAAGGAGAAAGCATAGGAGCAGCAATTATCAATTGTCAATTGTCTATGGTCAATGGTAGGCGTCCCATGACCTGCCTAATCCGCTGTAGTGAGCAATCAAAAACGCGCGTAAGAGTAGACAGCCATGCGAGGGGGCATGAATGCAATGAGTTCCATAATTATTCGGACTGAGCTCCTAATATGGAAGGATGCATTTGTCCGTCTCCTTTTGACCAAGGTACGTGTGGATGTTGTCTGTGTATCCATCACCTTTCTATTTCATTATTCTAGGGCGAAATTGCTGTTGAGGGCGCTGGCGAAGGAACAATCCATAGAGCAATTGGACAGTTGCGCGAATTTTGTGAGCCAGTTGTAAGTGGAAAACGACCCAATTCTTCTTTTTTTCGACTGAGGAAAGACGGACTGTCGTTGGTGGGCTGTGAATGATATCAGTAATAACTTAACTATTCGGATATAAGGTAATTTGAGCCGGCGGAGAAGGGGGTCGATTGTATTGTCTCTTTAGCTTTTTTATATTGTCAAGAAAACACTTAAATACCCCTGCCAAGGTGCCCTCTTTTTCTTTTTTCTTTTTCCTCGTCTTTCTCCAGCTTCATCCTCTTTTTTGTCTAACGCCTATAAAACCAAATTCCCCTGCTCTCTAACGCACCTTTTTCCTCCCTCTTGTGTTTTCCTTTGATTCTTCAGCAGCAATCACCCCATTTCACGCCATTGCATCCCATTGCTGCCCCCGATCCCCGCTTTTTGACTTTATTTCAATCACCGCACACTTTAGCACAGCGCCACCAAATTTATATATTTAGGTTAAGCGCTCTTTCCTTTCTCACAAAACTCTCCCCTACTCGGTGGACCATCCTACCCAGGACCGCAGTCGACTGAAACGGACTATCGGTGGCCCTTGTTTGATTCCTCCTTGGAAACCCTGATCGTCCCTGTCCTGCGGACCAGTGCCTGACAGCTGCTGCGCCTTACTACTTTCCAATCCGGCAACAGTCGGAAACCCCAGCCGAACGCTCGTGAACAGAACCAATTGACCCCGAAACAACTTTAACTTTAGCAGAAGGGCATTCAGCGATCAACTCTGTTCATCTTCAGACGCCAACCTTTTCTTTTCTTTCTTCACCAAGTCCAGCAGACTTTTCCACGCTTCAACAAAAGAAGAACAAGGAGAATACAAGAGCACTTTGACCCTTTTTTCCGAATTTTAGCCTTCCCAAATACCCTGTGTGAGCACACGCTGCTTGCTCATCTATTCCGGCTGGACCCTTCTTTCTTTCTATTCAAGATTTCCACCGGTTCTGTTGTTCTGTGTGTCCCTTCCATTTTCCCCCTTTGCCGAGGGTGTGTTCTTTTTTGGATTTCCAAAACTCCAATTCCGGGCTCAGCCATCATTTCCGTCTTAACAAACAACCACATTGTTCACCTGCTCCTCCATCAACACCAACACTGCCCTCCTCCGCCACGCCTTCCATTGCAGAAACCTTATTATTTGTCGCCCCGTTACCCCTGGCGTCTCGCCCGCAACAGCCCAACATAAATAGGACGCCGTAATTTCATCCTCTCCTCTCTCCGTCCCTACCGTCAATTGCTTTATATCCGCCTTTCCCCCTTCCTCCTCTCGCTCTCCGGCCATCTCCTGTCCCCCACCACCCCTTCACGACCGCACTCTCGCCCCTCGTCATCCCCTTCCTCCCACTCAGCTCCCTCATTCGATAACCCATACCATGTCCATGCAGGTCTTTGAGTTCCAGGCCGACGCCACGGTCAGCTTAGCTAGCCCTGCCGCCATCAACCGCAAGAGCTGCGACCACTGCTTCCTCAACCGGAAGACATGCGACAAAGTCCGCCAGGCCGCCAACTCTGGTGAGAAGTGCGAGAGGTGTGCCAAGGAAAACCGCCCTTGCACGTTCACGCCCACCGTCCATCTGTACCACATTGCAGACTGTGTCGGCCGACACCAGTGCCGTGCCAAGGTCATCCAGGCCATGGGTGGCCGCAAGAAGGAGATTCAGTTCCATAACATCGATATTCCCATTATCTGCGATATGGACTCAGCGCATGACCAGGCCCTCTTTGACTTTATTCAAAAGCAGCCTAACATGTTAGTTTACAACAACAGGATCAAGTCCTTTCTTCTGCAGATTGTAAGTACAATCATACCGTGATAACCGTTGTTTTCCAATCTTTTTTTGACCATGCATGATAACCAATTCTACATGTCCGTTCCCTTATTCAATTCCCGTTAGATGCTCGGTCTCTCCCCAGATCATGATGACACCTTGCCCATTCTCGACCAGTACGCTCAAGACTTCTCAAACTATGTAAGAACAAGTTTTGACTAGTCTTGAGGGTCGATATGAGTTGCAATGTGCCTCACCCATGTTTGAACACACACGATTTACATTCATTAAACGTGATGACTGCTTGAACTTCTGTCTAGTCTACTTCTTCAGTGTCGCCCTCCAACGCCTCCCAGAGATCATTCGCTAATGGCTCTTCCCCTTATGGCAACAACAATGTCCTTACCGGCCCCATGCCTTCCATGATATCCCCTGCCATGGGTCCCCATAAGTATCACGTCATGTCGCCCGTGGAGCAGCAGCAGTCGTACCGATCCCACCCATATGCTCACCACCAGAGAAAAAACTCGGATGATCGTAGTCGCCAAAACATTCAACGTCCGCCTCACAGTCCTCGGGCTCACCCTGTCCAAAATCACCAACCCCCCAGGCACCCATCCCTGGCCAACGGAGATGTTTTGGCCGGATTCTCGAACGCAGGGCGTTTGAGTCCTCTCCCAAGCCCTAATGCTCTCTCTCCCATCGATGCCGCCTCTGCCGCGGCCGCCGTCATGGCTGCGAGCTATGATCAGGGGTTTTACGCTGGTAACATGGTTGGCATCACGACCACGACGGCGTCCACGCCTACAGCAAATACTTATGGAGTGATTTATCAGCAGCAGATCGATCAATCCTTCCAGTCGCAGCAACTGCAGCAGCAGCAGCAGCAGCAGCAACCACACCCTTATGCCCAGCAGTCGCCCTACCCTCAGGCGTCGTTTTTTCATCAGCCCCAGGCCCAGATGAGTAGCTATCGCACGACGAGCCCCTTCCCGCCGAGCCCTTTAGCCCCAAGCCCGATTCAAGATAGTCCACAGCCTCCCAGTCCTTTGGATCTGTCCCTGGGAATGAGCGCAAACTTTGGGTCGATGGGCAATAGCAGCCACCAGAACTTATCGAGCCTCTTCGATACGAGCTTGAGCATGGGTCCTCATGTCCAGCAGCAACATCAGGCCTCATTTCATCGTCGAGAGCTTTCGGGTTCGAGCACGCACAGCTCCTTATCTGCAGCCTCACCCGCGATGAGCAGCCAGAGCAATAATGACATGTCCACAGGTGGCGTCACGGGTACGATGTGTGCTACCGCAGCCAACCCCACGCCCTTGGTGGTTACGACCACGAATGAGGACGGGACCGAGGTCGGGGTCTACTACGCTGTCCCTACAGTGAATTTGAACCCTGGCGCTAGCGACGCCGACCTGTTTCAGGACTTTACGATGATGGATGCCTTGGGCGAGGACTTTGTATGGGTCAAGAATTTGTTTGACAAGTCCACTGATTCGGCCTCTATGGCGCCCGTTGGTATCAAGGCGGAGGGTGCGGAGAACCGCGCCCGTGCTGGTTCGTTCTCGTCTGCCATCCCTGCCGGCCATGTTTCCGAGTCGACCTCCTCGATGGACGATCTTCATCAGGATCAGTGGTCGAGTCAGTACACGCCTCAGTCCCTTCAAGGATAAAAAAAAAGTATGGAAAAAGAGCAAAGCCGTGGGATGTTACCGACCTGGGGACAGCGCTGTTGTCCTTTGTGATCAATTGTATATAGTCCTCTTATTTTTAATACGTCTTAGTGACATTCCGTTTTAGATAATTATTTGTACCCTGTCTCCTCTTTCTGGCGTCCTTTTTTTTTTTTTGCTGGAAATGGGGAAGTTGACAATAGAATCTGTATATAGCTTCTTCTTTTATACTCCCGTCTCTTTATAAAATACTGAAATATACAAACGTTCTTTCTCTTTTGGCTCCTGGACTTGAACGCGATAAAATGCTTGGGGAAGAAAAAATAAATAAAATCGATCGCGAGACGCGAACGCGTCGGTGGGGCTCGGACCACCTGTGTGCTGGACTGCCAATCAGAAGACGAGAAACGTGGACAGCTTGAATCCCCACACGTCCGTCTGTCCTCTCCATTGCCATTCCTTTCATTTCACACCAAAGCAACAAAGCGAGCGTCTTTCCTTTCCTTCACCTTTTCAGGAACGAAGGATTAAACAAGCCAGACACCCGACTCAGGATTACACTACCGCCACCAGAAACCCAACGTTCAGTCCAAAAAGCGGGAAAAAAACAGCCAAAAAAACCCAACAACAACAACCTTCCCCTCTACTACGATACAACACGCCTCAGATGGAGCCCAATAACCAACCAATGCTCATGATCGAGGGCCCAAAGTTCTCTGGGTTCGATTTCTCTCCTGCACCGGCAACTATGACGACAACGGCTCAGTCTGTGTGGTTACTTCCTGAGGGACGCGAGCCGTTCGTGATCAACGGCCGTCGCATTGTTTTGCCCGAGAAAACAGCACCTCCACGACCAGCAGACTCAGACCAGGACGAGAGCGAAAACAGATATGTGGACGATGAGGTTTCGGGCCTGTCGCATACCGCCAAAACCGCCGGTGCCGTTTGGGATTGTGTATGACTCCCTCGAAAAACGTCTGATGTGGATCTCTCTCTTTTTTTTTAAAAAAAAATTATACCTATTACTAAAGACGATATTTCCTTTGGTAATAGAGTATCATCCTGAGCAAGTACTTGGAAGCTCTCGCCGAAAAGACACCAGAATTCTGGACTCGGAAGCGTGTGCTGGAGCTGGTAATGGAATCCGCAGCAGAAAAAAAAACAACGTCATTGGAGCCCTCCCAAGCTCAAAACTACTAATTTTCGTCTCCATACTTCCTTCCCGCACAGGGTGCAGGACAAGGGATCGCATCGTTCAGCGCTGCGGCCTTGGGTGCTGAACGTGTCATTATTACAGACGTGGATTCCGCACTACCGACGCTACGCAAGGGAGTGCAGCTGAACGGATTCGTTCCACCACAGGTGCAAGTGACGGCTCTCGATTGGACAGATCGTGCACAGGCCATGGATCGCATCTGGAATGAGCTGCTCATGGTCCCGTCGTCCCAGGCACCGGTCTCCAATGAACCCATGCCCACAGATCGCATGCCGGCTCAGAAGAGCCAACAACAGAAGCAAAGGCAACCGAAACCACGACTGGATTATATCTTGGCGTCAGATGTCGTTTGGGTCGATTATCTGATCCCAGCATTGGTCGATACTGTGGGCGAACTACTTCAGGTGGAGAAGGAGAGACGGGATAGTGTTATGGACGATAAGGATGGGGGATTGCAACATGTGCTGGATGGAGGACCGACCGATGTATCCTCACCACCGTCCCCTGTGGTTCTTCTCGCATATCAATTCAGATCCACTCGAGGCGACCAATTGCTTTTTGATTCGCTGGATCGACTGGGCCTGAGTCGACAGAAACTAATCTTGGACGGCTCGGATGATACGGACAAGGACGCCGTGAATCTGGATTCAAAGTTCAGACGCCCCAACCTTGCGATCTGGAAGGTGTGGAAAGAATGAAATAAACATACGACACTTGTAACAGCGATATATTTTTTTGGCCTTGTTTTTTTTTCCTCTTTGGTTTATTGTCTTTTCTCTCTTTTTGTTGGTTGTTGCATCTTTTTTTTTATACATGTACACGAAGCGACAAAAAGCGCAAAAAAAAAAAAAAAAAAAAAAAAAAGATCGGTGAAAGCAGGTTCCGGCGAAGCAAGAATCGGATGTGTGTGCTCGGCTGAAAAAAAAGAAAAAAAAGAAAAAAGATTATATCGAGCACAACCCAAGTTTTTATGTTCACCCTCTTCCGCTGTGCAGGAATCGGGGGCTCCAGCGATCTTTCGTTTTATGCCTGACCACCACCCCTTCCACGACCGCCTCGAACACCACCGCCGCCACGACCACCGCGTTCGTTATAGCCGCCCCGTCCAGACTTGTTATAATCTCCACGTCCACCACCACGTCCACCGCCGCGACCGCCACGATCGCCGCCTCCCTGATGAGAGTGATGACCGCCACGCTGATTGTCTCCGCCATTGTTCCCTGCGCCGCCTCCGCGACTGCTGTTGCGTGTGCTGGCAAGTCTCTGTTTGTTGGCCTCTTCCTTGACCATGTCGATAATCTCATCAGGTACGCGGAGGTATTTGATCTGGGTTTTGTGAAGGACGCGTTCAAAGTAAGTTTTATGATGTTACAGAAAGATCAACGGACGCGATGCATTCGATATGCGTTAAATATTGCTTACAGTGTTTCCTCTGATGTAACATTCCGTCAAGCGCCAGAAGCGATCGCCATCCTGAAGTAGAAAACAAGATAACAAAAGTTGAGCCAGGGATCAGAGTTCAGCAACCTCCTGCATGCTGTATAGTATAATATGGGATGACGTGTTCCCCGATATTAACGTCGCTTCAATGTTGCTTCAATGCTGCTTTAAAAGTCAAAGGCGATCGTAATGATCCTGATGCGGTAACATGCTGATGGTGCATTCCCTTCCAGGATTTTTTCTTCTGCTTCGAGCTATGGCATCCGATCTGCTTCGATCCATTCCCTCCTATTGATATGCCCTGAAGCTATTGTACGACAGGCAATTGGGTAGATCATGTTCAAGGTCGCCCTGTTGATTCTGTTCCTGTACCGATGTCCTGCAAAGTGCTCGATTGGTCGCTATCGTCCTTACCGAAGACGTCTGAATAACCTCCCTTAGAGTAAGGTTCATCCAGTTGTCGCAGTTCACCAAATGGCCGTTGAAGGTCTCGCCATTCTTCAGCTCCACCAACTAGATACGAAAGAATCCAGAGGTTGACAAAAACATGGAAGAAAAAAAGAGGGAAGAAGCAGATCGTTAGCGCGTGCGATCGGCATGCTGTTGAACAGAGTATGACACCGCACAAACGAGTTCCTGGTCTTTACTATTGGGTGAGTCTGGGACGTGTTCAGCAGGGATAAAGGCAACTAAGAGAGTGGAAACGGAAGCCGGAACATTGGTTGGTTAGATGGCATGGTCGAAAGATGAGTACAGTAGAGCCGACGATTGGGTTGGTCGTTGGTTCTTGGTGCTTGTTGAATGCGATTACGAAGGTCAAGCGTCTCTTAGGTTGTTGGGTATCCAGTGTGTTACTGGTTGTTTGTCCTTGCGCGCGCCTTTACCATGGTGTTGGTCTATATCTGGGATGTGAAGAACGGGTTTATGAATGGAGGAGAAAGAGTAGCAGCCCACTCTTTCATCAATAGAGTACAGAACAATTCAGGCTCAAATACGTCACAGAACGCATCCTTGCAAGAAAGTACTGCATCTGAACTGTTTAGAGTGTGCTTGTTGACACACATATGTCTCTACATAGTCTATAGGCGTTTGGCGCCAGGGGTTTCCATCCCTTCCAAGGGTGAGGCTGCTCGCTTGCGCCCTCCAGCTCGTCATTGCCCTTGCCCATGCCCCTCTGTGCTGCTGCTGCTGCTGCCACTGCTACTGCCCCCGGCATCTGTGTGCGGTCTTGCACTTTGCATCCAAGGGTAGTGCCCGTCCTTATATACTGACTGGAGATAGAGCGGTCGCTGTTGATGGATTAAATGGTTGTGAACGACGTTGCGAATGTTACGCCCTGCCATAGCATTGCGGTGCATGAAAGTGCGGCAAGTTGAGCAGTATAGCCCGCGGACCTCGACCTGTAGACCGACGACGCAGAGGACAATTGGAACCAGCGTGCTCTTCACCCACCACTACGGGTTGGGTAAAACGTCGCAGTAGTGGAGGTAGATGGTGGGCCCTAGGACTTCGACAGGCAAGAGGTCAAAGCGATGAGGGACAAACTGAAGGCATGGGCGCTCAGGAACGAAATGACCGTAGTAATGAACCTGCACCGGCACTGAAGAAAAAAAAGAATATATTTATTTACAGTGGCCTGATATTTCTCACCTTGAGCTCCTGAATTCTGTGCTTTAATCTCGTCGCGCTCCTTCAAGAACTCGTCCCTCTCGCACTTGAATTCAGCTCTCTCTTTCCTTATCTCCGCCCTCTCATCAGCCATCTCCTTCCTGAAATCCGCCCTCTCTGCTGCAAGTTCCTTCCTGAGAAGTTCTCTGGACTCCTCGGCAACCCGTAACAGCTTCTCTGTCAATTCACGCTCCCGCTGCTCGACTACTCGCTCCCGGTGCCTCAGTTCAGTCCTCATCCCGTCATACGCCTACTTTTGTTGATCTGAGAATCGTTCCATCCTGTCCATAGTAGAAGAGACCTCGGAACGACTCAAAGGGGTGTTGCCTTTTCGGCGCTTGTTGGCCGGACCTATGCTGTGTCGATCTGTCTCCGTGTCTAGAGTACAAACATCAAAGCAGCGGATCAGAGAGCTGTCTGTAGTAGATTCAAATTGGCTGCAAAAAAAAAAAATCGATTACATACATGAAAGGAGATCAGAGATATCGTCAGGGAGCTCAACGTCGCTGCTCTCTTCATCCGTGTCTTCAGGGGAGATTGATTCGTGTCCCAGGCTGCTTGTCTGCCGAGGAGGAGGAGGGTTTGCCGCAAGACTACCGCCATAGACTTCATGAAGTCTTAGGAATAATGGGCAAATCTCTAATTGCTTCAGGACGACATTTCCTGCACCGGTCGATTTCAACTTAACCGCCTCGCGATACTTAGTCCTCGTATAGGCAATCTTTGACTTCACTTGGGCCTCCGTCCACTTGAGGCTGTTTTTTGTTGACCAAGGCCGCAATCTCCTTGTGTATGTCTTTGCTTTTCTGTCCTGCAATTGGGTTCTTCTTGTAGAGCCGCTGGTGGTTGTGTGGATCGGTGATCCAGTCGAAAAACGTATCCATGCTCCTGTGTCCAGAACGCTGATGGCCTTGCTGCTGAGGAAGTCAATTCTGCTATGTCAGACTGAGGAGCAGGCGAAGGCGCTGGGGTTTGGCTGGGTTCGGCTGTCGCAAGAGGGGCCAAAAGAGCAGGTTGTCGTGGCTGGTTGCTGTGCTGACGCCTTGCCATTGTCGATGGAGAATGGTCCGGGATAGCAGACCGGGCACTGCTTGGGTAGGCAAACTGGTGCGTTGGGGAAGCCACAGGGTAAGATAGGGAGAAGGTGGAGGGGAGGGAAGAGTGTCGCCTTGCGGAGCTCCTTGGGACGGCGTTCAAAAGACAAGAGGAAACCGGAGTTGTCGTGGTGCTGTTGCGAGTGGAGATGAAAAACAAACGGGTGGTGGTGTTGCAGGACGGGCCGTATGGTGAAGGGATGGCGTTGCTGTGAACTAGACTGAAGAGCGAGAGGAGAGTGCTGCTGCTGCTGTAAAGAATGAGGCGCAAGCAACAGATGTTGATTGACCATGGACTGGGGGTTGTGATAGTTGTTGTTGGACATTATAGGACCGGAGGATAAGAGCGAGAAGAATTATTCCGTGAGCCTCGACCATCAAGCATCCAATGGACTCTGTGCTCCGCATCATTAGCCCTTCTCGCGTCCCACTTATGCTCCTTGAAGCGGTTGTTGCCCATCAGGTCGTCCCTCTACTTTCTCCAGCTCCGTAACATAGCTCGAAAAGCTTGCTCCCTCACCACGCAGTGATGGTAGCTTGGCCTCAATGTTGATGATGGATTCTATTCCGTCGCCTGATACAATGCTTTTTGATCCTCCATTCATCTTCTATGCTCGAACACAGCCTTCTGCTTCACTGCGAGGTTGTAATAGGTGGGAGGAGTGGGAATAGGGGTTGTAACCTCAGAGGAGACGCTCATGTCGACATCATCATCCTTTCTTCCAGGCCCCGTTGTCGTACTGCCGGAATCATCGTTCTTTGATAGCAACGCGCTGGTTCCGACTACACAGGCTTGGCCGAGATCGAGACCCAGAACTTTGATTCGATCTGGCGCGCATCCCCAAAGGTTGGTGACATCCTGCTGGGTCTTCACTATGTTTCGGACCTCGGTCAAGTAATACTCCACTTCCTCGGCTGTGGATATAATTCGAAGGGGCAAGACATTCTGCAGGAGTCGCCTGTACCTGACTGAATGCAGTTCCTTCAACTTGAAAGCCGACAGATGAAGGCGGAAACTGTTTGTCCGAATGGAGCCTCGATGAACATAGCCACGTCCTTCGTAAGTCATAGGATCGAAGTTAGCCTGCCGAATGGATTGATCATGTTCTTGCATCATGCTCAGGTCCATCACAGACGCCGAATTCTTGTAATCTTTCGGCTCTTTGCGTGGCTCACGACTGCCGATGTTCGAAAGCATCTCTGTGATGAGGAGCCAGGAGATATCTGCCCAAGCTAATATATTAGGTCCTGCTGAGAAGGAATGATGTCCTTGTTCTCGTAGTCCACCAGTAGTAGCTCCTGGAGCTTTTTCTTCAGTGCAGCATTTTTTTCAAAACAAGATACCGAGCTCACGCTCAGAGAACGGCATGGAGGGCTGCTCTGTGCTCGTTAGTGGGGCCCTCTGACGATAACTGTTGAGACCAATAGAAGGCCGAGCCCAAGTATTTTCTGATGTCGATGAACTGGTGTTTCCGCACGCGAAGCTTTTACCCACGCAAACCTCAAGCTCACGCAGACATTTGTCGGCGCGTTTAACAGCTTTCTTGCGAAGGTTCTCTCGGTGGGCTTGAATGGGGTCTTTTTCGACCGAAGGAAGTCCGTCCAGGCGAAGAACCAAGTTCGTCTGGGTCCCAAGCTTCAGTATCTCTCGCTTGACAATGCGGTGAGCATCGTCCATAGGGTGCGAGGAATAAGCGTAGCGAACGATGACATAAAAAGACCCAAGGATATCGACTCGAATCGCCGAATTGTGATCAATGGAATTGGGGAGGTTGGATAAGTGGGAGGACTGATAGCGAAGAACAGTTTTATACCCGTTCTTCCTTAGAAAGGGCCACAGGCCCTCAATATCCATGATACAGTAATCTACGCGAACGAGGAATGACAGTGAGGGAAGAATGAGGGTATGGAAGGGATTGACCCTGGAAAGTGTGAGATAATAAAAAAACTATTTATGAAGAGCTTTGTTGAAGGAAGAAAAAAGTTTACAATGGACGACTTGTACTTGGATACGTTCGCTATCCCCATACAAGCATTGGCGATGGCGTGGTATATGTCACCGAACGCGTTTGTGAAACCCCTTCTACCTTTTTTTCCCTTTCGCGACTCGGCTATGGCGCACGCAAGTTGGATCACTTCTTCTCCCCACCATGTTTGAGAATAGGTCTTAACTCTTCGATACCCTTTTTAATACGCTCCCTAACCATTTACCCCCGCCCCTCACAACTCAGACCTCTCCCAGTTCGTTTTTATTTATTTATTTTTTTCAAACATGCCTATAACATGAAAGGCAGTGCCAAAGGCTGGGCTATCCAACCTCTCGGTAAATTTATCGGTACTTGCATGTACATGTATCTCGCCATCGGAGGAGTCGACGCCATCAGCTATAGTGCATCGTAAGTCCCCATGGTCTATCTCACCAGACAATTCAATTGCCAGCAGGATTTGTCTCATCCCTAATTGCAATACTAACAGCAGTGTTTGCTTGTCCTCTATCCGATCTAATCACCAATCTGTAATCGTCCACTTGCACAGCAGTAGTTTAGGCCAGGCATTTGCCTTTGGAATTGCCCTTACGGTCACTGCCTGGGCATCCTTCCGCATCTTGGGCGCGATGTTCAACCCGGCGATTGCGCTCTCCAGCCTGATCACAGGCCATATCTCTGTCCCTAAATTCGTCCTGTACTTTATCTCACAGCTCTTGGGAGCCATGTTGGGCGCCGCTCTTGCCCGTGGGACGACTCCCTCCAGTGAACGAATCCTCCAAGTCAACGTCCTCGCAAGTGTATCTCTGCCTCGCACTTGATATGATATCGCGTCTCATTCCAATTACTCAAAGTGATCTGCCAAAAAAAAAAAAAAAAAAAAAAGGCTAACGTCAGAAAACTAACATCAAAAATTTGCTGTGCAGGGCAATAACGAGAGCATCGCCCGCGGTTTCTTCCTCGAGTTCTTCTTGACGGCAATCGTTTGCGTTGTCTACCACATGATCGCCCATGAGAAGAACCGTTCGACCTTCATGATGGCCCTTCCCTACGGTCTCTCAATCTTTTCGGCTTATCTCTTTGCGACCCGCTACACGAATGCGGCCCTCAACCCTGTTCATGCATTCGCTACCTCACTCTCAGCTCGCTGGTTCCCGCGCCAGCACTGGATCTTCTGGTTCGGGTGAGTATCTAAAAAAAATCATCCTATTGTTCGGAGACGGTTACCATAAAAACGCTTTGCTAATGAAAAATCTGTTCAAATCCTCCACCCCACAACATGTAGACCTCTCTGTGGCGCCATCCTGGGTGCTGCTCTCCATATTCTCCTCCGCTACATGGACTATGACGATTACGCCTACGGTATTGATGCCGAGAACGAGCCCCAGTGCTTGCGTGCCGAGGCTGCCTATAAGGGTGAGGCTCCTAATACAGCCACCACGGCTGGTCACCACAACTACAATGACTGCCATGTCCCGGCTGGTCGCGCCACGATGAGTAGCAACACTGCCCTTGGCTACTAAAAAAAATTGGATAATAGGCGCTTAATAATTCTTTAATAAAGTGCCCTCGATAGTAGGCCTATTTTGAAATGCGAATTTTATACCTTTGGCGATTATGATGACTCTATCCGCAATCCATGACCAAAAGAACGAACATCCCACCAACGAAGGCGCCCGGCCACAAAAAAAAAACTATGCAAAACACGCATTGCATGACAAAGTCAAGTTCATCAAGAACTTGAGGACGAGGCCAAGCACAACCCATATGCCTTCAGCTCCCCCATATTCAAAAAGTTAAACATCAATTCTTCCGCCGCCAAAAATATACTCAAGACTAGAAGAAGGTCTTCTTGCATTTCAGGATATATGAGAGCGACTTCTATCCGAGAGGGACAACAATCGAATTGCTCGATGAGGAAGAGGAGGAGGATGGACAGGACGCCATTGATAATTCGGACGAAGGTTACATTGATCCGACACCGCGTTATCAGGACTAGACGATGCAGATGAACGAAAAAGTTGTCCATAGCCGCATTAGCAGCTCAAGCGTCCCCAGAAAGCACAGGGCCTTCAGAGAATTTGAAGGGCATACTGCGAGACTTTACCGAAGCTACTCTTGTCCAAATACGATTTGCTGACCTACTGCCGAAGGCGCACTGTGGACACATAGCCATGAACTATGAATCCTCCCAGATTCAGTCCTGCCTGGCGAAGGAGAATGACTTTTTGCACACAGGGGCGTACAAATATGGCCGCCGAGCTCCAGTTGTCTTAGACTCTTTGTGCTTCTTCCTATTGTTTACCAGGTACGCAGGGGCACAGCCATTTCTTGTCAGGCGGCTAGTCCTGTTTGAGGGATGCGTTCATAACCCGCAAATTGTTTGATCGCATCTTCTTTTCTCCTCCTCGCACTCCGCATTCTATTTCCCCTCCTCACATCTACTGCCGAAATGAGAAAAGTGTCAAGGCTGATTTACAGGAGACGGGACTTTTTTGTAAGAAAGGCAGGCCTCACCTGGCATCTTGCGTCTGTGTGTTTACTCCTGGTATGGGACCCAAACAAGAGCGATTGTGTCGCTAAAGGGTTGTAAGATGAATAACCAAGGTGTGTGTGGAGCTCGATTAGCCGTACCTTTTTCATGGGTTTGTGTGCGCGACCAGACTTCCTCCTTGATGATAGAATCTTTTAAATCGTATATGAAGCTGGTCTCCGATTTTCATCTTGTCGCCGACAACTGTTCCTTTTTATCTGTAGACGATTCCCTTCTCCCCAAAGCACCTTCTTTTTCTGACTCTATTTTTTTTTTTTTTTAATATCGTGTATCTTCTGCACTTGGACAGAACAATAATGACTTTTGTAGCTTTCGCCGTTTCCTGGTTCTTGTGTCTGGGTATGCTCCTTTTGAGCATCCTGCTTCTGGGGTCTACAGAGGCCCATATTGCACTGCTCTACCCACCGCCCCGCGGTGGATTCGGTACCAAGGGGGTTGACTGGCGAGTACATGAGTTTGTCGGGTACCATGGATACAAGTTCCCGTGCGGAGGGTTCCCTAAGGGACTCAACTCAAGTAAATCCAAACGTCCTTGCTTGTCTATTTTTTTTTAATGATGCGCTTTGCCAATCCCTATTCGCTCACTCACAGAACTTTCTCATCCTGTACATCCTTTTCAGTTCTTAAGGCTGGCCAGATCGTTCCTGTTCGGTTCTGGACGTCAGAATTCAAGGATGTAAAGCGCCTGCCAAAGAAATCGATAGGCCAGGCGCGTCATGGCGGTGGGATGTGCGAGTTCTCGTTGTCATACGATGGGGGTAAGAGCTTTCATGTGCTCGCGACCTATACGAGGACGTGCCCGGATGTTGCTTACGAATGGCCGGTCAGGAACCCGGATAATGTGCCTCCTTGCAGTAATCTAGGTAGGAAAAAGAAAGAAAAAAAAAGAAGCAGCAAGGAGCATGATTTGCAGTGAGAGTAAGGAACATTGACGCGTCTATATTTATGATAATACGTGTGTGTATGTGTGCGTATTTAGGCAAGTGCTTGCTTTCATGGAGCTGGATGGCCGCCTTGATTCCTCAGTTTTATCACAAGTAAGTAATCTGATTCCTCGGTTTCTCCGCTGAATCATGTATAGGATCGACAGCAGACGCTAATCTCCCCATTACCTTCTTCTCTCCCTCTCTCTTTTAGTTGTGCAGATGTGACAGTGCAGGGTGTCAAGAATGGCCGACTACCGAGTAAGACTATCCAGCTGTATAATTTCAAGGGCCATAAACAGGGCGTCCGTATGTCTGGAGATGGTCATTCGAGGAGCGTTGGTCCTGGACCGATCAAGTGAGGCCGAAGAAGCGACGCAGAGGAAGAGTCTTTAAGTAGGGTGGAGGGTATACGTCATTAGGTTGTGCTGCAAGATACCTACCCATGTCGGTATTCCACATCATACACGGTACACGTCCACCCATATCTTCTCTGCAGAATAAAGACTAGAATAAAGACCAGAATAAAGACCAGAATAAAGACGCGAACACGACGGATGCGAAAGGACGCGCTATTGATCAAAGTATCTCGCGAGCAATTGAGTTTGTGCGGAGCTATTGATCGAGTCCGATCACGCGCCTAAAAGAGACAGCGCGTGCGAAAGTTCGTTCATTTATTCATTCATCCCATTCATCCCATTCCTTCCTCATCGTCCAACCAACTGGAAGAATAAATGATGCAACGCACAAGACTCATCGGACTCCTCTCAAGGACAGCAGCCAGACAGCCGATCCAGCAGTGGGCTCAGCCTATCTCGATCCGCACCTTCACTTCTGCCCCCAAGACCGACAGCCAGGCACCACGCTCCGTCTCAGTTACGAAGGACAAGAACTCGCCCGAAGTGGCGATTTTCACCCTGCACCAGAGTGCGTTCAGCCATGAAACCGCGAAGCTTATGCTTACAGTACGTACAGTGTGGTATAGAAGGGGGGAGAAAAAAAAAAAAAGGCGCAATCAGAATAATAGTGCTGTTGTGCAATCGTCTTAGTTGTTACCAACATTGTCCTCCTGGTCGATTCGTGGCGAAACTGACATGCTGTTTATTTCATGGATGTGCCTATATCTTCCGTATCTTTTTTTTTTTTTTTTTTTTTTTTTTTTCGATCATTGGACTATATTTCCTCAGGAGTGGAAGGCCATGGAGCAGGACCCATCGATCCGCGCGGTCATGTTGAAGAGTGATCTCAAGTCCATCTTCTGCGCCGGCATTGATTTCAAAGAGTTCCTAAAGGGCCCTGAAAGGTTTCGTTACTCTTCCAATGCTGCGTTTGATGTTTCTCCAAAACAAGAAAATAGCATTTCAGCCTGACATAGAGGCAATCCATTTTTCTTATATATACACATTTGACACAGCTTTGCGGAGTACTGGAGATCGATCCGCCATATCTTTGATACGATCTACAGCTCGCGCCTCAACACTGCTGCCTCAATGCACGGACACAGTCTCGGCCTAGGATGCGTGCTCGGTATGGCCTGCCAGGACCGTTTCATGATGGGCGCGGTCCCCAAACCCGGGACGATCGGTCTGAACGAGGTCGACGTCGGTGTTCCGGTCCCACACTGGCTGGTCGAGCTCTTTGCAATGATCACATCCCGTCGCCATGCAGAGCGGTTTTTGCCGCTTGGCAAGATCCTATCTGTGAGAGAAGCGCACGCGATCGGGTTGGTCGATAAGGTGGATTTCTCGAGTCAGGAGGAAATGGATGAGTTTGTGGTGCGGTACTTGGCAGGACGATCGACGGCCCCACCAGTGGCCCAGGCTGAGACCATGCGGGTGATCCGGTTGAATTTCTTGAAGTTTTTCAGAGACTCGGAGGAGGAGGATGTGCAGACGATCACGAAGTATGTGCAGCAGGAGGAGGCGCAGACAATCTTGAAGGGGCAGCTGGCGAAGTTAGCGGCCAAGGCCAAGAAGCAATAAATGAGAGGTGCTTGTTGAAAAAACCTTTTTTTTCGATTGCACATGGTTTTACAATCCTACCCACACCCGGGAAAATTTGTTTTGTTTTGTGGTCGATCACGATCTCCACAACGAGAGTGTGTGTTGTTCTTGGTCCAATGAGTCCAACAAGGGGGGCTCGATCGATGGATGGGCGAAAAGATAAAGTGAGCCGCGTTCAGGGCAATTAGCAGAAGAAAAAAACGGCCTCAATGAGTCACAAACGAATACGATTCGAAAGTACACATGCTAAGAAAAATGAACTCTTCAAGGTTGCGATCCTGAATCAAAGATGAACACAAAAAGGAGGGTCGAGATTGGCGATCCAACCGGAGAATTTATTTTACAGAACATAATGCAAGAGAGAATCTATCCACGTTGCAAGTGTGGATTTTGAAGGAGAGAAAGATCTATTCGTAAAGGGAGTAGAGTAATTGAAAGGGTACTATGTTACAACTTGGCGCCTCCCAGCTCCTTGGCAAGAGTGCGGCTCCTGGCATCTGCGGCAGTGACGCCCTTTTGGATCAGCTCACGGAATCCACCCGCCTCAAAGGCCTTGATCGCCGCATCCGTGGTTCCCTGGGGCGATGTGACCTTGACCCGCAAGGTCTTGAGATCGTCCTCGCTCAACTGGGCCATCTTGGCTGCCCCGAGACAGGTCTGGATGGTCAATGCCTTGGCGGTCTCGCGATCCATTCCCAGGGCCACACCGGCGTCCTCCATGGCCTCCATCATCAGGAAGAAATACGCAGGTCCCGATCCTGAGATTCCTGTGACGGTGTCGATCAAGGACTCAGAGTCGACCCAGCAAACCTGCTTTGATACGGCGGCCATGAGCGATTCGGCCACACGACGATGTTCTTCAGTCGCATCGGCAGTCGCGTACAATCCTGCGGCGCCTTCGAGGACGAGCGCGGGGGTATTAGGCATGACTCTAATGACGGGGGGCAGTTTTTTGGTGGCGGTTGTTGCGGTCGTGGTCTGGGCGTCGTCCGAAGAGAGGAGATCCTCGGCCATGAAGCGTGTGATCGCACTGGTTTCGATACCTGCTGCAATAGAGATGACCAGGGGCTGACTGGCACGGAGGAGAGGGGCGAGATCGACGACGACAGATCGCAGGACCTGGGGTTTGACAGCGAGGATGACGACCTCGGCAGGGGCAAAGTCGGTCGAGGCTGCCGTGGGGTTGACCTGGATGGAACCGTCCTGGATGAGATCCGAGGTTGAGGTCGAGGCACTGGAGCCGCTGATGGCGAGCTGGTTAGAGCGTGGGCCGGAGAGGGTCTGGAGACCGGGGTATTTGGATTGGAGGAACTCGCAGCGGGCTTGGATGGGTTCTGAAACGACGCACTGGGAGAGGGGATATCCGCAGGCGAGGAGGCCGCCGAGGATGGCCTCGGCCATGTTGCCCCCTCCGATGAAGGCGAGTCGTGCTTGGTGCTGCTGCTGCTGGGTCATACTTGCTATAGCTGCTTGCTGGTGTTTCCTGGAGGAGATCAATTGACGATGGTAGTGGAGGATCGAAGTCGAAGTCGTCGCTGGTCGAAGTCTGAAGTTGAAATTAGATAGGAGATGAAGGAGAGAGAAAAGAGATAAAACAAAGAGGGTAGGGAGGCAGGTGTCTTTTTATACCCGATGCCGATCTGGATTGCTTCCTATTGCTGTATCAGACGTAGGGTTCATCTCCTAAGGTAAAGCGCCAGTCTGTCTGTCATCTTTTGCCGCTGCTGCTGTTATCGCTACTGCTGCTGTCGCTACTGCTACTGCTACTGCTACTACCACTACTATTGCTGGTACTATTGCTGGTACTATTTTTGGCACTATTGCTACTGTTGCTGCTGCTGTGTATGTGTATGGGGCCTGAACATGGACGCATGTAGGAGCGCTGACTCGAACTGGATCTTATCTGGAGTCAATCCTAAAAGTCGCAGAAACTGCGGGAGGAGGCGTACATGGGTTTTGAGCGAGTCATTTTGCCCGTCCTCGCTCACGTGCGCGGCGCCATTGATGGAAGGGAGTGAACCACGTGGCAACCCTGTCCTCCTCCTCTCCTCTCCTCTCTTTCTTCCCTCTTGCTCTTTCCCTTGAAGTCCACTCCTCCCGCCTCAATCCACCCGCAATGCTCATCCCATCCATCCACTGAACCACCCTGCCACCCCACTCTCCCTCGACAGGACGCAGAGAGCAGCCAGGAGAGCCCCAGGAGCCAGACTTTGAAGGAACCTCATCTTTCTTCTCTTTTATCTTCTCTTCGTTCTTCTTTTCGTCTCTCCTTTCTTCTTCTCGTCTCTCCTTTCTTTTCTCACGACATATTCCTTCCGTCGTACAACACATATTCTCTTTTCGCCTCCTTCTCTTTTCTCCTCGCTCTATTTGGTCCTTCTCATTCATCCCATCGCCGTCTTGATCCCACTCAAATGTCGCCCCATGTGCCCACCGTCCTCCACAGTCCAACCACCAGCTCCGGCCTCGGCTGTGTTGACCACTTTCAACTCAAGCTCCATGCCAACTCTCCACATCCCTCCACAATGGCTACGCCTAGCATAGTTGACAAGAAGCGTGGACGTCCCCTAGAAGAGTTCTCGCACGCCCGCAAGAAGATCGCCAGCGAGCTCATGGCATTCGAGTAAGCTCACACTATCTCACTGCTCTGTTCCCTTCGACTTAAAGTTTTGGTGGCAAACAGTCTGACAGACGCTTACATGATGGTGCGTTTCTAACCTTGCTGTGTCGGCGTTTCGTTTTCATGTTTTCGTTTAGGTTCCAGTCCCTCTCTCTAAGCAATGGCGACGGATCTGTCATCCAGGATGGCTCGCCTAGTTCCGGATCGCAGCTGCGTCGGCATCCTCCAGTTCAACAGCAAAGCGCTCAGCAGCAACATCAGCATCAATTGGATCAGAATGAAGCACAGTTTGCCACAGTTCCCCCGCAGGACATACAGCAGCACGATCGGGTACAAACAAAGGCGCTACAAAATCCGGATATGCATAACGAGAGATTGCAACAGCAGCAGCGTGGTCGCGCCAAGAGTAGTCCAATAGCACCCGCTCGTACTATATTGGATCATGCGGTTGAGATCTTGCCAGAGCAGAGAACCGACCAGAGTCCTGATGCACCAAGTTCGTCATCGATGCTCTCCGCGCCATGTCAGGACTACAATCGGTTATCCCTTTTGCATACTCACCGGAATCATACTGATCAGGCCGCCCAACCATCCATACCCTCATCGATCTCTCCTTTCTTACTCCTGTCGCCACCAATTTCTTCGCCGTCTATGACTTCTACCATAATGGACGTTTCAATGAACATGGATGAAGGGGTTCTTGATTCATCTAAAGCATCCATACAGGATGTAAACTTGGACGGAAACAACAGCTCTGCTGTATTGTCGCCGTCATCATCTTCATCAGGAACGACAGTGTCTAGCGTCAAAGTTCTGAGTCTACGGCAGCGGAAATGGAACAGCGTTAGGAAAGAGTGGCAAGATTGGCAGGAGGTACAAGCAACCCACACTCCCGATCTGCCTGTACCAGCTGTAGAATACGAATACGACACACAGATGCAAGCGAACAGCAGCAGTGACAGCCCTGGATTCAACGGTGCGGTCATGTGCAACCAATCTGAAAGAGTAGTTATCGAGATGAAAGTACATTAAGCTAATCGTCCAATCGAAATCTTCAATTTATACACATCATCAGGCCCTGGATCTGGGCCTAACGTGGAGCAGGGAGCGTCGGAAGCATGGACTGCTCGTCATGGCAAGGCAATCTTACACGAGAGCGCCTCGCCTGTGAGCCACCCTCATTCCGGAGGACTTGGCCGTCAACATTCGTTTCATGAGCCAGTAGAGAGGTCTAGGATCGAGTATAATGGAGATCAGCAATCGAATACGGAGCAGCGAGGCGCAGTTGGAGCAAGGGCGCGTTCTTTTAGCGAGACAAACATTTATCCACATATCCAGAGCCAACACCAAAGCCAGCAGCAACATCAGGACCCATATTCAACAATGGATGTGTACCAGATGCCGGTGCCTCAGAGGATCAATCATTCCCTGGCGCAAGTAGAGACTCATCATCAACAGCAACAGCAACCATCACACCGCAGTCATTCTTCGCAGCAGGCGCAGCGACATTATGGACATCCCGCGCGCCATCACAGCGACCATATCTATCCTCAACACGGAGATCATTGGGAAAGAAACGATGATGGCGAGACAGAACATGCCAGATATAATTTACAGCCACTGGCGCAGCCCTCGAGAAATCGGCATAATTCGTTGAACTCCGGAGCTACAAGTCATCAGCATTCATGGATGGCCTTGTCGATGACATCGCTGGATGGTACTGTGAACGTTCCAAGTGATAGGTTCTCAAGATTCGCTCCTAGTTCTTCTTCTGGTTCCTCCTCCTCAGGATCGACGTCGTCTGCGACTCGTCTGGAAGAATTGCACAGTTGGAACCAGCAGCTGCTGAAATCCCAAAATGGATACCGCGAGAGCAACGGAGTCCAGAGACATGGTTATGGCCGAGCTAGTCCCGTTCAGCACTATGGAGGGCAGCATCAGCACCACCAATATCAACATCATCATGGGAGCGTGGAGGACGTATCGATGGGCGAAGAGGCGACGCGACCAATGCCCTCGAGATCTTCGTCCCCTGTGCCATGTCTTTCTATGGCGCCGACCATCACTCGGCCTTTGAGCATTTCTTTTTCGCACCTTGCTGGGTCTAATATGCTCGGAAACCTTTCTGAGCACGAGCATGACGACGACATGGAGCTCTGAAGCGTTGGATTCGTGTTTATATCATCTTTGTTCTTTTTGTTGCATTTTCGTTCCGCCATAGAGCGCCAATTTTGTATTATAGCCTGTTGCCCCCCCTTTTTTTTTTTTTTGTATGTACATATTCAATATGAACTGTTTATTTGTGCTAAATAAGAGATATGAGGGTAGATATAAAAAGAGGATTGGAAAGGGTGTTTCAAAGGGTCCCATTGACAACCGCTGCGCTCACATACGCATCGGAGCGGATGCCTCTACCCCACCTCTTCTTCTTCCACTGGCGCCCCTCAAACTCTGCAGCCTTGCCAACAAACGCACCGGCTCTTGAACAGGGCTCGAGACTCTGACTTAGCAGATCATTTTCGGTCGGGTTCGGAGGTCTCTGATCTCCAAAAGAACAATCTCCAACGCGATTCGAGCTCCAGTACTTGCAGACATCCGTTCCCGGGTTCGAGGCATCCCCACCCTGCCAGAGGCGTTTATCGCCTAATGATCCGGGGGATATCAAATCCATCCCGCCCTCGACGACATAATCCGTACAGGTATAATATTCCCCAAAGCCGGCTTCTGGTTGTCCATAGTACACACCGCCACCGTACCAGATCCATTGGAGAGTCACCTTTCCGTCTGGGAGGTCTTGTGGGATGGTGAAGGTGGTTGAGCAGATGCCATCGCCGAGGCCGTTCATGGGGCCGAAGTAAGAATCTGAAGGATTGTCAGGCCCGCAGTTAGATTCGTAGCAGGAGAATTTGGAGGTGAGGGCAGAATTAAAAGCGGACCAGGAATCGGAGTCATCAAAGGGGACCATGGCGAGGCGGACGAAACCACCGGGGTGGTTGAAGCGGCGCCATTGGACGGTTAAGGTATCACCGCGGCGAAGGGTTTGGATCGAGTAGGTAGGGTCGTTGAGGATCGGGGCTTGCGAGCGAGGAGAGTCGCAGGGGCCGTGACAACCGGCGCCGGATGCTAGAGAGCGGTGGTTTGCATGAGGATGTGAGAAAAGGGAGGTTTGCTCTTTTGACGGGCCTAGACGTGTAGGCAGGGCATTGGAATGGTAAGAAAATTTTACATGTCGAGTTCTTTGCTTACCACAGGTACCCCACCATTCGATGTTGCCTCGTCCGCGGGGCACGGTCATCATGGAGTGGGCATATGCTTGGCTGGCCAGGAGGATGCAGCTGAAAAATGAAAGTATATTGCGCCGCATGACATGCAAAAAAAAAAAAAAAAAAAAGAAGAAGGATGTGTGAAGACGCGTGGAAAAGACCCCAAAAAAAAGAAAAAGAAAAGTACGCGACTGTGCTCTGGGACGCGTCAGCCAATGAAAAGGACGAAAAGTGAGTTAAACAAAAGCCAGGGCAATAAAACGGAAGGGGAGGTTCTGGTCCTTGAGGCAGTTCCAGGAGCGTGAACTACCCTCTGCTTTTTATATAGCACGATCCCGTTCGCTGCTGCGATGCTGGCAAATGGAGCACACATACACATCTCTAAATCCCACTGAAAGAAGATGTGGTTATTTCTTCAGCATAGTTGATAATAGGATGGAGTCAACTTTGGTCGTGTCGAATTCTTATCCCAGCCGGTGACCCTGAGTTCTGGAATGACTTGTTCTTTTATTATTATTTTTTTTGTATGACAGTCTAGAATTCTAGAACCGATTCTCAGGGTCGGAGAGGGGACCCGTTTTTCCTTTGCTTTCATTCGAGAGCGACGATCCAAAGAATTATCAGTCGAAATCGTGAGGTCTGGTTATCTGAGTCTTCCTATGCCAGGTTTCTTTTATGTACCGTACTATATTTCTGTTGGTGTCAATACGGACGGACAGAGTTGTTTACCCCCCGCACCAATTCAATACATGACCTTTGCTTTCGACGCGTCATGACGGCGACTAGTGCCATTGCTCACCCTTGGTGTCCCTTGCTTCTGTTTCTTCGATGTATCTATTTGGCCCGGGTCTCTCTTTCGGTTTCTGTGTTTGATTACCATTGAATCAAGGCCGTTTCACAGAGATTCTTCCATGCTGTCTTCATATCCAAGCGCAACAGCTGATGAATAATAGTGCCATTGCACAGGATCACGCAAGTGCACGGCAAAAGACAACAGGCAGGAAAGGCGATAAGGGTGGGACGGAGGCGCTTGATGGGGTGAGGGGATCCCATGAAAAAAAGACGTGCTCCGTCCAATGGTCGTGATAGGGTGGACGTATTTTCTGGGTCAAAGGACGAAGGGGATGGGGGGAAGGGCAACGTACGCAGGGTACCCGCACCGAAGTATAAAAAGAAAGAAGGGACACGCAGCAGCCTGTCTTTTCTTCACAACTCATTCTCTCTTCCTCATCCTCTTCCTCATCAACCCACCTCTCTCACTCTCCATCCCTAGCTGAATCAATAAACATGGGCGTCGAAATCGAGCGTATCACCCCCGGCGACGGCGTCAACTTCCCCAAGGTTGGCGACAGCGTTACCATGCACTGTAAGTTCCCACCCGGACCTTGGCTGTTTGGAATGCGTGGCATGATACGTATGCACTGTACACCTCCTGATGCTGACAACGATGTTTTCTTCTTTATCTCAATCGTATCTTCTCCCTCGGACCAGACGTCGGAACTGTAGGTTCATTAATTCAATGCGATGCGGTTGAACGTCATACCTCAATTGCCGAAAAAAAACATTGGCAGGAAAGGTCTCGTTCTTATCTATTTCACACGCTGACGCGCCGTTTCTCTTCATTCACGTACGTCCAACCAATAATAGTTGACCGATGGATCCAAGTTCGACTCCTCGCGCGACCGTAACGATCCCTTCAGGACTCGGATCGGTGTCGGCCAGGTCATCAAGGGCTGGGACGAGGGTAAGGAAGGATTACCACAGCAAGAGATGTCGGTCGATGGATATGACATTGCAAATGACCTAGCGCTTAAACTCACCTTTATTTTTATTTTTCCCGATCGCTGTACCGATATATAGGTGTTCCTCAGCTGTCCGTCGGTGAGAAGGCGATTCTGAAGATCTCGTCCGACTATGGTTATGGTTCCCGTGGATACCCCCCAGTCATTCCCCCCAACGCTACCTTGATCTTTGAGGTTGAGTTGCTCAAGATCAACTAAGGACGACGGGAGGGACAGCCCAGTCAACGTCCTCCGGTCGTTATTCCCCAGTCTTTTGCAGTTTATTCAAGTATTCGACGTGTAAATAAAAAAAAAAAGAGTCCGTTGACCGAAATGACACCATCGCATGCGCAGAAAACATGCTCGTGCTTTTTTCATCCTCCTTCTTTTAAAAACAGATCGAAAAGCCATGCACGGAACAAACATTGGAGTTGTGACCAAGTCCATGAGTCACTCGCTGTTCTCTGGTAGCTGAAGACAGAAGACAAGGAATCTTTCCTGGTACTCGCTATCTTTCCAGCAGAGTCCGAATTATTTAACGTAAATGGACGGGATCGTATTCTGCACTCCCAATTCCTGCATACCGTCGTAAAATCAGCCCCTTCCTGGTATCGATATCCCACTCGCACACATCGAGAAACGTCGTCTGTCAAAAGGAACTAGTACATCGTTCATATCGAGCGCAAGGCGGAAGGAGTAGTGACAAATACAGAGGGGGAAAAAAGACGAGGACACGGATGGACTAAGGACCCATGGACCTTGAGCAAATGACGCCTGTCGTTGCGCAAGGGGCTATCTGAGACGAAAAGCAAATAAAAATAAAGAGGGAGACTGAAGATTCAATAGACTGGCTCCGCTTTCCTACTCTGAAGAAGATGAAAGAACGAGACACAGTGATTACCGTTGTTGTAAACCGCGGTCTTTTCGTTGCATCCGATTCATCCGACCTTCCTAAACAGTGCTCTCTCTATTTTCTTCCCAGCTTTTCGAGTTGTGGATCAACAAAGCCGGTGTGCAAATATGTTACTATCGTCCCCGGAGGCCGTTGGTTGAGATCCGCGTTTTCTTCTTCACCATCGCAGCTGGTATCATCGCGTTTGCGATCGCGACACTGCACCTGCTTCGATCATATTCCTATGAAGGATGCGAAGCTCCCACGATTGATTTCTCGTGTAGCTTTTTGGCGAGCTCTTTCGGAAACCTACTTCAGACAGCTGCAAGATCTACAGGTATGCGTCTGTTTTGACCGACAGCTATCTTTTAATTCTCTCGTCTGAACTTGATGTAGGGCGGACGATGGGATCCGGTCAGTGGTGGGTTTGCCACAGAGGACTGGGCATTTCACATTATGATGGTGTTCTTTTTCCTCTTCTTCTTCACCATTATCTTAATGCTGAATATGCTTATCGGTAAGAACATCGCTTTGCTTGCAAGGCGCGCGACATGCTTTGATGGAATCGTACCTGGCTCTTGATACGATCTCTTTGCTGTCATTATTGTCTCTTGTTACTAGTCCTTATCAATGTCGCGTTCAACAAGGGCGACGGCGGTTGGCGTTTAGTGTGGACCAAATTACGTCTGCGATATATCGAATGTGCAGAGAATATGTCGTACTCTATCCATCTTTGGATTTCGCCAGACACACGGTTGGTTTCCCAAAGAGCTCTATTTCACATGCGACTCCCAAGCAAGTTCGGGCTTACCAGGACAAGTATCATGAATTCAGCACTACTTCCGGAGACATTTGAAATGGCTGAGGACTGGAAGCGCCGTAGAATGCCTTGGGAAAGACTATTTCGAAGTGCTACGTGTGGTATCGGACGATCCTGGTCGTCTATACAAAGATATAGAGCAGCAAGAGCGGATGCAGAAACTGCTCCAGGGTCAGCAGTGGGAGCTCAAGAAGTTATTGGTTATTGCTGGAGCACTTTGCAGCATAGGCGGAAGATCTCCCTAGACTTGCATAAGCTCTATTCTCACGACTGGAATTTTCTTGTTTCTCCACATTTTGTGAACCTCCTTTTTTTTATTATTATTTCTCGCCTTCACACATCACCACCCTCGCCTTCAACTCATTCGTCCAACCAAGCAAGGACATCGTCCATGACTCAACCGCATTCATCGCAGCAATCGCAACTTCCTCCGGAGTACCGTCAAGCGTTGCTTGAACAACAACGTCAACAACAACAGCAACAGCAACAACAGCAGGGGCAGGGGCAGCAAGCAAGTGCTCCCACGCTACAAGACATTGAACAGAAGCACTCGCAACTGCCACCTCAGTATCGTCAAGCCGTGCTCGAAAAGCAGCAGCGTGAGCAAGAACAGCAGAGGCGAGAGCATCAACAACATTTAGCACCATCAATACTACAGCAGAGGCAGACGCCAGGAAGGAATCAGTCCGTCTCACTCTCGTCTTCGCCAGCCGCTGGAGCAACATCGTCATCTAAAGCCCTCGCCGGCGCTTGGGGCTCCACACGGCAGCGCAATGCGTCGGCGCCATTGACAGGTGCCTATAGGAAGGACCGGGATAATGATTCATTGAGCACGACAGCGAGCACGACAGGTCCTGGTCGCGCTCATTGGAAGGTATAATGTGCTCTGGGTCAATTAGACGGACACAATTAAGTGAGTTTGTCGAGCTACTTGAATTCAAAGCTGCGAAACTGATATTGTTATATCTCTTCATTTGGACACAATGGTCGGCAATTCTAGCCGGATAGCAGCACGAATGTCTGCACCTGGCCAGGGTGTAGACTTATGTTTGGACTCTTTGACAGACGACATCATTGCCGAAAGTAAGCTTTATCTTCATCTTCATGAAATGAAGTGGTGAAGCTGTCTTCGTAATCGATCCCTACTCGTTGATAACGCGCTGCAAATCCGTTCGTACTCACCTTCTTATCCCCCTTTTTTTTTTTTTTTTTTTTTAGATGCGGAGACATTTTTTGCAGCACACATTGCTCAAAGGGTATCCCGTTGGATCAAGCACTGGATTTCAGTCCATCTGAAGGAGTCATGAGTAGGGCATGCGTTGGCTGCTTTGAGGCTTATGAACAGTGGCAGGGACTGGTTCCCTCGGGAAGGAACCCTTTCACGCATGTGTCGGAGGACATGACGCAGGCAATTGCAGGCGGTAGCACGAAAACAGGGACGGCGTCGTCTTCGAATCATCGACCAAACCTTGGACGTATCCCAGATGGATATCTAGGTGGAGAATCCACAAGAGAGGCGATTGGACGGGAAGGTAAAGGAGAGACGAGGGCATACGGACTGTGTATGGCTACCAAGGCAAGTAATGACATATTTTTTTTGTTTCTTTGCCCATCGTAGATGTCGTCCGGCAAACGACCCCAGCGTCTGCGAATATTGCGATCAAGAAGCAGTCATCCACAGGTAATTAGATAAAGACCGTGCCCTTTTTTTCAGCTGCTAAATTATGGTGCAGAGTACTGAGCTCAGATAACCAAACATTGATGGACGCTTAGATCAAACGGTGTTGCCGATGCCCTCTGTCCCCCATGACTGGTCGTGGAGTACGTTTTAGCGGTCGTAGCGGAAAATACTACTAGTGTCGATAATAATAAACTTGCTTCAACCACGTTTCGTTAGCCATTTGCGGCGCCCTTTGTCAGCTGGGGTGCCTGACCCGTATTGTTTAATGACGAGAGGGAGAGCGCGTCGTCATGAAAAGAATTAGGGTTTTTTGAACGACTCTGTTTTGGCGGCGTCATTTTATCATCATTGCAAAGACTCGGTATAAAAACCAACCCATGTCCCACCCTAATATGTCTTTTTTTTTTTTTTTTACCTCAACATACATACAACTCCACACAACACACGACAATAAGACAACATGAGTATGTGTTCCAATGGCTACAGACGTATATAGGAGTAATCGCCCAGGTGCATTATCTAAGCACGCATTCACATCCTTCACCGATAGACACCTCCGCTGATACACACCCCGAGCACGTCAAGACTACACAGGAGCTCGACAAGTTCTTGCAGGAACGCCCTGCACCCGAGGAGCTCGTCGAGAAGAATATTCTCAAAGGTATGGCCTCAGGAGGGACGGACGACAATGCCATGGCCACATGGAAGACAACTGAATTCAAGACGCAGCAAATAACACTCTCAACTGCGTATGACTAGATCCAAAGCTCGCCCCTGCATTGCAACACCAGGCTGAAGAGCTCAAGAAGGCAAAGCTCGAGGATGCTCTCGCTCACAAGATCGAGAACCGTCCTCCTCCAGAGAAGCTGATTGAGCAGAATATCCTTCATGGTAAGAGAAGACATGCGTTCTATGTATATGTGATATATTGATATGCTACCTTTTTTTTTTTTTTTTTTTTTGCTTACGCTCTTTGAGGTTGGGGTAATAAATACTTATTCATGCTTTGTATGTGGGCATAGACTCGACGGTTGCACCAAGAATTCAGAAGCAGGCAGAGGAATTGAAGCGCACACAGCTCCAGAGCGCATTGAACTCGAAACTCGAGCACCGACCTGCGCCCGAGGAGCTGGTTGAGAAGCACATTCTTTAAGAGATTCAGGGCGCTTTTGTACATATGGAAAAAAACAAACGCTGGAATAAATCACATTTGTAATATCTACAATAGATGTATGGAAATGCATATATTTTGTTCAATTAAGTATGCAGGGGTGGAGACGGAGAATCTAGCGGGATGCTGGATGGTTGCTGAAGAAGGACGTTGTAGCTCTTAAGCTGGACCATCGATCAACACTTGCGCCTGCGAGAAGAAAAAAAAGGAACTCAGTTAGAAGCTCATCCATTGTTCACTCAAACCCAACTGCTCCTTCTTCTACTCACCGGCAAATTCTTGACACCATAGACCCCAGAGATTCTGGGTATGATCGTCAAATACTGCATCATCTCTGACCAGGAACACGCAGCCTTTGGTTCCAAGCATTGGCTCCAGAACTTGGCCTTATAATGGAGAATGTCCCACATCATCGCATCCAAACACTTGAACGCCGCGGGTTCCGCAGTACGGAACTGCTCCACCTTGTCATAGACGTCGTTGCCGTGCATGATCGTGTCCAGAGTCGACAGCTGGGCCGTACTGAGTCCCACACAATCTGGGATCGAGGGGATGGCCCGCTTGATACAGCTGTGACAGTTGTCGGACTGAGCTGATGTGATTTGGATGGTGAAGGCGCTTAGGAGGCCTAAGGAAAGGAGGAAGAGCGTCCTCCAAGAGAACGAAGAGTACATGCTGACGGGGACAGGGATGTCAGGCAGGGAGTAAAAAAAGCAGAAACGAAGAGAGAGAATGAGGAGCGCTGCAGTGGCAAGATAAAGTGGTCTTTGGATCCCCGGGATCATTTCCAGAAAGAGCCCCGGGGAGAGAAGAGAGACAGGGAGATTCTCGAATGTGGGTGGACTAGTCGATTTTCAAATCCGCATCATCTAGACACACACATCTTCGCGTCTTGACAGTCGGTTCGCATATGATTTATTTACAGCCTCAACGGATCAGAGTGTAATAAGTATGTACAGGTTAACACGATGAGTAGAGGCCGGTCTACTGGCCAGCCAGCTCGATGCTGGCGATCGCTGCTTCGTCAATGTCGTCCTTCAGCGTAATATTCTTCAGTCCAGATTGCATCAAATACTCCTTTCCCTCCTTCACCTGGTTGCCTTGCAGACGCACCACAATGGGCACCTTGACCTTGGGTCGTCCTTCCTTTAGAGCGGTCACCATTCCCTCTGCAATAGTCAAACAGCTGGCGATCCCACCAAAGATGTTCACCAAAATCGTCTTCACGTTCTTGTCCTCTGCCAGGATCTTGAAGGCCTGAGTGACCTGTTTCGTCGTCACTCCACCGCCAACATCCAGAAAATTAGCTGGATTTGAACCATGCAGCTTGATAATGTCCATTGTCGCCAGTGCCAGCCCGGCTCCGTTCACTATGACGATGATGTGTAGCAAGACGAATGTCAATAAGTATCTTGTTTTACGCGTCGACACCAAGCGTTCGATAGCGTCGGTTCATACCTAGACAGCCAATGTTACCATCCATGCCTACATAGCTCAGTCCACAACTTTCTGCCTCCAGTTCTCGAGGATTCTCCTCGGTTGTATCGCGCATCACCTGCAGTTCTGGATGCTTGAACATCGCATTGTCGTCGAAGGAGATCTTGGCATCAAAGCATACCACTGTACAAGTATGAACGATTACGGGTCGATTAACGATACATCATGCTCTCGAGTAAATGTTCCTGGCACTGTTTCATATCCAAAGGCCATACCATGGTTATCAGGTGTCAGGCCAAAGGGATTGATCTCGATCTGGACAGCATCCACGTTGATGAAAAGCTCATATAGCTTTTGCATCTGTTCAGAGGCCTCGGCAACGGCTTTCCCTTGAAAACCAAGCTTCATGGCAAAATCCAGCGTTTGCTGCTCTGTTGGTCCTGTCTCGATATCAATTGGGGTCTAGGAAACATCCAGCCCGAGGAAAGGATGTTAGCGAGCAATACTGAGATACAATCTAATTATGTGGTAAGTACTCATCCCATTTACTTTGTGTATATGACTGGGGTGTTCTGCTGCAACTTGTTCGATCTCCATTCCCCCGTGGGGACTTCCCACGAAGACCGGTCCACCACTTTCGCGATCCATCAAAATGGCGAAATATGTTTCCTTTGCAATATCCAATGCCTCAGCAATCATGACCTATTGGTTCAGGAATGAAGACATTCTTTTCAGTTACATGTCTTTTGTAGGGGCTAACAACATCTATTGGGCACAGCAGGCGCACCTTGCTGACAAGCACTCCATCGTCAGTGGTCTGATGTGTTTTGAGCTTGTAGCCTAGCATCTCTGAAACGAGGTCCGGAACCTTTGCGGGGCTGTCGAGATTTAAATGAGATAACTTTCCATGAGCTCAAAGGACTTTCAGTATATTTTCCTATCCATCGAACAACCTATCTACGTGCTTACTCCCTTGTTAAATGGACGCCGCCCTTGAGTCCACTCGAAAATTCGCCCTTCCCTCGTCCGCCTGCATGGATTTGTGCTTTGATCACAATCTGGTCTGCCTCTACGTTTTATAGTTCAATTCTCCGGCGTGAGTCTGCAGGGTGTATAAGAGATCGACAACATGATGACATCGTCAGAGAACGGACAACTTACTCAGTGCCTTGGCAGCATTCTGTGCCTGCTCAACTGTCTCGGCGATAGAAAAGCGCTGGACATTGATGCTCTGTTTTGCCATCAATTGCTTAGCCTGGTACTCATGCAGGTTGAGATAGCGAACTTGACTTGCAACGAGGGCCTTGGCTGGGACCAATGAAAACTTTATTTATTTCATCCATTGGGTCGGATCAGTGCGTGAGGAAGAAATATAAAATTAGTATGTTGAATGGCGAGCAAGTAGAAAGACGACTATGCGAGTATTCATTCCCCTGCTTGTCCAGGACAAATGGATTGCAGGTTTATTACTGCGAAGTCGCAGAATACCTGGGGGTGGACGAGACGGAGGGTCGACATTCCTGTCAGAGGAATGCTTTGTCTGAATGCATGTCGGAGCATTGCAGTTGAGGTCGCAATGAGTTGAGTAAGCGGTGGTGGAGTAGGAAGCAGGCAAAAGGTGGGAAGAAAGGTGGCGATTTTGGTGAGAAAGGTGGAGAAGATACAGACATTGAAGAAGCTGAAGGTCCGTCGCTGTTTTTATGGCATAAAACTCTTTTGATCTGCAATAACGCAAGGGTGTAATAGGCCAGTTGAGGTCACAAGTGCCTTTGTTTCATGCATGCGCCGAAAAGTAGTGGACTCATTCCGCTGGGCTGCATGGAGAGTTGTGTGTATGCTTTTTACTACTAAAGTGCCCGCTGCTTCGTCTATGTGTCTACTATTCGTTCGAGTGCTCCGGTGATCTTCGAGTCCACAAGAGCATCATGTCCGGTGCGATACTACAAACGAATCGGGAACCATTCCATCGGTGCTGTGCTGCGCATTCGAATGGTTCACATACGGATCAATGTAGTCGTCCGGCACCTTTTCATCCTTTCTCGACATAAATATCCTGCTCGCTAGCAACACAAATGTTGCCGAGATAAAGATAGCCACTATTTTTCCATTTCATTGAAGATGAAATCCACGGTCAATCGATGATCATTGTTTAACACGCCGGTGCAAATAAACAGTCGATGCTGCTCCATATCCTTACCCATGCCCTTGCGAGTTGTCTCCCATTTTGCAGCTTCCATCTTGGTCCGCATGTCTCCGAGCTGTGCCATGTAGTGATTGCTCATCGATTGGATCCTGATCTCGAGTGCTTTTTGCTCCTCTCGCACATCGCTCTTACGGCTGTTCATATCGATGGCGATGTCGTTCTTGACATTGGCGATATCCTCGCGTAATTTTTGGTTCAAGGAATCGATCTCTCGCGAGATGATTTCCGTCCTGATCGCGAGAGCTGCTGCATCGTTCTTTCGTAGGATCTGGAGCTCGGTCCTGAGCTCTGTTAATGCTGCCTTGAACAGATACGATTCGTTTTCAAGATCGCCCTTTGTCAGCATGTTCTTCCTGATCTTGTTCGTGCTAGTTGACGCAAATAACCGCAGAGTCGAAAAATGGCCTGTGAGTTCGCTGTTGTCATTCCTCCTCGCTCCAGCTGACACTTATAGCAACCGTTATCCCGAGAACGTACTGCTGTCCGATCAAGGACTTCATGATGCGCATAATACCCTCGGCTTGTCCGCGTTGGAAACCATTATTCTCCAGTTTTGATACGATCTTGTTGGTATTGAAATTGTGATTGGTGACAATGGTCCGTCTAAAGAGTATGGAAGAGAGACTGTTGGGGTCCCTGAAGAGTTGGGTATAGTGCGTTGGGGTTGATAGTAATGGGCGCACGCTAGCTGGTGACGAAAGAGCGCTCCTGGATGGATCAGATCGGGTACTTGAATCCTCCTGTACGATGGTTCCTGTGCTGACGGTATGCCTGAAGCGCACATGCGCCGTGTTGGCGCACCTGGGTTCCAGTAGAGTCCTGCTGAGGTGGCCGGTCGTTCCTGATGAGTGAAAAAGAGATGTACAGGAGGATGTTAGTGTCGAGTCGGAGAATATTGGTCGTCCATCCTGTCGCTACGTAGTACCTTTGGAGAGAAGGTATCTTGGGCTGGCCATGGTGTGTAATAAGAGATGCTGTCGAAAAGTGAGATGGAAGCGCGAGTGTTGGGTGCCTGGCAAGGCAATACTTACCCACTTACCCCCACGCTCCTCCTTTTCACAACAAGCCACCTGTCAGCGATTCACTCTTTCAAGTCGTGCCTGGACGGACAGTTGTTGCTCCGCACACATCCTACACAACCCATGTTCTCGCTCACGAAGAATCTCGGTGCTCGCTTGGCAGGGTATGCCGCCAGATACGCATCGACAACAGCCAATGGTAAGCAGGAGAGCAGGAGGGCTGGATAGCGGCGGACTGGATTGCGATCGTTTCCATGAACTCGAGTTAATCAGTCTGATCAGATCAGCAAGCAGGAGAACTAACGCTGTCTCTACTGCCTTCGTAGCCGCCAAACCAACATACACTGCACCTGCGTCCGTCATTGTACCGACTCAATTTAAGCCCAACACTCGAGGACAGGGATTGATGCAGCTTATCTCAAAGGAAGAAGTCAAGCGACTGGGTGCTGACGGACGCTCCAAACTCTTCAACAAATCCCATCCAGACTGCCTTCGCACAGGCGATGTCGTTCTTGTGGAGACACTCAATTCCATGTCGACAGACAAGACCAGCACGTTTATTGGAGTTCTCATTGCCATGGATCGG